TAAGTAAGTACATAGGTAGTAAGTAAGCTATGGTATGTACGGTATGGTATGTAGGTACAAGTTGCTTTTTCCCCCGCTTCCTTTCTTTTCCATTGTCTGCGTCGTCGCTTCCATATCCCTCCTGGGTAGGTGAGGCAGATAATAAAAAAATGGTCCCAGATAAACGTGATCACAATCTCAGAACCGAAAGGCCGGCTGGACAGGTCAGGCGATAACATAGGAAAGCTATAACGGTACCGAGATACTGATCAGCAGTGCAGACATGAGGTCCAGTACCTCGCAGCTAGAAACCCACCCTTCATTCATTCGTTCTTTCTTTTCTTGCGCGCCTAGACCACAATATGTGTATCACCTGTGTGTGGGCCGGGACTAGTTACTATATGTATGGATTTTATTGTTATTCTACATGGCAATTCGTGATCGAATCATCTCTGAGATGTGGTCTTTCTTCTGTACACGGGTTTTATGGTTTCCCTCCGACGAAAATAGTAATCTCAACAGGTTAGTTTAGCTTGATAGACAAGGACAAGGTGGGGACAGCAGCAAGAAAGAAAAGAAAAAAAGGAAGTCTATCTTGTCCAAAGTCTGACAAGGCTGGAGAAGAAAGCGATCTCAAGTGAGGAATCTAAAGAACTTGGCTCTTTTTTAGCTAAGTCCAGCAAGGAAGTAAGCAAGAATTAGACGATGAAGATCATAGACCGGTTGGGGAATAAGAAGTGTTATTTGCTGGGAAAGCTTGGAAAAGGCTCAAAGTTTCAATGCACTACGACGAGGGAAAAGGGAAATAAAGCCCATTCGCATTCGCAGGTCGGGGTAGTATGTGTGTGTGTGTGCGTGGTGCGGTGCGGTGTATGCAACGGACTTGCATCACCACCCCGGGAGAGACTAGTGTGGAGGGGTGGTTTGTGATAGTGGAGGGTTAGTTCAAGCAGTGATTAGAAAGAGAGAAAGAGAGCTAAGTATCCGTCGATGCTTTGCCGAAACCAAGACCGAACGAGCGAGAGAATTTCAAGGACAGGGCGCGAAGGCTGCTTTGGAAGCTGCACATGCCGGCTCCGAGGGTGTCCAGTCGAGTCGAGGAAACTACCTGGGCCAGAAGTAGAGGGGTTGAAGGGAAGGAAGAAGAAAAATTTCGTTGAATGTAACCGCCTCGACCTGTATGTAGTCACATCTACCAATAACGACCTAGGACATGACATCGGAGAGCAAGTGGGGCTGGGGAGGATTCTCATGCTGATGTTCACGGAAGGCAGGTCTCACAATCAGAAAGAAAAGAAAAATCAAGCTAGCTAGACTAGGGATTCTGGGATCGATTGTGAAAGGAAAGAAGAGATTTTTTTGGTGGTGGTGAAGCCGTGGGTAATGCTGGGCCTGGTTCGGTACTTGTGAGGTATGTACCGGTATACCGCATCCGCATCCTTCCAGGTTTCTGCCGTCCAGCTCAGACGAGAATACATGTACAAGTACTATTCACAGAGTAACTTTTCTGGATTGGATTTGGATTGGATCCCAACGAATGAACGGAGGAAACAGACCGTCCGATAGATTATTGTTCGCGGTTTAGTCTGGATTTTTTTTTTGTGAGTAGACTAATAGATGTGTGTAGGGCAAGACAAGACAGGACAAGACACATATGCACACACGATGTGATCAATTGAATTTTTCTTTTAGTCTGATTATGATATAAAAATTTATAATATAAAAAAAGAATTTAGGGACGAAGCTAGTGGACGATAGTTGGCTAGCCAGACGATATCATAATCGTACCGTATCATATCTGACAGAATAGACTAGCGATATCTCCGTATACGAGGATTCGTGCTTGATTATAATTCCGATGATAACTATAATTATGAGAAACAAGATCTAGTCTAACTCTTCCCGACAACCCAGCTAGTTAGTTCTGATAAGTGGGAATTCAATTCGAAGTAAGGATATGCTTAATTATAACAGCAAAATCAGCAGCTTCTGAGTTGAGCACGGAACGTTAACGCAGCCGGACTGATCGACCTGCCAAATTACTGCCCGCAGGCTGATCCATCGCCAATCAGGTCCAGCCAGACAACACATATCCCGGCTCTGCAGCTGTTTTGGACCAGCCCGTCCTGTACAGCGCGGGCTAAATCCAACGTCCTCTCTTCGGCTCTCTTCCCTTCTTCATTCCTCCATCTTGTCCTGTCTTGTCCTGTCTTGTCCTGTCCTATCCTGCCCTGCCCTGTCCTGTTCCAAGAGCAAGAGTTAGAGCAAGAGCACGAGTACGAGCAAAGAGTAAAGAGCGAAAAACGAGAACGAGAACAAAGAACAAGAGCCAGAATCCCCTCCCCTTCCTCTGCCCCCTTCCCCTTCCCCTTCCCCCTTCCCTTTCACCCCTCCGATAACCCATACACGGCCGGGGAACATCAACCGGGTCTAGCTTTTTGAATAAGGGAGCTGGGAAAGGACCTGGACTGGACCTGGCTTGCTTGGACTGACCGACACGGACGACGAGTCCCAGACACCTTACAAGGGGGGGATATTTATTAGCTTCGGCCATTTTTCTTTCGTCAGGCTTGTTCGAACCAGGGCAGCAAGAACGGCCGACGACGACACACTCTCACGTTCTCCCAAATACTCACTCACACATGCTCTCTTCTTCTTCCTCTTCTTCTCTTTCTTATTCCTTTTATTCATACTCATGTTCATGTTCATGTTCTTCTTATGTTGAATGTTGAATGTTAACGTCCATGCAATAACGTTTCTCCACTCAAGTATATCTACTTATTTCTTCACCAGAGATATCCCTCGTTATTCGTTATTACCATTGATATTTACCTATTATATCCCTTCCGTTACATATTTGATTTTATACAGCTCCCATTACACATACTTACATACCGACATACATACACAAATACATACATTCAGACATACTTCTTGTTTTCCCCTCTATTTGTTACTACCTTTATTCCTACGACCTTTATTCTATTACGGTTAAGATATTCAAATATATATTCTGTATATGACATACATCTGCTGAACATCCTTCTTTCCTTATTATATTATTTTCTTTTTTTTCCCTCTCTCTTCTCTCGTTTCTTTTTTCATATTCTCCCCCCCCCTTCCCTCGTTGCTTTTTTCTCTTCCCTTCCCTCTTGAAACGCAAGATATCGTGGGTTCTTGTATCGGGGAGGTGACTATATAGCCCTATTATAATACTGATGGTACCGGTGGTAATTACACGGCCTGCAGTACTAAATCGCCAGGGACAGAACGGGAACCATCCTCAACCGCTGTCAAAACTCTGATATTCCTTTCCCTTGGCTTGAACCAATATCGATATATATATATATATAAGTATCAGTGTATATTTATATATATATATACACACGTACATATCATATCAAAGTTCACGGACTTGCTATATCGAATCAACGGGCGCTATAACCTGAGGTTTGGAATATAGGGCGAAGATCTCCCGGCCACGCCCAGTCAAGTACAGTCTACATACCTGTACGTACTATACTATACTATACTCTACACAATCCTCAACCATAACCACAACTAAACCACAACAAGCCGCCAACCGCCAACCATTATCGGCACCACCTGCACTGCACTGAATGTGTACCTGCACACAGCACAGCACTCCACCGACAACATTAATTAACAGCAGCAGCACCACCACCACGGCCACCACAACAACCACCACCACACCACCACCATCATTATTATCATCATCATCATCATAACCATAACCGCCATCATCATTAACATCACCTTTCATAAACATCAAACATCATTAATACAATATCATTATTATCCTTACCATCAACATCAACATCAATATAGATATCATTTATCAATAGTATCATTCCCATCACCATTCCCGTCACCTTCGTTCATATTTTCATCCGGATTATATCGACTGCTTCTTCTGACTAAGCCTTTTCTCCTCTCCTCTCTCGTCCTCTTATCCTTCTCTCTTGTTTGATGATATATGCTTCGCTTCCGCTTTGGTCCTATCCGGTATTTCTCCTCTAAGGTAAGGATTGCCAACCCACCTCTGCTTCCCACCCGCCTGCCTGCCTGCCTGCTTGCTTGCTTGATTCTCTCCCTCCTGCCCGCTTGCCTGCCCGTCTGCCTGTCTGCCTGTCTGCCACCATTATACGTCAACAGTATAAAATACTTAAATAAGTATATCCTGCTGCACTTCAATACATCTTTGCCCGTACCTTTTCTGCATCCGCCAGAATGGTGCACCCACCCACCCGTTGAAACATCCTGTCCATCATCCATGCGCACATCTTCATTCCACACACGTCTTAGCCTCCAACCGCACGCAACACACTGCCAGTTCCTCATTGAGCCTTCAGCGTACGTGCCTGTGCCATCCCGCTCTGAGCTCTGTTACCACCACCACTTGATAACTCGAGCATCACCCTCCTTCCCGGGTTAACTTTCCCTCAAGCTCTCCCACACCCCCATCATCATCTACCCCCATACATAAATACATACCCACCTCCATTCGTTCGTTCATTCGTATCTTATATATATCCTCGGATACCCAGAGGAAAGAAAGAAAAAAGAGAGAGAACAAAACAGTCAAAAAGAAAAAAAGACCGTAACTGCTCTGCACAACACTGTAATTCTTTTTCCCTTTCTATCAGCCACCACAACCTCCACTAGCACTACACTACCTCCAACAGCCCTACTCACATCACCACCTGACGTATCCTTCCCCCCACTCCCAAATTCCAAATCCCGACTGCGTGTTCCCTTTAGTTGTGTTCCACAGCATCGTTGGCCTCGAGATTTCGATCGTCTTCCGTCCGTTTGAATGATTGGCTTATTCTCTGTTGATCAGCCGCTAGCTTCTTCTACCCTGACGCTCGTTACTTGATTCTCATCCCTCTCTAATACCATTCGCTAGCTCTTCCAAGGGCCTCCCCGAATCTCTACATCTGATCCGCTTCCTCTTGTTGGTATCGTTGTTTTAGTTTTATCCTTCTCTCTCCGACAATATGGATATCAAGAGTCTTCTCAACCCCTCCGCCAAGGGGGCCATCAATCCTCCTCCTCAACCCCATGATATCGTCGAAGAGGACCCTATACGGTCGACCAAATCTTCTTCAACGTCTTCCAAGGTTTCCCGGCATCATGCAACTCCTAGAAGTCAAAATGATGACCATGCCAGGTACCACAAGTATGCAACTGTTGGTAGCTCAAGTGCAGGGTCCATGACGGCTAGAAGTTCCATATCCAGCCTCTCCAGCTTTCAGTCCTCCAATAGTCTCACCAGCTTGACGACATCCTCAAGTGCTGGTTCCATATCCAAGGGTTCACTAGGTAGCCCAATCCATGAATCCCTAGGACGTCCCAAGCCGGATTTCAGGATACCAATTTATGCCTTTGATATAACCCAGAACAGTGCCCGGCTTCCCCCTCGTGGTCTATACACACCAAGCGAGTCTGATTATAGCCCTTCAACAACAGCCATGACCCAGTATTTCCCCTCACACCCAGACGTAACACAAGACCGGATTGCGAGGGAAGAAATACCTGGCTCCAACCTGACAACATTGGCTGCTCTGGCGACCTGCCAAGATTTCAAGAGGAACACGCTGGAGTCCGATTATTTTGATGCTAGATACTCCTATGGACCCCAACATTCGCCGTATGAGGGAACACCCACTCGTTCCTACGTTACCCAAATACGTCAGCGGACGGATCTCATTCCCAAGCAGGTGAATGGCTTTGGTCATATCTCCACGCAGGACGTCTATGCCATGAGCAAACTCCAGCTCTCCGGAACCCCCAGCACCTTGTCACCAACGAGTACCATCGGCCCGTCCGGCTCAACAACTTCTATTGTCATGGATCTCTTTTCCGCCCCAAAATGCTCCTACGTCGAAGACTGTAACACAGGATCTCCCCTGCGCAAAGTGGTATCCCATATCTTTGGAAGAAATAAGCTATCGACTAGACAGATCCCTAAGAATATTTGGGTTTACTATTGTCGAAAGCACTACCAGAGATCTCGGTATCGTGATCCTAAGGGATTCGCAAAACTCCAATGTGAATTGGTCAGAAGACAAGTTGAGAGGTTGAATACCTGGGGGGGTGTTGAGGATTGGGTCATCAAGGTTCGCAGAAGGGAGGAGCTTCGCATATCGAAGGAAAACAAGACCGCTGCTCCATACAGCCCCGATGCCTCGGATGACTTTGAAGACGAATACGGCAGACGAGACTCAGTCCAAGGGTCGTCTGATATTCATTGGATATCATTGATGACTGGAAACGGGAAATCTGTTGACGATGTTCGTTTTCTGCTAGGTCGTGTAGAGGCTGAGATTATCGACCGCGGTGGCATCTTCCCCGACGTCGAAATCTTACCTAACGTTCGACCTTCCGCCATCTCTGGTGACATGAACTCCATCTCTGGGGTTGGGATGGGCGAAATTGAAGGCCTAGGGCCTGTTGATCCTGCGAAACCCAAGAAGTCAAGAGGGTCTCTACTAGATGTCTTTAGCTCACCTCGAAAGCTGCCATCCCGAAAATCATTAGAAGAAGCGATGGTGGTTACTGGATCTACAGTCGCTGCTCAGGCCAAGCTTCAGAAGTCTAGCAGACCATCCTTTATCCAAGAATATTCCCCGCCTTCCTTGGATGACGAAGATTCCCCATCTCCAACGAGGCCTAAACGCAAGGCTAGCAAACCACTTCCGATTACGGTTCTCTCCCCTCAAGAAACCTCTTATCCTGAGGCCTGCCCTAACTACGGCTATTCACAAATGCCTGCTCTCCGAGAAGCCGATTCTACGGCTGAGACTGAGAAGATGTTGCTCAAGTATCGATCTAAGCGTCCTCGCCCTGGTGTCGGTGGCTTTCCAGACTACCAGGACCACTGGGATGAATTCCCCTCTCCAGTGTCGACTCGTCGTCATTCTCTCGAACTCGAAAGCGACATGCCGTCCCTCCCTCTCCTAGCAGAGAGGTTGGAGGAGCAGCTCCGTTCCCCATCGATGGAAGATCCTACGCTTGGTGGCTTGCCATTCGAACCCGCTAAGGCGACAGGAGAGGCTTTCTGTTCTTTTGAACAAAAGGATCTTAAGATCGTTCTTGTCACGCCACCTCCATCTGCTTGTGGTGACTATAGCCGCGGCGCTACCGAGACTCTCGAGACTACGGACGGCGAATTCTCTCAACTTGGCGTCACGCAGGCGCAGCCATTGCTCGCCATCGACCCAGAATCAGCACGTACTGTTCTTGCTGTTGAGGTGCCACAGCACGTCCGTGACTTCGTCATGGGGAGCTGGAGCCGAAAGCGCGCAGTTCGGATGAAGAACCTCTTTGGTGATCAAATTGCCAGACCAACAGAATCTCGTTTGTTAGGATACCGTCCTTCCCGGCGAAGGGGAAGCCCTCCCGGAAAAAGCCCTCTCACGAGAAGAGTCGGCGGCCAGGCGCAAGACTACGTCGAGCTTGCTAAGGAGAGCGTCCGCTCAGGTGTACGACAACTGCGTACGAGTTTTGCTCTTCAAAGCGAGCCGATGGAAGAGTCGGTGCCTCAGCCATCTAATAGGAAGTCCTTTTCACTCCTCTCAAAACCTAATCCGAATTACACTCCTACCACCCCTACATCCTCTAGTAAGAGGCGACACAGAGCTTCTTCTGCCGGACCAGCTGGTAGAAGCTCGTCCTCTAACATGTCGATGCGACGGACCATGACTACTACCCCGGCCAAGGGCGCTCAGGAACAAAGCCGCACCTGGGCTAGGAGTACGTCTGGTACCCGTTTGATTTAATATACGGGCGATATCTGGGACATATATCCCCGCTGCTATATATACATTATTATATCATAGTCTGATTTTCAAGTTTGGGCGGTACTTTGAATATCTTACCTCTCTGCGATTTTTACTTTTGCGGTCTCTTGTTGGAAGCGTTGCTCTTTACTTTTCTTCTCTCTCATATTTCCCTCATCTATTTCCTTACTCTCTTATCTTATGGTCGGGATGAAATCGCTTTTTTTTTTTCCTTTTTCTTTTTTTTAGGCTCTGGGCGACTCACACGGGACTGGCGGCAAAGGTGGTTTCGGATCATTTTCCTTGGGAATACTTTACCGGATCAAATGGCGCAAAATTCGTCCACGCCTTTCAGCGCATCGGCCTTCGACGGAAAACCGGATTTCTTTTTTAACTCTCTATATAACTGCTATATTCTATCTGACGACGCATGTTTTGAAGCGGAAAGCGCCAACAGCAACCACCGAACACTACTTATTCAATGATAATTTAACGAATCTCAGCTACTATATCCAAAAATATTACTTGTTACGAAAAAAACATCTCGTTTCGACAAAATTTCTTTTCAAAAAGAAAAAAGTCCTTTCACTACAACGTCCAAGCTACCAAAATAACACTAGGAAAGTTTTTCAAAAGAGAAAAAATTAACCAATCTTTTTTTTTTCCTTTGATGTTATAACAAAAAGACCAACCGGCTCGCGCCTGTTCGAATTCTTTTTTTGCTCCTTACTATCTTCTTATTTTTATTATGGGAATAGGTGTACAGAAGATGTTATACTATTTTCTTCTACGTCTTTAGTTTTTATTTACAGAAAAGTTTCACGGAGAGGATTTAAGGCGAATTGTGATGTGGTGTTTTATTCCCTAGCTTTTCTACTATTTTCTTTTGATGATCGAATGATTCTAATCTTTTTACACACGCTCGTTGATATAACCAAAAGCTCTTTTTTTTTCACTCAAAAAGAAGACATAAAAAAATACTTACAGCTCGCTACTCTTGTTTCTATCTTTATTCTTACTATCGTTGAAGAAGAAAAGTCTTTTACTTATTTATCTATTTATTTTTTGATTTTGAAGTGGTTATCGTATGCTTTGTACCTGCGTGCATGCATGTTGTTTCCTGATTTAAATATTTGTGGGATGCGTATAAATATTCACGGCTCAATTGTATCATCTCTCTCTCACACACTCTCTGAATTCAAGATATGGAGGTTTTATGCAAAGTTACTGTTTTTTTGCTCTCCCTCGTTATTGTAACCTGTGTATGAAGTCATTTCTTTGATGTTATTTTACGAACGGAGGGCATATTTGCATTTAGCCTCTTTATTTTTTTTTATTCTAGCTGTTCGTGTGTGATCAATTGAGCCGTTGAGTCTTTTTCCCCCCTCCTTTTTGCGAATAAGTCTCTTTTTTAAACAAAAGTTTCGTGATATATATTGTTCTTTTGCCTTCTTATTCTGTTGATTCTTTCTTCATTTGCAAGCTGTGGTCGGTTGTCTCATTTGGAGGTATCCCAGAGATGGCTGGTCTACGAAGCTAGTATTCGTGCAAGGGTATAAGGGCTGGTGTGCGTTATGAGCCTCATATGTGGCTTTGTGTGACGCTGGCTTGATATACTTTTGTGTACTATCGATCACTGTTTTTGGCTACCGGCCTACGGACTGTAGCTCGCGCTTGAAGGATGGTCTTTTGTTTGGAAAGCTTAATATATTCTTGCTTGTTTGTGTCTTTTTTTTCGACGAGTTTCTTTTTCATATACTTTGTTTTTTTGTTGAAAGGTCTTTTGGTAATTGGAGCGAAATATTTCCTATACTGTTTCTTTTTTTTTAAATAATGTTTTTGAAGTTTTTGTTTATACCGCTTTAGTCTGCAAGTCGACTGATAATGTTTTTTGAGGATGGGAGAAGAAAGAAGGGGGTTGGGAGAGAAAGAGAGAAAAAGTTGATCGATGTCGAAGCATTCGTCTAGTGAAAGAGATTTGTGGTTTCTTCTGTTAGATTTCTGCATTCGTTTTTTTTTCACACACTTTTTTTTCTTTCGTTAATTGATTCCGGTTAGTTTCAAGCTCTTGATTAGCTTTGTAATATCATGAGCGTCGTCGTCGAGCGAGCGGTTGAGCGGTAACTTCCATCTTTTTTTTTTCTCTCTCTCGTTTTTTTGTTATTTGGTTTTTATGCGCTTTGTTTTGTTGATTTGAAAGGTTAAGTATAGTTTTTTTTCTTTCTTTCTCTTTTGCGAGTGCTTTTTTGATTGATGTTTTCTTTTTTTCTTTTATAAATATATCTTCGGGGAGTGTATGATTGATAGTTCGTGGTAATTATCTTTGCAGGTGTGTGTGTATGTTTCTATATGAAGATGAGAGGTTGAATGTAGTTAAATAAGTACATATATATTTTAAGTACTTTCAATGGTTTTAGCTGGTGGTACAAATGAAATGAAACTCTTACTCTTCTTATACTGATATTTAGTTGTATATGTGAAGGATGACAGTTTTGATCGAATATTAGTAGTGGAGTATTTAGGTATAGTAGATTAGGTAGATAGAAGAGGACTTGTAAGTACAGATATGAAGGGAGGTATGATTTGGTGGTGGGTTTATATGACAATTAGTTGGGATTATTAGGTATCTACCCTATCTTTCTGATCGATATCACTACCCTTCGTTCCAATAGTACCCTTCAATTCGGGATTAATAACGAAGAAAAAGAAAAAGAAGAAGGCCTATTATAAAAGACAGAATAAAATCCATCCGTTCCCCCCCAAAAAAAAGCGAAAGCAATAAACAAAAAAAATTATAAGTAATCAAGTAAATCAATCAACCCCTTCCAAACCATCCACCAGCCTTCTTCGCCCCTTCCTGAATCTTCCTATCAGCCTCATCGATCTTCTGCTGAACTTCCGCCTGTGCCTTTTTTCTCTCGGCATCGATCTTTGCGGTTGCTTCTTCGAATTTTTGTTTACTAAGTTCTGAAGCTGAGGTTGCGGAGGATTTGAGGTGGTTGAAGGTTTCGGTTGCGGAGTCGCGGGCTTTGGCTGTGTCCTCTTTTTTTTTATGTAAGGGTTAGTATTTTTTTATTTTATTTTATTTATTTTTCGGCTAGAAGGGGGATAGGAAGGGGAGAAGTACGTTCGAATTGGGATTGGGCGGATTTAACGTCGCCGCCGGAGGAGGTGTAGTAGTAGTATCCGCCGCCGAGGGCTGTGGCGGTTGCGAGGAGGAGGGGGAGGCTGTTTGTGGGTTATGGTTTGTTAGTGATTAATTGATGAGATGTAGAAGGTATTATAGATGAGTATGGTTATGATAGTGATAACTTGGATGATTTTGATATATTGTAATAGATGCGAAGGTTAAATTTGGGGGGTTTGGTTGTCGTCAATGGGGGTATTCGGGGGGTGTTTTGATACAACACGAAGAGTGACGGAATAGGTTTGTGGTATTTTTTGGGGGGAAGGGAGGGATACTTACTTTGACTTCTTTGCTGCCATTTTGTTTGATTGATTCGTTTTATGTTCCCAAAAAAAGAGACGATTTTTGGTTGGTTTGTAGATGGGACGTGGTGTTTTTTGTATGTGTATAGATGGTGGAAAAGGTAGAAGTAGAAGTAGAAGAAGAAGAAGAAGGAAGAGGTTGGTGGTAGATCTTCTCGTTTTTTAATTTTTTTTTGGATTTGGATTTGAATTTATTTCGCGCAGGATTTTAATGGCATGTGGTTTTATTGATTGGGTTATGATGTTAACTTATATTTTTGTGGAGGAGGGGGAAACTGGGGGGAACGATAATGACGTAGTTGTTACCGGATCAACAACATTCTTGCGACTGGATGCATGGGTCGGTTGGTCGGTCGGGTGGTTACCGATGTACGTATGATGGCGTTAACGGGTTTTTTGGTGGGGAATGGGGTAAGCGAGGGGGTATTTGGTAGGTTTTGGAGGGGTTATATTTAATTGTATATTATATAAGGTGGCTCTTTGTGTATTTGGGGATATTGGGGTGGTGATTTGTTACTATGTAGTTTTGGGTGGTAGTTATATTTTATGCGGAATATAGTATTTTCTCCCGGTACTGGCTATAGATTGAATTATACTGATCCAATTGATTTAATAGTAAATACTCTTGGTGAATATTATATTATGGAATCTTTACGGAAATAGATGTTTTTCTCGGTGTGAAAGAGATACATTCCATTCAGCCACATTTGAATATATGGGTAAATCACAGAAATTCTGGTAGGCTGTTCTGGATTACTTTTTTTGAGGCGGACTAACATTCCATAACGTGGGTGGTGAGATGGCTGGTGAGCGTGATTGGGGACTCGTTTTTGCATGAAGTATGTATGCGTGTCTGATATTGGTATTTTGGTAGTTCAGATAGATATATCCCGGTTGTGGGCTGGTGTTTACTGTGGTGATATATACTTCTCGGGGCTTATGTTCGGGATTACACTATGTTGACCGTGGGGGTTGAACGGGGATGGTTCTAGCTGATGGAGCTCGTGGTTTGGAGGTATATGCAATAGGTCCAATATTATAGGTGATATTCCGCTAGTTTTAGTGGTGGGATTGGTTTTGCGGGGATTGACGGTTGGGTTCCTAAGGTGCTCTGCGCTGGGATAAAATATACTTTCTTTCGAAACCTTATTTCTACTTCAAGTGTTTGGTTTGTTAAAAGTGTTATTCATGGACATTTGGGTTTGACAAATATCTTCTTATGGAATTGTAAGTCGACCAGAAAGATTTGCTGTATGATGGTTCGTTAATGATTTAGTGGTCTGTAGACAGGTGCTGTAATAGCGTTCTGTTTACTCTCTTCCCATGTCCTGCGTAAAAATAAATGATTCTACTGAAAATAAAGCGGTGGACCGAGCTCTATAAGAGTTACTGACTTCACTCTAGCTAGCTGTGAGGCCGTAACAGCCTGTAGTATATAGTTCTCATTGGAGAATTATTGGGATAGTGGCATGCTCTTGTTGGAGCCGTATCATTTTCATGGGCTATATCTAAGTAAGTATCCAGGACAAGGTGATAAATGGTCTAAAAGTATTTAACCGTATAAATAGGTAGATTCTGTAGATAATGATTGGTATCTTTTACAAGAACGTGTATATACTTAAGTCCCTATGTCGGTGTCTTTGACGGGCGCCATGAAGTCGTTTGGGTTAGTCTTGTTCCAATTATTCAATCATCCTGCCAAATTTGTGAGTACCATAGAGTGAAGCTGTAGTATTATTAGGGTTTGAGGGGATTGGAATAGATGTAGCTCTTATATATCTTTCGAATTTTGGAAAATTGGGGCTGTGGGTTCTGCCTTGTACTAGACATAGCTTAGTGGGGACTGTAATAGATATTATAGGAGTATCGTAGCGCAATTTGTTGAAGTAAAGGATGATAAGCGACTGAAGTTTCACTAGTAGCATTTGAAATCAATGTAGCAGTATCAATTCACAGCAAAGTAACTCAGTACAGGCTTTGAGATTCTGTAACATGGTGCTGATTAAGTGAGTATCAGACTCGATCCTCAAAAGAAAACCGCGTTGAATAGTGCAAAATACAACAGAAGAGTCACCAAACGTTGCAGTTTTGGTGTTGTCGCCTCGACAAGGGTTCGCCCGTGTTGAGGAACCATGCTCGGTTGCTCATCAGGCTAACCGAAACTAAAAAAAAAGTTCGAATTGCTCACAGAAACTCTCTCTCTTCCCGCCAACTTTCCTTCCATCGACAGGAAAATGAACAGCTCTTACCAACCGTTATCATCATCGCGAACAATTACCATCACATCGACAGCACGGTGACCTCACGATACTCCTACCGGTGGCAGCTGTCCCACCTGACACCCACCTTCTTGATACTCAATTGAACCCAAAGACTAAAGTCATATCATCATCATCAGCAACTATCGATTCGATACCCATCCACAATGGCTCTCCAAGCCGCCCCCACCAAGCGCGGCTCCCGCAAGGAGCAAGTAGTCTCCAACGTCCCCAAACGTATCAAAGAAGTCAAATTCGGTATTCTCTCAACCCAAGATATGGTAAAACAAGCGGTAATCGAAGTCTCCACCGATCGACTATTCAACGAAACGGGCCGTCAACCCACCGAAAATGGTGTTCTGGACCCGCGCATGGGTATCTCGAATAAAACCGACACGTGTAAAACCTGCGGCGAGAATCTACAGGCTTGCAATGGACATTTCGGACACGTTAAATTGGCCTTACCGGCTTTTCATATTGGGTATTTTAAACATATTATTTCTGTGCTGCAGAATATATGTAAAGAGTGTTCGGCCATATTGTTGGATAGTTCGATGAGGAGATCTTATTTGAAGGAGATTAGGAAACCTGGAATAGATAATCTGCGAAGAGTGCAGATTTGCAAGAAGATTAATGAGCAGTGTAGGAAGACTAAGGCATGTTTTGTGTGTGGCGCTATCAACGGGACAGTGAAGAAAGTTGGTCCGTTGAAGGTTATACACGACAAATTCAGGGCATTTAATTCCTCGAATGCGGCGTCGAAAGTTCCGCCGGAGGCAAAGGTTATCTTCGATAAATCATTTATGGAGGCGAAGAAAACGAACCAGGATTTAGATAAACATATTCGAAAAGCCATGGACGATTTGAATCCCCTCAAGGTGTTGAATCTGTTCAAGAAGGTCTCGCCGGCAGATTGTGAGCTGCTGGGTATGGATCCAGGTCAAGGGCGGCCTGAAATGTTCCTGTGGCAGTACATGCCCGCGCCGCCAGTTTGCATTCGACCCTCAGTTAGTCAGGAGGATGCGAGTAACGAAGACGACTTGACGGTTAAACTTGCCCAGATCACAGAAACCAGCGCCCTTATCCGGGCGGGTCTATTAAAGGGAATACCGATACAAACGCTTATGGAACAGTGGGAATGGATGCAGTTACAAATTGCGCAATACGTCAACAGCGATCTACCCGGTGTACAGTTGCAAGGAACGAAACCGATCCGAGGTATCTGCCAGCGGTTGAAGGGTAAACAGGGTCGATTCAGAGGAAATTTGTCGGGAAAGCGTGTGGATTTCTCAGGTCGTACTGTCATTTCTCCGGATCCAAATCTGAGTATTGAACAGGTTGCTGTTCCTATGCTCGTTGCGAAGAATCTGACGTACCCAGAGCGGGTTACGGATTACAATCGGGGAAAGCTACAGGAACTTGTGAGGAATGGAGTTGATAAATATCCTGGTGCGAACTTTGTTGTCAAGAAAGATCTGCAGTATAAAACGTATGTACTGTCCTATTTCATATCATTATCGGATTTAACTAATGCCTTAATAGGTGGCTCAAGTTCGGCAATCGTGACAAGACTGCACAAGAACTTGCAATTGGCGACATAGTTGAACGTCACTTGGAAGACGGCGACGTAGTCCTCTTCAACCGACAACCTTCCCTGCACAAACTCTCTATTCTTAGTCATTATGTCAAAGTACGGCCTTGGAAGACTTTTCGGTTGAACGAATGTGTTTGCAATCCTTACAATGCCGATTTCGACGGTGACGAAATGAACTTGCATGTTCCACAGACTGAAGAAGCAAGAACAGAAGCTATCAATTTGATGGGTGTCAAGAACAATTTGTGTACACCCCGTAACGGCGAACCGATTATTGCTGCTATCCAGGATTTCATTACCGCTGCCTACCTACTATCCAACAAGGACAACTTCTTTGACAGGAAATCATTCGCAACACTGTGCATGTTCATGGTTAATGGCAATGAACAAATTGACCTTCCACCGCCTGCTGTTATCAAGCCGGAGGCTATGTGGACCGGAAAACAGCTGTTCAGCGTTTTGATTAAGCCGAATAAGAAGAGCAAGGTTGTGTTGAATTTGGACGCGAAGTGTCGTGACTTCAAGGCTGTGCCGGGGATGGCGCCCGATTTATGTCCGAATGATGGATGGTTGGTTATTAGAGGGTCCGAAGTTATGTGTGGTTTAATGGATAAATCTACCGTTGGGTCCGGAAAGAAGAGCTCGGTCTTCTACGTTATTCTCAGAGATTATGGGGCGGACGAGGCAGTTGCTGCCATGAACAGATTGGCAAAACTCTGTGCTCGATGGCTTGGAAATCGTGGGTTCTCGATCGGTATCAATGATGTTTCTCCCGGACAAAAACTGCAGGATTTGAAGCAAATGCACGTTATGGCGGCGTATAAGGAGTGCGACAATCTCATTGATGATTTCAGACTCGGACGGTTAGAAAAGGCCGCCGGTTGCGACGAGGAAACGACGCTTGAAAACAAAATCTCCGGCGTGCTCAGCAAGGTCCGTGACAAGGTCGGAGATATTTGTATGAGCGAACTGAGCAGGATGAATTCACCGCTTATCATGGCCAACTCCGGATCCAAAGGTTCTAAAATTAACGTCTCGCAGATGGTGGCCTGTGTCGGACAGCAGATTATTAGCGGAAAGCGTGTGCCCAACGGTTTCCAAGACCGATCTTTACCACATTTCCAAAAGAACTCTAAGGAGCCGCCGTCGAAGGGTTTCGTGAGAAACAGTTTCTTTTCCGGGTTAACGCCTACGGAGTTTTTGTTCCACGCTATCTCTGGTCGTGAAGGTTTGGTTGATACGGCTGTCAAGACTGCCGAGACGGGTTATATGTCTCGACGTTTGATGAAGAGTTTGGAAGATTTGAGTGCGCAGTACGATCATACTGTCAGGAATTCGAGCGCAGGTGTGGTCCAGTTTCAATACGGAGGAGATAACCTGGATCCCGTGGATATGGAGGGTGATGCGAAACCTGTCAACTTGGTCAGAACGTATAACCATGCTGAAAATTTGACATGGGATAACAACGATCCTAGCCTGCTGCCGTACGAGATTATAGCAATGTGCAGGGAACTCTTGGATTTCGATGAGCTTGAGGCTATGTTGGCAAGGTTGGGACCTACAGATGAGATCGACAGTAAAGTTGCCTTCAGGCAATCGCTGTACCATTTTGTGAAGGAGAGGGCGGTGGAGTGTGCAAGGATCCGCGAGAGGGTTGGATTGATGGCATGCTTGGAACCGGTGGATAGTGATGAATATGATATGGGGTATATCGATAGTTTGAATGGTAGGTGTTCCATAGTCTCCGTTGCTATGAAGCTTTTGAGAAACTAATAGGTGTGTATAGCTACGGCGAAAGCAATTGTCGATCGTGTCCACAAGATTTCTGCGCGAACGCTCCGCGAGTTTATATCGCAATGTATGACGAAGTACTCACGTTCCAAAGTAGAACCTGGTACTGCCGTCGGCGCAGTTGGAGCCCAGTCTATCGGTGAACCGGGAACCCAGATGACGTTGAAAACTTTCCATTTCGCAGGTGTCGCTTCCATGAACGTTACTTTGGGTGTACCCCGTATCAAGGAAATTATCAATGCCTCGAAATCTATCAGTACGCCGATTATTAAATGCGAGTTGGTGAATAAATCGGATATTCGCAGTGCGAGATACGTCAAGGGAAGAATTGAGAAGACATATTTGGAGGATATCATCTTTTATATTGAAGATGTTTGTTCACCGGATGACAGTTACATCTCTATTAAGATTGATGAGGCAACGATCGATAAACTGGGACTGGAGTTGACGATTGAAGATATTATGACGGCAATAACGAGGGCTCCCAAGTTGAAGATCGATAAGAGCCAGTTGAAGGTTACCGGGTCGAGGATAAGAATTTATGTTTATGAGCTGTCGGAGAGGGAGATGAAGAGGAGTAAAGAGGATTTGAGCGTTCATCAACGGATACAAGCTTTGAAACGGGTTTTACCACGAGTGGTGGTTAAAGGGTACCCCGAGGCTACTAGAGCCGTTATTTCGACTGATGAATCTAGCGGGAATAATACACTTTGTGTGGAAGGTTACGGATTACGACAATGCATGAATACGGATGGTGTAGTCGGCACGAAGACCAAAACGAACAGTGTCATGGAAATGAGAACCGTTCTAGGAATCGAAGCCGCGAGGTTTACGATCATTGACGAAATTAGTTTTACAATGAGAGAACACGGTATGGACGTCGATCCGCGACACATTCAACTCCTTGGGGATGTGATGACATACAAAGGAGAAGTTCTTGGAATCACAAGATTCGGTCTTGCGAAGATGAGAGATTCGGTTTTACAACTGGCTAGTTTTGAAAAGACTACGGATCATTTGTTCGATGCTGCTTTTCATACTAAGAAGGATAAGATCGAAGGTGTTAGTGAGTGTATTATTCTGGGACAGAGTATGGGGATCGGAACCGGTGCCTTTCAGGTGGTTAGACGGTTGGGGATGGATGCGGCGGATTTGAAACCTAAACGGTGTTTGTTCGAGGAAGGGTTCAGGAGGGGGGTTAGGATGAGGGTTGGGGCTACTTAGTTGCATGTGTATATACCATATACTAAGTACTAATTACTAAGGATTATCAAAGATTTATCGATCCTAGTTGTGAAATGGCTTGTAGGATCACAGCTGAAGGAAGGTATTAATATAGTCATCCTCATTCTCAATATTATAAGCTTCAAGTCAAATTATGGACAGGTCTTGATCGATTGTGAAGAAGAGGAGATAGATCATGTAAAACGGTATTTTAATTCATCACCTCCCAAAAAATACCAAATCGACATCGAAATTTGGTAGGCGGTAGAAATAAATACATATATCCCCCACTAATATGAAAAATAGGTAAAAAGAAAAGACGACCCCGCGCGCTGTTGACAAAAAATGCGAAATAAACATAGAAGGTAAGGTAATGTGGGGGGGGTAAAAAAGTAAAATACACAAAACGATCGCTCCCTAAAAAATAATCTCCCCTGTGCAAAATAGCTAGCCTGTTAAAAAAGGGTGGCGAAAAAGTGAGGGGGGAGAAGGAAGAGGATTCTCAAGGAAATAGAGATGTACATGAAAGTAGTCGCATGCTAGGTAAAATCGTGAAACAAAAAAAAAAAAGTACCGTATCGTCCAGTTCCCACCGAAAATCCCATTACCAGATGATATACCATATCCGTTACCGCACCTCAATTCTCCACGCGAAAAGAAGATTCCCAAAGAAACCTGCAAAAGCATGCATAAAAACAAGGGGGATATATCCAAACCATCCAAAATAAATGTATCCATCATTTCCAAAATGTGCCAAAGGAGTATATTGTATACTGATACTCTGCAAGTATTGTACCAAAGGGACTTGCTCTGTTTTCCCTATTTTTTGTAAGAGAGGAGAAAAATTAAGCCCATGTTCCCGTTCTCGGCCTCCTCGACGACGTTCCAATACTGATACTGCTCAACTCTTGGCTTAAACTCCACTGCTCCTGCGTCATGCTACCTGGGTTAGGTTGCTGTGGAGCTCTCATAGGTGGCGCTGCCCCTCCTCCACCATACCCCTGCTGCTGTTGCTGCTGGTGGTAATAGTCGTCAGGACCCATGATAGCGTTCCTCATTACTGGCGCACCAGGAAGCGGTCTATGGCCGCCACCACCACCATGTGGAGGAGGTGTGGCAGCGTATCCGTACCCAGAAGAAGGCGTGGAAGCCCCGTTCGACCTCATAAACCCTCTTCCTGGAGAGGAGCCATAAATATCAGAAGGAGGCGGGGCTGGGCTAACACTCTGCCTCCTCGGTCTGAAGCTTAATGGTTGTGTATCGCCTCTCCCTCGGTCATCCCCACCTTCAGGCCCTGGTGTCGTTGCACCACCGCTGCCACCGTTGTTTCCCGCGTTAAAACTATTCCGCCGAAGGGGTTCCGGCGCAAATGTATCAGGTGCTAGAATGTCATCCGCCTCAAGTTCTCTGTTCGCCGAATTTGGTGCAACAACCTTCTTTCTTGCCTTCTTCGCTGCTTTTTTCTCTTCCTCCCTGAGCTTTTTCTCCTCCTTCGCTGTCATATACTGACCTGGTGACATCGCCACAGCCCCTGGGCTCCGCGCTAATGGCATGGTTGAGATGTTACCACTTGGGGATCGATTACCTGGTGAGCTACCGAGGCCGACAGGATTGATGACGTCGTAGTCATCTGGTGAGAACGGCATACCTCCCAGGGTCATTCGTCGGTGTTCCGGCCTGGTCGATGGCTGTCTTTCAGGCTCTGGCGTTCTTCGGGGTGGAAGGTCCGAATTCCTTCGAGCGGGTGGCATGGGACTAACTGCTCTGTTCCCCTCGGCGCCGTAATTCGGATATGGTGATGGATTTCTCGACGGTGATCTCTTGGCATATTCATGCGAGGAAGGGTGTGGGGAAGCGGACGAGGTCATGTATTCACGCGATTGGGGTTCATCAACGTAGCTAGTGCTCGCAGACTGATAATTAGAATCTGCGCACCGGTCAGTTTCGTCAATCTCATCTTCAATATATGGTTGTCTAGACTTGGAATCTCTAGCCCCAGCAGCAGCGTCGGGAGAAGATAAACAAACAGGGGTGGGGTTGCTGCTGCTGTTGCTAGATTTTCCATCGCCCTTTGACGTTTGCGCACCTAGGATACCATTGATATTATTTTGTGATTGCATATGAGCGTAATCGTATGCGCTGCTTCGATTACTGCGGTTTTCACTCGGGTTTTCGCTCGGGTCATGTTTATACACGAGGTTTTGAGACATACGATGGGACGCCGAGGGAAGGGGCGGGGGTCCACCTCGGCTGCTAACAATTTCTTGGGAGTAATTATTCATAGAGGGAGGCGGGGGCATAGGCGAAACGCTTCTTCGTCGGTTACTCGCATCTATCTGCTGTGAACTTTGTTGCATCAGTGGTTGAGACGAGCCTATACTGTTATCGGCAGCACGATACTGGGATAAAGACTCCGGCAGTTGTGTAAAAGTTAGCTGATGAAATTCATCAACTGGTGAGTCTGGACCGTAGCCCGGGGTCAAAGCTAGCGGGTGTGGACTAGGCGAGCGGCTCAATCCCCTTCCAGGAGGTGCATTGGTGGATATAGGGGCAACATTGGGGCGGCCACGATGGACTGGTTGAGCACCGGAATGGGATGGCAACGGCGGCGGGCCACCCCCAGCTCCAGCAAGGACCAAAGCCGTAGTAGGGTCAAATGCGTGCTCAGGGTTCTGTGGCATATTTACTCTTTTGTTATAGTCCGTGTAGGAAGTATACGCAGTGGGCCCGGACGGGGCTTTATAGCCTGATGAATAACCCTGATGAGTATTGTAGCTGTTTTGATCGTAGTTCTGCTGAGACCCAGGCGCTTGGTTAAATCCACTGCCATCAGTAATAGCAGCATAAGGTGGTGGTTCGCTATTCCCTCTTATGCGTGACTGCATCGACGGATCTTGAATAGAATGCTGAATTGACTGTTGAGCAGGTTGCTGGAGGTGCATCGGCTGTGGAGAAGGTGCAGGCTTAAACTGTGAGCCGGCGTGGGTAGGTAGTGGTGGTGGAGGCGCGTACCCCCTGAGCGACTGGAGCTGGAAGTTTTGCTCATACGAATCAATAGGCTGTTGTGGTGGAATGTTCTGCTGAAGAGGTGGCAGGGGTTGAGAAATAGGAGCTGGAGGATTGCTAGTTGGTACGCTGGCGGGCATACTCATACGTGGTTGTGGAACTCTATGTGAAGGCAGAGGGGGGGGCGGTGCAGCATTACTGTGAGCCAACGCGAGACTAGAGGAGTTGGCGTAGTCATCCTGCGGGTTTGGTGTGGTTCGATATGCTGCAGCTTGGCCATGTTGAGGAAGAGGAGGAGGTGCGTATTCAGACGCCCTAACCAATTGAGATTGATACAATTGCTCGGCGTATGGGTCTTGGTAGGTTTGTTGATATGTATGAGATTGATATTGTAGAGGCTGCTGTGGCAGTTGTTGCAGTGGCTGCTGCAAAGGCGGCTTCGGCTGGGGAATAGAAGAAACCGGAGGCTGATCGAACCCTTGGTTGGCGTATGACGGTTGCTCCTGGTATTGTTGGAGTGTCTGCTGGAGTGGTTGCTGAAGTGGCTGGTCATACCCATGGTGCCGAGGTGGGGTTGGTGCAAAGTTGGATACTGAAGCTAGCTGATTGTTGTAAGAACCTCCGGTTTGGTACATATCGGAGCCACTTTTAGGATAGAACTCGCTGCGTGACTTCCTATGGTGGAGACCTTGAGGAAGCGGCGGTGGAGGTTGAGAAGAAGCGGGGACCACAGCTCTACGAGTATCAGCGAATTCGACATGTCGGTGCTGAGGTATCACGGGTGGACCATTCTGATTTGCCAATACCATCGCATTCACATTGTGGCCGGGGTGCTGGTCGTAAATATCATTTTGATAGCCAGCGTAAGCTGCAGGATTTGGGGAATGTCGCTGGTGAGGAACTAGCTGGGTCTGTTCGACGTATTGGGCCTGAAGTTTGCCAATGTGTTCACTCTGGAAGTCTTGAAGAGTGGCGACTTGACTAGGTTGGTTGTATCCACCATATTGATCCTGCTCATACGACATACCGTGCTGCGGCTGCGAGGGTGGGTGCTGTGGTTGATGTTGTCTGTATGGGTCGTGGTCATACATGTCTGGTGGTGGTCTCGACTTCTCGCGCCTCCTCTCACGTTCTCGCTCCCTTTCACCGTCCCGCTCGCCATCCCGCTCGCGGTGATGCCGTGATTTCTCCCTTTTATTCTCACGATGTCTTCTATCTTCTCTCTGACGTTCTCTTGGCTCTCTATCTCGACGGTCCCTATCCTTTCTATGTTGAGCAGCTGGGGGCTCGGGCGGTTCTTCCTCTTCAGAGCTGCTCGGCACCAATTCCTCCTTTGATGGCTTAGGATTGGGTCGTTCCGGCAATTCTCGATTTCTAGCAGGCACACCCGGTCTTCGCGGTCCAGCTAACGGCTTTTCGGGACGTTTCAAGTAGTCTTCTTTCTCAAACGCTGTAACTTGTCGAGTATTAACTTGCAATGGTGCAGTCTCCCGGGGTCTCTCGTCCCAGAATGTCAATTCAACTCGTATATCGCCTGCATATCTTCCGCGGCATTTACACTGATGCCAGCCATCGGATTGGCCGCCACCAGAGGTGTCGAGAATATTATCAAGGCTTACGATGCATTCGCCTATGAGTTCGGTTTTTTTATCGTCAGTGAAGATTACTATCTTCAGTTGTCGGTAATCAGCAGAGTCGTGGACAGGAAAACGAAGTTCGGCATCCCTATAAAATGGTTAAAACCTAGTTTATAGTTGAGAAAATGGTTAGATATGATACCATTTAGGAGTCTGGCCTCCTCTTTTATCTGGCTCAGTTCGTTTGACATGCTTCCCAAGACGGATAACGCAGTAAGGATCTTGCTTGCCGATTGATTTGAGATTCGGGAGATTTTTCTATCAATTGTCAGTTTCGACTACCTATCAAAAAGAAGAAGAAGAACTTACAGCTTTATCGACTACAGCGACCAAGGTACCGATTAAAGGGCCATCGGTGGCCATATCTGCGAAAATACCGGCAGGGTGCTTTTGGTCAGTGCCTTTTGGGGGAGGCTTGGAGGGCGCACTCGCGACCGGCCTCTCACCCCTACGCTTGATTGGTTCAGCCATGGCCTAGAATAGTGCTCGTACTCTGGTACTATGGAATGTCGGTGTGGTAGATTCTAAAGTATATCAATTTGTTCGAGATAGATTTGATATGGTAGGTGGAAGATTGAAAATCGAATCATAGAGTCGCGGACCGCATCAGACGATATAAGTGACTGTGAGGGCGGAAATACTCAAGCTTCCGTCGGCATTTGGCTCGAGATTGAATATCCTAGGCCGACGGAGTGTTGGAGAACCCGAAATGAGGAAAGGATGAAACTAGCACCGTCAAGTCTGAAGATACGGCGGAAGGATGGAAGGAAGAGGAGCCGACGGATTATGAAGCAGAGAAAGAATAGAAGGGAAAGAAAGAACAGAGTCCACTGTCAACAAAGAAAATGGAAATCCGAGTTTAGGCAGCGGGTGAATGCAGATGATGGCGATAGGGTAATAACAATAATGACTGTGATAAGATTACTTAATTAAAGGGCAGGCATGGGAATGATACTCGTGAGATGTGAAAAGAGGTCGTGAAGTTGGTAAACAATGGATTCAATGCAGATGTAGATGTTTCTTTGGTGGAAGTGGAAGTGGAGCACGGGAAGTCGTCAGATGCAGGGGTTGAAGCCCGTTGCTATGGAGTGCTACAGCCGCTGATTGGATAACCCCGGTCAGCCACACCAAACCACCCCCGGCATAGCAACCATGTTGATCAGGATGGTCTCTCTTATCTAATCTGATCTGATCTGATCTGATCTGAGTTTTGTGTCACCAAGCATCATGTCACTTTCCACAAGATGACACCAAAATCCCCAGATTCACTAAATATAAATATGGTGTCTTACGACACATTTACCCTCCTTATACTTACTCACACCCCGCAACCACAGCTATCTATCTTGTTTTTAAGCTACTTTAGTCATAATTTGTATATCAAGAACGGTATGTAATGAAAAGGGTAAGTTTGTGGGGGTTAGCTAATCCTTAAATAGCAAGTTTGTTGACAAAACTTTAAAATGAAAAGGTTGAGATATAAAATGATTAATATAATATTACCTAGAAAAAGAGTTCTACCAGATCTAGCTAGAGAGTCCAATATCTCACTAGTTAATTATATGTAGTTTATTACAAAAACTAGTTCGACCAAGCTCTAGATAGAAACTTAGACGATACTACTTCGTAGTAGCATTAATTGTGGTTGACGAGATAGTCCCAGGTTTCTTTTTGAACTTTGGTGTTGGAATGTTGGCAATAAGAAGTCGAGATAAATAAGAAGGGGCCTCAACATTCAGGCTAGGGCTAGAGTATATTATACGTGGAGCATGCACATGCACAGTCTTACACTGAAACGCTTCGGTACGACTCTCGAGACTACGGGACGCCTTGAGTCTGGTGCATGGACATATATTTTGAAAAACACATTGCTGCAGCGTTAACTTCAGTGTGTGTATTATACCTGGTCTCGTTGATTATACCCCACATCTCTAACCATATCCTGCGTAGGATAGCTATGTGACCAATGTACAGGCATAACTGGCGCCTGCTGCCCGCCTCGGGCAAATAAAACCATCCGCCAAGCGAGACTGCAGAAACACGACATGTACATATGCGCCATCATGCAATCATGATCCTACAGACCCGAGTGGAGTGGCTAGCGCAGGCTTTTTTAAAATTTTGTTTTCAAAACAACGTTGCAACGGAAATGCAATGCCCATGCATCTGAGTTGTAAAAGTTAACGGCCAGCAGACAACCAAGGATGCCACAAGAGAAAAAAGGGAAGATCTAGAGAAGAAGATGAAGTAATATGTTTTATCAATGACCCGAGCTCATGTACCGGCTTAACCCAATTATAAGAGATTTAATGCATATATTACCTGAGTGGCCTGCAAACACATATATAAACATAGTCTCCCGTCGCTCGTAGTCCGACAAGTAGATTGTATCCGCACTCCAATTGCAACCGCTTCAATTATCCCTAGGAATCAAAAAATACAGAAGTCCAAAATCGTGGAAATATTAATAGCCTTTAAATAACGGTGGTCTGTGGAATCAACAGCCGGCTTCCTCCAGCCGGTAGCTACTAGCATGGTACTAGTCATTTGTTTGGTTGTGGTCCTTGCATGTACTCCTTCGAGCGCGGCTTTCGAATGGAACGACTTTACCAACAACCTTGCGACCGACCTTGTAAGTTCCGCTCAAGAAATCTACAATAAGCCTTTTTTCGCCCATTGTTCTGACTACAAACGTTTGCACGAAGGCTCCCCTTATCACGTTGTTTGGTGAGCAGGTGACGAAGCAGTTCTTAAGCGAATCTTTAAGCACATGGGACAGCATCATCTTTGCTATGGCTCCACTTGGAATTCTCACAGCTATCGTTTCTGTTATCCGAATTTGCGGAAATGCCTCTTTAAGGGCATTTATTGGGCGAGCACAGGAAAGTCCTGGGACTGCAGAAGTTGAATTGCTATCCTGTACTTCGGAAACAACTTCTGAGTTATGGCACGAAAATGGAATTGCTCGTGTGTTTGGAGCACCTCAGATCCTTCAGGTAGTGAAAGTCAAGAGCGATGATAGTTTTTACGAAGACTCAGACAAAACGGCTGGGATATTTCTCTTCGATGATGCATGCTACAACTGGGCATATAAGCACAAAACGTTACCTGCCGACCGTACCGCAGAAATAGACCCTGCATGCGCAATTGGCCATAGTGTAACTTCAAATGAACCATGTCCTAGACCCCATCGCCCTTGGAGAATCACAAGAGGCATGCCTGGTCTTCAGGATTTAAACCAACGCCCCAATCTTTCTCTTAACATTGGGATGAAAAGACAACCTAAGAAATTTACGTATGCGGCCGCTGCTTTCGGCGTCATCCTACAGGGTGGTAAGTGAATTCGAAAAGAATCCTAGCCTGCTATTTACGAACCTAACAGCCGCAATTATGTACAATGCATTTAACTTCCATTTACCAAATTTAGGAGTCTTGGTGTTTGCAGGTGTTATAACTTATCAATTTCCCGACCAGTTCCTCAACGATGGAAAACCGGTGGAACAATATGCTTTCCCGTTGACTCTCTTTGGTACTATATTGACATGTTTCGGCATGTTTCTTTGTGGCTACATTATCGAAAGGGCCACAAACGAGACCTACTACGAACAACGAGGTAATGAGACAGAGAGAGCACAGATGTACTGGGTCCAACCTGGCGGTCAAAAAATTGGTGATCAAGTCTTCGGGTCTTTTATCGGCCATAGCAATGACCACACATATATCAGGTCATCGAGATCGAAAGCCGCATTCCACAGCAGGTTCGACGGGGCTTTATGGATCGCGGTTATCACCACAATCTTTGGCTTCGTTACACAGTTTGTTGGACTGAGGGGAATTCATTCATCTGTCATCATGGCTCAATTAGCCGCCACTCTTATCATGGCGATTATACGGGCGGGCCTTAGATCTCAGCGCATGACGAAAGAAACCGACCTTGTCAAGAAATATAACCAGGAGAGATACCGACATATTTTACCTGGTCATGAGCTAGATTTTCTTGCCACGAAGCTTGAAGATATTGGGACGTTATTCGTCAGTCCAATGCAAGATCTGCAAGAAGGGGTGCCACCAGGTATGCATTTATTCAGAATCTCTTACAGCTGCACAGTCTCTCCACTCGCTCGCACTTCTTCATCCCCCCCTTACCTGCTAGGCACCTAGAGCTAACATGCACTTTATGGATTGAAAGCACTAGGAACATCTCCATCTCAAACATCTAGCGTCACGTCTTCTCAAACTCTTGGAAATGGCGTAAGAGCACTAAAAGCAAGGGCGCGGCTCGCTCGGTTGACCAGCGACGAAGAGTATGGGGTTTCTTGGAAAGATCTCCGAGTTCGAGAAGTAGCAATACAGTTACAGTCGGCCATCGAAGGCGTTATGGAGACCCTGTCTGTAAAATTAAGGGACCCGAACGTGCGGAATCATCAGTGGCGATTAGAAATTCTGTCTACGCCAGAAGCCTCAATAGAAACGATTCCTGAAACGTTCTCCCTCCAACTCCGCAAAGAAGGTGTAGCATGGAGAATAGACTGCTCAGAGCTTGAAGCAATCTTGGGAATATGGGAATGGTCGCTCTTTCGCTACAATGCCGGTAGGGCGAATGGTGGCGATATGCGAAAAACCCAAACCATCCGCCTAATTGCAGCAGTTCCGAATGCCCGTCTAGGCGAAGCCAAAACGTGGTATCAAGTCTGGATTCAAAGAAGACTGACGCTAGAACAAGAGGGTTAATATAGCATAGATCGAAACAAGCCGATTTGGACGCTCCCTATCCGTAACCTCCCGCTTTTCGGCTGCCAGGCCGCTCGAGATGTTACAGATACAACCCAGCCGACATTCGTCTACACTAAAAACTCGCCGTTAACCATGTGCGCCCAAGATGTTTTCATATCGTTTTTGGGAAACGTTCTTCGAGAAATCGATGAAATCGGTGGGAAAACAGAGACACGTACCCCAGTCGATTCACAGAATGTTTTCTTGCTACGAAATAGCCAGATAGAAGCAATGGCAGACCACTTCGAGAACAGTGGATTAGGGTCGCGGGAAGACGCCTATATGTGCATTATTCCGATGTTGGTACGAGAATCGAAGTTACCCGGATCCGAGGATGTCTTGACCGCAGTTCAGGATCAGGTTGCTGTTTATAAAGATGACGGCAAATGGGAGGACGCTGAACAACTACTCCGATGGATGTGCGATAACTCGGACGCGGCTCAAATGGTTAAGGCATATAATATGCTTGGAGAGCTATACCACTCGGCAATGCTACATTATGAGCAGAGTATTCAAACAATTGGGTTTGACGGGGTTTGCAAACTGCTGAAGTGGGTCTCAGAGCTACAAAACCAAAATTCAAGTGTATCGACGCTCGTTCATCAGTACGGCTGGATCGGATTGCGCATAGCCATAAAAGCCCAAGACGACCTGCAAAAGAGCAAGTTGAAATTAAGTGGAGCAAAAGAGGATTTGGTACCGGACTACACAGACGATTCATACCTATGGGAGTGGGTCAAAAAAGAGAACACGGCGGTGGTGAAACACCTCGTTATAAAACTACAATCTGACAACGTAAATGGGGAAAAGGATAAGGGTGGTCGAAATGCATTGTCCTGGGCCGCACAAAATGGAAATTTCGATATGACGGCAACCCTTCTCGAAAAAAACGCAGACAAAAATCTTTATGACGATAACAATCGGACGCCTTTATCCTACGCTGCCGAAAATGGACACCATTCAATCGTTGAGATCTTGTCAAAGGAGGGCTTAGACTCCATCAATCTGGGTGCAAAACACACCGACGAAACGGCGTTGATGTTAGCAGCACAGAATGGCCATGAGACCATAGTGAAGCTTCTGCTGAAGGTACCTTATATCAGAATAGATGTCCGTGATCAAAATGGGGATACTGCCTTCTTGCGTGCGATAAGGGGAACCCACCAAAGGACAGCACTACTACTAATAGATAAAGGAGCAGATGTTAATGCGGTAAATAAGAAGTACGAAACAGCACTTCAAATAGCAGTTAAGAACCAGAACCCGAACCTAGTAGAACTATTATTACGAAAAGGGGCGGACGTGAATATGAAAGCAGACCGGGGTTGGACAGCACTCAAGGAGGCAATAAAGCAAGGACACCTGGAGATAGTACAAATATTGATAAGTAGCGGGGCGGACACTGAAGAAGCGGTCGAGGACGCAGTAGAAACGGGACAACGAGAGATGGTAAAACTACTAATCGAAAATAACGCAGATGTCAATGAAAATTATGGGGCAGCGCTTGGACATGCAGTCGAGATGCAATACCGAGACATAGTAGAATTGTTGCTTCAAAATAACGTAGATATTAATGCTAATGATAGGGACGCACTTCATATGGCGGCCTCGAGGGGATACCGCGAGATAATCGAGTTGTTGATTCAATATAATGCAGACATCGAAGGGGATGATGGCAGAACGCTCCAATTTGCGGCTCGGAGCGGACGTCGCGAGATAGTAGAGTTGCTGATTCAAAATGGCGCAGATGTCAATGAGAATCACGCGGGAGCGCTCCATTCTGCGATCGAAAGGGGGCATCACGAGATAGTAGAGATTTTAATTCAAAACGGCGCGGATGTTAATGCGAACAATGGGCAAATACTCCAACGGGCAGTTTGGGAAGAACATCGCGAGATAGTAAAGCTTTTGATTCAAAACGATGCAGATGTTAATGCGGAAAATGGGAAAGCGCTTCAATATGCGGTTGAGAAGGGAAACCGCGAGATAGTAGGGTTTTTAATTCAGAATGGCGCGGATGTTAATGCGGATAACGGGAAAGCGCTTCAAATTGCGGAGTGGAAGGGACATCACGAGATAGTAAAGTTGTTGACTGAATTAAAGAATGCGCAGGCTAGTGTGCAGAATAGTGGTGGTGAAACGGAACCCATGTTGTCTTAGAAGAAGGGAGTAACTCGATGCCAGGCGCCGATATCCGGTAAAGAGAGTACTCGAGTATATATCCGCGATGGGGATCTTAGTTCTGTTGAACAGCTCATTTTTGCTTGTATATAAATCATACAGTCGACTTGTCCATTTGTTCTAAGAGCAAGTCTTGCACTTAATTATTCGCGAAATTCGTCGGTATGTATGAAAGGTAGGTAGCTTCAACCATTTAGATCTGAGAGTAGCGGAGAATGTCTTCTTCGTGCAATGATATATATCTTGTCTATATTTGAGTAACATGCAGCATATAATATTTGTGTTTCGAGTGTGGTATTTTGGGCGGATCGTGTTGCACAGGACCTCGCACGAGGCCGATAACTTATCCGCACTGTACCTGTATACATGCACAGGGCATCGGAGCCAAGTCCAAGTCAATACATATAATATAATACATGAAATAGTCCAAGGCAGTAGAGACTGAAGATAGGAATGTTCTCATCAAACATCAAATCATCTATCTCTACATTTGTCAATACACCATGGCGAAAACTCCAAATAACGGCTAGCATTATCTTCCGGCGATATACTTGCTCCGAATGACGTCATTAGGGCGCTTTTGAGATGGGCTTTCTGCAGATCTGCGACTATTGGATCTCAACTTTCCTCGAGTCTAACTCTTGACCGTCCATTTCGATATTCTAGCTAGGGCCCGTGGATATATTCAATTGATTTCCATTTTCTTTGATATGCGCCTCTTGGGTCAGTAGATTCCCACCCGCACTTGTCTTCGGTAACCTCAAGGTGAGCACCGAGCTACGAGTATGAAGTCCAATATCGTTCTATATCCCATAATCTTGTTCGCAACGTCGGAGATCGTGAAGCTGTCATTTCGCATAATCCAAACATCACATCATAATTCGATTGCTGTAACAGGCAAGGGACTAACTTCCTTTCGGTGGGTTAGAAAGATCGACACCATGTCAAAAAGACGGAAGGGATATTTATATATCTAAATACGGTAACTTTAATTATAAACTGTCCTTTTAGCCGGATTACCCAGTTCGTCTCCATTACTCAGCGGCAAACCATGTCCTTTCTCCACGTCAAGCAAGCAGGTAACCTTTTAGCCAGCCCATGAACATGGCAAAAACCACCAGTTTACCGGCGCGCATTTTCTTGGCTTGCATGCAGCAATTCGAGCTCGTTTGCGGGCAACGGCAGGAGGCAGCAGCCAGCAGCCAGCAGCCAGCAGCAGCTGTCATGTCGAGTCAAAGAGCTAGGTACTGGGTTTGCCTAGCCAAAAAGAAACGACGGGCGGGAAATTCGAAACGTTCAAAACGAAAGAATACAAACCTGGCAAAGAATGATTGATTGTGCATGAACAGATCCTGAAGCAGTTTAAACTCAAAGGGAATATCTGTTCTGGGACATATCTCCTTTGACCGGCCTGACTAATAGGTACCCTACTCTGTAGTAGTACTAGTGAGAGTTACTCTCTTTATATATTTCTTATCGAAAAAGAAGCTCGTTCTTTCGGCTCTTCTCTCTTTCTTCTTTCCTTTTAAATGAAGTCCCCCTCTCCCGTGGCTGTAACGTTTTCTGTCCGTAATCATCATCCTGATATTCGCATCGTATTCATATCATTCCATAATCACTTTCCCGCCCAAAAAAACACCATATCCTTCCCTTAAAACCATATTTTTAGTTATAAAATAAATCGCCGTCGGTTTTAAGATATAAATTACACAAGAAAGATGGTCGTCTTTATTGACTTGGACGCCGACACCGTCGAGCGGGATTTTCCGGGCCATTCGCACTTCTACGATTTGACAATGCGCCGTCCCGAAGCCCCCCACCACAACTACAACAACGTCAGCCACCACCACCTCAACACATCGCCACCGCTGGTTGCGTCCGCCCGGTCAAAACGCCGCTCTGCTTCCACTCGTCGCAGTGGGGCATCGAATGATTCGGAGCGCCTCAACAAGCTTTTTCGGGTCATTGGGATTTATCCGTATGTCTAAAACTAATGGCTTTTATTTTATTGAAAATATGAAATAAAATAAAAATAAAAATAAAATATTTAAAATAGATGTCTAGATATTAATTCTGGGGATTCGAACTAGATGTATCCGTTCGATCGCCCAGCATCTAGACCGTACCGACTTGTACAACCTCTCTTCAACATGTCGGGATATGCACCAGTGCGTTCTCGAGAATCGAAAGCATTTACTGCCATTCACGCTTCGTTGTCAATATACGACTACTAGTCAGAGGTCTAAACGCATTTCGTCCATCCGAAGTCCCATTATTCGCACACAGTGTGCCACTGATTTGGTTAATATATGGTACATACTTCTCATACTTCCAATATTTTTCATAATTTTATGTAATACTAATATTTGGTATATAGCGACCGCTGCCGCCGACCTTCTTGCCGAGTAAGTTATATCTACTTATTAGAATAGATCGTATTTATCTAATAGGACTGACAATGCAACAGAACTGCAAAACACGGAATGCAAAACCCACCCACCAATCCTCAAAACGTGCAACCTGCACCGCCTGTTCTTCTATCTCTCTTCCATCCCTGATTGTTGACCCGACTGTAAAACCTTGCGACTGTAACTCAAAGGGCGAACCATGGGTCTGCACTTCTTGCGCCTCTATCGGCATGGAAAACTACCTTCTCAAGACTAACAAGAACGGACGAGGAACCGAAACTACAACAGTAGAATTGGAGTGCGGAAGAGGTACGAACTGTGTAGGCAAGGGATGGTACACTTGTGAGAACTTTTATAAGTATTTGGATAGCTTGGGGAAGGAAGAGACGTTTGTATGCTTTCCTACTCTGTTATTATTAACTCGGGGGGTTACTAATGAAGTATTATAGACTAAGAGAACCGCCAAAGTCCGCTACGCATGCCACTCCTGCAAGCAATACATGTTCTCCAAAGAAGAAGAACGGGAGTTCCTTGCCCTCCGAGCTTGAGATCCTTTCCTCGCTATCTTCAAACCCATTCGTCTTTCTTTATCTTTTCGTTGTCCCTTTTTCTTTCGGTCTTTTCGGGAATTCCTCGGTAGAGCATAAATGCATTAGAGGATTGTTAAACAGGTGTTAAACTCGGTGGTTCACTCTTTTTTCCTGCTGTCCATAACTATTTCATTTGTCAAACCCTCTCTCGTTTTTTTTTTTTTTTTTTGTTCACCAACGGTTGCGGTTATACCCATTTGCTTTCCTGATGATTCTAAACTAGCATGCTTTTTTATTCTCTTCCTATCGCCGGACGAAACGAAATACAATTCCATGCCCTCCCCTAAGCATTTCCTAATTTCAATTTAATCTATAAACAAATCTCCTTACTGCCTCCTCCAAACACTAACCATATCACTCCCCTCCCCACTCTCCAAATACCGTCTAGGAGTAACATACATCTCCCTCACAAACCCCACATTCTCCAACAAACCCTTATAAATCTCCTCCCTCAGCGGCCAGGGGGGTCCCGGCAACTCCAAATCCTTATACAACGGAAACTCCAAACAAACCAAAACCCCACCTTTCTTTACAAGCCCGGCCATCCTATCCGCCCATTTCTCACGTAACCCCTGCGAAGGATCCATGGCGCATAAAAATGTATAATCATAAACTACATCGAATTCCTCGGGAGTACCGGAATTCTCCCCACTCTGCCAGTTTTTAGTGAAGAAGTCCCCGGTAATGAAAGTATGTAACTCGGGGTTTAGACCGGAGGTTTTGGCGTTTTCGCGCGCGGCGGTAACGGCTGAGGAGGAGAGTTCTAGGCCGTAGGATTTTAGACCGTGGGAGGCGAAGAGGAGGACATCGTAGCCTCGACCGCAGCCGGGGACTAATGCTGTTAATTGTTGGGAGGAGGATGAGGGGGTTATGAGAGATGGGTGGTCGTTTAGGAGGTCGACGAGGGATGGGGAGGATTGGCCGCGGTCCCAGGGGAGGTAAGTGCCGTTATCCCAGAGGGCTTTCCAGAGGGATTGGTGGTCGCCGTTTGTGCTGTTGGTTATATTAGATTACATTAGTAGACGATTCATGATTATGATTTAATGAAAAGAATTATTAATTAGATATTTTTGGTGATACAATACTAATCTAGTATTGATTTTTTCTGGGGAGTTTTTTTTGTACAAGTATGGGGATTGTATACACAAGCTGCTGCAGGTTGCATATGCAGTGCGCATGTTGGAGGAGGGGGTAACATTGGCGGGGTTCATTATACGTACGCAGCGAATTGGGCTTGGAGTGTTGGAGCTTCTTGTTCCGACATTGCGACGGGCCAGCCAAAAAAAAAAGAATTTCGAAGTTTATGGTGTTACAAAATAATATAATATAATCCGGGGCAGAAGGTAGAAGAAAAATAAGTTGGAAGGGTGTGTTCCGACGAACCGATACCGATATTGCGGGGAATGGAATGAAGCTCTTTCGTTTGTTCGGAAGCTTAGCTTGGATCTCAACCTTTAAACTTACAATCACAGCTCAATCGAACCATCCGAAGTTCTAGATCCAGCCGGGTTTTTATACCCATCCTTCAAACTAATAATAGAAAAAGCTAGGATCTAGGATAACCGGCTCAGCCGGCGTCGAATAGTACCTTTTCTATGAAGTTATTGGTAAGCATATAGCAATATAGGCCCTTTTTGGGTTTTTTACTCTCGAGCTCTCGGAGTGTATTCGACGACTTTTTAGTCAGCTCTTTGGTAAGGTTTTGAGTTCTGGGCCTGCTCCGTTTCCGCGAAGCGAGATCTAAAAGTTGGATCGATGGATTTGGGCAACGCATTGAGAGGGGCAAAATACCACAATGTCTGGGATAGTATAGAACTAGTCTCGTTCCCAGGTATAGAACTAATTATAAGGATGGCAGATGGGGGGATAATACTTTCGAATTGATTACGGTTGACGTTACTTCTGATCTTAGCGTGTCAATTATAATGCGACTGAAATAAGTGGAAATTAGTCTCGTTCTTAGATGCCGAATAATATAATTCTTACCAACTTCATGGGTAGAATTAAAGGCGGGGAATGTTCAATTGTTTAGATAGGTGGTACAGGTACAAGCGATACATGCACAATTAATTGGCTAGTATACTAGTAGCGCTATAGCTAGGAGCCTAAATTCTGAAGGAACTACGTAACTTGCAGTTTTTTTTATTTTAAAGGTGCAACTAGCTGCATAAAAAAATCCGATAGATAACATTCCTAGACCAGGGCGCAAGCATATTATGTAATAGTCGATGTTCGTATCATGCACTGTCATGATGCATGATGCTCGAAGAAGTTAATACTTTCAGCGAACAGGCGTGTTCTGTGGAAAAGAGCGGGTAATCGAATCGAGCAGCCTTGACCCGTCCGATAATCCGGATCAATCCTGTTGGCTCCATCCCAACGGGGAAGCGAGTATGCACAGCTGCATGGCCGAAATCAAAAGAGAGAAAAAGGAATCTTAAAGACAGAAAAAGCAAACCCATCCGTCCATGCATATTTCATAAACATAACTTGGCTAGGAGCCTAAAGTTTTTCATCCCATATTCCGGAATAATTCTCCAAGGACTAGACACCGGATAAACCGAGCTCTGGTATAGAGCTAGTTGTGGATCTAAACCTAAGCCTTGCCTTCGCTCGGCTCTGCATGTAGATGATCAATAAACTCGGGTTGATCCGAAGGTACACAAAAGAAGGTCAGGGGCTCCCCTGCAGACCTAGAGATCTTCAGCCTTGATCAGTGGCCACATCTTTCCCTAGATCCACTTCGGCAGGCTGGCATTATTGATTACATAATACATCAAGCAGGATGGTCATGTTGGGTGAATAGTCCCATGGTTACAGTCCCAACCGACATCCGTTGGATAAGCCCGTGAACCCGATACTAGGCTGGAATTTCCAACATTGGATTTTTCTTCTTCGGCGATATCATGATCATATGAATACCAATTCCTAAATAAACTCCGTATCGTCGATAAGATTCATATTAGGCCTCGATTTTGAATCTAAGCCATAAGTAGGTAAATCACCGACCCAATCACTATTATCGGCGGAGTTTACCCATAGAATTACATAGACAACTCTCTACTATGATAGTAGAGATAGAACAATACACACGATGGTACTTGTCGAATAAGGTTTAACCTCAGGGGAACGAAAAATATGGGAAATTAATTTCACAGATGGAATTGGGAAAAAGAAGCTTTTTGAGAAGCATAGCACATGAATTTAGTATTTCGAATCCTCTGGGGTGTATCATGTGATCGATAACTTTGAACATTCGTATGTATTAGTATATACTCTCAGTTAGCATATTGCCACTTGAAAGGTACGGGTATACGGCCACCATCACTAACCTCAAGCTTGTGTAAACTCCGCTTTGAGTCAGTTCCAATATGTACAGTCGGAACTCCGCGCTGTTGTATTCTACTCCAGATTATCTTTACCAAGTTGGGTCAATTGATCATCCAGGGCTTCATTTGCTCCAGCTAGATGGTAGATCAAATCCAGAATGAACACAAGACGTTCGTTGTCTTTGTACCACCTAGATTTGGCTAACCAGGTCTCAAGAAGAAATCAGCGGGTACCGCACTTTTAGTCTTTCAAAAAAAGTATTCTAAAATAGTCTGAGGTCCCCACACTGCGGTACCGAATCGGGTTCACAGATACCATTAAGCTTGTTAACGTCGTACAAACGCATACCTTCTAGCTTAAGATCTTCCCCCTCTACTAGATTGAGAAGTCGCTTGGCTTGGTTTGTTGGGTTGGATTATCGATTATCTAGACCCAGGCCTGGATAGATCTCTCCATCTGGAAGGGAAGCTCATCTGGGTACGTACCACAGTTCTACAAAAGGCTCCAAGACCGCAATTTTAATTTCTCCCCAACGTTAATCATAGTGTACTGATGCAACTGATCACATCCTCCCTGCCTCCCGCCTGCAGATGCATGCAGGCTGTCAAATTTCCAATAGCCTCCCCCTCTTTCGTCTGATATACCTCTTACCCAATAGACGGGTCGATTTTGACCTTCAAGAATAGTATCAATATCAATTGATCGTTGCATACATGTATGTATGCATGATGTGCATTGTAAAATTAACCAGCAGGAGGAAGACCCCATGCCAGATATTCGGACCAGTCCAGATCACGCCTATCTTCTACCATCCTTAGAAGGGTATTTACCTTACACACATTTATCGTCATACCTAATCGCATTAATCGTCCTTACAGCTATAACTCCCAATCTAACACGAAAAATATACCACACACCAACACATCATGATCACAAGTTCATCCAACTAAACACCCCGATCCCGTCATGACGTCCACACCTTCCAAACGGACAAGCTTGTCACCTGCTACCCTCTTTTTGGGGGTGAAATTAGTTATGAGGGTATACGAGACCAGATGAAGCAGGAACATCATAGATCCAACATGTACAATGTGCATGCAGCCAACAAGATTAATTACTCCTGCTGATCGAGCAAGGTAACATTTTAGAAGCCGGTAGCCGGTTAAGAACTATAGACACAGATCTAGTATCTCGAAAGAACGGGATATCAGATACTATAGTCTTTTAGATATCCAGAGAGCTACACCTCGATCGTCTATATATATCCCCCAAATCCCCACCCTCAAACCACTTTCTACCCCATCAGTAACCAGCCACCACTCGCTCTCTTAACTACACAAAAAACACTCTCTACAAAGCTATATACCAGCTTAAACACTCTTTACCCCCACAATCTTCAAACAAAAACCCACTCTTTTATATATTCTTATATAAGCAAAAGGTTTCAAAAATGCAGCTTTTGACTATCATCACCATCAGCCTCGGCGCCTTGGCTTCCGCAGCCCCACAATTCGGCTTCGGACGTCCATTCCCAGTCCCAGTCCGTGGTGGCGATAACATCGCCAACTTCCCCGGTGGCAGAATCGGTGGTACTGGTTCCGCTGGGTCTAGTACGTATACCCACTTACTCTTCACCATAAACACCCTACCTTGAACAAATAAAACACTACTAACAACTAATCCCCAGACGCCGGTTCATCCCTCAATAACAACGGTACTGAAATAAACCCCCTACCCTATTAACTTAACCTTACATATAATTAACCAAACCCGCAGGCAACAACAACGGCGGCAACTCCGCCGGCCCCATCATCGACAGTCCCAACAGTTCAGTAGCCCAATCCTCCACCTCCTGCGCCAACGGTCAAATCGTCTGCTGCAACGGTCCAACCACCAACACCGCATCTTCAAACAGTGGCCGTCAATCAACTCGTACTCTTTACCCACAATACCAGTATCTCCTCTCAGACCTCTTCCGTAGCCGTGTTAACATCCCAACTGTTAATAATCAGAGAGAGTCAAACGAGAGTAATCAATGTAACTCGGTTACCAACTGGGGTTTGTTCTCCCCTTTCCTTTTTTTTCATATATATTTGGCTGTGGATTATAGAAGGGTATTGGGTTTTAATATATATGTATGAAATATAGAATCCGGAAGCGCCAGCCCCATCTGTCAGCAGACCGTCGCCTGCTGCTCTGGAAACCAGGTATTTAAACCCCCCTTACCCCATATATTATAATGTATACTCAAACTAAAACCTTCCAAAAGGGACCCGCCGTCGCCAACGTCGGCTGCACCGCAATGAACATCGTTGTGAACACCGGAAACTCGCCAGTTAAGAACAACGGGAACGGGAACGGGTTCTTCCCATTCACTAACTAAGTCGAAGAGGTGGGGTTAACTTAAAAGCCAGTTTAATACTAGGCTTTCTTGATTTTAAACGGGAGGAATATTCGGTTCCGTATCATTCATTTTCGGAAAGGAAGATTGGGAGGTTCATACAGCATTGAGATTTACTTGTTTCATTCATTCATTCATCCACTCATTCCTCGGTATACTGCTTTACGCAAAACAAAAACAATCTTCATACTCCTGAAGAACAAAAAAAAGGACACACAAGGCCACTCATTTAAAAAAAACACCTTCACTTCTCCAGATTCTGTCGACAGGGAAAAACAACCCCTTCCACAATCCTTTCAAAAGAGGGTTCTTTCCATAGTTCATCGACACTTTCTCTTTATATTTTGAATACTTACCTTATTTCCTTCTCAAAACCCCCTCGATAACTTACAGAAAGGGAAGTTATCAGTAGTTAGTTCAGTTAATGGATTTCAAACGGCGGAATTGTTTTTTAATATATAACCAAAGTCCTTGTTCTCTCTATCCATATCGTTCCTTAAACCGACGCTTTGACACTGCATGGTATCATATATAACTACACCGCCTTGACACATATAAGCACCCATTCCTAGCATCAATACCTAGCCCCAAAAACTCAAGATAAACATATCCCCCACCCTACCCTTTTCTTGCGCCATATATATAAACCCCCGGTTATCCAAAAACAACTACCTATTTACCACAAAGTCCCATAGTCTATATCCCCATAATGCCGTAGTGTCATATAAATACTTACAAAAAGGAGAAAAAGAAAAAGAAAAAGAAAAAAGAACAAAACGAATGACCGCAATGCAATGCAATGCTAAGGGAAGAAGAAAAGAAATGAAAAGGTTATATCCACAATTGCTCATACAATCAAAATTGCCGCATTCCAAAATAACCACAACCAATTTTCATAATGACCCATTCCCATACCCCCTATAAACTCAATACCAAAAAGTCAAGCAAAGAAAAAAGACGTAAAGAACCAAAAGAAAATTCACCCCAAACGCCCACCCCAAACCCACGCATCCTCCCCTTTCCTCCCCCTCCACTCCCCACATAACCCTTCAACCCTCCTCACCAACTCCTCAACTCCAATCCTCCCCTCCGCCGTCTTCCCAAAACACCCTCGTAACAATCTATCAACCGCTCCACCATTCCTACATCTAAACCCCCTCTCATCCGCCCTCGCAAAAGCCATGGGATCACCCTGTCTAACCCATATATTCCGTTGAATATCCATCTTCGCAGCGGAGTATGGATGACTCCCAATCGCACATTGTAAAAGTGTCATACATAGGCCGTAGTGGTCTGATGAGAACGTTGGGAGCGGGCGAGGGTCGGATTTAAGTTGTGCTGATGGCGATGATAGTGAAGAAGTGGGTTTTGTAGGTGTAGTCGGTGGGGTCAAGAATGCGGCTAGGAGTTCCGGAGCACAGTATATTGTCGTAACAGCGTTGATAGCTTCTTCTTCGTCTGAAATATTCCCAGCACTGTCGACTACATAAGATGATGAAAAATCGGCAACAATGGGTTCTACCAGCCCCATTGCTTCTTCCTCAGATATCCAATCGTATCTCCCCCCACCATTATTATACCCATCGAATAAACTCTTATCGACTGGTTTTGTAAGAATATTCTGCGGCTTGACGTCCCCGTGGATAACACCTGCAGATTTCAGGAATGCGAAAGCGGAGATTAATCGTTCTGCGATGAATAACCATTGTGTAATCCCAACCACTGGGAGCTTTAATGCATTGAAATTCGAGGTATCGCGAGGGAGGGAATTTCGACACCTAGTAGTGAATTGTTCGAGGTTGTCGCCGGATAAAGCGGTCATAAGGATTGATGTTGTAGATACATCAAAGCCATGGAACGGGATGATTGAATTGTGACCATTCTTTGAAGAACCGACTCTTTTGTGGATATGGGATAGGATTGTTGCTTCTCGTTTTAATGCTGGGATGGAGAATGTATTCAACGGACGTTTTACAGCGATTAAAAGTGGTTTTTTTGTTGTTTTGGAGTGTAAAATGCCTTTGTAAACGTTACTCCATGCCCCGGAACCAAGTTTTGTCGGCTGCTTAGGGTCGTCTAGTTCATATGCTCCCAATGGTTGAAGAATTCCGTTTATTTCATTTTCGTTTTCTTCTGTTGCAGGGTGGGCAGTTACTCGGTTATCGATTCCTCCCATATCTGACCAATCGGCTGACAGCAGCAAGGGTGACAATAACGGCTCGGTGGTAGTGGTAGTAGTAGTATCTCGCTTCTTATTCTGTTGCTGCTGTGATCCGAGATGAAACTTTGGAGGTGGTACAGATTTGTCCAATTTTATTTTTTTGGATTCCTTTTGATTACCACTACCACTTCTTGATGGAGTGGGCGTCTCTGGCGGTGTGAAGATTTCAAGTAATGATTTTTGTGGTGACTGTGGCACCGGCACTAGTGCTTTTGAATCTTGATAGACCGTTCGTGGGATATCCAAAGAATTCCCACGACTAGATATCGATCCTGATGTTGTCGAAGTTCCAACAATTATAGGCCGCTGAAGACTATCCAAATACCTATCTCTCAATAAAAGTCTCGTAGCAGTATCCGCCGGAGCAGCAGAGTTACTCGAGAACGTAAACCCGGGATGCGAAGATGAAGAATAAGAAGATAAAGAAGAAGGGGAAGGAAATATAGGAGATGCAGATTCAAGAGTAGGAGTAGCAATTGATGACCCGTCGTCAGTGGTTGCAGAAGAAGCGGTAGAACGGGTTGGAGTAGAACTCCTGGAGGATGTGTCGGAGTGGGAACTCGAGCTGTTGCTGCAGATATTCAAGCTCGTGGCTGTTGTCGCGTGGTCGCAGATCATTGAGGGGTTATTGCTATTCATGTTGATATTTTGTTTGAGAATGTCCGATTGCAACATTGTGGCTTGAGATATCGAAGGGATTGAAGGCGAGTTAATTATCTCGAGATGAAGGTTTTGAGGGCGGGAGATGCGGCGGTAGAGAGGCGGGGGGTTGGTATTGATGTTCGACATGTTTGCGGTGGTGGATGAGGAGGGGGGTATGGGGTCCTTTTCCATTGTCGCCATCCTTGTCTGTATATAGTCGTCCGAGTCGCGCGACTGTTGGATTCTTTAGATAACCCGAAGAATAAATAGGTAATAAGATCCCTTGACTGATTTTATCTTCCCTAGTTGATTTACCAAGAGGAAGATATCAAAAAGCCGATACCCGAATCTTCGAAGGAACTCCCAGTATATAAAATGCAAGCTGTGTAACACAGCAGTGCCGTTCTTGCGGTATATATGCCGGACGCAACAATTAATTAGGCCACCCTGATACTAATACTGATCAGATGCGTGACGCGATACGTAATACAAGTGGCGAGAATAATGAATGAGTGAATGAATGTGAAATCTGGGGAAATATTCATGATTGTCGTTAGCTAATCGTATGATACTAAAATACTACTGGCCAGATGAGGTTTAATTAAAATGGTAATTAAACTAGACAGACTTACCTGTCGTCCGAAGTTGCGGGAAGGAAAGTGTTGGCCTGTTGCAGATCTGAGCTGTGGATTTGCTATCAATTTCCGACCGGGTTCCTTTTTTTCTATCTTCTCGTCATGCTTGAGTATAAAAGGATTGCGAATTGATGAAAAGACGAAAAAGATAAAAAAAGATTGGAAGAAAAGGCCAGATTATGCTAGAAATATAAAAACGAATTCTCTTTGCCTTCAAATCCTTTTTGCCAGAAGAAAAAAAGTTAATCCGATCGAGTCACTTGGTGTTTTAATATAAATAATCAATTCTGCCAATTGTACGCCTTGTAAGAAGTTGGGTTATGTTATCGTCCCGTACGGTTACCAGGGCACAGAACAGCTAGCTTTGCCCGCAGCACACTGCGGAAATATCGCGCGTGGTCGGTATTATCGACCGAAAGGTTATCTCTGATTCACCTCACTAATGGGTAAGGACCCCTGAGGTTAATGGAACGAACACCCTTCGATATCCTTCTGGAAGGAAAAATTGACAAATGGGAAGGGAACCAATTAAACTGTCAAGATAGCGGGTGGTCCGGTCCACCAATTAATTACCAGCTGGCTGTAGGTACAACAGGCAAAATTGAAGCTCTTTCCTTTTTTTCTTCTTCTCTCTTTCCAGGTTAACGGTCTCTCTGCGATATAATAATTTCCGTATTATAGAAAGGGTCCAGATAGTCAGGTGGTTCAACGGTTTTCCACCCCCCAGTACTCGACTCTATCTTCGCGGTGGCCGGGAAAATTCTCAATGAGTAATTTCAATCGAGAATAGAGAAGAAAAAAAAATAAAAAACCCTCTCTGATATGATGCGATAGGGTAGATAAAGAATTCTTCAGGTGCAGATCTGATTCTTAGAGAAACGGTGTGTAAAAAAGGTCTTTGCGAGGTTTCGATCGCAATCGGTTAGTCTTATCGTTGATGATAATGATGATGTCCATGGCTTAAAAATACGATCCCCTCATTGCATTGAAGCACAGAAAAAAAAACATATGTAAAGACAGCGGATAGATACTAACTAGAAAAGACAAAGGACTCTACATTCCAAACAGAAACATAAGCAGAGGGGTGGACGAAAGCAAGAAAGAGGGGTCCCATCATATCTTTATAAAGGAATGCAGATGCAAAAGCAATTGGTTGGTGGGGCATATATTTTTTTTTCTTTTCGATTTCAATGCACTCGTGCAGACAGACAGACAGCAGACAGCCATACAGACATACAGACAAGGTAAGGCAAGGCGTACATATATCACAATGGGAATAGTTCCTATGAGGATTCGATTCGGTTTTATTTTTCTTTTCTTTGTGTCTTCTTTGCATAGATACATATTAGTTAAGCAAGTAGCCTAAAGATAAAAGTCAAAAATACAAACTGCTTCGTACAAAACATCAGATAGAAAGAAGTATACCTTCCCGACCCAATACCGAACTTTGTCGGAGTACCTTTTTTTCTTTCTTTTCTTTCTAATTTTTTCTTGCTTTCTCGTTTCGAAACCAAAGAAAAATCCAGAACCAATTAATTCTGACCAGTCGATTCAGCCCAATTCAGCACGGTCAAAACTACCCCTCTGCGACTCGTTTACCTGCCGAAGCTCCACCGCCCCCCTCTTTCTGTCCTTTCTGCAGAGTTTCCTATGTATCCATAACCCCCATATCCCTGTCAACTTTCATGCGGATTGCCGGCGGGGCCAGGGGTTGATGAAGTGCGCGAGCTAGTTAAGCATGATCACGTCTTCTTTTTTTACCCCAGAAAAAAAAAGAATCTGCAAAGAGAAAAGTTAGAGGGATAGGTTCATGCGGCTATAGAAATGCGGATATCGTGGGTCATTCGCATGGCCGCGAACGTGTTTATTAACTACATGCATACGCCATAGGACTGAGCGAATGAGGAACCATAAAAAGAACGGCAGTTCTAAACACGATTGCATGCAATTGAGAGCTGAGGCAGAATAGATCTCATGATCAGGTATACTGCATCATCATTATCATCCATCGTCACACCCCCGGCGGCCATTTAGCCATCAGAGAGAGCTCGAGGCTTAGTTAGTTAAAGTTAGTTAGTTAGGGTCTGGAGAAGTTCCGAAAACATTTCCCCAGAATTTACTTACGTACTCGCTCTCACTTGGCAGTTTTCTTTTGGAGTGTCAACCACGAGTTCCGAAGCGCACGATATTCCTCTCCTACACAGTAAGCTAAGCCGGCCAAGCCGGAGCGAACACGAAAAAAACAAGCTTCGATCGCTGCGCACAGGACATAATGCTCTACACGTTATAATATCTATGCATATATAGAGCTCTTTAACAAAAAATACTAAGCCAAAATGTATGTATGAGCTCACCATTCTGGAATCTAATACCGAAGTAGACGCGAAAAAAAAAAAATAGACATGAAAAAAAATTAATTTGAAGAACGTGATCACTTACCTATGAGTATTCAATTGATCAAATGTATCCTCTCAAACTGGTATCGTCAACCCCCGCATTGAAGACCTCCATCAACAGCCCAGTCACCGTCCCCGGCAGACATGCAGGTAAAATCATACCACCAACTCTTACTTCCCGAAGCACCATGTGTAAGCCTCATTGTTCTTTTCGTTTTTCATCGCTCATACTAATATCAATCGATGCGGGGTACTTCGCGACCAAACACCACCCCAAAATCGATATTAAAATCTTCGGCATATGCCCAGATAATATTTATATATATGAGGCCGCCGGGTAACGTAATCGGGTAGTTGCCAGTGTGTATCCCGGCGTAGAACTCGAAAAACAAACTCAAGGTAGAGAAGAAAAAAATCTGTATCATACGATTCCAATTCCGAAATGCAGGTGCAGGTGAAAACGATTAAAAAGCCGTTGTGTACGAACCCGGAAACCTGCCAAAAAAAAAAAAGAGCCCCCCTTCACAGGAAAAATTTTTTAATTAATTAATTTATCTCGGTTCAAATAACGTTCAATCGGTAACTAACCTATCGGCTCGTTCAAACCTAAATTAATTTAATTAATAAAATAAAAATATACAAAATATAAAAAAACATTTAAGCTTAAATTTTTTTTTTTGAAAAAAATTACGTTTAAACGAACGACCACAACAGGGTAGTCCCGAATCGCGAATCGCGAATCCCGACTGCGAAAAAAAACCAAGCGTAACAGCGGGAGGATGCTACCTTGCGATATATTTAGCCCTATCTCCCCGATTCCGATTCCGATATCCGAATAATTATACTCAAATCAAATCAAATCAAATCAACAAGGGCACTTTCGATCGATCTCTGCCCCACCCTACTTGCAACAAGTTACGGGTGATCATCGTCGCCTATGACAGATAACATATCCAGATCCGGTTTTTTCTCCCCCCCCAAAAAAAAAAGTAAGGATCACCGAATCAATAAGTACAGTATCGATATCTTCGATATTGAGCATCACGTGGGCCCATGGGCGAATTAATACACCTACCCGCTGCATTTTTGTTAACGCTTACTATGCTTAAAGCTATAAGAAAGAAAGAACTTCAATTCTTATCTGAAATTTCTCAATTCTTTGTTATTATTCATTTCATTCCATGTAGTTAGTTAAGTTAATATGCCTATATATGACGGGAAGGATATCGAAAAACAAAGCAGAAGTAACAAAAAAATAAAACTGCTTATAAGCAAAGGCTAATAGGTAGATAGGTCAACTTATTTCAATATTGAAAAAAAAATAAAAATAAAAAGAAAGGGTATATATCGATATCAATCGCCAAATATGCCCGGTCAGACAAAGGAAATATTTGAACAGTAGGAAAAGGAAGGAATGTATTCCAGCAAAAAAGGCCCCAAGATTAAATAGAAATGTTAAAAAAGGAAGAAGAAGAAGATTAGAAAAAAGGTATTTCTTGATGCATGTTCCTGAGCATGATTGTTTCTTTCTCTTTGTTTCTGCTCGAATGAAGAAATAAAAAGTTAAGGTAGTTAAAGGAAAGTTTAACACTATAATAAATAAAAAAAGAACAGAAGACGAATCGATGATTCTACCCGATATCAACTCCTAGAATATTTCCTTCCCGTTACATATAACAAGACTTTGGGGGAAGGAAAAAGAGAAAAGAAAAGAAAAGAAAAGAAAAAGGTATTCCCGATTGACCAAAATAAAGAAATAAAAAACGTCCGGAAACAATGGAGCTTTTGAAGAAACCTCGCCCCATACTTGAAGAAACAGAAGAAGAAACAAAGGAAAATCTTTTGAAAAAGGACAAGCCCGTATGTTTTCCCCCTTCCAGTAATCGAAACAGAAAAAGAGAAAGAAATGGCCAGAAGATATGTATGAAATAATTACAATTTGAAAAAATTGTGAAAGAGAAAAGAAGAAGAAGAAAAAGAAGAAAAAGGAAAGGTTTGGTATCAATAGCGGGAAAAGAAAAAGCGAAAATCAAAAAAAAGGCCATACGGTTGCCAGCATATACTTTGTTAAAAGAAGAAAAAAAGGGGTCTGCTAAAGAAATATATCATAAAATCGTTAGAATCTGGGAAAAGTTCCAAACTTTTCTGTACTTGTACCTTCTGACTCCTTTTTGGTTATATCATTTTTTTGGTCTTTTTCTCTGATTTTTTTAATGTTATTTATTCGTACTGGCTATGCCAACCCCATGCCTGCGCCTGCATGGGATTCCCAACAACCTGCCCCTGCGGGTGTGGGTGCGCTGTTTGGAAAAACCCACCACCATACCTGGCGTTCGTGCCTACGACGGTAAAGACCGGCTGGTTTGGATCATGTAGCTCCATATCTTGATGTGAGTACATGAATGGGTCATAGAACGGTTGATCGGGATTGTAGTATATCGAAGAGATAACTTCTTCGGGCGCTTGGGATGCAAAATCGGACATCTGAATGCCTGATGGCTGGGTATCTGGTAAGATAGCATAATGGTCTTGTGGGGATACCATAGCTGCGGGTGTGGCTTCAGTAAGGACGGGTTGGTCAACGTCCATGTTTGCTGTGGGCGGCGTTGGCTCGGCATATTCTTCCACTGTTGGTTGGTGGGAGAGCTTCTTGCGGGGCGGCGAGGAAGGGCTAGACCTTGTCTTAATCTCCTTTTCTTCTTCGGCCGCTGCGGCTTCTGCAGTCGATAAAGCAAGGGCCTCTTCGGCCATTTGTTCGTCCGCCTCCTGGCTTGCCATGAGTACACCACCATACTCAAAGATCGTTAGACCAGTGCCTCCTTCGATCGGAACCCGTGGGTTTGGATCTGGCCCTGCAGGGCGCTCGGCCTCTCTCATCGCGGCGTTAGAATCGCCGTGCGGCCCCTTGCCTTTGGCTTTGCCTCTACCCCTACGCTTCTTTGTGGCGGGTACAATTGGTGGTGGCTTGCTACCTAGAACCTCGTAGACAACTCTTGCCATTTCTCCACGGACTTGTAGGCCTTCCTTTCGAACGATTTCGCGGGTGGCCCTGCGGATTATGATGAAAAATCTGACGGTTCTGTCTGGTGGTGGGTCGGTTTGGATTGGCAGTAATGTAATAAGATCCTTGACTGGAAGGAGTTTGATGAGGAGGAATTCGTTCTTTGAAGGTTCTTGAGGTAATCTTCTTGCCCAGAAGTTGATCATGGTCTATAACAAATTTGTGTTGTTAGTGTTATATTCTTGAAGGTTGTTCATATGTTATTAGCTTACCTGTCGTTCTCTCTTTGGAAAGCCACAGGTGTCCATGAAGAGGTCAAGGAATGCCGAAAGCTTCTCATAAGCTACTGCAAAGGACCTCTTCTCGTTTTGTTCACCCTTAAAGCTCCAGTCCAGCATGATACCTGGGTTTCTCCTCTTCCCGTCTTCACCATGTCCACCAAGTTCTCCAACCTCAGCACTTCCCCAACCACCTTCAAGTTGTGTTTCCATTCTGCTGATGTACCATTTCCCACCCGCACCTTTAGCTTGACTCTTCTTTAGAAGCGTGATCTTTTCCGGGGTTTTCGTGTTCTCGGGCTCACTGATCACTCTTGTAATCTTTCCGTTCCCTTCAATCGACATGGTAAGGTTGACATGGTCACCGATAGCAGTGGCAAACATGCGATCGTGTTCAAGAGGATCGGTCGGAGGGATGACGGTCACAGTTGGTGTCAGACGGATCTTTAAGTCTATAGGCTTCACGCAATGGAAGGTGATGTGAGGACATAAGAGGACACTGCTTGACTGTGGAGTGTCGATGCGATCCCATTGAGCGTCGAGTGGGGATTGAGAGCGGATGGAAGAAGTTCCATCTTCGGCGTCGAGTTTGGGGGATGGGATACCACCGACGATAGCTTGGGCTGATACTTGTTGGATTATGTTCGAGACTGGGAAGCCTGGAGCTAGTTGCATGTTCTCTGTTGAGTAGCTTGGGAGAACAGGGGCGGGGTAGGTCTGATGTTGTAACTCAGAAGTTGGAGGGTCTGGAAGCATAATCATTATGAAAGAATGTTAGAATGGGTCTAAATGAAACTTATAGGAAGGATGTGGTGTTATGAAAGAACATATGCATGTATGAATGTATGTAAGGAAAGGGAAAAAAAGGCTGAACTGACCAATATCTTCAGGCATAGGAGACTCAGGAGAAGGGAATAGTATTCCTAGCCTCTGTTGCTCCTTCTTAGCATCGATAGCTGTCCAAGGATCCCCCGAAGGATACCAGACGTTTGGAGATCGAAGAAAGCTCCAACCAGAGCCCGTTTCTGGATAATATTCCACTTCAGTCGCAGGAGTTAGACTGTGTGACATGTGTCGATAGCTCTCTTCTGGAAGATAGGACATTGTAGAATGTGAGACCGAGGACTGTGAAGAGAGGGAGGCACGCCGACCGGGATGCACACCACTCCCAGACAACGGACTTAAGCCAGTAGACATTGGAGTGGCCATGGAGGACGAGAAGGTCCGCTTTTCGCTCATAGCTCTCGAATCTGTTTAAATCCAATATGGTTTGTTTCTTAGCCCACTGCCTTGGAAAGGGAAAGTAAAAAAATTATATAAAAAAAAAGTAGCGTGGTTTTTTGCTTTGTGCAGCAGGGGAGGAACACCTTAGAGGGTTTTTGAAAGAGAAGAAAAAAAGGGAAAAAAGAGAGGACGGCGAAAGGAAGAAGGGGTAAAAAAGGCGTTTTCTGTCTTTTCCCTTCCCCATGTCGTTTCGAAAAAGACAGGACAAGACCGAGAGGGGAAAGGAAAAAACTTAAGAGTAGGTAAGGTATTTTACATGAACCAATTAGGAGCCGTACCCATTGAATATTGTGTAAACCGCTGAACATCCTCCCGAGCTTTGACATGCGCTGCCAGTCTCTGCTCTTCTAATCTCCGTTCTTGCGCCTCAGCTCTTTCGAGTTCGTTTCTGAATGCCCGGGACGGGCTGTAAGGAGAGAATGTCTGGACAGAGGCTGTTCCGCCAGTTGGATCTTTCTTCATAAAGGCAATGCTGTATGATGAATTCATAGACATCATTCTTGGTGAAAGGTGCTCGCTCATGCGCCTCAAGGAATTCTTAGACGCTTGAAACCCAACGGGGAAACTGAGCAGCAGGTGCGTATTTGGCTTCATGAACTGTAGGTAGTTTTTCGGATTTACAACATCGCCTTCAAATGTAATTATAGCTGGCGGTGACGAGAATGAAAATGTATATAGATGGTGGATAGATGTAACCAGATCCTTTTATTAGAAATATCCATTGGAGTGTCAGTCAGTATGCATGTACGATTTCGAGATCTACACCGCAGCAAGCCAGGTTTCGATCGTAGGCGCCCGGGGAGCTTCCGGTAGGACCAAAATCAGGCTAAAACAGTCGGAGTATTGGGGGTTTGCTTTTGGATGGGGGGGTTAGAGCTTATAGTACATACCTCCCAGCAATTTATTTTCGATAGAGGGATGTAGAACACCTGTGGTTCACCTTTCTTCTGGATCATAAGGGCGGGTACTGCGGCCCTTTCGGTGGACTGCTGTAGAGACATGGAGATAAAAGTGTTAGACCAAGTTTTACACAGAGAATGATAGAGCTAAGCAATGAGACATGATTTTAGGGCTGGGGAAGGGGAAGAAAAAAAAAAAAAAAAGAGTGCACCAGTGAACCGGTATCAAGGTGAGGGGTCAAGCAGTCCTTTTTTTTTTTTTGTATTTTCTCCGTTCTTGGAGTTTTTTCCCTTTTTGTGACAAAATGCAAAAAAAAAATGTCGAAGAAACAAAAAAAGGGGAGGAATCGGGCGTGTATACCATATCCATAGGTGGTGTGTCCGGCATATACGACTCCATGTTATGTAAGTATGTATGTATGTGTGGATGTATGTGAATGTATGTTATGTTATGTATGTGTAGTATGATCAAACCAAACGCTCGTGTGTGTCTTCCTCAGCTGAGTATGGCACAGAGGACGAGAGAATGGAATGAGGAAGGAGGTAGCGGACTTCGGATCGCACTGGAGTGTATGTATCCGTCTAACCGTGATCATTCGAAGGTGTGCTGGGTTAGCACTGGTGATACAGACCAGCAGGAGGTGATTGAGGTGTAATTTTATATTCGTCGAGTTCTCCGGTGTGCGTTGACAAGAAAGGGCAGGCTATATTAGAGGACGCTATAGTCTGAAGTTGGAACTAGCGCTGCAACAATCTTGAAGCAGGAAAAATGTGGTACCAATGTCAGATCCTGGAGTCGACGTGGTCTGAGTGATGCAAGCAAGGTTCGAGGAAGTAAGTACTTAGTTTAGTGGAGGTGTAGAAGATGTGTATGTGGTAAGGGTGCATGCATCCGCGCGATGCAGTCCTGAGTGCCCCACCTATGTCACGATCTTAAGGCCTCGTAACCTCAGCTCGCGGCATGCCCGTCTGAAAATGATGTGAAGGTCCAATGATAAAATTCCAATCGTCCAAAGGGATGCGATATATTTCTTATTCTATCCCTCATAGCGCATCCGGGTGTGGGTAGTTTGGTTTTTTTAGTCTTTTATTCTTTTTTTTTCTTCTCTCGGGGGATGTTAGTTGTTCCTGCAATGCTGCAATGTCAACATGTTGGAGTATCCAAAAACAAAGGCTGGCATGGTCTTGGGACGTACGGGTGTGAAAGGGCTCATCCTAGTCATGCCGGTTCAAACTCGGGTCGACTTGTATGTAGGCAATGCACCCGCGGGGAGGCTTTGCACCTTTTTTTTTGTTTTTTCATTTTTATTTTTTTCCCTCTTGTCTTTCCTCTTCCTTCCTTTTCCTTTTTTTCCGTTTTTTTCCCTGTTCTCGTTACTACTAAGGAACTTCCCAGGGGGGTATAGACCAGGTGATTATTGGACGCCGCCGCTTTCGCTCTAGTCCCAAATGCTCCCGAGGATGTGGTTACGTTCTTGAGCAATTGAGAACCTGCATATCGAGGACCTATTTTTGCTCAAGCCTAATCGTCGCTAAAGGGCCGGCAGCACATATGTAGCCATTATCGAGCGGGGCGTTATGGCTAGGCCTGCAGCATATGCATCGGTCAAGTCAGTAACTAACTCTTTAGGTTTCATTCGTGTCTGTAAGTCTGTAGGTATGTACGTTAACGTTTGAGGAAATAAATATAGATAGGGTAACAAAGTGTAGTATTACCTCGTACTAACCAGTCCCAGCATCTTCGGAACATCACGGGCGAAATGTCTAAAATGGGAGCGTTTAGTCGGGGTGGAATAATATTTTTGGCCAATTGGTCGGGGAGGGTCCTGTCCTCCGCGTTAATTTCCTCCCATTTGTAAGGAAAACCCGTGAAGCTGGTGATATTGATCGTCATAAACCTTGCATTAACTCGCTTCTGCTAAGAGGTTTTGGAGCTTAGGCAGCGGTGCGTGCCCTGACCTTTCTTCCTTTTTTCCTCGTACGCCTCATCTGCATTCGCATTAGCACCACCGGCTCTATTACTAACGAACGATACGATCGAGATCTAATTTACACCCCCAAACTTTGGAGGGTCAGATAAACGAGGCTGTAGTCTGATACCAAATCGGAAAAACTACGTAAGGGGGAAGGGGTACGGGGGTATGGGAGGGTATGTCACGGCTAAGCTAGTCAAACGTTCGTGTGCATCATATCATGCTCGAGAATGCAAAAATGCACGGTCGATTTGCTAACTAACGACCATCGGGGAATGTAATGTACATACATACATACATGATATTGTACATGTCATAGTACCTCATACGCAATCGCCACAGCCCTCAGCCGTAAGGGTAATCTGCAAGAATGGCATGAGTGGCACACCGACCTCTCAAAGCAAAGCCAAGGGTGGCCGGTGATCAGATGTAATTAGTGTGAGTGAGTGGACCCACAGAATTTCCGGGCACAGCCACCACAACCACCACAACCACATACCAGCCTCAAAGTGTACTAGCCTCAATTGACGAGCAGTAGAGGCGCACATAACTGTCTGTGGCTTGCAGGCAGCATTTTTGCTGTTCAAATAACCCCAGCCTATGATGACATTCGGACAGGGATTGTCTTTCCGACGGCAGGGACCGTTTGGTGTGACCCTCTCAACAGATTGCTCTAGACTCCCGCACCCTTCTTCCTTCCACAATCGATCTTGTTTCTTTGTTTGTTCCTTGGAAGGGACCCTTGCTTTTCTTGCTTTTCGGTCTTGCATTGGGGCTATTCCGAGCGAGTTTAGTCGAGTCGCAATCATCAACTTCTAGCATCCCATAGGCTCGGAGAATTTATTCCTCGAGAACCTACACAGCCTTTCCGTTGAACATGCATTCCCCAGAGTTGAGACATCTCGAAAGTCATGTTAATGTTGGTATTCCTGTACATATCGAGTGGAGTACACACAGGAACAACCACGAGGACACGCTCTTCTTACGTACGTACGTATGTACCTAGGTACTTTGCTAACTACGTGTAACTATTTCCAAATACATAGCTTGAAGAGCTTAAATTTCTTTAGCTTACCAGCAGCTTCTATCACAAGGAAATCACGATATAGTTGAAAGCTTGCTTATCTCCGGATCTTCAAGAAACCAAACAGCCGCCGCGGATCCCTACTGGAACTCCTCTTTGTCCCTCGAAGCCAAGGAAGAAGGGAGGAGGCTTGACAAAAAAACGAGTTTATAAGGTTTACAAAGCAAAAGGTTGACAAATCACCTGGCCTTGCAAGTCAATTCCGATTTCAAGCAAGTCGATTCTATCGGACATGGGGGCTACTATGCAGATTTACACCCGCTTCGTTTTGGATTGATAAACCACGTCTGCAAAACGTGGACAAGATATCCGGGAACGCCCCACAATCCACAATTTCATGTAAAGAATGTTGAAGCCAGGTATAGTTAGCAAGAATTAACATTAACGAGTGAAGAGGGAAAAAAAGAAATACTTCATTTTAAAAAAACAACAATGGAATCTTGAATTCAAGCAAGCCCCTTCGGAAAACGAGCCTGCAGACCCGAAGGAGCGTATGAAACACAGATTTGCTGTATAGCTAAAATATCGGAAAACCCAGCTTGGGAAATCTCGATTAACTACCAATGATAATCTTCAGGATCGTGCCACAAATCCACAATCTACCATCCACAAAAATGCGAGACAAAATGCGAGACACGACATCTCCGGCCGGTCCCTGACCAAGTCTCCATTTCGCTAAGAAGCAAGTTTGACTGGCCTGAGAGCCGCAAATGCATTGCATTACTGGGGACCGGGTTAATTAGAGAAGGGAGAGAAAAACGAACGAACGAATCAAAAAAACCTCGTGGCAGTGGGCCGTGACGAAAACAAGGTCCGCAATCTGGGAGGGAAAAAGGGAACAAAAAATTTTTTCCCGGTAACGAAATGTATAATATCCATCTATTAAGACTATAATAAGAACATTCGGCATCGCCGTAAACCGATTCGGTAACCGGGATCCGACGAACATCGTTCCGATCTAACCCCAACCACCCCAAAATGCTTCCCCAAGAATACACTTAGATTTCCTGCTTTGGCAATAGCTCCTTCGAGCTAGTTTGCAGGTAAGTACTACCCGAAATTGATCAACTTTGGTTTTGACTGGAGACGTATAATATTATGAGAAAAATGAGGAGAAAAAAGGTACAGTACAGATGTCCATACAGTAGTCGGGCTCCACTTTAGTGCGTCACGCCGCTATTTTGCAGGACATTATCCCTCGTGTTCTTCGGCTATTCATACATGCCGCAAGGTCTCAGTCGCAATCGCAATCGAAAAGAGACACCTTCCTCTCCTTACCCTTTGCGGCCGTTGTTTTTCCGAAGGGTGCTCGAGCCCTCGTTTTTTTTGTTCTTTCTCGTTTACCCTTGCCCGGTTGTGATGTAATTAGATGCAAGCCTCAAGACACTTATTCGTTCGATAACTTTCACATTTTAAACGGTCACACACACCCCATGTAATATACCAGCCTTTGAATCGATTAGTTTTGCGCCATATGGAAGAAACAAGATGTTCATCTAGATCAGGAACGCGGACCCTGAATACTAGAAGAGGCATGACCCTTGTGGGTCCGCCGGTTAAGGAACCGTTATTAGCCATCTGACGACTAATTATTTCATGCCTAAAATCACTAGCCACGCCCAAGATCTCTTTTTAATTTTTTGGCTTAGTCTGGGGTGGTTTTTGCTACGTCAATTCTTGCTGCATATGGCTTAACGTTCGGAAATGGAAAGATGTAACTTTGTTACGGTACCTGAATTTATCGGAGCGGACAGGCATCCGCATACCCGGATACCCCCTCCCTCCCTTCCTTCCTTTCTACACAGTAACCCCCCCTCTTCGTACGGGGGGTGGTCGCATGTACATACATACATACATTTAGGCAGGGTCCTCAGATCAGGTTTCTATCGTGCATCTTGTCAAAACCCCTGGCTGAAGCTAGTAAGGGCTCCGATTGGACTATCACATTTATTAAAAACCCGAAAAGTAGTGGTTAAGTCTGGTGATATTGAGCTTTAAACGAAAACGAATCGTAAACGAAACCCTTTTTTCCCTAAGCTTAGAATTTTAGGAGCTCTGTGATGAAATTTTCCCTCACTATTTTAATTTTTTTCTCTTTAGTCTTCCCTTTGGAATGAGACTAATTAGCTGCCCAGTACTTACCTCGCTTATAGTTAGAAGATCGCATGATTAATTTGAACGCCGCAAACGGTGAGCTAGTACCGGTCCTTCTAGCTCCTCACCTCATAACCCCCTCCCCCAAGACCGAGACCAAGGAAGAGGAAAAAAAAGGTGGGACCCCAGACGGCGAAACGCCTCTTTCGCTCGTAACTACCCATTGCATACATCATACATGGTACACAGACCATGCACATGCACTCGAGCGTGCATGATTCGCGTTTTTTTAGTCGAGGTACTCGAGCCTAAGCTGTCGAGCGAGATGGCGTTTTCGGGCTTGCATTTGGAACCCAAACTAAAACCTGTCGACCAGTGTGCAGCAAGCTCTCGTGCAGCTGGCCAGTAAGGTAGCTACCTACCGTATACCACCCATCTTTTACCCAGTCTGTCAGCAAATATGTATGTATAGACAAAAGTATAGCAAGTAAGTACATACCTGTAGAGGAAGTCCAAAGATGCACCATGTCCACGCCACGTCCCCTGGTCCTACGACCCACAGGTACCCAGACCATGGGACCTGGCCCTGCAGGCCTGTCGAAGTTGGAGAACCGTTTGTGGCTTGTACTTGCATTTCGAGCTGACCAAGAAATCGACCAAGAAAGTCCGTGTGGTCGCATCGTATTGGCTAATAAGTATTATAAATTGTGGCGAGAGAGCTGTGTCACTGTGGCTGGTGGCTGGTGTTCCTCAAAGAGTGCGGCTGGAGTGCGTCAAACCTTCCTTCCAGACTTTCCAATTGCAACCGCGCGCCGGGTCCCCCCAAAACTCAAATTCAATTCATCAACCACGAAACGACAAAAGTACCACCCCCCATCGAGCTCGCGATCACGACGCCATTTCCTTTCTTTTCTTTCTTCACAGCCAGCTTGCCGCCGCCTGCATTGCCAGCTGCTGCTGAATTATCATAGCACTCTATCGCTATACCTACTCTACTCGGCCGTATACTTACACTACATACACGGGGTTGGGCAGAAAGGTGTCGAAGTCCAGCTGCTCGCTGCTCCATCTGCACACGCAATCCCTAATCCCAATCCATCAACTGCAACCGCATAACCCATCATCATCCCCCATACACGCATCGTTTCAACCCACCTCCGCTATCACCTCCAAAGGAAAATGTCTCTAACTAACGCCTCCCACGATTCGCTGCCCTGTAAGCGATCCCAAATAGTCATAGACTACACCCCCCTTCAGCTGAACAAAGAGCCGTTTACAATCTTTCAAGCCTCCTCCCCCTCCATAAATCCTATAGCCTTCTACTATAGTGGACAAAAAACAAAAACTAACATTGTGAATTTTAACACAATTGATCAATCAAATCAATAGACATCGATAGACCCCTTACCCCCTCTGCAACCTCCAAAGCCACAGCTCTAATCGCCGCCGAGCTCAAACAAAGCGATACGTCTGCTTTACACCCATCATTACCCACTTTCCCGTCCCCGAATTTCACACCATTCGTTGAACAGGAATTGGAAAGGATCTCGAAAAATATACCGTTCACAGATGGTGTAGACGCCAGTCGTTACGAACCCCAATCCCTTCCACCTTCTTCCTCGGAAGAAGAATATAAAAAACTCTTACAAACATCATACGCAACAACAACTCATCTACAGAACCGATTGACAAACTTAACCCTTCTGTCGAATTTCGGGCAAAACGCCTGGTTGATATCAAATTCACAAACGGAAGGTGTACTAGCAAGTTTAGAACATGAATTGGTATCATTGAAAGAAGAAACTGAAATCTTGAATAGAGAACGGAAAAGGAAACAAGTGGAAGTTCAGCCGGAAATGGAGTATTTGGAAAAGAAGTGGAAGGATGGGGTTGGTAGGGTTTTGGAGATTGAAGTGGCAAGTGAAATGGTGTTTCGGGAGACTTTGGAGAAGAGACGGAGCGGTCAGGTTTAGTTTGAAAACAAATCATGTCATCTTTTTCTTCTTCACCCTATTGGATATTCACTTTGACTAGTAAGTGAAGCATAGCAGCTGAGGCTATAAGATGTGATGATATTATAGCTCTTTGTAAGAAGGATATGGGGGGGGGGGGCTATACAAGCTGTTAGATGTTGATTTAGATATGATCCATTTAGCGAACATCATTGGCTTTTGACATTAAAAAGAAAAAGGAACAGCGGAGATAGGTGTGGCGATTCTTCAGCGGAGTGGGGGGTATATAGATCTGATCTTAAGATTTCTTCATTTCGGATTCAAACATTTGTACGATAGACAGAGCATGAACAAACAAAATAACTAAACTAAACTAAGATTGAAACAGCCAATAAGCTTTTCTCCTTTTCTTAAACAAAGACACTCTATATTTCGCTAGCTAGCTAGCCTTGTATCATAATATTGTCCCTATCGAGTTTCAGATGTTGCACACACCTATCGCACATAGGAGATCCGTACCGAGTGGAACCAATACGTACATTCACCATTCCTAATCTTTCTGATCTTCCAACTTCAGCTCTCAATATGCATACCTGATCGGACCTGATCGGACCTGATCTGATCTGATCTGATCTGATATGTCAATCTTAATATATACCCAAGTAAGTAGGTAAGAGGTAGGTAGTTAACTAGACCCTCCGTATATCACCGTACATTATATAACACACCCAATGAAACGCCAATGTCTCTCGCTTCAGACCTCATACATACATATCTTTTCAGCTGAAAAAAACCTCCGATCTCAAGATATCGAAGCGAGATAAAATAAGATAGAAACTAACATCGAAATAAAAGTTAAATTCCAAATATTCCTGTAACTGCATTTCACCTCGCTCGCTTAAATTTCGCATAAAGATAGCGATGTATCGAAAAGTTTAAGTTTAAGTTTAAGTTTAACCATGCGACACATGCACTATACTTACCAGTCTAGTATAACATATGAAGTTTTCAAAGCAAGCCATTCGTTAGACTACAAAATATCTGCATGTAAACCGAGACAATAGACGTTTAGTAACAGAACGCCCTTCTTCCCGGGCCCGCGTATGTATGTACATGTGCACCGCGGGACACGTGGTACCGGTACCGGTACCGGCCGCGGGGACTAGCCAGCTGCGCCAGTAGCTAGTTAAGATATGTCTTGAAGGGGTTACGGAAGGGATGACTTAAACTCGGAAACCTGTATCGTCACTCCTAGTTAGTTTCTCCTACTATAAAAAAAGAAAAGAGGGGATGATACTAGCATGAATTGAAATACTAATATGTATATCATGGAATTCATACTAACTAGTATAGTAAATACTGGACTAAATAAAACAACAGAGAAGGAAAAAGGAAATCCGGAAAATTAAAACAGGATACATGTAGTATGGCATCGACGAAACCAAAAAACATGACATGTTAACATTCCTGAGAATCCCTTTTTGGTCTTAGTTAACCCAAATGGCTATGCTTAATCTGCTACTTTTCATGGACTACATCATGTCATACCGAGTTGTAAATCATGCGGATACCATAACTTAACCCTTTTGACCACATCTACTCCTCTTCAGGAGTTTCGGTTCCAAAACCTATACCTTCTTAGCTATGACCCAAAGCCACAGCCAAAACAACCGCACATATATAACAGCCCATAACTTTAATCCCCTACTAACCAGCAGGAGGTGTCTCTAGCAAATCCCCACTAGCTATAGCATAGTAATATAACTACACCCGCTTCATGCGCAGCTACCTGAGTGAGTATGTAGTTACCTAACTTACCAGCCAGCTGCAGCCACAGTTTAAACTTACTGACTTAGTAAGTACTTTACATAACGCCTCCTCAGCTCCATCTTCAGCCCTCCCCCCAAAAAAGACCGGTGCCTGATCAGCTGAATGACCAGCTAAGCTAAGAAACAATAACCCGCATACTATGCATAAATATGCATCTATCATACCATCTTTACATTTTCAAACCCCGATCTAATCAGTCAACTATCCGATTTTTTTTTTTAAAAAAATAAAAAAATAGGTAATCCACTTTATAAACTTTTGTTCATAACTTTCTCCACACCATGCATGCGCATTCACACGTGTATGTAACATCTACTTTTCCAAGATTTTTTTCATGTAAACTCCCCGGGTAGGATTGTCTCAAGGCTAAGCTTAAGGTTTCCATGCAAGGGACCTAGAAATGTTAACTAGTTAGTTAGCTTCAAGATCGTGATCATATCATGCAGGAACCTGTTTTTTTAATCCATGGATACCATTTACTTAGTAGGCAGGTAAATAAATATCCATCTACAAATGCAAGATTATACATACAATCTTCAAAGATAGTATACATACAAGCCCCCCACACACGCACGCCCCGACACGCCGTCAATAATGCTGTATGCCTAGTTAAACCCCATGCAATACCCCCTCGTGGCTTTCTTTCGAGGCGATTAAGAAAACCCCCCCAAAAGAAAACCAACCCTCGTGAATGCCTAATCCCCCTCCCGCCCCCCAAAAAAAGCTTAAACTATCGCCCAGCACGGACGTGCATAGTTCAAGTACCCAAAATAACACACACCACATTCAGACCTTCTTTCCTCCTCCACCACAAAAAAAAGACCTAAAAAAAAACCTTAAATACTTACATAACACATTTATATATACCTTAATAACCCAGAATATAACGGAATATAAACCCACCACCACTGCACGCTAATTATATAATTGAATTAAATCAAACTTAGTCTAGTCCAAGATCTGCAAAGAACCAAAGGAAGCTTAAAGGCGGGGAACTAACGAGTTAACTAGATCTAAAAAGTAACCTTGGGGCTAAAAGCTATCCCGTATTTCGACATAAGGGATATCTATATCGAGAACTAATTTTTTTATAAATAGATTATATATAACTGTAAATAGGATGGTTGTGCACCTCAATTTAGTTTAACTTTCTAGGGTTTATGCTATTATTACCAACTTTGGAATTATATATATACTAGTCAAAAGTATTTCCTTTTTTGGAAACTAAATTAAAATTCCATGCGATCTGCATTATAATGCCTTTGGCTGTCCATGAAGGCTGCTTTAAGGCGCATTTTCCGTCCCAAAGAACTCACGATTGATATTTCCCGTGCGGCACTTCAGTACTCAAGTAAGTATACTTCCTTAAGTGTCATTGAATGGGGCCATTGCGTGTCGTAGTTTCACTTCGTAATCACCATGGTTAATTAGGTATTTTGCTTACCCCGCTTATCGATGTAAAATAGACGCAATAGAAGTAAAAAAAAGGCAGGCATAGCATAAGTAGTCAATGGATAAGTCAGTAGGCAGTGGTAGAAGAAAAAGTTATATAAACCGTCTTGAGGACTTAAAAGCATTCCCAAAACCCCATTAAAACCCCGTACGGTATATATGGGGAAAGAAAAGAAGGGAAAGAAGGGGGAGGCTAGAGAACAAGAATGAAAAGAGAAAGAGGAGAAGAATGAAAAGGAAGAAAAGGAGGAGGAAAAGGAGGACGAGAAGGATGAAAAGAATGAAAAGAATAAGGAAGATAAAGAAGCATAAGAAACGAAGAAGTGATAATGATGATGATTAAGTCTTTTCAATCTTAAGCTTGAGCATTTCATAGAGCTTATCAGAGACCAGCACTGTGGTCCCTGTGCTCCGCCCCCCGGGTGCATAGATGCATAGAACTTATACTATATCACGTAATCTTAGATTAATTCTATTTCTACTATTGAGGCATGAGTACTTCAATAAAAAGGGCCGACCTACCTCCACCTCTAGAGCCTCACTCGCTCCGCTCAACCACCCCCCTCATCCCCCACCAGTCCCAAACCAACAATAGCAGCCCGATGACTGCAGCCTCTGCACCCAGTACGCGGGGTGACCAAGGTCCACCTGGCCTGGTCCGCACTCACCGCCACTATGCGGTCAAATATATTCTGCGGGGCGATATTCGTGCACCATTCTAAGTGCGAATAGTACATAGTATACTGTTTTTGTTGGTGTTACCGTCTCCGTCTGAAAAACTGTGACAGCTTTCATCGGCACGCTCGTCGTGGCAGTGCTGACGGTGGCCGTAGCGATAGTCGTGGTAATCGCACTCCCGTTCAACCCCCAGAAGGGTGAGGTACGTGCACCACCTCGCCATCGTTGGGAGAAGCGAAAAAGTTGTCCCCAGCATGGTAAGAATCACGCCAACCCTCTGCAAGGCCCGTCCGCGATTTCCCATTTTTCCTCATTGAATTCTATACAACGAAGCTGCATGGCCTATTCTAGGCAGAGCACACTAAAACCAACGGACATCTTCAGCAATACCTCCTACATTCAAGATTAGTAAACCACTTCACCAAATACATTACTTTAAACCGCCCTGGAAAACGGTATCACACAGAAATTCAAAAACCCTTACAGATGAGATGTCCAATTAGTTACCAGTATGATACCACGGGACTATTCGCGAACGAAACCCTTTATATACATATATCGATCTAAATCGACTCCTTCAATCCTCGTTCAGCACGGCACGCGTGTTGATAGGTACGCGTACGGCATCGGGTTTATAAAGCTTAATATATATAGCCGGGATGGCATATACACCGCACGATATCGATATCGATACGGGAGTTTTGTGAGGTGTGTGTGTGGTGGCTTGAATTCTTCGCGTAGCTGTCATGTTGGGAGTGTGTAGGTGAAAACTTTGAAGAATGTTGCCAATTGCCAACTAGTTGACCTTTTAACTTGGAGTGTACATACATAATAGTCAGTTATTTATATGAAACATACATGGCAGCGATCAGACGCTACTCACCACGTAGACCTTAACTCTCTTTGATCGAAAGTAGGCAGATCCTTAAATCCAACGACTATCCACCCACCTATTAATAGTTTAAATTTAACGTGGACACGGAGTATATACCATACATGCATCCCTCGAAGCGAGCGAAAGCTGTATCTAGACTAGTAGTAGATTTAAATCCTTAGGATTCATCGCAAGCTTAATATCAATATCAATGGTACTAGTTAAATTAAACGTCCTCTATAGCTATAGCTATAGCCATCAAGATGACTTCCAATTGTAATAGAATTTGTTTAGAGTTTTTAATTTCTTTGTCTATTATTTATACTTACTTAAGTACTTACTTACCTCTTGAGTAGGTATTATACCGAAATAGAATATATATATGACGGCAGTAGAAGGATGTAAGTTACTATAGGATTCTAGCTTCTTCGGGATCATGGGTATTCCAAACTAGCTTAATTATAAGGTATCACCAACTTCTCTTCTTCTTCCTTGATCTGGTGTACGATACTATCGGATTCTTGAAACCCTTTTTTTTTTTTCGTTTCCATTTCGTTTCGATTCAACAGACTCCATCTTGTTAAAAAAAAAAGAAAGAAAGAAAGAAAGAAAGAAAGAAAGGAGAAAAAATACATAGAAAAAAAAAGAGACGACGACGAACGACGACGACCTTACTTTCAATCAATCAATCAATCAATCAATCCTAGCCAATACACTTCACTCACAAAACGCATTTGTTAAAAAAAAAGAATAGAAAAAACCGCTGAGGCGATATCAAATACCCTCCCCAAAGGGATAAAAAAAAACTTCAAAAAACTGGAAAAAAGAGAGAGAGAGAACAAGAGAAGGTAACGTTAGCCATTCTCCACAGGAAAATTCCCCTCCTTTCTAAACATATCCGCTGGGAGCCTTTCAGAAACAGAAACAGAAAGAGAAAAAAAACTACCTAAGTAACATAACCACCTTCCCTCCTTCACCCCCCCGTCTTTTCCATCCTCCCTAACATTTTATACTTCTCGAAGGATGGAAAAAGAAAGAAAAGGGGGAAAAAAAGAAAAAAGTTCACATCTAACTCATACTATAATTCTCCGAAAGAACCCCAACACCTCCCATATCCGTATCATCCGACGGCCCATCAACCTGCGGTACCGACGAACTCTGCTGCGAAGGATCATTCCTCCTCATAATATCAGCAACAGGTCCCAACAACCTCTGAAACCCTTCTTTCCCAAGCGTAGCAAGCTTAACTTTATCCTTAGCAACCACACTAGCCGCGCGGGGGGCATCATTCAACAATGCCAATTCTCCAAAATAATCGCCTTTGGTATAAGTCTTCAACACCTTGGAACCCTCAGATCGCTTCTTAACTTCCGCGTGACCCGTTTCGATAATGTAGAAATTATCACCTGGGTCGCCTTCTTGGATTATCACCGCCTCCGCGGGGTACGAACGTGTTTCCAGCGCATCTGCAATCTTAGATCGTTCGTAGGGCATAAGTCCCGACAACAATGGGACGGTCTCAAGGAATGCTTCGTACATACGTCGCTTCTTGAATGTGTTCTCCATTAAGATTTTACGGAAGGTAACTCGGTCTAGTGACCATAGGATCGAGTCCGGGGATGTACTCATCACGGTGGCGGCACGGGGGGCGTTATACATCAACGCTAGTTCTCCGAAACTGCCGCCCGCGCCGATGCTAGTAACTTTCTTACCTAGTCCCTCCAGTCCTGAGGTCATTTGTCCGGATGGGTTGACGTAGACGTCGAAGATTCCTCTTTCGACGACGTAGAAGAAGTCGCCGACGTCGCCTTGGGTGATGACTCGGGTGTCCTTGTGACGGATGGCTTTTTCTGTAAGAGCGCCCAGGACCTGTTTGGTTTGGTCCTCGTCTAGGTTTCGGAATAGAAGGTTGTCTGCGATGGCGGAGTTGAGACGGTTGATTTGCTCGGCGGTCTTTTGGGTGAATGGTGGGGTCCAGTCTTCGCTGGCAGAGGACGGAACCATGGACTCGGCTGAGACGGATGTTCGTCGGTTCATGTTGTAATTTGATGGGAAATCATTGGATGGGGACGGAGAGCGGAAGGCGGAGGATGGGGCAGCTGGTGGGGAGAGGGTGCTTTGGGCTTGGCGACCGCGGGGTGCAAATGTTGTACCTGCAGGCGGTGGCGGGGAAGCAGAAATACGGGCGACTTGCTCGGAAAGCGACGCGGCCCCTTCCTTAGGCCCCAGATTGTACTTCTGGAAAGTAGATGCCGTGGGGCTCTGGCCCATATCCGGCTCTTCCTCCTCGATTATCGGTTCATTAGGGCCGACTTCGTTCGCGGGTGGAGAAGCAGCGGAGTTGAAGGTGGATGTGTTAAATCCAGGGAACGAGCTTTCTACGGGGACGAGAGCGGGACTAGCACGACCTCCTGTAGCTGTGATACCGCCGAAAGTAGACGCCGATGATCCGGTGGCGTTAGCGCCGGATAGCAAGAACTCGGCACGTTGAGATTCGAGTCTCTTGTTGAAGTGGTTTGCACAGAATTGGAGGATGTCCGCCGGTTGGTTCTTCTGGATCTCGCGTTCGAGCACCGTTCTCTCGTGTACATAGGCCGGTGGCAGACTCATCCTTGCCGATTTTTTTTTTGATTTTTTAAAAAGGTCTCTTCTTTTGGTGGGGAGAGTAGACGGGGAGGAGGACGGGAGTCGAGGAGGCTCAATTTAATAACGCTAGAAATCGGAGGAACCCTTTTTGGCCCTTCAAACTACCGACGGCCGGTCGAAGTAGTCCGACAAGAATACACCGACCGATATAATTCCTTTATTGGGGGATGGTTTCGTTCGGAGTGGGTATGTGTATGTGATATTGAGGATGTCTAGGGGAAAAGAGAGAGAGATGTTAGCTGTTGTTTCTTCCCCCCTCCAATGTGAACCAAACATAAAAGCAATCAAGCTTAATCATGCCCAAAAAAACAAACGCCACAGTACCAATTGACCAAGTAAAATAAATCTGTTCGAATCGAACCGGTAGGTTCTGTCGACTGTTGCTGGTTCCTGCAGCTTTCAACCTTGGGGTGAGTGTTTGCGAGCTGGTTTCGATGTGGGAGAGGAAGGGAGAAGCTGGAGAGACAGACGATCTATGTGGCAGACACAAAGACGTGTCAATCTAGGCTCGCAGACGGCGGCAGCAGCAGCGGCAGCGACGAAGCTCCGTTTCGAGGAACCGAAAGGGTTTTAATGGCTCGACTTGCTGGAAGCAGCTAACGAGGGTTGTTCGGGGGTCTCGGGTAAGTGGAGTGGAGAGAAAGTGAAGTAGAAGAGAAAGAACTGAGGGGCAGAACAGGACAGGGCAGGACAGGACAGAACAGGGCCAGAAATATCAAAGACGAAATATAGATAATTCCCCCAACCACAATTAACAATTCACAACTGGCGACCCGGCTTGGAATAAATGTATTTAATGTGCAGCAGTATCGGTCACATAAGCTAGAACCTGCGCGATATGATGTCGAATCGTATCACATCCGATCATGAAACAGGATCTGGATGCGGTGGAAATTGGGAAGGGTAGGGCAGAGAAAGCGAGAGTCGCTTCGGGCACAGGCGATTCTTGTCTTCGTGGTCTCTTCCAGGCTCCACGAATAAAATGGGTCGAGGTGGGGCCGACAGACCTGAGCAGGGAAGCAAGCAAGCAGCAGCAGCAGTAGCAAAAGAGAGGGAAAGTAGAGGTGGAGGAGGAGGAGGAGAGGAGGAGAAAGAAGAAAAGAGTTACACGGCAGAAAATCGACCAGATGATAGATAGAGGTTTTTGGGAGAATATGATGCCTGACAATGGACATGCGCGAAATCACCGAAGGATCCACTGAGCCACTTACCCTTTGATGAAGTCTAGATGATAGATGATAGATGATAGATAGATCGATAGATGGGATGATGGTGAAGTAAAGTAAAGCAAAGCAAAGAGGAAAGAGAAAGAGAGAAACGAAATGAACTCAAATGGGGACAGTTCAAGCAGGACTGTTTAGTATAGTACTAGTACTAACTAGTGCGGGCGGCGGGTCTGCAGCTTGTAATAATATGTAGACGGAGTGCTGCAGCTGCTGTGTATCAAAAGCTTCTGGAATGCTGTACGGAAGAAGATGATCCCAAAAAGAAGGCCTAACTTAAGGGTTCGATGAATCAATTCATGGGAGGAATGTGGAAGGGAAAAAAAGGTTCTGACGGACCAGAGCCAGTTTTAACTGTAATTGACGGGAATTTTCTTATTTTCTCTTCACGTCTCGCTGGAGGGAAGACCGGACGATGACGATTTCAGCAGTGCCTGAGCTGTTTGCGGGAGAAATTCACCCAAAAGCAAGCAACAGGCAAGCACACTAACACTTCCTTCCCCAGCCCCTCTGCATTGTCATTCATCTTCGTATTGATATGTAGATTCACGTTCATGATTTCACTCGTAGGAGGCTCCTTTGGGGGGTTCAGGGTGGTTCTTTGGGATGCACCCAGATGGTGTGGAAGTCTGCCGACACACGTACATGCATACATCTACACCGATAAGATATATTGAACGATATAAATATATCTCGTCTTGGATGGTGTATATGTGTGTATGTAGGTTATGTATGCATGGATGTGTATAATGTCTCATGAGTTATTCCGACTCCCACGGGCGTCCCTTCTGGATAAATATCCGTTTCCCTCGCTCGCTTGGATGTTTAATTTTGGCTACACCAGACCATTCCCTTTTCCCTCTTCTCCTCCACCCCCAAAGGTGTGGTCGCTCGGTTGGCCTGTACTCGTCTGTGCATCGAAGACCAGATAGATAGTTAGCAGGCAAGCAAGCATTTAGAGCACACGCACAGACGGTCAAGCAAGCAAGCAAGCAAGCATATCACACCCCGCTTTTTTTTTTTTCCTTCTGATTTTCTCAAAGCAGCCAACCAACAAACAGCACAACCTTGTCTTTCCGGGAAAAAAATTATTAATAAGGGAAGAGATGGTGTGCTGGAAGCTCTGGAATGCGGTATGGAAATCTGGGAATAACTGGTATCATTGGCTCGCTTACCCTCCCTTGGAAGCATGGCTCCAGCCTGTTATTATTGTTTTTATTTTTTTTGGGAGGACCCGAACGAAACCTGCCTTTCGGCTGAGCAGCTTCCATGCTGTCTTCTAGAAGCTTGAGCCGTCGCAGCCGTTCAAAAGCGCAGAAGCCTTCTGTGGGTATCCGTTGATGAACGGTGATGCCAAGGGGGCCACTTTTAAGTGTCTCCACTTTTTTTTCCATTATTCTTTTTGATCATCATCCACAATTGAGTTTCTTTCTCTCGTACATATTGTGGACTTCGTACGGGGTGGGCTTCTTAAAGCATTGAGCTGGGGGCGTGTGATAGAGCATATTTTGGGGATATGCAATGAGAATTGAAATATCTTTCATGCGATAAATATGTTGGTGCCATTTTGCAGTTGATGCCTCTTTTGGCTGGGTATATTCCTGCATCACCGTCAGCCCGTGACCAGGTACATTTCTTCATCTACTACTTCCTTCACATCCCGGCTGGTGTATCGCTTCAAAGAGAAAAAAAAAAGACAAGATGGAAACGAACAAAAAAGAGGATTGGGAAAATGAAAATGAAAAAAAAAGAAGAAGCTCTCGAACGGGGAGTCGAACCCCGGTCTCCCGCGTGACAGGCGGGTATCTTAAACCGTTGGACGATTCGAGATGTTTTGATTGTTGTTTGGATGAAGGTCCAGAGCTGCGGATTGAATATTATATTGTAGATATCAAACCTTTTTTGTGAAGAGCTCCTCGTGATTTAGCCGATTTCCCCTCGTGATTGTCTCTACCTAGTACATACACAATAGTAAGTAAGTGTCTGAGGGAAACCGAGGCATTTCGCAATTGTGAGAAGAGTTCCTCAGGGAAAGTTTTGGTAGGTAGTTTGGTAGTAACCTTGATAGAGCTTAGTCGTGATGAAATTTTCAGCGGTTGAACCTGGTGAACCCGGTGAACCCTTGTTTGTTGAGAGTTTTGGTGTTGACTGTTTGCTCCTACCAAATGTGTTGTCGCACAAACATTGTAAAATTTTTTTCCCTCGTCCGGCGGGAAGTGTCGTCTATAAAAGGCCCTCTGCTCCCAAACCTTTTGGACTTTTCTTCTTCTTTTTTCTTTAGACCACACTTCGTATGTCAACCCCCCCTCAAAAGATACACATCAATACAATACAATACAGTACAATATACTAACAACCTCACAGATAGGATCTTTTCTATAGTGTACAACCTCTTTTGAATTCTTTAAAAGAGCCACTTTTCCAATCCTGGCTGATGACTGGATGGTCTATCCTTATTACCTCGCTGCCACAGAGTGAAGCCGATTTTTGTTACCCGTTCTTTTTATCGAGGATGAGGTGGTGATGATCTCGACCCACTTGCTTGACCCTGTTCTTTTCCTTCGGGGAACCAGATGATCGCATTTTGGGTTGGCAGTGATGGTGGTCTGACAGGTTCTTCCCAAAATCATTCTTTTTTCTTATCCAGATGAGACGAGATGAAGATGGGAGGTTAAATTGGAAGAGTGGTGATTTTGAAAGTTTTCTTCTGAAGGGCGCGTCGTTTCTTTGTTAGTACATAAGTACTTATTTAGAGTAGCTGTATCAATTGAATCCTATTCTATTACATCTCTACATATTATTCATTGTAATCATCATATCGCATATCTCCGTAGTAGCAGTAGCCTTGTGAAGAAGAAATCTTTAAATCGCCGTTATAACATCAGATGAGATAAACTCGCGCAAATTCTTTCTCTGGATCAAAAAAGAATAAAAATTTTTTGTGGATGAATTAAATCGGCTTTTGTCGCGTGCGCACAATTTATTTAAGCCGGACAGGCAACAGGCAACAGACCCTGCATCAACACATGTTCTCTGCTCCCCGTCGCCAATCTCAGACACGGCCTGCACGACGTAACGAATACCCCAACCAGCACCTGTACATGTCCCGATGATCAGGATGTAAGGACAGTAGAATCATCGGCGTTTTATTCGCCGGCGAGCTCTTCTCGAAATCTGCTTCAGAGGGGTGTGTGTGGTAGTTACATAGTTACTTTCCCTTAACGGGATGGAGAGTGTGGGGGTGATGGTTTTGTGGAGAGGAAGAGAGGGGGGATTTGGGAGGAATTCCCCATTTTTACAAAAGAAGAAGAAGACGAAAAAGAAGAAGATGATGATGATGAGGCTTGGACATATTGTTTTGATTAAAGTTAGGAATGGTCTGGGGAATTGGTCACCATATGCATACTTACATACATACAATGGTACCAATCGGAGATACATGTTGAAGCTGGTGATCGTGAGGGTACTTGTGACGATGGAATGCAGCCCGGTATTTTAGACTTTAATATGCAGAACACTACGCATAACATAACATTAACGTGACATTTAACATTTAACATTTAACACTGACCATTAACATGCTATACTATACTATGTATGTAAGTACGTACCGAAGTACCTGTCCTGTTGGCTGACTGGATCCAAAGCTGGGCATTCCGGCCGGTCCCTGACCCAAGATTGTGGTTTTGTTGGCTGCAAGGGTCATCTGATCTTTTCAACCTCTCAGACCAAAAAAAAAGCTCGAGCACCAAAAGACAGCTTCATTGGGGGGCGCTGTTTCAATGTAATGCTGCAATGGCCATCGGACGAGGCGTTCAGATGTAGTAATGTGATATATGTGATGGGTTATTGACCGGCCAAATCTCCGGTTGTTCGCTCAGTGTCCGCTCTCTCTTCTCTCTCTTTAAGCTTCCCCATAATTACGATACCACTCTCCTCCCCGGAGATGAAGCCCGTCTATGGGGTTATCCTCTGAAGTGAATAGGTGATCACATGGGTGACACACCGAACGTTAGAGCTTCGTGTGATCTTTTCTGTGAGACGCTTAAGCTCAAATATAAAATAAATATAAATATCTGTCGATGTTGCATGTTGCATGCTGGAACAGAAGTCTTTCTTTCTTCCCAGCTATTCTAAAACATTTTATACGTCACTGAAGACTAACGGTTTTAACTGACAGCAAAGATCACCAGAACTCCCGAGCTTTTTTTGGTGTCGATAGACAACCACATGCTCTAGCTTCCTCTTCTTCTTTTTTTTCGCTCTTCTAGAGCTGGGATAGAACCATCGAACGTTCTTTTTTTTCTTTTCTTATTTTTATTTTTATTTTATTTTTTATTTTATTTTTTTTCTCGAGGGAAGAGGTGGGAATGCATGAATGTGGTGGTGGTGGTGTGGACGTAGACCGTTTCGCCGTTTCGGAGCACGTCCGAAGCCAGCCAGTACACAGAGCTTGCATTCCCCCTCCCCTTTTTTTTTTTGAAGAGAAGAAGAAGAAGCTTTGGATGACCCCGGTAGCGATGAGCTCTGGAAGCCAATTGTTTGTTGCTATTACTACTACTCTTTTCCCCTCTCTCGGGGAATTAATATAGGAAAAAAGCGTGGGGGAATTAATGTTTAACTGACGAATTGGGTGGAGGGTATGTATGGAATTTGGGTAAATTCTTGTGATAGCTTAAGCTGTTAAGGTTGAGTAAATGTCGATGTTGTTGATGGAATTCTACTATTCTTTCCTCTTATTTTTTTTCTATTCGGATCTATTGTATCATCATGATCGATATCATGAACGACTTATAGAGTCAGAGAGTAAGAGAGTAAAAGAGTGAGGGGAGACAGATGGGGGATTTTAGGTTGATTGGAGACGAACAAGGGCCCCTGTCATGGTTTCTCGAGCTGTGAAGTCATCACGCTTCAAATCGGAATCCCCCTTAGCTTAGCCTCTCCATTATTTTATTATTACTATTGTCAAGTATCAATCAATCAATCAATCAATCAATCAGACATTTTCAATTGAAAGAAAAAAAGGATTTTACTTTTGGATCTAGTGCTTCTTTAAAATCAAGTTCCTTCCAGCCCTTCTCTTTTTCTTCTTTCTTTCTCTCTTTCTTTCTTTCTTCCTTCCTCTCTTCCTCTCCCCTCTTCTTCTTTTTTGGAAAGAAAGAATTCGGAATTCCTGGGATTATACGTACATACGTACATACATACATACATATACCTCGCCATTGCAGACGCATATCTGAGCTCTGCGTGCATCGAACTGCGTGGAAATAATTGTTATATAGGACGGTGACGGTCAGCAGCGGGGAATAGAACCTATACCTGTCGACTGAGCTGTATTGCATCGCATGGCATAGCTAAGCTACTTATTATTTACTAACAATATTACCCTGCATTTTAAAACCGACCGACCGACGATTCCTTTTTTTTTTTTTTTTTTTATAAAAAAAAACTAAAAATTTCTCTATTTATTCCCGGCCTCGGAATTCTAAATATCAAAATTCAGTTCAATTCAATTCAATTCAATTCGATCTGATCAGTTGTGGTCTGTGTCAGGAAACTATCTCGCCCGAGAAAGAAACAGCACAAGCACAAGCTCGCTCTGAAGTCTGTCAGTCAACTCAGACCAAACTCTCTCGCTCACCTTCACTATTACGTACATCCTCCACCAGAGCTATCACAACGCCAATTACCCTCCTCATCAGACCTATCACCAGCTTCAATCCCCCACATCCCCTCACGTCCATTAATATCGCCTAGTCCAGCCGGCGTATAGCTAGTTTACCCAGCTCTACCGAGACAAGGACCGGGTCAAATCTACCCCTCCTACGTAAACGAAAGCTAAACCCAGCTCCCAAAAAGAAAACCCCCTCCAGAACCAAAAAAGAACCATGGAAAGCGGACCTCACGCCCCGGAACCGGGTAGCCTTCGTCCATCAACAACCATTGTCCATCCTCAAAGGATCGAACAGATCGTTCCAGCAGTTGCAAAGGCCTCTCTTGAAGCTGACGGCATCACCGTCCATTCCAATATTGCCGGTACCAACGATGCTCCTCGTACTGTAGGCGTTCTTCGATATAACACATCACACGACTCCTTGCATGAATTTGCTCCTGCCCATATCTACTATGGAGATGATCATGATATTGGGTCTACCAAAAAAGGAGCTGTTCGTAGCAAGGTTAGGACGTATTCAACTTCGGTAAGTTTTTTTTTACCCTTTATCTTTCCCTCAAAGTTTTATTTTTTAAAAAATGAAGTAAAAAGAAAAACAAATTGGAAAAAAAAACGATATTAACGGCGTCTTTTATTATTATATAGGCTGCTATACCCCTAGGATCCGGTCCCGGTATTGATGGCCAGCCAAGGAGTGGCGGACGCAGACGTGCATCTTATGGTAGGGCTGCCACGCACGGTTCTCTCGAAAAAAAAACATATTGCTAATTTAGGTCTCATGCAGATGAACCGTCCTCTCTCCCTCGCAAGTTCTTCATCAATGTCGTCACCACCCTTCAATCTCTTCTCGAATCCGAAGATACCGACGGAAACTACCAGATCACCATCGACGATGGAGGCCCTAAAACAATTACCCTTGGAACTGCAAACTCCGGTGGATACAACCGTGCTGATATTCGAGGCACTTACATGTTGTCGAACCTGTTGCAGGAACTCACTTATGCCAAGCAATTCGGACGACGCTACATTGTCTTAGATGAAGCTCGTTTGAACGAAAACCCCGTTGACCGTTTGTCCAGATTGATCAGGACTAGTTTCTGGGATGGCCTTACCCGTCGTATTGATGCCAGCGTTATCGAAGTCGTTGGGTTTGATCCTAAGGATCGCACGGATGACCCGCGACCGCGCATCTACGTCCCTATCGGGGCACCGGAGCAATTGGAATACTACCAACAGGTAGCTGCTGACCGTCCGGAACTGCGATTGGAGGTTATCCAGCTCCCCAAAGATATAACACCCGATTATGTCAAGTCGCTCAATGATAAACCTGGCTTGCTCGCTCTTGCCATGGATAAAGAAATCGATCCCAAGACCGGTCGAGAGACACTCGTTGGAAAGCCGTTCGTTGTCCCCGGTGGTCGTTTCAACGAACTTTACGGCTGGGATTCATATATGGAATCGCTTGGTCTTATTGTCGACAACAAAGTCGATCTCGCCAAAGCTATGGTTGAGCACTTCGCATTCTGCATCCAGCATTACGGAAAGATCCTAAACGCCAACCGATCCTACTATCTTTCCCGTTCGCAACCCCCCTTTTTAACTGACATGGCTCTCCGTGTCTACGAAAGAATCCGACACGAACCTGAGTCAAAGGAATTCCTCAGACAGGCACTTCTCGCCGCCATGAAGGAGTACCATCAAGTTTGGATGTCCGAGCCGCGATTGGACAAGGTCACCGGTCTCTCGCGTTACCGCCCGGAAGGCAAAGGTATCCCTCCGGAAACTGAAGCTTCACATTTCGAGCATCTCCTGCAACCGTATGCCGAAAAGCACAATATGAGCTTTGACGAGTTTCAGCAGGCCTATAATGACGGCGTCGTTTCGGAGCCGGAATTGGATGAATACTTTTTGCACGACCGAGCAGTTCGTGAGTCCGGCCATGATACTTCCTACCGTCTTGAAAGAATCTGCGGGAACCTCGCGACTATCGATCTTAACTCTCTGCTCTATAAATATGAGGCGGACATTGCCAAGACTATTCGAACCGTCTTTGGGGATAAGTTGGCTGTCCCCGAAGAATGGCTTGTTGGCGACCAGAAGAGCGGTCATGTCGAGTCCTCCGCCATTTGGGATCGTCGTGCCAGAAAGCGTAAGATGGCTATGGACAAATACATGTGGAACCCCGAGAAGGGATTCTTCTTCGACTACGACACCGTCGAGAAGAAGCAAAATTTCTACGAAACGGCCACTACATTCTGGGCGATGTGGGCGGGAGTAGCATCACCAGGCCAAGCACGATCTATGGTCGAACGCGGATTACCCAAGTTTGAGGTATTGGGCGGGTTGGTCGCCGGAACGGAGGAGTCCCGAGGGGTTGTGGGAATAGATCGCCCGAATCGCCAATGGGACTATCCGTACGGATGGGCACCGCAGCAGATACTCGCATGGGGCGGCCTTCAACGCTATGGCTTCGATCAGGAAGCGGAGCGTCTTGCGTATAGATGGCTGTTTATGATGACGAAAGCGTTTTTTGACTATAACGGTGTTGTGGTTGAGAAGTATGATGTTACGCGACCGGTTGATCCTCATCGAGTTGATGCGGAGTATGGAAATCAAGGGTTGGATTTTAAGGGTGTTGCGAGGGAAGGGTTTGGATGGGTGAATGCGAGCTATCAGTATGGATTGCAGATTATCAATAGTCATATGCGACGGGCGTTGGGGGCGCTTACGCCGCCTGATAGTTTCAGTAATGCGTTTGATAGGGAGGAGATGGTCTTTTAAGTTTTCTCTTTTTCCCTTTTTTTTGGGGGGAAGGAGGAGCTAAGGCTGTTTCTCATACGCATTTTTCTTTTTATGGAACACTGTCGGGTTGGGTTTTAATGACTATTGATTCTGGATGGAATGGGATGGACGCTGTGGATTGATGGGACTTTTTACTGGTAATGGCTGTTGTTTTTCTTCTTCTTCCTTCTGGTTTTTTTTTATAGACGGGTTTCTTTGTCTACAGTTTAACCTTTCCCTCGGGGGGTATGAGGATTAGGATGGAGAGGGAAGAGGATGTAGATAGATACTCGGTCTCATACGGCTTGTGTCTGTTCTTTTTTTTTTTTTTTTTCTTCCTGCGTTCTTTTATTTAATCGTCTGTCCTTCTTTTTATTCTCTCTCTTTTTTTTTCTTGTTTGAAAAACAAAACTGGCGTATTAAGATGGGGTTAAAATGCGAATGGAAATCACTTGTTTTTATTAACTATTATTATTATTACTATTAAGACTTTTTTTCTTCCTTTGGATTTACTTTTCGTTTTCCTTTGAGGGGGGGTTATAGAGATAGAATTAGAATTAGAATTATAGAGGGTGAATGTTAATGTTGTAGTGATGGTGCATGCATGGCTGGCTAGTTTGACTTGAGGGGTGGGGTGGAGATATATGGTGTATATATACTGTGTCGGAAGGAGGGGGGTTTATTGATACTGTGTTAATACAGTTTTTTTTTGTTATAAATACGGTATTATAATTACGGTGTTCAATACGGATTAGAACAGTATTTAGAGATGTTTTTACTTTCTAGTATATTGTGGAGCTAGGTAGGTAGGTAGGTAGGTAGGAATACGCGGGAGGGGGGGAAATTAAACAGAAGGGTGAGGAAGAGGGGAATGGAAGGGATACTATTAAGTTACAGAAACTCGAATCTGTATGTGTAGCTGCCTAGGTACTTAGTTATCTGAGAACTTTTGCTCTATATATATGCATAGCTGGATTGCTTATGTATAAAATCTACTTACTACTATACTTATATATGCAACGTATTGAGTTAAACCTACTCTCAGTCATCATCATCCTCATCATCATCATCATCCTCGTCCTCATCCCCATCATCACCATCCTCGTCCTCATCCTCATGCGCATTCAACAACGACCTCAACTCCAACTTCAACGCTTTTTCAATCCTCAATTTATCCTCCCTCTCAGCCTTCTTCAAATCCTCTCCAAGTCCCGGATTATTCGCATAAAGTAGATCAAAAAACCCTCTAGGAACGGGACCTTCATCACAACCCATCGAGAAACTTTTCAAATTTTTTAATTCCAGGGTGGTCATATCAAAGCGATAAAAAATTTCTCGAGGAAAACGTTTACGCGGCGCCGGCGCGTGTCGGGTGAATATCCTTAAGGTTTCGAGATTTTTAGAAGTATATTTCGATAGTTTCTCCCACCAGGTTTGTGAAGCGTGTTGCATTATTGTTAAAGATTTTGTGGTTTCTGGGGGTGTGAGGAAGAATGAAGGGCTGAAAAGTGCGTAGGTGACTTGAAGGACTTCGAGGCGTGAGAGTGATGAGATTGTATTTTGAAAGTTAGTTTCTAGTTCCTGATCAGTACCTTCTTCTAGAGGGTATGCTAAGAACAATTTTAGAAATTTTAAGTATGGCGTTTGCGAGAGGATGGAGATTAGGGTTGTGGTATTTCTGATTACTGAGTCCCTTGGGTGGGAATTATGACCCCATGTGTCGCTGTGGATGATGTCGAGAGATGTGATGTTGTTTGGGTTGAAGAGTTCGAAGGGGAAGTCGATGTCTGTTTCTCTGTTGTTGACGTATTTGAGGATGATTGTGGCTGCGGAGTGGTGTTTTATAGCGTTTAGGAAGGTGCACATGTGGGGGAGGTTTTCCACTGTATTATATATATATTATAAGTATTATACCAGCAATCTTAGAACCAATCGCCGCATTCTCACCCCTGGCAGTAATCCTAAACGCCCTCGCATTCATGACGCTATCAATCTCCAATCTTACAAGGTTTATCCCCCCAGTTTCGATCAACCCCGTAATAAACTCCAAAAGTCCACTGGTAACCCACACGGCAGTATCCACAAAATCCTGGGGACCGTTAAAATGTATCTCTTTGACATGTTTAAACCCTTCTATTGTTTCGAATCCAAATTCCTTGGAGTTGGAGATTAGCTTTCGAAGGCCGATGCCCTTCATTGGTTCTCCTGATCGGGTGACGAGTCTTTCTATGGGGGTGGTGGAGAGGGTATGCCATATCTTTGGGAGGGAGATGGAGTGGAAGTGTTTGGAGACGAAGAGGAGGGGGTAGGTTTCTTGACGGGTTAGGTGGGTTAGGATTGAGGTGAGGAGTTCGGGGGGGAGGGAGTGGATTGGGGAGTGGTTTTTTGTGGGGTTCATTGTTTTGCTTAAGTAGAGTAGAGTAAAGTAAAGTAAAGTAAAGTAAAGTAAAGTAAAGTAAAAGTGTATTTGAGGTTTATATCTAGATGTGAAGTTAGTTAATATTTCATGATAGAGAAAAATGCAACATATGCAACACTTTTGGTGAGGGTGGAGGTTGATTGGGTGGTGTCTGGGAAGGGTAGTGGCTAGCGTCACAGGATGAAGCTAAGGAGGTTTCTTTAGCTAAGATAAGTCTTGAATGTAAAATTTTAAAAACTCTAGAATTGTGGGTTTTGGTCATAATAAGTGTTCATATACCGCCCTTTCTGGGGTTTAAATTTTTATTAATTGTTAATTTTTCAAATTGACCTTCCCTGTTAGCTATAGTATATTCTACACCTAAATCGGAATAATAGCGCTTCCCCATCCTTCCTTTAATTGCGATAGGCTTTACTTATTCCTTCATAATCTCGCAATTCTTCCGACTTTCCTCATCGAGTCCCGGATTATTCGCAACCACTATATCAAAAAACCCCTCTGGAATAAAATCCAAACGAACCCATCTATCTGTTTTAAATTTCTTCAAACTCTTCAGTTCAAGATGTTCCATCCTATACACAAAATTTTGTCCTTGAATCCTCATATCAATATCATCCGGAGAACCCCATTCGGAAATAATCCAATCCGTATCAACATAGAGTTCTAACTCCTCGACCTCTGAAAAAGGACATTGTGAAAATTGTCGCCACCATTCCCATGAGAAACATCGCGTGAAAGTCAACTTCTTGACGTTTTCCGGTGGAGTGACGAAGAAGGAAGGATGAAAGAGCGGACCGTAAATATGAAGACTTTGAACTCTTTTCAACCCCAAAATTGTATCTTGTAGTTGAGATAACTCAGATAACAGCGGTTGAACCAGCGTCGGAACCCTTTCGCATCTATTTTCCGATCCTGAAATATATAGAATCTTTAAAGATGGGAGTCTTTGGAGAAGATTTGTTAGTCGTTTAATATTGTCGATTGTTTTCTCAACAACATCTTCGCCGACACCGTCGGATGGGATATCTACGTCGGAGCGAAGACGTAGGTTTGTAATATCTTCTAATCGGAAGTTATTGGCTATGAATTCGGAGAATTGGTCGCTCCAGGGGATGTTTATCCTGATTTTGAGCTTCTGAGGCCAGGTTTTAGAGTATTCTTTCAGAACACTTAAGAATTCACGCGCTTCGTGGCATACTTGCTCTAAACAAAAATTAACAAAAATTACTGTAAATAATATCTTGAAGGTTTCTAAGGAAATACCTGGCCTCTCCAATATAACCTCCAACAACCGTAACCTCATCCTCCCCGCCTTGATTTGACCACAAACAACCCCAAACAATCCAGAATCAATCCAAACACTCCCCGCATCTAAATCAGCAGCCCAGAATACTATATGCTTAAGATATTTAAAGCCCAGAATATCATCTTTGTTCAGATTATATACTTGATCAGTAATATCATCGCCTAATCTTCGAAGTCCAGTTTTTCGATATCTATGACTTAAGGAGGAGGTGGATCGTTCGTGGATGTTGGATTCGAGTCTTTTCCAGATGTGAGGGTATGTGATGTGGTAGAGGCGTTTGGAGGTTAGGAGGAGGGGGAAGATGTCGCGTTTGGAGGGGAGGTGGGATAGGATGTTTGAGAGGAGTTCGGGGGGGATGGTGTCGAGGGAGGTACCGGAAGTGGAGGCCGGGGATTTGGAGTCATTTTTGGGGCGGGTTGTGGATTTGGATTTTGGGGCTAGGTTTTGGAATTTTTGGATAAAGTTTTTCATGATTATCTAGTAACTATGTGTAGTTTTGGACTGGTTTCGTATTTTAGACCGCAGATATGAAGTTTACAGACGGAAGTAGTACTAGTGATTGCGGGGTACCAGGGATGGTGCCACTTTGCGTATATGGCCGCGGTAGGAACAAAATGGCATATGGAGCAAAATCTTGGCTTTGAGTTGAGTGTGTTATGATATTCGCCGTGAATCGATTGATATTATGACGTCCTAAATGTATCAGATGTTTATATATATATATACATTAAATGGAAAAGTGGGCCACCTAACTAGTCTCGTATTGCAGACGCGGTCCACACTTTGTACCCCCTAACCACGTTTGGGAATCACTCTATCTACTTTCGGTTACACCAAACACCCACATACTCTACTATCTAGCCTACGGTCTGGCCTACTGTCTGGCCTACTGTCTGGCCTGCTGTCTGACCTACTGACTAGATTATAGGCCGGTTCGCAGGCAGGTAGACTGCCCACAAACCTGTCTACCAACCCATATACCAGCTTAAAGACAAGCGGACTGACCTATAAACCAACCTATAAACCAGCCTATAAAACAACCTATGAACCACCAGCCTATAAATTATTAGCCTATACACCAACCTATAAACCACTAACCTATAAACCAGCTTAAAAATATGTAGGCTAACCTAAAAATATTAGCCTACAAATCAGTCCCTAAAATATGTAAATAACTAATCTAACCTAAAATAAATTGAGTAGTTACCAAACGTAGTTAACAGGCCCACTTTTTCTGCCCGACATATATAAAAACATCTGACACATTTGGGACGCCATACTAGGAAATTTTGGATTTTGCAACGAAAACAGTATAACGATTAATATTCCAGTCCGGGTCGCGGTTAGTATCCTATTGATCTTATTTAGGTACTTTTTTATAACTTTATATGCCAGTTACCATCTAGAACCAATTATCATTGGAATTAATTATAAGTTTCGTAGTTAGGTACTTATCTAGAGATGTTAATAGACACAAGAAATAATTTCGGTCTGTAGATCTAGTACGTAATCCAGCCCCCTACCCGCGATAGCACTATAGTATTGTGTTCTATAGTTTATAATTTAAAGCCCCGGGAATATTCAATTAAAACATAACTATAGTTATATACCTGGATACGAGACTAGTTATATACATAGTGCAGCCGAGTTGACTTTTTAATTCTTATGAGATATATAGAGAGATAGCTTAACTAGTAGTTAGCTTATAACCTCTGTACCTAGCTCGTCGACGTCGCGTCTGGCTCAGGAACTGATGACCATTCGATCCGAAATGATGAATCCCCAGCCGAGCCGAGCCTGAAATCCCTGATCGAAGTTGAGACAGTATCTAGTAGCTCAACTATTCCTTTACGCCTGTGTTCTAATGCTACTGATCTAGGAGTGTTGCATTCTTTATCCTCTACCTCTGGATTAGCACCCCGACCAAGTAACAACTTTATCATCCAATGGTCCTGTGGCCCGGGTCGGGAAGTTGCGTTTAGTACCGCCAATAACAGCGAAGTCCTCCCTTGATTGTCCCTCGCCTCAATATTAGCCCCCCTCATGAGTAATAGTCCCACTATGTCTAGCTGCCCGCCCTGTACTGCACTCAACAAGGGTGTCATCTCCTGCTTTCCCCTTGCTTCAATATTGGCTCCCTTTTCGAGTAACAGATTCACAACGACTAAGCTACTTCCAAGAATTGCCGTTAATAACGGAGTAACCCCCCGTCATTAGCCTCGATATCAGCACCGTAATTGAGTAACAGCTTAACCACAGCCGCATGCCTCCATATGGCTGCTACCGATAGCAGACCGTGTCCAAGGTTGTTCTTCGCTGCACTATTGGCACCATTGTGAAGTAAAAGCTCCACTATTTCGGCTCTTCCGTTCATTGCCGCAAAAAGCAGCAGTGTACATCCGTCATCGCCCTTCGCTTCTATATCTGCGCCCTTTTCTATTAAGAGGCTCGCTATCGATTTATTCCCATGAATAGCTGCCAATGCTAGTGGCGTGTGATCAAAAATATCTCTTGCTTCTATATCGGCGCCGCTGTTTAATAATAGGCCCACGATCGCCTCATGTTTGTGTATAACCGCTAAATGTAGCGGAGTATGATTGGAATAGCCTTTTGCCTCGATATTCGCTCCATTTTCTAACAACAATTTCACCACCGTCCCATGTCCACAGATTACTGCCCCCGATAAAGGAGTAGCTCCACTTCTATGCTCCCAAGTCTCCGTGTCAGCCCCCGCCGAGAGGAAAGCTGCCACAGGCCCTTCGAGACCGAAACAGGCTGCAAAGCACAACCCTGTCATCACCTTATCTTTATCGTATCTCTTTTTATCTTTATTCCACCTGTCATCATTGAGTGTATGGATTTGGTTACAAGCCTCTAATTTTTTTTGATTCTGGAGGAGGCCCATGACGAGGGGCGTTGCTCGAACGGAGGATTTATAGGCATGGTGAACCCAATCGTGTGAAGCGTATTCGTATAAAGCGTTTAATTTTAGCATAGCGAAGAAGAGTATCACAGACTCACAGGGCCCTGTCTCAAATATGTCGTAGGAGAGGTAAGTTGCACAAACTTCTAAGATATCGTTATGACAGTTTAAAGATAAAGCCTGCGGGTGATCTTCAAAGTATTCTTGCGCCGTATAGTGAACTAGTCTCATAATTTTGCTGTTCTCTTCCATAATGACAAGTCCGGCGCAGACAGATATCATACGGTTGATGTCCGGAATATTCTCTTCGTCGAAGGCATGCGTACCTATCTCCACAGCAAGGGCGCACTGGAGCTCGGATACCGTGAGCGGTCTCGTAGCATATACTACCCACATAAGGACCTGCTTCGCTAGTTCTTCGGAGTCTTTGTTATGGGATTTAATACGCTCCATAGCTCCCTCGTACGCTCGCTTGTAGGCGTCGGTGCTAAACCCAGATTGTTTACCGAAAGTATCCAGGGCAATTCTTATTTTTTTCTTCGAGGTTTTCGTACGGACTGACTCGAAATACAGTTCTGCTAGCAGAAACCTATGAGGGAATCAGACTTAGTATAGCCCTGTACTGGCTTAAACAACGATGAGCGAAGGGGAACGGAGGGCCTGGTGGTGGAAGGTAGTAATTGATCCAATACACAGTTGAGGTGTTTGGTAAAGATGATTTATGAGAAAATTTAAATAGCCACCTTTCCATGGCGATATCATACAACTTACATTCCGTCCACCGCTTCTAAAATCCCGTTAACCACTAGCTCCTCACATTCCTTTACCTTTGTGTTTTTCGAACGTGACACTTTTTCAATAAGATACTTCCGTACATCTTCGTCATAGGCACGGATTGATCTTGTCGGATTGCCCCAAAATTCTTTTTCAATTTCTGGAATCGGCCTGGAAGTTATAAAAAGGTTGACACCATTAATTCTGTCATGAAGCTTTAAAAGTTCGGAGATGAAGTTAGTTCGACAATCATCGTCTTCTCGACATTCGTCAAGAGCATCAATGATGATGAATACCCTTGAGTACGTAGCCGCTACGGAATGGAGGGCTTTGACTATTTCGTCATTCAATGGCCTCGTTTTTTTATCTAGGTGCTGTTTATATAGTTTTCTCACAACTTCAGGCAAAGAAGGCCTTGTTTGTGTGAGCTGTTTCAGCAGACTAGATAGTAAGTGATCAAAGTTCTGCTCAAGGGCTTCTTTGAAGTTGCAATAAATATACGCAGTACCAATAGTTTCATCGTCTGAAAACCAATTGGTCAGGTGGTTAACCACAATAGATGTTATAAACGTTTTGCCCGCCCCGGGAATACCGGGGCAGAATAAGATTTGCTTCTCTTGACTTGATAACCACGATTGGTACTCTGGAGAATTTAAGAACCATATTCCTGTATTTGGTTGTCGGTTTTGGAAAATGTCACTTTGACGGGGGCCATAATCCACCTTCGTAAGCCAAGCAAGGACCTTGAGATCTTCGTCTCGGTCTAGTCTAGACTTTATGGCCGTAGTATAATCAAGAACTAGATTTCATTTTAGAAGACTGAAAAGCACACTCAAATCTAAACATCGGCAAATGCCAACAATCTAACTAACCTTGATCCATGATGTCCCTAGCCGGCTTTTCTCTTTGAACTTCAACAGATTGTACATAGCTTAAAGGCTCCTTTGCGTATGCCGCAGCCATCGCAGCCGCATACTCCTGCCAATCCTTCGCCTTTTTTGTGTCTGCGTAGTCGCAGATGCCCCTGATGACAATACATGGGAAGTCCGCCATCAGCCCTGCTGCTTCCATCTCGAAACACAAAACATTACCACCAAGGCTCCCGCTGATGCTATCGCGAAATTTTGCGTTTTTGATTACCTGATTACCGGAAGCAATCAACCCATAATGAATGCAAGGCTCCTCCTGTTTTATTTCAGGCTCCGTGCATGTCGATGCTCTGTCTTTGGATTGTGGTTTCGGGCCATTCGTTGGAGCGACCAAGGAGCGACCAAATATAAAACTAATGAGAAAAAGAATTATTTCCCATAACTGTGCGAACAATGTCGCTTCCTGGGTTTCATCCAGATAGGGATCCTTTAGCGACCCGTTCCACGCATATTTGGGGGCAAGCCGTGGGTGGTTGTTTCTTAGTTCCTCCATATAAGTAGGTATTTGCGTCCCTTTTGCTTCTACGATCGTCCTTAATTTTGATATCGCTGTTAATAGAAGAGTCGGCGGGGGATTTAGTGCGCCCGTTCGTCGAAACCCCTTTTCCATCTTGCCGAAATCCCATTGTACGACTCCGGGGTGCCGACCGAATGGTGTGCTAACAACAACATCCCCAAGCCGTACTTTGGATGGCGCCCCGCCACCGATACCGACCATGAGCCCAAATCGGATCGACTGGAATGTACTGATCATTCGAGTCGCAACAGCCACGGCAGGATTATTACCGATTTGGCCGGAGGGTAAACATGCTATAACAACATTATGGCCACGTATCTCGCCGAGAATGTATGAATTTTTATCCGTCAGCGGTATGGGAAGATCTGGGTGTTGTTTATCGAGCATTGCGAACGCTGCTGTTTGTTCCTTCGGCAGTGCGCAAACCCACCCTACCGTGTAGTCATGGTGAGACTTCGGTTTGGGTGAAGGCTCGGGTACTTGTGTCGTAGTGGGTTTAGTTGTTGCATCCATTTCTACAATATAGTTTTTCGATGAACGGTATAAGCTTTAAAAAAATTATGAGACTGGAAAACTGCTTTCGAGGGCGCGGAGATGGGAGTTTAGGAATGGTGTACAACTTGAGAACATTGGGCATGGTCTGGTTTGCAAGGCTTTATAAATCTCCATCGATATAAGGCCGCCCGGATTTTGTTTTTCTCAGCTACTGCGCCTTCATGCAGATAAGGTGGCTCGACATATCTTAGAAAAGATAGCAGCCTCGCGTCCGCGTCCACCAGCTGGAACTGAATCATTGGCCACAACATCACGATCACCACAAAGATAGTGTTTCAGCCTTTTTCTATGTAACTTATGAGGATTGATACTGATGAACTTGACTAATCCCTCTCTAGGTATTGTGAAATGGAAAATAACGGCGCTGAATAGGGGTTCATAGCTACTTGTTAAGTCGAGATCAGCCGAACTTGTTGCGCTGAGGATAACGTTGCATTTTATGCGTTGTTCGTCCGCCGTTGGAGGTTAACGTGGAAGCTTTGTTCTGGTGTAACAATCGCGCGTTCAGCTTTGGGTGTACCCGTAGGCCGGTAAGTCGATAAACTAGTATCATTAGAGTTAGTATTAGGGATCTGGGATAATAGGCAAGAAGAATCCAAATCAACCCTTGCTCCTAACCTTTCTTCCAGTATTGCAAAACTTGGCCACATTATTGCGTGTTACCACGAGATCTGAGGGTTTTGTTGTATTTCTTGCGTTGGATTGAGGTGAGCAGATCATTGGTTACGAGACTGAGCAGATCATACCGAATTGAGACCAGACAACCTGCAACTACATAGCCTCCAGAGCCCAGAGCTAGAGCAACTATCGAGACTTAAAATATATACTTTCTTATCCCAGCATCTTAACTTTGAGGCACATGACGGTATAATGTTAAGTATATAGTAATTAGCTAATACTAGGAGGATGAAGGATTCCGGTGCGCACTACCCGTAAACCGACTGCGAGCACCACCGCATAAAGCAATGGCAGAATATATTTAGATCTATATGCAACGTATATACGTAACGTATGGCAAAACCTCCTTCAAACAAACCCGAAAAATCCCAGGAACTATGCGCCAATATGGACAAAGGGTGCCCATGCAATAAAATCATCCTTCCATTCCGGATCATTCATCAACTCTTTTACCGCTCGATGTAATGCAAGCGCAACATCGAAGCTTTGTGGTCCAGAGTCACCCTTCCATAATTTCTCGTAAAAGCTCTTCGCGATCATCGTCGCAGACTCATCCTCTGCTTCCCAAATCGTTCCAACGACATGTGGATATCCGGCTAATTGAAACGCGTTTGCAATATTTATGGTTTCATCGGACAATTTGTCCGGAGAAATCTTCGCGGTCGAGCAGGCGGAGAGGTATGCTAGTCTTGCTTTGGGGTTTTTTATTCCGACGAGGTCTGCTACGGTGATTTTTTCGTTGGACTTCCCGTCTATGTCGTCTTTAGATCCTTTCAAAAGCAGATAGCTATCCGATGGGCTTGTTCGTGGAACTCCGGGGTCTCCTTGAAACCCAACAGAAACTCCATGACAAGCAAAATGTGCTATTTTAGAACTCTTGAGTTGATGTAGGACATCTGTTCGTGATGCATCTTGTAGCGTAATGGGATTGCAATGATTTTGAATAATGTCTCGAATGTCTTGGATTTCTGCTTCGAAGCCCAAGTATTCATCGGACGCACTAACTAACAAAGCCTCTTTTTGAGCATCCTTCGACTGTTCAAGTTGTGCCCGTGATTTTGTTCTCGCAAAATCCAGTGCTTGAGCGGTGGAAATGTAAGACGAAACGACGAAATCCATGGCGCATTCAGCTCCAGGTTTGCCGTAGATTCCCGCAGCGTGAAGTGGGGCAAGACCCAATGCTCCACAGGTAATCCACCATATACGCGGCAACTTGTAATCTTTTCGAGAGCCTGGAGCCGGGTGAAGGTAACCGAGATGATCTAGTACTGGCCTTACAGCCGAAACCCAGAGCCATTTCAAGAGATCTTCCATTTCGTCGTTATTATCCCCCAATTTGGTTGGATGTCGACCTGAAATTTGGGATATGCGGGTAATTCGGCGTACGGCGTGCCGAGAGTCAAGATCTTCTAAAAGAAGAGCCTCAACCCCTGCAGTAGTAATGATAAGGGCATCACAACGATCTGACGTATTATTGAAAGTCACGATTGGACCATCTGTGGCCAACGACTTGAGCTCCTCTTCGCCAAGAGAAAGTTGAAACGTAGAGAATCCAGGTATTTTTCGAATTTCGTCTTCGGTTTCCTGGAGTTCCCGTTCGATAAAAAATGGTTGGCGTATCTCTAAGATTCGCGGGTCTCGATTCGACTCGAGCATGGGCTGATCGTCACCGTTTGTTCCGGTGCAAAGTTGATTCCGTAGTGTTTGGTAGCGCTTATGAAGCTGGGGATTGATATCCTCGAGAAGAGAGACGCTGGTTTGGGATCTAATCGCGAGGCTAGCCATCACCCCCCGCCCAGCTTCAAGTACCCTGAATGCCTCGGTAGCAGATCTACCTACCTCCAGAAATAATGAACAGGCGGCACAAGAAAGGTGAGTAGTCTGGGAAAGTAGGTATTCGTGATCACGGCGATCGAGGGATCCCTGAGTGATCTGAGACAAAAGAGCAATTATCTCGGCCATAACTTCGGCTGCTTCGCAATTGGCTCCACATTGAAGATATAAGTTGCAAAGTCTGACCCCGCTCAGTATCCTTGATTCAAGCGGTGTGTATCTGCTTGAATTCGTAAAGAGCTCCCTATTGCAAGCCATCACCTTCCAGAGATCTTCTTGATTTTCTAATCCACCAAATTGAAACCATCTCTCATATTGACAAGATAAGGTACTTAAAACGGGAGCTGGTACCCCTTCTCCTGTTGGAATAAGAGAAGCGGCCTTCTCTAACGTCTGTATAGCCCTTTGCAAATCCGCCCTATCCTTTAGTGACGAAAACCTATTATCATAGGCAAAAGCGAGTAAGAGCAGTTTCTGAACATGAGATGGACAGTTTTCCGGTGTCGCGGCCACGGCCTGCTCTGCGACTTGGACTTGAAAGGTATCTCCACTATTACTTGGGTCCCCGAATTGGCCAAATATGCTATGATCAAAGCTATCGAAAACTTCTTTAATGCAAATTAGCATATTTAAAATCAGTGGGTCGTTATTCCATGTCATTAGGGACGCTTCCTGCACCAATTCTAGGGCCCTTTGGAAATCTTTTCTATCCCCCGACCTCATAAATCTGTTAAGATAGTAAATCTGAAGACGAGAGAGACAATAATCTCTGAGTGAGGTATCAATCGAAAGACACGCTAAAGTTTCCTTCATGGATTGAATACTTTTTTGAAGATCCTTTTGGCGCCCTAAAATATGAAATCTAGCGTAGTATAATTCCGCAAGATTTAGGTTACACACAGTTTTGCCCTTGGCAGTAATCAGTGGAAGAACAGTGGCCCCTTCAGCTATTTGGATAGCTATTTCGATATCTTCTCGATTTCCAAGTTTGTAAAATCGATAACAATGGAGTGATGCGAGGTCCGAAAAAAGGATGGGAATATATCGAGCTATGCATCTATCTCCTGATAGACACTTGACGGCGATAGAAGCCGCCACTTCGAGAGCTGAAATCGCCAAATCGATGGCAACTTTACCACCTCCTTTCTCGGACCAATTGCGGTAGTTGGAAGACATATCGATGAAGCAATTGCACAATATCTTTGCCGGTAAATTCTTGGATATGCTAGGGCGTGAGCACTCGATGTCCAACCGACCCAACATTATCTCGATGGTCATTTCCTTGAGATAGCCGTTATTTCTTATCGTCCAGTACATCGTCAAAAGCTTGTCAAAATGCTCGGACATCTCGACAGTTCTATGCATCTGTGCGTCCTCTCGATCTGAAACTTGTTCACCATCCATTTTAAATTTTAAGCCCCAGTTGGAAGGTACCTGATGAAGTGTTGGAAAATTTATAATTCGCGAATTCGTAGCTTCTTTTGATATATATAGACGGGTCCCTCTCAAATTATATAGTCCGCTCTAAGAGAATTTGCAGAGTAAAAGGAACAATTAGCAGGTGATCAACGGCACACCAACAGTTGGACATATTGCTTAGAATTTAACGGAATTCATGAACTCTTTGCCGGGGGGCGCGTAGGTCGTGATCTGATTGGGCATGAAACTTGAAAGCCTCGCCAGCGCTGCAGAGCGAGCTGTACACAGTAGTTAAGGATATGTGCATGCCGGGGTGGCTGTGTGCGTACAATGCATCGGATGAAACTTCCAAGGCTGCTTCATAGGCGTATAAGCTGCGAGAATTTAGCACTTTCAAGCAAAAGTGAACAATTCTTGAAGGAACATTAGTCAGGTTCAAATTGTGCCCGCAGAGCCACTTAATACTTGTCGACCGTTGTATACTTAACTACATGCATAGGAGCCCTCAACATCAGAAGTTGAGATAATCCAAGTTCAAATATGTAGGGCTATTCTGGAAAAAAAATATCTTTTGCAATACCTTCAAGCTAACTAACTATCAGCTTTCTCAACTTCTAGATTTTCCACCGCCTAACTCATGTTTCGTGTTGCATTGAAGCTGCATATTTTCCACACTTTGGTTGCGAGGCTGCATATTTTCCAACAAACGCTATGAAGGCAACGATTCCAGAAGCCCTTCCAACGAACGCTGTGAAATTAGGTCGTCTCGTCACAAACCGGAAATCACCAGCAGAAGAATTCTACGATAGTAGCTTTCTTCCAGATATCATCTCTGAGGACAATATAATCACTACATCCCGAAACAACTTCCAAGAAGTCCTTCGCAGCACTCTTGGCACATCCACCTACTCAAACCTAACAGCGATAATCGGTTCCAATTACAATCTCAAAACTCAAGAATACGTCCTTCTCGAAAGTTTTTCAAATAAATCATACCAACTCGAAAATTCCACAAATATTTTTGATCATATCTGCGCAGATCCTGGTCTTCGAAAATGGTTGTTAAGGATGATAGGAAAACGACGGAATAATATCTACATGATCGTGGGACTCCGAACTATCACAAATGCCAATATCTCCTGTGGAAGTTTTAAGTTAAAAGATACCGGCGGAGAAATCTCAGCTCCAATATCAATCGCACTACCAGCTGCCATCGGCGTTCCAATTCCAATAATTAGCGATGTATTAGATGTAGGAGTAGGGAAGAGCAGGATAGAAGAACATGAAGTACAAACACGATTTCAAGCCCCTGGAGAAATGGTATATGCGGTTGAATACCGTAAATTAGAGTTTTCGTGGTTCTCTAGTAGGAAGGTTGATAAAGCGACGTTGGGGAATAGTAGATGGATGTTTAATACTGGTCTTCGGCGCCTTGAAGAGGAGAGTGATGTGGTCGATGTATACCTTGCGGGTGAGGAAGCGGTAGAAAAAGGTGAAGGGGACTATGTTGAGGAGTTTGAAATTTGAAATTTCAACTTAGGACGGCGGGTTTATGTATTATGATCGGATCTGGGCGAGCATAACTAGTCTCCAATGTAATATAATCGACGGCTTTAGTATCATCAACTGCGAGGTGGAACCTAAAGGGATCTCGAACCTTCAGACGGCACCTGCCATATTTGCATAGGCAGAGAAGTTTTTTAAGCCGCAATCCCCCTGATAGACTGAAATCTTCTTCATGAATTCAGCGATTGGAATTATACTCGACTTAAAAATGGATCTAGTACCCGACTACAGAAGAGAGGTCTTAATGAAATCTGGTAATCTGAAATACATATATGTGTATGTATATAATCGAAAAATATATTACTTTGTTAAAATTATAAAAGGTTTAGAGAATGTTGTCTATAGCTACTAAGGTAAACTTTCAGGTTCGCTTGCCTCATACCTAGACCTAGAAGAACACTAGTTATGGTATTGCCTATTAAGTTCTTGAGTTCCTGAACTATTTATCAATTTGTTAGCGTGCTAGTGAATTGCTTGCTAGTGAATTATTTACCTAGTTGCCAGCATGCGCATGTTAGCTAGCGAATTACCCATTTAATCTGGTTTACGAGACCAATATAAACCACCTATCTAGCTATTGAACTACCGATTTAACTCGTTGCATACCAGCTAGTTTGTCGATAGGATGTCTGATAGTCTAGTCGGGAAGCAGTTCACTAAGTACCTTCAGCCCTAGTTTGTAACTTCCTGGTGGTTTTTGTTATAAAGCATGGTACTTCCCCAGCCCCAAAGCACACCACCAACTCTGGACTCGAAGCTCCCACTTGTGTTGACACCGCCAACCATATTTTGCGTTGACCCCACAAGATCCAACACAACCTTTTCCCAAAAGAGTTACCGCCTCATCCTTGGCAATCACCCGCCCCATGCCAAGCCAGTCCGCTTCCCAAATCCTATTCCTAACAAACTCCAGCCCCCGAATATTTCAACACTTTCCCTCCAAAGGAATTAGTCTTAGTCTTCCCTAGGCAGTAGCTAGTATTCAACACCAACCTCGTTGTTTAAAGACCATCTACAAGCACCAGTGATTGGCGGGTATACCAAAAAAATGATAGTTTAAGAGTCATAGACGTCAGCATCATTTCCCGATGTTAATAACGCGTAAGAGCGTGATATCGTGACTCCTTTGGACAACGAAGTGATTTGTTGGCGACGCGGACGGTTTTTGCGGGAAGGGGGGCTAGTGTATATATAGTCTGTGATATCTCAACGTAAATCAAATGAAATTAATCGTCTATATTACTTATCGTAACTAAAGAGAAAAACTTAAAGATACAATAAAAAGAAAATGGCGGCAGTGGAATTAAAACCGGAGGATTCGATTGATCCTTTTAATGAGGTACCTCGGGAAGTACAGACGGGTATAGCTATAGCTATAGCTGAAGGAAAGGAAGCTACACCGCAGGTTTCTTCACACACAGAACAAGGGTCTGAGATTACAACCAAAGATTCAATCCCTTCGACGGAAGTATACGAGGAAGAATCTATGACTGTTGAAAAAACGGAAACATCAGAGAGTCCGTTGGAGCTTGAACCGGAGCTTCAGACTACAACGGAGGATTCAGAATCTCCCAAGGAAACACATGAAAATATCACTACCAAAGAAGAAACACTCAAAGACGAACAAGATTCATCAGAACCTCAGATTGCAATAGAATCTCTAACTCTCGAAGACCCTGCCACAAACAACGAAGAATCAGAAGAAACAGAAACAGAAGATCAGACGGACGGGGAGAATTTAATCAATCTCCTGCCTACCGAACTATGTCATGGCATCCTATCGTTTTTAGACGATGATGAGAAAGAAAGATTCTCGAGATGCTCGAGACACTGTTATTTCCTTTCCTTCCCGTTACGGTTTAATGGCCGGGTTATTCTTTCGAAACATGAAGACGGAGTTGGGATCGGTGATTTCGCTGATGGGAAGTGGTTGGAGCCGTTGAGATATCATATTCGGTATATTATTTCCCTTCTAATATAGATGCAAGATATACAGAAACAGTATTTCTGATTTAATATAATCGGATATATAGTTCGGCAAAGATACACTTCTGGCAGAATGAACTGCATAGATCACTTCAGTCCATCGCCATATTCCCCAGACTGATCAATTTAACCATCTGCTTAACCATGGATAAAGGATTCGAAAGGAACTTATCTGTCGCGGTCATATCCTCATTATCAAAACTGCCGTTTTATGATAACATAGAAAGTCTTACGCTGGATTGGAGTGAGCAAAGAACACCCGGTGGCCTCTCACGTCGGCACATCGAATTGACTTCCGATAGCGAGGATGAGGAGTTCAGGGTTACGTATCGTCGAGGTCCTGGGGAGATGAGATTACATAAGGCGTATAAACAGGGCTTTCCACGGTTGAGTTCCGAGACGAAGGAGTTTTTGGGAGGGTTTATTAAAGGCGGGGAGCTATCTACGGTTGTTAAGAAACTGAAGTTTCCTAAATACCTGAGATCGTTGGATTTTAATATCTCCTGCGAGGATTCTGCATATGCTTTACCCTTTTTCCAAAATTGCAATGCGAATGGGTCGAATGTGAAGGTAGATTGTGGACTTCTAGTCAGAGGGAATAGTTTCCCCATCCTCGATCTCAATACCCGCCCAAAAAACGAACCCGCGGAAATAAAAACCATCAAACGCCTTTCTCTAGGTTTTCCAAAGGGACATCTAGACTACGACTCCATCAAGGTAAAATACCTACTCTCCCAATTCCCAAACCTCGAGGTTCTAAAATTCGTCGAATACTCCCCCTACGACGCCGAAGAATTATGGGAAACCCTACCGAATCTATCAAAATTACAACGGGTGGAATATGCATGGCCCAGAAGACCGGGTTCGTACGGTACGTCTGGTAGATCGGTGTATACGGGAGATTTGGAGGAAGTTATTGAGAAGAGATTGAAGAATGGGGATTTTGGGTGTTTGAAATGGGTTAATATTAGAGAACTTTGGCCGGGTTCGACTAGGAGGGTTAGGGAAGGGGAGATTTTGAGGGTTGTGGAGGGGGGTGAGGTTGTGAGGAGACGGTATGTTTGGTGGGATGGTTTGAAGAAGAGGCCTACTAGGGTGGAAGGTGGGGATGAAGGGTCTGAAGCTGGAGAGGGGGAGGAGGAGTGATAATTTAGAAGTGGTGGTGGGGTCGGCACATGATCGCGGACCTTGGTCATAGCTCCTTCTTGTTAAATTATTTGCTTGCAGCTTTGTATATATCCATTTTCAATGAAAATTAAACATTTTATTAACCTCGACCGTAAGACCAATAAAATAATTTAAAATTCAAACGAGTACTCGAAACGCTTGAGTATCGGTACATTGTATAGCGGTAAATAGTATTTATACCAATTCTTCAAGCTATTAGAGCTCGCGCGCAGGTATATCCGGATATATATCCCCATTTGATTGTTCGGATTCGATTCGATTCTACAAGTAAATATCAAAACATTAGATTTTAATTTAGATTAAATACGAATTTAACATCGAGTAAGAACAAAGTATGGATTTCGCTTTGTGTTTAATTTTTATATCAGCGCAGTCGGGGTTCGGGAATGGGAGGTGGGGGAGCTGTGATATTAATGGATGGAAGCTGTCATGTCGTGATGTGTGGGAGCTGGAAGCGCCACACAACCCGTCAAAGGGGAACAACCATCCCAACTCGAGGTTTCAGGTTTCCCCCCAGCAGGAAAAGCTTCCTGGTAGATTTCTTGGACAGCGTTTAGATGGTCAGTAGATATATATAAAAGCGGTGTTCTTTATATAGTAAAATTAAATTAAACTTGTTAGTTAGTTACACTTGAGATGAATTAGTATAGTAGTTGGTTAGTATTCTAGACTAAAAGTTTCAGGCCGGTTCGAATATTATTCATTCTGGATCGTAAGGAACTTCTAAAAGCATTATTAGCAAAATATTTTAGTACCGTTTTTGATCTGCAGAGATTATTATGTACTACTCCGTCTGGAGATTTGATCGGACCAGGGGTATAAGCTTCAAGCTGTCTTTTCTCGGCTAGATGAAACCGCGAGCGAACGAAGTACGGAGCATTGGTATTTTTTTCCCCTTGTCCTGACGTTACCGGCCACCTGAGTTTTTTTTTTTTTTTTTTAAATCATTCAGGGTGGGAGATTTTCTAAGCTCGAGCTCGGTCGTCTGAAATATGCAGGGTGAACGAATGGGGTAAAGACCGAGAACGTTAACGGGGGGTGGGGAGGCATTGGAATTGTCATATGATGCATGATATCAACGGTATGGCGTTGCATTGGTTTGGTTTGGGTTATACTTTTTCTCTCCTCCTCCTCCTCCTCCTATTCTTGAGATCTGGACAGGTTGTAAAGTTTGTGTCTGATTGTCTTTCAACGGATAAAAAAAATTTTCTGTTGAATTTTCTGTAGGTGATAACAAAATAGTGTATCAAGATGGTGATATCAAATGGATATCGTGATTTGACTGATTACGGTGAAGACGGCTTGCATGATGCATGCGGCGGCGAGGGTGGTGATTCGGGTGTGATAAGGGGAACCTCGAGACATAGAATTTTCTGATGGCCGAATTCAAGGAATCCCAAGCGAGAAACCCCTCCCTTCTTTGGGGCTACAAACGGGAGTGCATTGCAGCTTATCCAGACATACTTACGACCTATGACAAGACAAGACAAGACAAGACAGGACAAGGCATACCTACTTCTGGTGATGTATTGTACTGTATGTAAGTACATATATGTATTATATTGGCATGGGCATGGGCATCGGGGGCTTGCTTGCATGCAGGTGGTTGCATCTTGCTTCGGCTTGGCTGAAGTATGTATGTAATCTCGCTGCCCCTCAGACAGGACAAGGACAGCATCCCTGCCGCCTTGATTTTCTCAATTCAAGCTCTATTGCAATTGCAATTGCAATCGTGGTGGTGGTGGTGGTGGTGGTAGTGATGATGATGATACATGGTACATGATACATGATACATGATACATAATACATAAGACAGATGATGTTGGAGATACGCCTCTTTACTTGTACTCGTATCTAAACCTGTTATGATAAATTGATAAAAGATATAAAAGGGACCAACAGCTCTAAGTATCAATAACAATAAGATATATTAATATTGTGGAGGTGGCTTTGATTGAATTCAAATCCAATTCCGTCTTTTTTGCGACAGATACAAGACAGGACCAGGACAAGATAACTTGTGACCGCCGTCTGCAACCGACTAAACCTCGACGGGAATTCATCGGGACAGCTTTATAATAAGCTTACTACTCGGGTTCTTTTATTTATTTATTTTAATCCTTGCTTGTTTTTTTTCTTTCTCCCTCTTCCTCCTCCTCTTCTTCTCCTTCTCTACCTTCATCATCGCTTTCATCAGCATCATTATCATCATCTCATTCTTGGCGGTACCGACATCATCGCTGTTATCTTCATCATCACAACTTTCGAACTTCGACGAGGGTTTGCGACGGCGCAGCATATCGCAGGTAAGAGCTCAAACACCACATACCATTACGTACCTCCCAGTCTAGTCTACCACACGTACACCTCCGCCAGATGGAGAGATCTGGGAGAAAGATGGAAGCCAACAGCTCGAGAACTACCGACCTGTCTGTCTGTCTGTCATATCCGCTGCTCAGCTGGCTAGCTACTAGCTAGCTTCTGTTCTCCTATACAGCCTATACGATGACTACTACTAGTCCTGGGGAAAAGAACAGGGCGCGCACAGGCAGATAGCTGGTACGCAAGCGAGCAGGCAGCTGGCAGAAAGACAGGCAGGCTGGCCGGTATCGTATCGGGGTCTGTGTCAGGTTTTAATTCCTGCGCCATCTTGTTTATACCCACAGTCGCTGTTATTACGTTACCTTACCCGTTTTTGCTCTGCTCTTTGGCTGCTTCAGCGTCGTCGAGGGAAGCGAACGAGAAAAACCCTTTTCAGCCTCCTGGCTCATCTCTTCCCTCATCTCTCTTCCATCCCTCATCTCTCTCCCCCCCATCGCTGCTTTCTCACCCCCCCAAAACACCCGTTTTAGCCTTACCCCCTCATATACTTACTATATATATACTATACCTCCCCCGTGCATACCTTCCTCGAGCTAGCTGACTCTAACTGACATCCTCTTTCTTCGTTCCTCTTCTTTTTTATTCTCTGTCGCAGACACCTAGGAATCTTTTGCTGCCCTTTTTCTGTTCGAATCACTACGTTACTACTCATCTCTAGAACCTGCGAGTTGCGAAACCACGAAAATGTCGACTGGCAAGGGAACTTTCTCTTTTAAATGGTGAGTTCCAACCCCCCCTAAAACCTTTAGTTGAAGAATCCTGCGATTTTGTTGCTCCCCTTGATCGCTGGGAGCTGTTGCTCGACTTTATTCCCCGGTGAAGCCTGTTATCTGCTGTGGGTTTTCTCGGCTGGCGAATGGCTATTCGCGACGGAAATCTCTGTCGCATGCGATGACGAATGTTCCCGTCACTCGACTGTCATTCACAGAAGCGATGGCCGTCGGCGGATGGAAACTATGAACCGTCGCATGTCTTCCACCCACGCGTTCTAGAAATCATAAAAACTGCGATTCTCTCCATGCACATCGGATTCTTCATGCTTACCTTTCATAATAACGGAGTTTTCCTTTGATTGTTCTCCCTTTTTTTCTTTTCTTTCCTTATCATAGGAAGGCTGAAGCTGACGGGATTACGTATTTTTCACTTCAAACAGGTCTGAACCCGCCGAGGAGGTTTATGTCACCGGTAGTTTCGACAACTGGACCAAATCCGAGAAACTCACCAAGACTGCTGACGGTTCACATGTCGGAGTTGTCACCGTTCCTATTGAGAAAAACACTTACAAGGTAAATCCCAGAGTTTTCTTCGCTTTTTCCTCAGACTTGATGCGATCGATTTCATATGTATGGGTTATGGATGTGTGATACGCGAGATACGACCTGTCAGCGCCACTGGGTGGGCCCCTGCTGCTGCACGCGCGCGAACATTTTGTGCTTTCCACTGCATGAGCCTTTTTTTTTTTTTTTTAGTTTTTTCCCTCAGTTTTTTTTTTGGTGGGAGGATTTTTTAAAAAATGTGGATAAGATGCTAACGAATCAACGTGCTTTTCGTGCAGTACGTCGTTGACGGCACTTGGACAACAGATCCTAAACAACGTGTCGAGCAGGATGCGTCTGGAAACGACAACAACTACCTTCTTGTTGAGGACATCATCCCAACAGAGGAACCCACTCTAGCTATTCCAGCTCCAATTCCTGATACTTCCGATGCTACCGTTACTCCTTTCCTCCATTCCGCTGGCGGTGGGTCCACCACTGCTGCCCTCGCCGCTGAGGTACCTCTAGAGCCGAAAAAGGAGAAGGCAAAGGAACCGGAACCGGTTCCAGAGGCCACCAAGGAACCCGATACTATTGCCACTTTGCCAGTTATCGAGTCTCAGCCACCTCTTGAAGTCTTCTCCTCGATTGGGCCCGAATCTACTACTGCCGCTTTGGCTGCCGAGGTCCCACTTGAGGTCGCTGCAAAGCAGGACCCAATTGTTCCAGAGGCTACCAAGGCTGTCGTTGCGCCTGAGGATCTCCCTACTCCAGATCCAAAGTCTGTCCCCGGATATCTCCCAGATACTATTGAGGAGAAGGACGAGGTCGACCAGGTTGTCAGCATCAACCCATTCCCAGCTTCTGAAACTGCCGACAACCCAATTCAATTGGCTCCAAATGATCCAATTCCACCACATACCGCCAGTATCACCGACAATGTCAAGTTGGACAGGGAATCATACGAACACGCTGATGCTTCGAACCTCGGTGTTGGCGCTACTGCCGCCGCCGCCCTCGCTGCTGTTACGGGAGCTGTTGCTGCCGCTGTCGACACCTCTGGTGTTAAGAATTTGATTCCTGAATCCAGCTTGCCAGCTGTTGGCATTGCTGATGCCGTCAAGAGTTTGCTTCCTGAAGCAGTTGTCGGAAAGGTCGAAAAGGAGGAAGACCACAGCACCGCTACTACTGAGGTTGTCCCACCAGTTGTTGTTGAGTCTCAGGAGAAGGCCGGAGTTGACCCAGAAGCTTCCGGAAATCCCGCCGCCGTTGAGGCCAAGAAGGAGGTTAGTAATACTAACTAAAACATACCAGCGCATGATAATTGTTTGCTAACTAATAATATTTTTAGGTCGAGGACGAACTTGTGGAAAAAGTTGAAAAGGCTGCTCCAGAGGCTACTACTGATTTCCCACGCGCCGATGTTCCAGAAGTTGTCCGCGAGAGCCAGGCCGAAGCTGGTGTTCCTCTCGAGGCCTCTGCTTCCCCCATTGCCGTCGAGGCTAAGAAGGAGATTGAGGCTGAGTTGAAGAGCGAAGTTAAGCCCGTTGAACCAATCGCCGAAGAACCAGTTGCCAGCCCATCTGAGACTCCACTTGTCCCAGCTGTCGTCGCTGCTTCTATCGAGAAGGCCGGTGTTCCAGCTGAAGCCACCGCCAACCCGGTCGCTGTTGAAGCCAAGGCTATCGTTGAAGAGGCCATCACCAAGTCAGAGACTAAGCCAGAGACCTTGGAGCCACCAAAGGCCGAGGAAGCTAAGGTTGAGGAACCTTCCACTACCGAGAAGGTCACTGAGGCTGCCGAGAAGGTTGTCGAAAAGGTCACCCCTGAGGCTCCTAAGACCGAGGCTCCACCAGCCCCCACTACTGAGGCCCCACCAGTTCCTACCACTGAAGCCCCAGCTGCCCCCACCACCGAAGCTCCAGCTGCCCCCACAACCGAAGCTCCAGCTGCCCCCACAACCGAAGCTCCGGCTGCTCCTACAACTGAAGCTCCCGAGGCTCCAAAGACCGAAGCTGAAGCCCCTAAGACTGAGGTCAATAACGGCGAGGCTTCAGCTGATGCCGCAAAGGACAAGGAAGTTAAGAAGAAGCGACGAGTTTCTGCTTTCTTCCACAAGTTTGTGCAGAAGCTGAAATAAGTGACTCTCCTCGGAAGTCCCCTTTTTGGCGTTCTTGACTTTCTCATCTTAACTTTACATGCATCAAACGTCCCGATATTTGATGGGCATCGCAGGCATTCGCACGCTTTGATTCTCTTGCTTTTTTTTCACTGTTTCATTTTTTTCACTTTTTGATAAATGACCTTTTTTTTATTCGCTGCTGATGATACCAGACATGAAAAAATTGTCACCATCGAATGTCCTACCTGCATACTCGTTTTTCATCAATATCGTCATCAATTCACGTCACTACCAATACCATCCTCATCATCATCATTGTTAACGTTAATGGAAAAACCATCCCCCTAACTTCATCTTCCCTCACTCCATGTCATGCACGCACTTTGTCCCCGAACGCCTCGTAGAATGTCGCATTGATGTCACCTTTTTTTCTTTTCATTCTAATTTTAATTGAGCGGCTTTTATTTTTGATTTTGATTTTCAAACCGTGTAGGATTTCCGATGCGTTTTTCAAATTTTCATCTTTCTTTTCTGTTAATTAGTTTTCTTATTTCAAAGTATTGGGCCTTTTTTTACTTTGCAAGCTTCCTCCTGGTGCTTTGTTCTTGGGTTGATCTTGTAGTTTTAGGCTCGTATTATTTATATGATCTTTTTTCTTTTCGTATGTAATATTTTATTTTATTTTTTATTTTTATATTTTGTGAAATTTTTGAAAGATTATTATCATTTCTGAGTACTGATATATTATCTGGTGATGTGAAATACTGTGTGGAATTCTATATAATACATTGATAGGTATATGTGGGGTGAGGTTGATACAAGCATGGCCGTTGATTTACTTCTAGGATAAGCATGCATAGGATATGGAAGGAAGGAAGGAAGGAAGGAAGGATCTTGTGTTACGTTACATGTACATACACGGGGGATAATATTATCTTATCGATTAAGAAGGGGGGGGTCCTTCCCCGCCTCCCTCCTTCCTCAAAATTCTTCGATCTTCTAAATATTGAAGATCTGTGTTTGGAGGTGTGTATGCATCTGACGTATGAGGATCACATGATGGGGAAGTACTATGGGGAAAAAAAAGGGGACGGGTTTTTTGTATGTAGGTAGATGTGATGTCGCAGGGTTATTCCTTGAGTGAGTAAGTATTGCTAGTAATACTTGATTTTTACTATAGAGATATAGGTAGATATAGATTCCGAAGAGCGGTGGGGTTGATTTTGGATGAGGGTGGGATTTGGCAAGGGAGGGGGAGGGGATGTATGGGGGGTTTTGGTTAGAGCGATGTGGCCTGAACTTTACTTGTACTGTGAAGGTATAGGTAGTTTACTTGGTGATGGGGGTGGGTATGGTGTTTGACGATGGGGATGTATACGATGCATCGAATAGCTAGCTTCCCTAGCTTGCTCAAAAGGCATTGCATCGAACAATTAAATGCTTAAAAGCACCCCGCACGGCTTCGGTGTCTTTCGTTTTTATCTAGCTTCCCTTTGATTGAGAATGGGAAAAGGATGGGTGTGGGTTAGAGAGGGGGGGGGAATGAGGGGAACTCCTACCCGATGTCTACGTAGTTTACCGAATGGAATTGGAATGAGGGTGTGGACGGACCAGTTAGAGTGGATGGACGGGACTTGTGGTGTGGTTATGCGGGAAGATAGGGCCGAATGTCGGCCGGAGTTTCCTTGTGAGATGGGTTTATGGGGGGCGGGGGGGACGGTGGTATGAGGGGTTAATTTTGGATGGTTTGTGTTAAAGAGCAGTAGGTATTTAGGGGAGTTTGTTTGTTAGATAGAATGGGATAGATATCGTCATTGTTGGATGTATGTATGTATGTATGTATGTATGTATGTATGTATGTATGTATGTATGTATGTATGTATGTATGTATGTATGTATGTATGTATGTATGTATGTATGTAAGTACGATGCGGGATTGTGTTCGATGATAGGATGTTTCTTGTTTTTTGATAAGGGATTTTGATATGATATGATCTGATGGAGGGGCGGGTAAGCCCTAAACCTGACATTTGACAGTTGACATTCTGACACGATAAAAATAATCTTGTTCGTGGTGGTGGTGGTGGTGGTGTTCCGATAATTAAATATAAGTTGGATACTACTTATTTGGGGGGGTGGGGAATGGATGAATGGATGGATGGGTGGATGGATGAATGAGATGTGTTGCTGTGTTGCCGTCGATGATGTGTTTGTTAGTAGTTTATTGATTGGTAGTGTGTCTTGTGTTGTGTTGTGCGCAACACAAAACACCCGGTCAACGGTCTCCCCCAGTCCCGACCTCCTCTGGTATGGGTACTGTGTATGGTCCGGTGTGCCTTCATCAGCAACCCCCCTTCGGTTTCCACCTTCCTCCAACCATCGTCCCTTCATCGGTTCAACCTCTCATCGATCCTGACCGATTCGAAGGCATCGCTGCTTATCTATACTACGACTCCCCCGTATATACCATTCCGACTCTATCCGACCAGTCGTCGACATCTCTCTCCCCTCCTACAACCATCTCCGACGACAAGCGGGTTTCATTTACCCTCTTGACCACCCATTAAACATCCTATCCATCCATCCATCTACATACATGCACACATACCTACCTACCTACATACGTACATACATACATAACTTTGCATTTCGCACTCTTAGTTTTTCTAAAACCTTTAGTTAGGTCTTCTTAATTTAAACCGAGAAGCGTTGATTCTATTCGCGGAATCTCCCTTCACGGATCGCTTGGGTTTGAGCCTTTGAAAGTCTCAAAACCCTCAACCCGGTCCTCCAGACTTATACTTGGACCACCTGATCAAAAAAGGGAATTAACACATCCGGGCGATAGAAGGTGCATTCGGACGGTATCCGCCGACCGAGATCACACCAACTCTACCCAAAGCCGACAAAGCAACCATTCTCTAAGAATCTGCGAATTCCCCGTTTTCCCCCCATACGATACAATGGCTGACGTCGAACAACATTACGGACAAAAAGAAGGGCGCGTTAATGGTGCTGTTGCTGCTGTTGCGGTTGCGAAGCAGCAGCAGATCATGACGCCGTGCCCATCGCCGGATGAAGCCATGTTCGTTGGGGAAGACAGAGCTGAAGATCTCCAAAAGGCGCGGCTTTCTACTGTTAATGGAGACGCCGAGCCTACTGATATAGTAGTAGTAGCTCCTTCGACGAATATAGATACGGATCATGGGACGGCGACTGATGTTGCCGCTTCTCGGCGGGAGAGTGCTGTTTCTGCTGTTGCTCCTTCTCCTGCTGCTGCTAATGGTAACGGTATAAATACCATGGCCACTTCACCCGCCGAAAGCGCTCACAGCAGCACCTTCGTTGACGACGATGCTATGGTTGTGACTGCTGATGACACATCGGCGCCTACTATCCTAAGCGATCAAAAAGATGAGCAACTACGGAAAACATCTCCAGACTCCATAATGAAGGGCCACGAGGACGAGAACGATCAGGTAAGACTTGTGTTTGGCGAATTCGAGATTTCCTAATTTGCACATATCTGTCGCATCCCGATTTGATTTACATCGCCTACGTACCAGAAATAACGGGATTAGCTTTGGATTTTTTCTGGCTCGCTCGCTCTTTTTTTTTTTTTGCTTGTCTCTCTTTTGGCTAACCTTGTCGACCTTGCTTTTATTCCCTGTCCTGTCTGTCCCTCCTAACTCTTTTGCAACGAGAAAAAAAATGTGACATTTTTTGTCAAACCTTCTTTTTTTTCCTCTTTCTCTCTCGCTCGCTCCCTTCCTCCCCGACACTATTTTGCCTACAATTTTTTTTGTCTATTTCTTTTCTTGTTAAAGATATATCCCTCGATATATCTACTGCCTTTCCGACAGATTTCTTCCATTCCATTCACTTATTCCCCAGTCTTAATTCTCCCCACGCTGCCGTACTTAACTGGCAAAGAGTCCTTTAAATCGCAGCCATGGCTGCAATGGACGCAATGAGTAGTCATGATACTCAGGCGGGGGACCCTGGCGATGAAGGGAATCGGCTGAGTTTTTCGGATATGGATATGGATATGGACTGGCTCAGGTCGATGATACGAATGGATGATCTCGAGTCCTTTATCGCTTCGGGAGGCCTTGATTTTGCTGACACTGTTCCTTCTACTTCAACGCAGGCTCCTGTGGATGATGCTGGATTTTTGGACCCTCTAGACCACCACCTCGACCTCTCACAGATTGGATTCCCCCCATCGACGATCTCAGCGGAGGATCTTCTGATGCAGGTTGATGGCGGAGCTTGGTTTCCGACAAACCCAGGGAATGGGATTACGCCGCGGATAGAAGCCTATGCAAAACTGGAGTTTCATTATGGACAAGATTTTTATCTGAGCGGGTTGAATATTGTTTTGGGCAGGCAGGACAAGGAGTCGATTTCATCCTTTTCTAAGAAGAAACGGAAATCAGAGAATCATTTTGGAGATAGTCTCCTTACGCTGGATGAAGTTAAGGTTCCGTTGTTCCCGCCGCCGGAGATAGATATCAGTTCGATTTCAAGACGACATTTACGGATTCAATACGATTATGAGACTTCATCGTGGACGCTCACATCACTTTGCGACACTGGGTTTAGGTTGGTGCGAGATAAACATAAAACCAGAGGGTACCCGAATGGGAAAAGGGCTACACTGGAGAATTCGGATCTCATCCAATTTGGAAATCTGGCTTTTACATGGTTCTTACCCGACCAAGATGAATCGAAGTCTAATGAGGTGGAAGATGTTAAGATGGAGGATGTGGATATCCTTGGGGAAGGAGTGGTGCAGGATATCAGTGATCTGGATTCGGATCATGATTCTGATGATGGAGATGATGAAGATGAAGGAAGCGATATTGATAGCCGGGAACAGAGTCATGATGTTGGAACGCCGACACCTAGACCTAAGGTTGAGGGCATGGATGATTCGTCGCTCATGCCTCCGCCGCCGACAATCAAGAGAGGTCGCGGAAGACCACCGAAGAATGGAATTTCTGTCAGAGAGCAGAAACTACTTAAACGACAGGCGCAGGAAGAGTTCTTGGCTAACGGCGGTAATGTTGCTGGTCTGGATATGACGAAGTATGGAAGTTTACCGGTTGATCAATTATTTGCGAGAGAAGGAGAGAAGATGCAGATGCAGATGGTTAAGGAAGCTAAGCGGAAACAGAAGATTGAAGAAAAAGAAGCGAAGATTAGAGAGAAACAGGCGCAGAAGGATCTCAAACCGGCGAAGATACCGAAGGAGAGGAAACGGAAGAGGACGAAGTCTCCGCCGGCCCGTGAAGAAGACTATACACCCGAGCAGCTGGCGAAACCACAGTTGCCGTATACGGTTATGATTTATGATGCTATCAATAACTCTGAGAAGAAGGCTTTGACGTTACCGGAGATTTATAGGAGTTTGGAGAATTCGTATCCTTACTTTAAGGTTCGGGCGGAGACTACTGGGTGGCAATCTTCTGTACGACATAATTTGAGGGGATCTGGAGAAGGTGGTGGATCGAGTTTGTTTAAGAGGGGGCCTAGGTCGGGTAAAGGGTATATATGGGAACTGGTGGAAGGTGCCAATATCGATAAGGAACGGAAGAAGAGGAAGCCGGTTACGGGAAGTCCGCATCCGGCGCAGACAGCTATTCAGTCTGCAGCTGGACAGATGGTACCATCGGGAAGCTGGGGGCAAGGAAGTACTGCTGCTACTGCTGCTGGGCATTATGGCCATCCGAATCAGTTTGCGCAGCAATACCAGCCGGTTCAAGGTGGAATTCAGGGATATGCGCAGACAACCTATCAAGCTGCGCCTACGCCGTCTACGCCGGTTGTTAATAGGGCGCCTTCTTCGAATGGTGGATCTGTTACACCGAGGGCGGCGGTTCATATTGTGGATGGTGTGGTTTCTCAACACCGTCCTGCGCCGACGCCAGCGCTTACTCCGCCGACTTGGAATCCATCGCAACAACAGCAGCAGCAGCAACAACAACAGCAACAGCAACCGAAACCTGTTCATACAGCTACCCATACGACCCAAATTCCTCAGCAGATGCGATCCGCCGTTTCTGTTCAAACTCAGGCACCTGTCCGACAAATTGTTGCTCCGACAGCTCCTCAACCTCCAAAAGTTTCTATACATACCGTACCGATGGCTCCTCAACCTGCTCATGGAGTTCCTGCTAACCGTCCAGTTTCTGGCATTACAACGGCTTCTACCGTTCCAAAACCTTCGACATCGATGGCTGTCGATAGCAAGGCTAAAGACCTTCTGGACAACCCGATTTTCCTCAACATAATGAAAGAGCATATTCGGAAGAACCCTACGAATAACATCAATTCGCCAGAAGTACGTAGAGCGCTTTGGGCCGAGTTCAAGAAGACAAGCGGTTCTAAGGCTCCCTTGATGAAGAGTGCGATACCGAAGGCGCCGATTCCGAAGCCTACTGTTACTGCTGGAGCTCCGGTTGTTGGACAAGTTACTGCCGCAGATGCAGCGCAGTTGAGGACTGGAGTGGCGACGCAGCCTGTACGTAGTGTTATCAGTGCTCAGTCTGCTGCTTCAGCTCCAATTCCTGTCGCCAAACCCGTTCAACAAGTTCCGATTGTACAGAGGGTTTCTACTCTTACTCAACAACAGCATCAATTGCAGCATCAACAACAGCAACAGCATCAACAGCAGCAGCAGCAGCAACCACAGCAAGCTACAACCGCTGCTACACCTGCAGCTGCTAAACCCGCGACTGCCAGCTCATTACCTCAACGGACGAATGCCCTCTTGACGGGTCTTAAGCTTGACGCGAAGAAGAGGCTGGAATTCTTGCAAGTTCTGAAGAATGCGAAGGAGAAGAAGGCTGCTGAAGCTATGGGGCAAGCGAAGAGTGGGGCTGTTAAGAGGGTCGCGGAGGGAGTACCGGAAGGGAGCCCGGTTGTTAAAAGGATGGTTGTTGAAGGGCAGCAATAGTGTTCCCCTCATTCCACACGCCTTTCCTGAATTGAAGCATTTTTTTTTGCTATCTACCCCTCTCCAAGCGGAGGGGATATGATACCTGCTGCTTTTCCTGCCGAAATTATGCTTTTAATGCGCGGGGTTTCTTAGTATATAAATGTTTCGCGAAAGGGGAAAGGATATCATTTTCTTTTTTGTTTTTTCTGTTCGTCTTTTTTTTCAATTTACCGAATCATGGAAAGCACGCGGGCACGACGCACATACTGGGTTTTCGTTTCTCGCTACTACTATCACCACCGCCGCCACCATCACAACCTACTACTACTATAACTATACCCCCCTTTTTATATGTTTTTTTTAATGGGCATGAAATTTTCCTTTTTTTTTTTAGCGCCGGTGTTCCGTGCTATGGTTCGAGAATTGTTTCTCTCTCTCCTTTTTTTCCCTCATCATGTTTATTTTTTGTTTTCTGTATCGGCGTTTTAGGCGGGTGGTGTATTATTGTGGTGTGGAACTTTTTCTCTTTTTTTTTTATAACTCATCATACCTCTTTCTTTCTTTCTTTCTTCTCCACTGTAGTGGAATTAGGGAACTTTTTTTTCTTTATACTATTAGCTTAGCTTAGCTTTTTTTTTGATCCTTTTCACGGCGATTAGGTATTGCTGTTGGGATCGATGGGGGTGGTGTATGAAGAAGTGAAGAGGTGAGGAAGTGGAAAGGGGAAGAGGTGAAGAGGTAGTTGATGTCGGTAGTTAGGGAGAAATGAATATAGAGATGATGATGATGAATATATACATTATATTACATTATATTATACCAAGCATACCGGTGCGGTCTGGATATGACACTAATTATGATATTATGCCACACTGTAGAAAAGGGTTCTTTGATTTGAATGTGAAGATGTTTATGTGAGATTTTGGTGGAGGTGGACTTGCCAGATTATGTATAGGGTATACACTGGACAGTTCACTTTTTCTTGGAGACTTTAAATTTTGTTAATTGATTGGATAGTCGATCGTTTTTACGTTATTTCGTATACTGATACTATTAACTAGCCCCTGGACTTGGTAATATATCTTGCCTGCGGAAGTTCGAACACTTTTGGTTTTTGGGAATTTATGAAGGACCGCGAGCTGTACATTTCGCTCGCTTTTTTTTGGGACTTCGGGGTATATATATTGTCAATTGATACTTAGCTAGGATCATGGATTATAGAGGTGCATGATCTCCATCCTGTACATTTTTGTGCTCGAGCGACGGGCCGGGTTCGGGGGTAGTTGTTATTAGATTGAACTTAACTATTGAAAGAAGTTAACGAATTCCAGATTTTTCTTATATAAATGTACTTTCGTAGACTTTATAGATTTTTTTTTTTTAATTTAAATTACACTTTTTTCTCTTCTTCTGTTGATATTGATATTGTCTCGTATATTGATATATATACTAAGATGAAAAACAAAAGGCTAAAACAGTAAATAGTCAATGAACAGTATATAGCTATATCTAAGTAGCTAAGGTATTTGGTATATGTAATAGTAGTATCCATTCTAATTATATTAGTAGTAAAAGAAATAGCGGAGGGGAAAAGCAAAAACTGTTGGAGGGGGTATCTTGAGGTTTTTGGGTTATTTTGTCGTTATGGATTCGATTATAATATATAGCTCTTTTTCTTCTTCTTTTTCTTTCTTTCGTTTGAAGTCTTTGGAGGGTCGTATATGGTTCGTGATTCTTTTACTTACCTATTACTTCTTTCTTTCTTTCCTCTTTCCTTTCCTCTTTCCTTTCCTCTTTCCTTTCCTCTTTGTTTTTTCTCTTTGTTTTTTTCTTCTCTTTATAATTTATTATATTCCTCATCTTCTCTTCATATCTCGTCAAATATATTATCATTATTATTGATATCAATACCCATCCTGTTCCTTCGCCAAAGCCATCAACAACGGCGACCGATGTCGAATTTGTTTGCCCCATTTATAAAAGATCCAGGGAATGGGGATTAATACTGTTGCTAATGCCGCCAGAATCGTACCTGCTATTGGTGGCGATAGTGCTGTGTACATCTTCGGAGCGACGAGGGGGAGGACGCCGCCGAGGATACTATATTTTCAAAAAGTATTAGAATTAAGATTGATTTATTAGGGGGAAAGGGGGAGTAAAGTACCTTCTGGCAACGGTGTTTCCGGCTGCGGCGCTGGCGGCGTAGATTGAGTAGGAGTTTAACTATTATATATCGTATTAGAAGTTGTTTTTATATGTGGTTTGTGTTAGTTGAGTGGGGGGAAGTTACCAGGTAATTTGAACCATGGATGAAGATCAGACAGTTACCGGTACCGAATGGGATACCGGCCAGGATACTCCAAATCCATGGCTTCACGATTCTGGGATCTGATGTCCATGCGAAGATGTATAATCCCACTGGCGATAGGACTGCGGCGATACAGACGCTCCAGATTAAAGCTTCTGGTGGGATTCTAGAATTTTTTAGTTAGCCTTTTCCACCTCCTTGACAAATCTAGGGGTAAGAAGGTATTTATATCTAGAACGTACTTCCCAGTCTCCGGATCAATTTTATGTCTATTATACCCCCACCTAACAACCGGATCCAACCCAATCCCCAAAAAAGTCCCCGCGCATATCCCCAAAAACGCAAGTCCCGAATACTTCGCCTCCCAACCCCTCAACTCCGTGAACACGATCGGATAAGCCACAAAACTCATATACAAAATCGCATATATGACCGCCACGTATACAGCCCAACAGGCACAGATGGCTTCGGTGAATAACATGTGAATGGGCCGGGTTAGGTTTGTGAATAGTAATGACCAGAATGTGGCTGTGAAATCGTAGCGGGAGTGGTAACGGGGGTCGTTTGTGGAAAGACGCTTTTGGAGGGCTTTTAGGCGGAGGAGGTGAGGGGCGTAGGTTTCTGGGACGAGGAAATTGAGGAGCCAGGTTAGGGTGGCGAGGATTAGAGCTGTGTAGTTTAGGGAGCGCCAGCCGAGGTATTCTATTTTTTTATATATTTTATTTAGTTATTTTCTTTATAGTATAGGGAGTGATATGATTATGATAACGTACGGTATAAAATTCCACCAAACAATGGGCCGAAACTTGGACCGTTCATCGGAGCTATGGCGAAGACTGCAAAGGCGGTAGAACGGTCTTCGGGTTTGAAAATGTCGGCGAGAGTACCTGGACCATTTGCTAGAGTGACAGCGCCGGCACAAGCGGTGAGGAAACGGACGGCGATGATTGTTGTTATGTTTTTTGCCAGACAGAGGGGGATGCTGAGGAGGATGAACATGGCCATACAGATCATGTAGAGCTGTATTTATATATATTTGTTAGGAAAATTTTGGTTTGATGTTATATTGGTTTTGGCTTTTGAAGACTTACTCTGCGGCGGCCGTACATTCTGTAGATATCGTTAGTATAGGTCTCTTCTCGAAATAGGTACTTGGGAACTTACTCTGACAACGGTGCTAATATCAGAGGTGCAAATGCCAGTCCGAGCAGGTAAGTTGTAATACCCAGGACCACAATTGTCTTATTCTCTATCCCAAACTCTCTCATCATGCCCACGGCTCCAGACACATATGATGATGAATAAAAGACACTATATCCAAAAATTAGTAACTATAAACTTTATAGATAAAATGATAATGATACCGGAGATATACTCACACCACAAGCGTCTGCAATGCCATCGTAATCAGACAAAAGTATCTATACCCCGCCGACCAATTCAAAGGATTCTTAGGATCATCCGGTCCCTCCCAATCCACCAAATACTCATCATCCCCTTCATCGCTACAACTCCCCTCACTCCCCGTTTTCGACCCAATCTTCTCCTTCAAATCCCCTCCCTTCTCAATATCCTTCTCATTCTCATCCTCATCATCCTTTGTAGTCTTAATTTTACTTATCCCATGATGTTCACGACACGATCTATGCGTTCTAGTCGTATCCCTCGAACATATCCTATCAAGATCGATGGGTTCACCGACAACATACTGTCTATCTGCTGCTTCGTCTGTCGGGACGGTGAGAGTATGTGCTTTGCTCAGGTTATGCCCAAAACTGTTGTGGTTATGGTTGTTGTTACTGTTGCTGTTGGTGGCGGTGATGGTTTGGCTGCTTAGGGTACTGGCTGCGTATGTGACTTCTGCACTTGTGGTGCCAGTGGTGGTGGGGAGGGTAATTTTGGAATCATCGTCTGGGGGGTATGAGGATTGCATGATATTATACTATGTATATATATAATATATATCCTGGCAATCGGGGTACCCGTTTTTAATTTAGATGCAGATGGTGATAATTTTCTTTTTGAATTACCTTCCCTTATTTTTTTATTTTTTTTTCTTCCGATAGTATTCCAAGACTTCTTTGGATTTGGCTTTGTCTATGTTTTTTGTCTGAGGAATAGTATGGGGGCGTGTGCTTTCTTTAACCTCGGGATAACCCAAACAAAAATGTAACCCAAAAACAAAAAAGGGAGTTTTTTTAGTTATAAAGTTTTCCCCAAAGAGAATTAAACCTTCTTCTTCTCCACAAAACAGAGGGAAAGGGAAAATCAAAAAGTGACGTCTTCCCCACAGTTTAAATCAGGAAAGGTATATATACTAAAAAACCAATTGACAAATGATCTTTCACCATCGATTTGTAATTAAAAAGATTGTATAACCGTCTTCCTCGTTGCGATGTTAAAAAGCTAAAGCTCTTAAAACTAGCAACACCACTTTCAACGGGATGAGGTCTGTTGCTTTTCGAAATCCGGGTTAAACTACCCGCTCAAAAAAGCCAAGGCGGCTAAAAAAAGATAAAAAAAATAAACCACAGAAATCCCAAGCCAATGGTATATGGTAGTTGGGTATTTTCCCAGGTAGAAGGCCGCTGTAAGAAAAGCTTGTATTTTGGGTGTGTGTAGATTTTTTAAAAAAACCGTTGGAATTAAACGTTAATGAGGATGAGGGTATGTAAGTAAGTTAGTTGATATAAGAGATGTAAATAAGCGCCAATGGGTATAAATTTTACAAATAATTGTGAGATATTTTGAGAAGAAGGGAAAACAATAGAAGAGAGATTATAGTATCCGAAAACCAGAGGGCATAGTAGAGTGAGAAGAAAGAGAGCTCGATATTCCGAAAGCTCAAGGGAAGAGAAACTGAAATCACTTTAAACAAAAGCCACTGCTACTACTACTACTTAGTTAGCTAGGCCCTCCCCCCGATGGAACAATTTGCGACGGGAGGAAATCAACAAGGTTGGCTAGGAAAAAATCAATTGGTTACATTTTGTCACGGGTAGGTAAACGGTGTGATTCACATTGATAAAACAAAATGTTTTATCTCTCTCTCTTTTTCTTAGTTCTTTTTTTTATGTTCTGTCACAGAAGGGACAGTTACAGAGATCTAAGCTGGTTTTGAACTTAATAACGGTCGGCCGAAGGGGCGATTACATACTACTATGGACAAATTCCAAGCACCTTACGGCGTAAGGGGGAAAAACGCATCCACCATGTGAGGGATCTTGAACATTTGCTATCTGAATGCATTAGCTTACTATCACTTTTTTTCCGTCTCTTCCAAAGGAAATCGGTATACTCTGACTAATGTAATGGAACTCTCCTATCAAAAAAACCATGTCGCCACCCAGAGCTCTTCCAACTGGTTTTCATGCCGGGGATCCGATTAACCGAATTCTGCTTAGAGCAGCGCATTTCAATTCCGCTCCATCGAATCCCAATTGCAGGTCGGGGGGCGGTGGTCTTCCCGTAGGAAAAACTAACGATTCCGATCGAGACTGCAGCAAATACCAGCATAACTGGGATACTGGGGTTTTAAGAGAAAGCAAGGTGCGCTGCGCTGCACTGCACAAACCCCCCGGCAGGCAGCGCGCATACATTCGGATGAGAATATCGGCAGAAAATATTTCGGCATTGGCACCGGACCTTTGCTAACCTTTTTCTGAGACCGCTAAGCTGAGCTAAGCGAAGCTCACTCTCTTTTGAGCTCGATTCTTGTGGCGTTTTTTTTTTCGGGACAAAAAGCTTTTTTTTAAAAAAGGTGATTAAAATTACAACAGTGTGATTCTGCGTTGTTGGATGTTCGTGAAGTGATAACTAACCTAGTGAACGCTTCGAGCTGCCTTGTTGGGGTTGAGATCCCGTGTGCATGTGAGGTCGAACCCGACGATGTGGGTTAACGAGGAATGTGGCCATGGCTGCGGATTTTCCGGGATAGCTTCTTTTTTTTTTTACAATTTACCGTATATGGTATCTCCTTGGGGATCGGTAGTACGAGAATGATCACAGGGTATGCATGACTAATAAGTTAGGTATTAAATGTCTAGATTGCGGTTTTTTAGACTATCTTTCTATAGTCTTTCAAAGAATAATGAAAAAAGATGAAAGTAAAATAAAGTTTAAATTGTATTAGATACATCGGGAAAGGTTTTAACAGATAAGCATTAAGAAATTGGCTAGTGGGATTAGAAAGCGTTTGAGCACGAGCACACGACTCGAAAGGAATAGGAAGTAGCGGAGACAGATATGCATGTCATCTATGCAGCGGGGCGCGGGAAGGTAACCATTTTAGCACAAAAACAGGATTTATATATCTAAGGCAGATACGAAAAAAAGGAAGGCTGTGATGTAAATCTAGCGTCAGAATTCTTTAAGACTAAACCCGAAGATATCGATGTGGTATGTCTAGTTTATATATATATGCCATTTATTTTAACCTGCAAATTGTGGAAAAGCGAGGATGTGAAAAAAAAATTAGATTAAGGAAGGTCGATAAATCCGGTTTCTGGAAACCCTGTGGCGGCTCGCTTCTGCACTACGATTGTAGATGGTGTTCCAGTACCTGTCGTCGACGTAGTGGAGGTCGTCGAGGTTGTGGAAGTAGTAGAAGTCGTAGAGGTAGTAGAAGTTGTAGACGTGGTAGTGGAAGTAGTTGAAGTAGTTGTAGATGTGGACGTCGAAGTCGTTGTCGAAATTTGGGAAGTGGTGCTAGTTGTAGTTGAAACAGAAGAAGTTGTGGATGTAGATACTGTAGTAGCCGTGGTGGTAGAAGTGCTTCCAATCGAATTCACAATCCTAGAAGTATAAAAGCTGACCACCGTACCTGCCTGCGCAGGGTCGAGATCGTACGGGTTATTCGAATTATCTGCGGCGGCGATATTGATCAACTCCGCTCCTAGGTCGAGAGAACTAATCTCGCCGACAACTTGCTTAACCTCTTCGGCAAGAACCTTCTTGTTGATGTCTGTCATATTGCGTTCAAGAGTGTCTCTCATCCGGTCGGCCACCATGTTAAGCAAGTAGCTTTCGTACACAAACTGTGCATCCGCACTCATACCAGGCCAGTTTGGATTCCCCAGTTTGACTTTTTCGTCAACCACGACAGCCAGCTGCTCAAGATCGAGAAACAATTGTCGCGTCGCTTCGAGAACGTTACCTGGAGCTGCGTTTCCGAAAGGATCGGTTCCCGCAGCTCTTTTAGTATGTCTCTTCTTCTTCTTCGTGCCCTGGTTAGGATTAAGGACAGCGGGCTGGTCAAGATTGACTTGCACAACGGTATCTTGTCCGGCGGAATTCCTAGACGGGACATTGATTGCATTCGATGCATTCTTTGCGGTAGCATTGACCCACCGTGCGAACTCCGTTTTGGCACAGTCTGGAACTCGTTCAGCCATATACTTTGCGTAGAAGTAGGACGCCAACACGATCTCAGAGACATGGCTCATGATGGTTTGTGTTTGAAAGAGGATTGTGAGTTTTTGCTCTGTGATCTCGTCGAGGCCCATCTGGTCGACTATGGCGAGGAAGCCGTTGTAGTCCTCACGTTTCTTCAGCCTTTCCGAACCTCCTCCGTCTCGCTTCCATAGTTTTTCTGGGCCGGTATTTCCCCTTTCCTTTCCCGATTCCCCCTTTCCCGCTTGCACATCCTCCTCCTCTTCAACTACTTCCTCTTCCTCCTCTTCTACCTCCAGTTCGTCTAAAGGGGAGAGATCTCTCTTCTTCTTTTTCTGGTCAACCGGGTTGCCATTTCCAATCACAAACTTCGACGCCTCTACAACGCTCTGCACTTCATTCTTGTTATCAAGAGCAGAATTAGACGCCTGTGTAAGTTTATTGACAAACTGCTGCAAAAACGGTTCTACTTGAGGCCAAGCCCAATTAGCAGCCATTTTAGCATTATCCCAACTCAACAAGTCCATAAATTGTCTCTTCTTGAGCTTGGGGGCCTCCTCTTGCTGTCCCGTGGCAGCTTGATCTTGAGGGTGTGGCTGGGTCTCGGCTTTGGTTTCAGGATCAGGTTGACTATTCTTAAGAACTCGATCTATGGCATCTCCCATCTTCTGGTTCTGTTCTTTTTTCCTCTTCTCCTCTGGTGTTTCTTTCTTCTTGTTGGTTTCTTTGCGTTTGGTATCAGGAGTGGGATCACGAGGTATGCCCTTTTCGATCGCTGGATTCGACCAGTCCGAACTTTCGAGCCAGGTGAGTAGATCCACAGATCGTGCTTCATGCGAGACTGGATTCGCCTGCACGGCCAGCCAGTGCAGGCCTATCAAGATCGTTGGGAGAGCTCTCATCTTCACCTCTCTCTATAACTTTTTATCTTGAAAAAAGAGGAGAGACTTTTGAAGGAGTTAATATGAAAACGAGAGGGAGCAAACTTGAAAAACACGTTTGGATCGACAAGCAGCAAATGCGTGAGTGTAGTGTGGTTGAGATAAAGAGGGAAGGAGATCAACCATCTCGTATCGGGTTAAGAGATCAACGGCAGGCTTTTTGCTATATATAGAGAACACATATTATGCGAACACATGGACTTTGAATGGGAAGAATGGTGTGTTCTCTCATATCTGCGTAAACGACATATGCGAAGTTTCAGTACTACTATGGTCTTAGTAAACTTGCGATAATTTGATGTTGTAGACGGTGTCGCGTGGTTCTGAAAATGACCGCGGAGAGATGCGTTATATATAGGTAGAATGGCGGATACCAACTTGCTTGACTGGCTGTTTTGTGGTGTATAAAAATCCTCATTTGTCGCTCCTCGTGTCCGAGCTTTTATCTCGCGTGTCTTCGTCTTTATAGGCATTTACACCTTTGCCCCACCGCCCTGCTTTTTTACCCCAGTTGTCAATCACCCCCCAAATGTGCACTGGGGTAAACTGGGGGGCGTGTGGTCTTAGAGGAGCTGTAGGTGTATCGTTTTCAACTGCAGGACGAGAAATATTTGTGTCACTGCCTTCGAGAATACCCCCCTCCCAACGACGCAAAGACCTTGACATCGGCGAATGAGTTACTCGCCTCGCCGAAGGAAGCTCTTTTTCAGAATATGACAGCGCGTCCCACCACTTGTCGCCACAAACCTCCCATACTCTTGAAACAGCTCTTTTGAAGCTGAACTTCTCATCTTCGCCAGTATACTTTTTTACACTCGTAAAATCAACTTTTCCTCGAAAATCGGAATCTTGGTCTGCCACTGTATATCTCTTTCGTTTCCATGTTAAAGGGTCGTTTGGATCTTCGGGAAGCTGTTCATAGAGCGATATGTTGGGTCTGAATGGCACGGTGAGGTCTTGGTGTGCTTCTGCGAAAGCCTCCGAGTGGATCGAGTCTTCTTCCTGGGAGTTCGCACTCTTTTCGGCGGCATCTGGGAAGAAGAGGTTCTCGATAGGAACTTCCGCTCGAATCAACAATTTGCAACGACACTCATAAATTGCGTCTAAAAGGGTAATGAATCTTCTTGCTTCATGTCGGTGGGATTTTGAAGTCAATACTGGGACCTGGTCGATAATTATTGTCGAAAAGTTAGATGCAATGGTGATATAGTCTGCGGGGCCAAGAAGCTGTTTCCGAACATGTCAGCGGATTCTCAAAAGTTTCTGCCAATTGCACATACCTCTACACAAAGCTCGTCGAAAGTGAAAAATGCGGCTCCATTGCGAGCCCGTTTAAGGAGGACTTCTCTTCCATAAACTACTAGACCCCTCTCTGTCCACTCCTTCTCGTCGCCGGTGGCGGCCATCTCTAACGATTCCTCCCACGCTTCTTGCATATCCCCTTCCTTCAAAAAGTAAAACTTTGGAACTTCAACTACCCTCCCTTCTTCCAACCCTATGGTGTTAGCAGGAACCTGCACAATCCTTCCTTCCCCGCTTCGCCTCCTCCAATCAATCCCGCCCTTCATATCCCAAATCTCACATCTCCTCTTCAAAACTTCTTCAAAAACCCCAAATTCTTCCTTCCTCCATTCCGCACTAACCAAAGTTTCCGGCAACCGATTTGACGTAGCGATCAAAACTCCACCCATCATAAAAAACGCATTAAGCAAACTCTTTAAGATCTTCCCGGAGGCCTTGTCCGGCATTTGGAATTCATCCAATATCAGCACCGTTGAGTTTTCCACCATCTCTTTCGCGACATGCAGAACCGAATACCCCTCTCCAACATCCCTATCATGACTAGCATAAGCATTCTTAATCCTGAAATCCTCAAGCATGCCATAAACTCCTAGCATAAACGTATCGAAATGCACTCGTCTCTTACTCTCAACTGGTAAACTCTCAGCCAGTATATCCGTCAACATGCTCTTCCCACATCCGACATTCCCACTAAGTAACAACCCCCGCGGGGAGGATATATTTAAAAGCTCCTCATCACGTGAGAAAGTGCGAATTAAAGCTTTACTCTGAGCTTGTGGTGATTGTAAAGATGTAGGAAGATACGGAGAATCCCTCCACGTCGTTCTTGGTTTTTGTAAACCCCCACCTCCAGTACCTCCACCATGTAAAGCCTTTTTACGTGCATCTTCAAGCGCACGTAGAGAGTTAGTTACCGCATCCAGACGCTTTTTAAGGTCAGTATAGCGGTCTGGTTTGTAATCGAGTAATCGCTCGTAGACACCCTGGATTACAATTGCTGCGCGGTGTTGGTTTGGATCTGCCGAGATTACGTTGGTGGCTACTAGGTTGCGGTAGATGTGGAGTGGTGAGGTTATGGTTAGTCCTAGCGTATCTTTGGGGATATGCTGGTAGGTCGGGATCGGGAAGGAAAGACGGGAGAGGTGTTTCATTGCTAAGTAGGATCCGATCAGGGGTGCCGGCTGCGGTGTAGACGGCGGTGGATGGTGGAGGGTCGGAAAGATAGGACAATATACTCGGCCATACTCGGATGTAAGACTTCAATGCATGTTTGGGTATACTATTTGGGTGGGTAATATCAGTATATCAGTATCTAGGCCACTTAGTCTCGAGTGGTTTCGGGACTATCTCGAGACTAGAAACTGAACTAGGCTCGAGACTGGACCGAGGTTAATTAATAGTGTGAGTTTAAAATGCAACACGAAAGTGCGTTGCAAAATGTCGAAAGCCAAGATTATCCACGACTTGGTTATAAAGCTTCTTTGGGAAGTTTCCCATGCGATAACATGTCGGCTCACTTAACCACTGCTAAGCTTATACCGTCGTACAACTAGGACGGGAAAAGTATGGACTTTGCCTACCAATTAGAATTGATAACAAAATGCAATCACATACATGTACTACAATAAAATATTTTTGGCTTCTAATGGTCAGTTGTGCAGAGTTACCTCCATAGATAATCCCTGTTTTATCTCGGTGGCTGGCTGCAAGGATTGGCACGTAGTCTATTCCTATTGGCCTACATTTACCTCTAGTCTCACACGGGCGTTTTGCAGACATTTCAAGATACTGGACATATCCTGCAACGGATATCTTTATGCATATGCTGAAGCAAATATGTACTTATGTATGCAAAAAAGCTCACGATCTATCAGCCCAAGCTTGGCGGAAGCCAAAAAAGCCCCAGGTTCCGCCCCGCACCGTACGGTAGGTCTTCAAATGGTTTAAATATATCCTGGCTCGCATCATTTCAGATTCTGGAGCTAGCTAACTCTCAATTTCCAAATCATCAATATTCTCACAATATTTTAAACTCATCTAATTCATAATGCTTTAATAAAAAAGAATGTCGTATTATATTATACCGATTTTGGCTCTCAGCCTTATCCACGGGGCTAGCGCGAGCGACGACAGTAGCGCTAGCGGTTGGGACGACTTCGCAAATAATTTCGCAACTGACATCGCTCCAATAGTCGTCCTATTCGGTGAACAGGTTACCAAACAATTTCTCAGCGAATCGACCAGTATCCTAGACCACATAATATTCGCCGTCGCACCATTGGGGGTTCTAACCGCTGTCGTCTCAGTCATTCGCGTGTGCGGGAGTTCGTCATTAAAGGCATTCATAGGAAGAGCACAAGAAGCTCATGGGATCTCGGAAGCAGAGTTGTGCTCTTCAACTAGCAGAAATGTATGCGAACTATGGTCTAATGGTGGCATCAGTCGGATTTTTGGCCGTCCGAAGATTTTGGAGTTTGTTTTTTCTGGTAGGGAAGATTTCTATGTTAAATTTCCCGTGAAGAAGGGACAAACCGATGAGCAGGGGAAGGAGCAAAAAAATGAGGAGACGAAGGATGAGCAGGCTATCGGTGAGATTAAGTACCCTTCGTGTGGGATTCACAAATCAAAGGCTTTTTTTTGTCCCGGTAAATTCCGTGACGACGGTGAGCCTGTGGAGCTAGCGAATTGGAAAGAGGTCGATGAACTCGCGTCGACTCAGGGATCAGACCAAGAGTCGGCCACGCCCCGATTTGCTCCTCATCCTAACTTATCATTGAACGTTGGAATAATGCCGCCGCCCCGGTGGGTCCAGTGGGCCGTTGTTGTATTTGGGGTTTTGCTTCAGTTAAGCTTCTTCGGCTACGCTACATGGGCTTCTTTCTATGCGCCGGATATATGGGAAGACGGTAAACCGCCTCAGAAATGGGCTTTTCCACTTGCGGCTATGGGAACAGGGCTTCTCGTTACCGGTATGGGATTGTGCGCGATGTTAATCGACCGTCGCACTCATGAACGAACCTTCGTGAAAATTAAGCAAGTAGGGTCAACTGAAAAGGTAGCTACATTTTCAGTCTTTCACTGTTTGAGTTACGTCATTAAATACTAGATCTTGAAACCTCCAGTAAATTGGCATGTTACAAGTTTATGGGCTAACTTTCAAACATATTTTCTGTAGGGCTCATACGAGCCGGTACCCTCCCAGGCCATAATGTTCTGGCTCCAGCCCGGCGACCAATCCATCGGCGATCAAGTTTTTAACGCTTTCGCTCATTGGGAATGCAAAGATAAATATATAACTTCCTGGCGTGCGGACAGTTCGAATCAAACAGCCTCAATCTTCACCGTTTGGACGGCAATCATATTTTCCACTTTGGGGTTTATATTACAATTCATCGGATTGAGAGGCCTTCATGGATCCGTAGCACTTTACCAGATCGCCGCAACTTTAATTATGTCAATTATTCGGGCGGCGTTGAGAAGTAAGCGGATCGACGAAGGAAAGAATAGATTAAAGGATCACAGAAGTGTAGAGGGACATGAGCTTGACTGGATTGCGCTACAAATCGATCTGGCAGCAGCGCATGAGCTGAAGAAAAATCCGCCAACAGCGCGGGACCAATATTCGACAGAGCCATCGGACACCCAAGGGAGTACTATACATACCCCCACAGAGAATGTAAGTCTAGACGAATACACCAATTCCATAGGACCGCGATGCAGATGCTCATAATAGCCAAACTCAAAATATACAGGGAAATGATAAAAATGGGTTATCATTGCAAGAGAACGGGACGGAAGCAGAAGGAATGCGAGAAAGCGATGTGGATACAACGAGAGAAGGGACCAGAAGTCCCTCATCTCGACTCAAAAGTAAGTACACGCAGAGAAATACCATGCCTTTATCTCATAAGTACTGGCTTCGGGCGGTGTGGCCACAGTATTACATAGAAACTGAACCTTTTTGAATCGCTCGCCGGCGCAACAGATATGAACCCAACTTGGTATATAGTCGACCACTTCCCAACCGGCTCACTTCCAGCTAAACCAAAAAACCTGGCATCGGACTCCCCCGAAGTCGATATTGTTGCATTATGCTCGTCAGCCTGGCGAGGTATAACCGGCTTCTCCCCAAAGTCCAGTAAAACCCCGATGAACATTCCTGCGCCCGAGCAGCAATAGAGTGGATCAAACTCCACGAGGAAGACGAAACAGACAGCCGAAGACCCAACAAAGCAGCAAGAATTTTACACTATAGGCATCGTCTAGCTCGCTTGACAGATTCTACCACGTCTGAACAGGAACGGCCGTGGGATACACAGATTCGGGCCATTTCCGGAAAACTCAAACAGGCGATCGAATCGATTGCAATGCACATATTCTCCGGTGAGATGAAGGTCTCAGATGAATGGAAAGATGTGAAAGCATTAGCATGGTCATCGCCTTGTCTAATCAATACGATGGGGGACCCAGATGCTGGTTATTTTCCAGTATATTTCCTTCTTTATCGTAAACCCGAGGACGGGCGATGGACGATTAGCAAACACCAGCTCGAAGCAGTTCTAGGATTATGGCAATGGTCCATGAAAACACTAGGTGAATCAAAGATTTTTCGAGAGGAGAGGCATAGCGGCTACGGAACCTGCCAAAAAGGATAATGTAATCTCAATTCTTCGCCTTTGGATTAGCCAAACACTCCAGATCAAAGACGATGAATATTCATACCCCTTAGATCCAACATCCGAGCTTCAACCGATCCTCTCCGTGGCCGCTTTAACTTCTCCCCGAGACGTGCATAGGGATCAAGTCATACTATCAACTCCTTCAACAGCTTCACCTCTAGAACTGATCGCGCAAGATATATTCACAATGTTCATAAACCGAGTTTCAGGCATCATAGAGCCATTAAAGAATGTCGAACCCCGCACCCGACAAGGTTTGATCAGCCTAGGCGCATCGAGGATAAGCCGTTCCTCGGGTTATCAGAGCCGAATATCGAAATTTTGGTTGAGAACTACATCGCCTCTGGCCTCGGAGTCCGTGAAGATGCACTAATAAGCATAATTCCATCCCTTCTCCACCAACGAAAATTGCCCATACCGGAAGAAGTTGGCCGACAAGTAGTCCGGACCGCGCACTCACAAAGAAGAAGCGGTGATTACCAAAAATGTGAGGATATCCTAAAAGGCTTGCTTCAACTCCAAAATCCAACCATTGAGGTACTAGCCATAAAGGGTCTCGGCGAACTTTACCGCTTCAGTATGAAATCTCAGAAGGATGAAAATCAGGAATTAGGACGCAGAGTTGGAGAAGAATTGGGAAATATAAAATGTTTATCACCTGAGTCAAAGGAAATCCAAAAGCACTACAGTGCCGTTATGCAATATCACAATGATATTCACAACTTTCCTGAAACCCCACACAACCTCAATGTCAAGGAAATCGAATCGTGGAAAAAGCTGGAGAACGATCTCCAGGCTACAGAGACAAGACCATTAGCCTTACTACTAACGACGAAGTACGACCTACAATACGCTTCTTACCAACGAATTTCGAAAGTCATAAAATGGGCCATCCAAAGAAATGCCCCAGAGTTAATCGAGGATTTGTGGACAATCACCAAACTCCAATCGGAATTTCTATGGAAGGAATATTCAGAGGATAAAAATCCGCTGTTTTGGGCAGTTGAATTTGACTGTGAGCCGGCGACGTTGCAATCAATCATGGAATGGCCTAACGCAAGAGTCGGGTCACGGACGCAGGAAGGGAGAACGGCTCTAATGGAAGCAGCGGAGAAAAGCCGCTTGATGCACGTACAGGTACTGCTCGATTTTGGGATAGATCCTAATGATCTGCAGTTCGACGGGTCCAATGCGCTTCATTTCGCAGCGGCTAAAGACAATTCTGAAATTGTCGAGCTGCTGTTGAACAAAGGTATTGATTTCAATGCTGAGAAAACTTCTCGAGCTATAGAATCCGAGGGAACCGCATTAGGTATCGCAGTATCAAAGGGCCATTTCAAAATCGTAGAACTCCTTCTAAGCCGAGATATAAATTCAAATACACGCAACAAGGCGCTTAAAACGGCAGCAGCCGCAGGTTACCACAAAATAGTTGACCTGCTCCTCAGCAAAGGCGTTTCCACAGCTGCCGTTTACAATTCCTTTAAGGAGGCAGTAAATCGAGACCATCATGAAGTAACTAGGTTACTGTTGAAGAATGGCGCTGATGTCAATAAAGGGGTTGTGCTTGCTGCGAGTCGGGGCCATAGTGACACCCTTGAACTACTATTAGACAATGGAGCAGATATTGACACCGATGGCCCCGGTACCGCACTCTTGGCAACAATTTCTGAAGGTAAGCCGGGTACAGTAGAAGTTCTACTCAAGCGTGGTGCCGATCCAAATACCCGCGGCGGGGAATACGGAAATGCAATTAACGCAGCCGCCCACTGTCTTGACTGGAATTCGAGCCTCAATATTATGAAACTGCTACTAGATTACAAGGCTAATGTTAACCCCCATAATCAGGAGTATGGCAATCCACTCTGCATCACTACAGCAAATCGCTGGGGCAAAGCACTTGAAATGGTAACTTTTCTTCTGAGTTATGGGGCCGACATTAATGCTCAAGGCGGGAAATATGGTTACGCACTTACTGCTGCTGCATATAGTGGCAACAAGGAGGTTGTGAAACTGTTCTTGACGTCTGGTGCCATTGTTAATGCCTTAGGTGGAAAACATGGTTACGCACTTATTGCTGCTGTGGACGCCTGCGGTCGCAGCCCTTGCATGGAAATCATTCAATTATTATTAGAGTCTGGTGCTGATGTTAATGCCCAAAGTGGAGAATACGGTTGTGCACTTACCCTTGCTGCATCCAAAGGCAACAAAGAAGTGGTGAAACTGTTGTTAACATCCGGTGCTGAGGTTAATGCCCAAGGCGGACACTACGGTAGCGCACTTACTGCGGCCGCCTACCGAGGCGAAAAGGAAATCATTGAGCTGCTATTAATATCTGGTGCTGAGGTTAATGCCCAAGGCGGACACTATGGTAGTGCACTTACTGCGGCCGCCTGTCAACGCGACAAGGAAATCATTGAGCTGCTATTAACATCTGGTGCTGATGTTAATTCTAGAAATAATGCTGATACTACAGGAGCATTTCATGATGCACTTAATACAGCTATATATTACAAGGCCGAAAAAGAAATTGTTGAACTGCTACTAGCATCTGGCGCCGATGTTAATGTTCAAGGTGGATATTATGGTTATGCACTTGTTGGCGCCGCAGACAAGGGCAAGGAAGATATTGTGGAGCTACTATTAGCATCTGGTGCTAACGTTGACGCTCAAAGCGAGAGGTTTGGGACCGCATTAACCGCAGCCATAACCAGGAAATATTCGGGGATAATAGAACTTCTATTAGAGCATGGTGCTGATATCGCTATCCAAGGCGGATGGTATGGAAATGCACTGAATTCTTCGTTAGAAAGAGGTGATTTTGCGATCGCACGGCGGTTCGTCGAACTTGGCGCCGATGTCAATGTCCAAGGTGGATATTATGGAAATGCGCTTAACACGGCTCTGCAGGTCTACGGGTGGAACGGCGGAAGAGAAATGGTCGAACAATTGCTAGCGCTTGGTGCTAATGTTAACGCTCAAGGGGGAAAATATGGAAACGCTCTCAACACCACATTGTATACTGGTAACATTGAAATGGCACGACGACTATTAGACCTTGGTGTTGATGTTAATGCACAAGGTGGAGTGTATGGAAATGCTCTCAACACCGCATTGTATGAACATAACATTGAAATGGCACGACTACTATTAAACCTTGGTGTTGATGTTAACGCACAAGGTGGAGAATATGGAAGTGCGCTCATCACAGCTATAATTCATTGTGGGGAGAATACAACTGAAATGGTCGAATTATTGCTAGCATCTGGTGCTCAGGTGAATGCTCAAGGTGGAGAGTATGGAAATGCGCTCAATACAGCTCTAGCCGTACACTTAAAACAGGAGAACGGGGGAAAGCTCGTAAGGCTGCTGCTGGACCATGGTGCGGACGTTCACGTCCAGGGCGGAAAATACGGCAGCGCACTCAACGCAGCAGTCGCGTATGGAAACACGGAGGCACTCCAGGTTCTACTCAAAAAGGGAGCCAAAATCGTGGCCGAGTCCTTTCCCTATGACCACGAAAAAGTCAAGGTCCATGAACGCAAGGGATACGTACACAGAAAGATCATCGAATGTCTAGGCAAAACGCCGTGCGAAAAGTGTGAAGTAGACGGCTTTGAAATCTGCGAAGCCACTCGCAAATCATGTAAGTTAAATTGGATACGCAAAGCCGGTCTCGAAGATCCGGGCCCGCCTCCACCGAGCGAATCTGCCGCAGAATCATGAATTTAGTTTTTCTTTTCTTTCTTTCTTCTATCGACTTTGTATAATCTTCATGTACTTAAGCAAGTTTTCCATATAGTAGTTTTCCATAAGTTCTATATAGTTCAATGTATCAAAGTAATTTAGGTTGTCATTGCTCGCGGAATCATTATGCATATGTCCGAGTAGTTTCTATACCTATCTTAAATAGCAGAGAGAAGGGCAATTGTAGGAACGTAAAGGCGGGTCTGGGTGATTGGATTGAGGTCGACAATAACCCCCCGGAGAAGTGATAAAAGACAAGAAAAAGTGATAGTAAAAGCAATAAGAAAAAACGAAAAACAATTCGAAAGCATCACGCATCCTATAAAGCAACAGAAAAAGCCATTCTCCTCAACTCCAGCGCCAACCCCCTCGCAATGCATATAACCAACCCGCAGACCCCATAAACCAAGTATATCATCTACATTTATAGTAATAACAAAAGGGGAAGAAAAAAAACAATATATATATCAATGAACCCCACTTCACTCCTCAGTCTCAACCCCCTCAGTAGTATCATAAACATCCTTCGCAAATTCAATAAGCAAAACCCCCGCCGGCACCAAAACAGCCACATCCTCAACTCCACCCATAGCACAAGCCTCCATATAAGTCTTCCGAGTATTAAACTCCCTATCAAGAGTCCTAATCCACGCTTTCCTATCATCACTCGCAAACTTGAGGATTTCAAGAAAACTTCCTTCGGAAAAGGCTTTGATTTGCCATTTATCCAGTTTCTTGGCTGATATTGCCGGTGACAGGTTTGGGAAGTAGAAGGCCGGAGTTTCTTGCCATGATCCGCCGAAGTATTCCGGTAATGGTGAGGAATTCGTGTCATTGCCATTATGGTAGTTGACGGTGTATTGCATCGATTGTAGGAAATAGTTGATACTGACGTTACGAAGATCCCCTTCACGGGTAGTAAGAGTAAAGTCATTCTGAAGAGTTTCCGGATCATATATTGGTGAAAGCGTAAACCTTCCGATATGGGTTTGATTCGAAACAGTAATAAAATTATATCTTTCCGTATGATTCCCACGAACAGTAGCATGATCCAAAACGTCGAATTGGATCGTAGTCGGATAATTCAAGTTCTCGCAAGTCGGCATCGGTTTCTGAGAAATCCCCTCGGGAACAACATTCTTTCGAATCGATGCCACAATAACCAACATGATAACCGGTAGCGATCCAAATATTGTTGCACGGGCGACCCATTTCTTATCACCCCTTGAAGCTGACGAGAATGATGGACCAGTATAGCTCGGACTGTGAAAGACGAGTCTACAGATGATGGCCATGTTCGTCAGGAACAGGAATACACCGGCAAATATCTCCATTCCACGGTTCAAGCTATCTCCCGACGCGAAGTATAATTTGAAACGATAGTATGGACCGTATGTATAGCAGAGGTCGGCAATGAGCCATGAGAGGTAGGTGAGATTCAAAACTATCAACGGTAGAAAACACAAAAACGGAGGACGACCTAATTCGAACTTCAATTCCGGATCCGGGTAAACCCTAGCCGTACCTTCATTTCTCGGATCATCAAAACGGTATCGACGGGTTGGTGGGAGCGATTCCAATGCCGGAAGTCGAGATTCTTCATCTCGGAATCTATAGGCATGGGTAGCTGGAAGCTGTTCCAACGGTGGAAGACGACAGAGATCCGCCTCTACACGACGACAGTGAGGACACATCGAGAGCTGCTCTTCGTGTTTGAATGCTGGGGGTTTTGGTGATGCTTTCCGGAGAGGGTCCCAGGTAGATGGGTCGTTGGAGAGTGGGATTTTTGGTGTTGCCTTCTTTTCGTCATGTATTGGAATTCTTGGTGGAGACAACGACAACGATGATATCGACGATGACGCAGATGCCGTAGGAGACGGAGGAAGAGGCGGCATATCCTCCTGTTTCTCCGGCTCCACCGTATCCATTTCCTTATACTCAGACATATTATAACTCTATACTTCAGTCGGACTCGTTACGGTGGGAAATGTAATATATATCGATATACCAGAATCGTCGATTGAGGAGTGAAGCCACTACGGCGATGACATGGAAGACGGGGATATCGATAAGTCGACCCCTCCCGCAAACGAGTCATTACTAAGTAATAGTTTATTATTCGAGCTATTATATAATGCCGGGATTTCCGGCATTCGATATTCATTTCATCTTCATGTAGAACCCCCTTGTCGTGATTTATAGCTTATTTCTGCGGGTATATCTCGCGTGTGAAAATTCCACGTGAAGAGCACATGGATTGACTTTTAGGGACTATCGGGGTATACGCTCTGCTAGGGATGTTTGTAGACGGTTCTATATCCCCGTGATATGATTTGGGAAAAGTCATCGAGGAGAATTGGAGATAAATTGTGAGGTCAGGCTTGAAGGTAGACCTAGGCATTTATAAACCGAGATATGGGCTCTCGAGACTAAATTGGGACTGTAAATGTCGGATAGTCTCGAGACCCCAGACGCCAGGGCGCTGAGACAACACATTTCAACTCAAAAATACAACAATCCTCATATCACGGGCCAGGTTCCGACCCCAACCTCTATCGGTATCGATTCGATATTTCAATGCATGAATTGAAACCGTGGAGACGAAAATGCATTCGGAAAACTCAATCGATAAGAGTACTTTCTTGCGAAAACGAAAACAATCAATGGTTAACTCGATGATTCATTCTGAAAAAACTACAGTACCTGCATAATTATAACCTCGAACCACGCACGGGCTTTCATATCAATCGAATTATGTACTCCATACCACATCACAATTGTGCAACATTGGCATTCAGCCCACGCCTCATGTATGCCTTGGGAACGCCTTAACCCTCTCCATCTCTCAATTCTTTTCCCCCTCTCACTAATTATGGCTATGGGTTCGCGAATTTCTCATGGCAGGGCTCAAGCTTTCACCCGAGAGAAAAATGGTGAGTCAAAAGTGCATAGCCCGTTTATGTTTAGAGTGTGAATCAGCTGCTTTAGGAATAGTCGACAGGGGTATGTTGACGACCACATTGGTTTGCAACACAGGTACACAGGTTACGGGGGTGGTATAAATCTGGGGTATTTTCGTCTGATTCTTTTGGATTTTAGATATTTGGATTTTAATCTTCATCGTATACGCGTAGGCACTGGTTTTATTAAAGTGCTATATTATTTTCTCACTTCTCGAATTCATTTTAATTGGTCTCATTTCTAGACTTTAATCGACTTTCACGTATATATACTTCTTCGCCATTGGCTCTTCGACAGACTATAGACTCAAGTCATACGTTTAACTGCCTAGTTACCGTTTTATTATTCAAATTTACAAAACTGCGGACCCGCGAATTATATTTTATCCTATATCAATTGAGTTTCTACAAGAAAAGAGCTTATTGATGCCTTTTTACATTTTTTCTTTTGGTAACTTATAAATCTTGTCAACCATGGCTACCGCCATATCCTCAAATTTCCGAACCGTCACCTTAAATGGGGACGAAGACGAGTCTTATAACCCCCACTCTTCAGACTATGAAGAAAACGAATACTCTTATTCTTATTCTTCAGAAGAAGACCACGGAGACAATGAATACGAAAAATCAGAATCAGAAGAAGAAGGAGGAGAAGGATCTTCATCCTCTTCCTCCTCCTCCCCTCCAAAAATCTTCACAAACGAACTTCCCCTCCCCCCCACCCCCACAGCTCTAACCTTCACCGAAGACGACTTAATCCAACTCTCCCTCCTCCGCGACGAAGAAATCGACCAAATAATCTCCTCCTCCCTCCTCCCCGAATCCCAGCGATTCGACCCATCCCTCCACGAATCCCTAACCTTCACCCACCCAGAACTAATCCTAACCTTAACAACCGGCCCCCACTACCCCGTCCTCCCTTTATCCTACACCCTCCAAAACCTCACCCTCCCCAGACTAATAATCGACAACCTCCGCGTAGAACTCCGCAAAATCATGGTTACATTCTCAGAAAACGAAAGTATAACCCGCTGGCTCACCCGCGAAGATAACGAACAAAACTACGGAATCTACGAACCAGATAACATAGCTTTATCCCTCCTCAAAACCACATCTTCCCATCTAACCTCCTACCGCAATTCCCTACAATCCCTCCCCATTTCCCCCTCAGCACCACTAAACATAACCTCACAATCCCTAAAATCCCGTTCCCAAATCCTTTCCTCAGAATCAGGCATAGACCTAACAACCTACGCCACCCCCCCAACAATCCAAGACCTCCTCGGAAAAACAATCCCCCAAATCTGCGAAACAATCCCCACAAACTACCGTATCCTCCACGTCGAAAACGTCTTAAAACCACGTCTATACTCCGACTTCCACACAATCCAATCCAACATCCGTTCCCGCCTCCTAACCCTCCCAACTTCCTCCTTAAAAAAAGTAACCCCAATATCCCACCACCACCGTTCAAAATCCTCAGGTATATTAGCAGACCGTCGCGAAAAGGAATCCTACGCAACATACCTAACAACCCCCAAAATAACCTACCACGGCACCCCTCGCTCCAACATCCCCTCAATTATAAAACACGGCTTTTTACGTCCAGGTGACATAAACCCCTCCACAAACACCCCCCTCGAAATCCGTTGCGGAAACACCTACGGTCGAGGAATCTATACCTCCCCTTCCCCTCAATTCTCACTAATGTACTCCGGCTTCGACGCAACTCCAACCCCCGCCACACAATTTAGTGGTTTAAAACTCATAGTCTGCGCAACAATAATGGGTCGTCCCGCAAAAGTCACAAGAGAAGATAACTGGCGTGAACAATCGAAACCATACCCAAACGCCGATAGTCATGTTGCAAACAATGAATACGAATATATAGTATTCCAACCCAGACAGACGATTCCGGTGTTAGTCATTCATTTGGATTGGGGAAAAGAACATTATGAGGAATTTGTGAATATTCCTACTAATCCATTAGATTGGATTTCACAGATGGCAGCGAAGAGGAAGGAAAGAAAAAATAAACAACGTTATGAGGATGATGAAGAGAATAAAACACTATTTCCGGCGGATATAGTTAGAAGGAAACAGGCGTTGATGGCTAGAGCTCTTAAGTGGTTTCCGTATGGATACGGTCCTGCGACTGGAACGAGATTTGTGGTGGAGGCTGTGGCGGAGGTTAGTGATGATGAAGAAGAGTATGGAGAGTATCAGAAGGATAAAGTCGAGGGTGTTGAGACTACAGGAAGTAATTACTTTTGGGAAATGCCTGAGGTTGATGGCGTGGATGAACGGTTTGATGAGTTTTTTGAAGAGAGGAGGGCAAAGGCGGGGGATGTTATTGAGGGGGTTAAGGAGGGGAGTGGAGCTGATGATGATGATGATTAGCCTTTTTTTTTGTTCTAAATTACTATATATACCAGGAGATTAAATGTAAGATAGATTTAATATAGATGTAATGGTAATCGACGCTATACATTATATGTAAATAAATACAACAGTAGTAGTAGATATCAGGTTACTTGTGGATGTGTATAGACATATATATACTCCGAATATCATATCCCCTCCTTCTCGTCTCCATCAAACCCATCTCTCCTCTTAAACCAAAACAAAAAAAAAGCAGGTTATGATAATGTCTCTCTCACTTTCATCATCACTCGTCACAAAAAAAGGATATATATACCCTGCAAAGAAACAAAAAACCAATAATGCAGTTTTTGGGAGGAGGAAATCGTGGAGAATATGCAATGCGTCTGAAAGGACCGTTATGAGGAAGAGGAGAATCAAGGAAGAGAAGAAGGAGGGGTAAAAAAGAAAGGGAATAAGTAGTAAAGAGTCATCAACAGTAAAGAAAGAGAAAAAAAGAACTCCATATAATTTTTCCCAATGCAATGTGGTTGGTTAGTAGTATCCTCTTCCAAGAAGAGTGGGGAGGGGGTCAAAGGAATGAATGGAAAAAAAGGCTAAACTCCTCAGAGACTTATTCGGTCTCTTTTTTTCGATCCCTTCAAACAAAATATGCAGACGAATCAAAGCAAAGGACAATTAAAAATCGATAAGCATCAAATATTAATATATGAAAAAAGGAGATCGAATCCCACCCGATGCAGAACATGCAAACCCAACAAGACAAAAAAAGGCACAACTTGACATTCCCACTTGACGGAATGGCTCATGTAACCATATAATAAACCATATAACCCGTCATAGATAGTACTGTCAAAGTCGCAAATGCCGCTCCAGCCTTCTGTCCCGCCGTTGGCTCCGATAGATCCACAATAGCGTTTAACTGTGGATTATCACCTCCACCACCGGCAGATGGATCACCAGTACTGTTACCGCCAACGACTTCAGTAAAGGGTGCCGGCATACCCTCAATCAGAAGACTCTGCGTAACTTCCATAACCGCCATCTGTTCTCCAACACCGTAGTTACCATCCCAAGCACCCCAGTCCCCTTTGTACCACTTCAGACCACACGTGACGCCGTCGCTACCACCGACACAAGTCTTCATCGCGGCAACGGCTGAGGTACGGAGTTTGGGCATGATGATTTCGGCGGTGTATGGGGCCATTTGGGTGGTTACTGCTAGCCAGCGGGAGAAGTATGCTTTGAATGACTTTTGATCGGTGTTGCAGCCGCGGGGGTAGGGTTCGCAAATGGCTTCGTACATGATGTCGGTTTGTTGAGGGTGGAAGAAGACGCCGGCCATCCAGAGGATGCCGTCGAGGCGCTTTTTCCATGTAACTTGCTCGGCGCCAGTGGTCTGAGAAATCAGTTAGCCTAGAGAATCTCAAGAAGGGGGGGGGGGGGGGAGTTAGGAGTGAGGTAACATACAATATTGTACATAAATGCCGAGCCGGCGAGGTACAGGCCGGCGTTGTACGACCACTGGTTGTGGTTAATTTTGCAGTTCGATCGGATATCCAAACCGTCGTAGAATCGGTAATCGTCGGTAATCAAGCCAGATTCAACACTCCAGTCCCAAATTTTGTTGGCCCAGTCGGTATACGTTTGGTTGCCGGTGTACCGTGCCAAACGGGTGGCAAGCTGGAAGAGACAACCGTTCGAGACGGTATTCTTATAATCATAGCCATTATTCCATGTGAAAATCTGCCATCTGAGACCACCGCCGCAATGTTCGTTATCCCATCTTGTCGTTTGTAGGTTGAAAACCGTTTGGGTGACGGCGAGCCATTGCGGCTGACCTGCCGGAGGGTTGGGGAAGCCACGCTCGGCGGCCATCATCGTCGCGATAGCCCAAAATGCTTGGTCATCGTTACCCTGCTCACAGTTAGCCAAGATCCGACAGAGCGAATAATGTGTAATAGTACCTCTGTTGTTGTCTGATTCTTCGGCATCACCATACCGTCTGCTCCAATTTGGTGCAGCATACCCTGCATGACAATGTCATTCCATGTATCATTCCCCGTATACCACCAGTGATCGATTAATCCTCCAAACATAGCGCCCACTTCCCACCAGTAGTACGGCGGAGGTAGAATACCGGGTGTGTTTCCGGGCAAATGACCGGCGTAGTAGTGCATCATGCCGTCGGCAGCCAGCACGGCGCCCTGTTTCATCGATTCTGTTCGCAATTAAACAAAATATTTAGCATTTAAATCTTTTTTACGCATTTCCAAGTTCGAATAGAGGGGAGGAATTTACCTCTATCATTGACGTCGAGGTCGAATGCACTCGACCGAACGGCGCAGGCGGCCGTGTAAGCCGCAGCCAATTTGAACCACCGCATGTTGTCGGAACCAACAGTGGGAGTAGATAACTACCCGCACACGACCAACCAACCGGAAAAACCCTTGTTGTACGGAATAAAACAACTACTATATATATACTAGTCGAATGGAAAGTTTGGATATTATAGAAATTACAATTCGGAAGCCGTCATTCGGAGGAGTGATAGTGGTGGCAGTATTGAAATAGGAGTAAAGTCGTGAAAGAAGTCGAAAGGATCTATGCTGTTGAATTGGCAACAGCTGGCGGACGGTAGCGAAAAAAAATATGCACGGAAATGGAAATTGTTCCCTTTTGTTTTTCTCGAACTTCCGTTTAACTGTTTGCGAAGGGGGTTTTTTTTTTCCCAAGTTCGAAGGATAGGTACCCGAATTAAGAATTTATTCGAAAGAGGCAGCCGACCTTCCAAGGAGGAAAAAAATAAAAAATAATAAACTCTAAGCGGGAGAGTTTTTGAAGGATGCGACGGGATTGGTATTCAAAAATAGCCTTTTGCGGAGAGCGAAGTGAGAGAAAAGATGTTTTTGGTAACACAACTTGGATTCAGATTCGGATTATTAAGACAGACAGGTAGACGGACGAACAGCCGGACAAACTGACTGAGGAGAAGGCTGAGTTTGAGTCGGGAGAGTCGTGAATGAGGGTCGTAAGAATGCAAAATGAGTCGCTAACTTGACTGAACGATCGCAAAAGACGACGATGGAAGACGAAGACAACGAAGGCTTTGATCCAAACGGCGAACAGACAGATAGACCAGACGTGGTGAGGTGTTTGTGCGCGTGCGTGCGTGCGTGTGGCTTTTCCTTTGGCTGAGTGAAGACTTTCGGAGAACCGATTTTGAAGAGCGAAGGTGGGGGGGAAAGGAACAGGATGAATGGTCGAAGGGATGAGAGCGAATAGGGATTACTTTTATTAGAAGTATAGCCCGAAGTGGAGAATTATAATCCTCGCGGCCGTGAAGATGTCATGAACAATAAATAACGAGAGCCCTTTTCCTTCAGATTCTTCAAACAGAGTCTGGATAAATTATATTATTCAGGGAAGCAATTGGTATATTATGTAGGGAGCACTCTGGCCGGTAATAATGACGCAAATTCCGGGCTGGCTTTTGAATTCCCTGCTGTTTGTTAGTGTACAAAGTACCGACAAAGCAGCCAACAGGAACGATCGACTGGTTAGTTAGAACGAGTGTATTGTACTAGATCCGATCCCGCACACTCCAAAAACGAGGGAAGAAGTAAGAGGAGGATGAGGAGGAGGATGGGGGGGAGAGGGAAGAGGAGTATTAGTATATTATAACCGCTACTAGATGATTAAGTAACTAGCGCTGGATGAGGAAGAGGAGGAGAAGGAGAAGGGAGAGTGAATAGTGAGAGAGAGGAAGTGAGAGAGTGTGTGATTGGGATAATTATTAGGGGGCGTGGACGAGTCTTGTCGGTTCCTGGGATTTCCGCCTGTCGATGGGGACTTGGATTCAGACAGGAGAGGATTCGGCTGGGCTGATGAGGTTTTCTTTTTTTGTCGAGATGTTGAATCCAGTTGGGCGGGCGAGCTGAGGCTGGAAACAGAAGCCGGGAACTTGCCTGTCAACCACCACCACCACGATCCAATATTATATCAGACCCTTCAACAAATGTTTAAAAAATATATTAATTCTTTCGATATATTATATTTTGTAGTAGATATATATAAAAATAGTTAATGAGACCGAAGACGGTATATTTATTATTGTTGAGAGTGACGAGAAAGAAAAAGACGGCGAAGCTAGAAGAACACCGAGAATTTACTGTTTCTTGAATCCAGTGCCAATTCTCTGCGATCCGACTGGGCCTGGCTGCAATGTTACCCTCCTTTCGCTTTAGCCCGGAATATCTTGTCTTTCCAGTCAGGTCAGGTCAAGACAGGTCAACGTAATTCTGGAGTACTCCGCTTTCATCATTCAAACAATCAAATAAAATATCTTTAAAGAAGAAGAAAAGGACGGAGTAGGGATGATCGAAGTATGTATATGATGATGATGCATGTCCCGCCTGTTGATTCCATTCCAGCCCTTTCTTTGATCACGATACCCCCTCGAAGCCCCAAAAAGAAATTTAAATATAGCTCAGCTCTTTCCGATCGAAGGTCTCCCTGTCAGAACATGTTAACATCCAGACAGTACATAGTATTTATACAGAGGGCGACCGAACAATAGGTATGTATTATTATATGGGGGAACTAACTAGGTGGCATGCATGGACGAAAAGCATGGCAAAATGAAAAAAAAGTGGGTTCACAACCTCATGTTCAAAATGTTCTCGATGCGACCCTCCCTTCTCTTCCTTCCTCTCCTCTCTCTCGCTTGTTAACAGTATTATATTATATGATATGGAGCTCGATTCTGACAAAGGAGGCGAAGCATTAACCCCGACCACTATTTTCCCTTGGCTGAGCTCAATTATTCGCGCTTGTCGGATGCTGGGCGTGGACGATGGTGCGACCAAGACTCTTTGGTATTTCTCTGGTATTCTTGCGACTCTGCTTGGAAGTTGGGCCTCTGTTTTCTTCGTGCGACCAGAACATTACCAAGATGGAGGGTTTTTCTCCCCTTCTGGTATGCTTCTTTGATCGAAAGAAAAATGTATGGGGCTGCAGGTACAGTACCGCTTAACTTTAGATTGCAGGTTTCCGCCCGTCGACGGGTTTGAGCAGTTTGACAAAATGCAGCGATTAGGAGGATATACCAGTACTAGTACTAACTCGTCTAAGATTAATATTAATTCAATCTGTTATGGTCTGGGAAATCCGTTAATGCTTTCTGCTTTCTATTATTCTATTTTGTCTAAATATTTACATATCGTTCGTTCTCCTTTGATTCAAAAGATCAAAATGCTAGCTAAAGAAAAAAAATATTGATATAGTCTGACAATGACGATGATGATAATCCAAGGTTACATAACCCGAACTAGTCTCGATATCGATTCTCTATCCCGCTCCAAACGATCTGTAGCTGGTATCGTATCGTATTGCGTGGTCGACTAATCCAAAAAGCCAAATGCAACCTCACAATTAGCCCCCATTAAGAGACCTTGAAAAATGATGACGAAGGCTCCTGCCTGGGAACAAACAAAAACCCCTTCCATCCCCGGGGAAAACGTGCCGGGATACCCAATGTCGCTATCACGCGAATTCCATTTTTGAATTCTTCTTCCCACGTCTAGTTTTTTGTTTCAATTCAATCGTCATCTCTAGCTCCTCTTTTCAAGGGCCCCCTCGATACCAGATTTGTTTGTTTGTAGATGGATTTGGATGTTCAATCCAAGCAATCGCCTATCGTACGCCCAGAGAATTAGCCACGATCGTGATTCGATTCGATCAACGCACTTCCCAGCCATCCACTTCACTCGCATAAACCATAAACTCCGACACCCAAAAACAAGTCAATGCAAAAAAAAGACCCACAATCCAAGATTCTTGACATCTTGACATCCATCTTAACATACGACTTATCACGTATGTATCTTCCTCAAACAAAAATCCCATAATTCCAGGAAAAAGAATAGCAATAGCAAAGGGCAAAAAAAAAGGAAAAGGAATAAAATACTAACCCCCAACCCTCTCCATCGCCTTCCCATCAACCCACTTCCCCAATCCACCTCCTCCACAAACAACCCCCCTCACAAAGGCTTTAGCCATCATATCAGCCCCCAAAGCATTAGTATGCGACCTATCACTCTTCACAGGAAACAACTCCTGCGTCCCTTCCTTCCCCAGTTTCCTCATCATCTCAATTCCATACTTAAAATGATCAACATACTCCACCTCTTCAAACCTCGCCACTCCCTCCGAATACCCAACCCATTCATTCGGTTTATCAAAAAACCTATCACTACTAAACGAATACGCATTATTCGTCGTCGGAGACGCAATAATCACGTTTACACCTTTTTCCTTAAATATCCTCGTCACATTTGATATATAACCTCCAAAGGTAAGTACCGTCGTCGGTTTACCCTGAAAATTGCCATCACAGGTTTCAGTGATATTGGGTCCCGGACAGACGGTTTTTCCGTTGTCCTTGGGGTGTAAGGTACCCTTTTCGTTACGACCGAATTGGATTATTACGTAGTCGTTGGGGTTTGTGAGGGACAGGACTTTATCGAAGCGTCCTTCGCGGGAATACATTCTGCAACTACGGCCGGAGATTGCATGGGAGACTACGGGGATGGTGAAGTAGTCTTTCATGAATTCTCCCCATCCTATTTTATATAAATATATACATATCAGTATTTATATGCTTCAACAAGCGTATATGCGATATTACTGAAGAAGGGAGGAAAGAGAAGGTACCTTCGTATTTTACACCTTTAACACCATCATTCGTTCCACCTTTACACATCGACGAGTCGCCGATTAAATGGAGCGATGGGGTTGATGCCTCATGTGTTAATGGTGGCGGCGACTGTCCTGAACCTGGAAGGAGGATTGGGGTTTTTGAGTATTGTTCTAGAGTTGTGAAGATGCCGTGGTGCGAGTATATTATAAAGAGGAGGAAGAAGGTAACCGGGATTGTGAGGAGACGAGGTGTAAAGCGGGCTGGTGGGGATATCATTTTGAAGATTTTATATTGCGGTTTTGTTGGAGATATCGATTGAGCCTCCAGTGATACCGTGGGGTGCTATGGTAGAATAGCATTCAAATGCGGCTTCTATTATACTCCTTCTCGCGCTTGTTCGAAATAATCGGAAGGGTTATAAATCTTGATACCCAGTCCCTCAATGCGGAATTGAGTAGCCCGCGCAGGGTGGTGCCAAGCAAGTCTGGTATCCTGTGAAGTCGTAGAAATTGAAACCGTAGATACTTCCGTGAAGACTAGTATACGCAAAATAACTCCAATTTAGAGCTCAAACCGGATAAGCCTCAGGTCCAATCGATATTATGGTCTAGAAAGAGCTCGAGCTTCAAAAAAATATCAAAAAGAGAAAATCAATTCGTAGGTTATATTAACAACCGTAGACGGGCTCAGCCGAGGTATATACCAATGAAGGACCGTATTGAATATTCAAATCAGAAAGCCTCCAAGACCAAATAGATCAGAAAGAAAGAAAAAAATCCTCTACAGTAAATACTTCAACATCCAGAAAAAGAATATCCAAGAAAGTCTTATCCTTCTTTTCTTCCTTCCTCCCTCCAGAATATATAACCCTCCCAACCACCCCAGTCCGCAATCTGAATGTAAGCAAGTCCACCGACGATCAACTATATTTATGAAACTCCGCTCTACCTATTTAAACATCAAACTCCAAGGGGTATGATTCTCAGTATATTTCACTAACAAAAAAAACCCCCGTTCCGTACTGTTCCTGGTTTATCACTTAAGCAAGGAAAAGAATACATAATAACAGGAGGTGTGGTGGTGGTGGTTATGTCAATCATTCTTGGATCTGTACGTTGTTCCTTGATTTTTTTTCATGCTTAATTGCTTACCATGTAGAAGTGACATATGTTATTGTACAGCCCTGTTGTTGTTGGCGATCTTGCGGTTAATGGGGAAGTAGACTAGCCGGGAAGCAGGGGGGCTTGGGGCTTGGTATGGACGAGGGCAGGAATCGATAGACATTTGGTAGGAATCAGTATATGAAATTCGGATCAAGCAAAAAAAAAAAAAAAAGAAGAAAAAGAAGAAAATTAAAGAAAAAAAAGAGTACAGGTTCGATATCACGAAGCCATACAAGGTGCGTCGTGGTCAGAGAGGGCCCCGGGAAATATATGACAGCCCCCCCCCTCCCACGAACACCTCCAACTTTAATATCGCGATTACGCTTATATTTTGTTTAAAAAAAATTTAAAACAGCTTCGATATCACAAAGCCATGGAAGGTATACCGTGACAAAGTCGAGACGAGATTGGTTCCCACCCCCTGACTTGAACGGGAACCGATAACGTCTCTTCATCACGCATACCTCCTCTTCTAAGCTTTTTCAAATCAAAAAAAAAAATTAAAAAATTTACAGCTTCGATATCACGAAGCCATAGAAAGTAATTTCGAGGCCCCGAAACTAGCATTTGAGTTCGACGAGCGTAGGATGAAAGGGGGGTAAAACCATCTACAGGTCAGTGATTACTAGTTTCTGAGCCACGAATACTTCTCCAGGCAGGTTACATATATACGTACATATAAACTAAAATATATCGTCGATATCGATTCTATCTAAATCCAACGGCTTCGGTATCACGAAGCCGTGGAAAATATCTGTGGTGATTCGGAAAACGTACGTCACTGCAAAAAGACCCCCCTTTTGAAACAGAGACGCCGAATCACCACTGATATTTCCGCTTCGGTCGATTGAATTGATAAAGTTTATAAAATATGTATGTGAAGATAAGATCGCATGAGTTAATGAATGTGTGATGGTAGTGGTGTTTTAGAGGAAGAAGTTGAAGATGAGCTGAGGGCGCTGGAGCCAGTATTTTATAGACGAAATGGCAGCCCCGTAACACGAAATGGCTCTCAAAAGTTGCCTGAACATTTCAAAGCATCATTTGGCGAAATACTCTGTATACATGCTGCAGCGCTGAGTTTTGCGGCACGGTTGATACACGGGATGTAGGTGCATATCAGGCAACATATCTCGGGTGAGGGGTGAGGGGTGAGGGGTGAGGGGTCCGAACGGATGGCTACCTACCCTGTAGAAGATATAGATGCGGGGCATGAGATGAGATAGAAGCTTTAGGGTACGAATCATATAATGTAGAAATATACTAATACCAGCTTCAAGCTTCAGTATGAACCTCGAATTCGTAAGTTAGTAGTTCCTTACATGTTATTAGCGCCAAGTGTCAGGTGATTTAGGTCCGTGATATATCAGGAATTGAGCACGCAAAATTGCCAAGCCTCCGCTAATTGGTTTGTGTCAAACAGATGTCATTGCCCGAGTGCTGCTGTTGGGTTCATCGACATTGTTAATAATCTCATCCTAGCGCGCACGTGCCGGTCGTAAACAAAAGGTGCAGTAATGGATTTGATAACCACCAACTCAATTGCTCAACCCAAGCCCACTTATCGGAAGCTAACTATAACTCCGCACGCTTGTATACCACGAGCCCGAGACCACCTAGTGCCTCCGCAACCATATGCATAGGTTCTCGTCAGTCTCGACACTAAAAGTTAATTTGGCCAGTTTAGCTCGGGGTTACCATATTCTGATTATCTTATCATCTCACGGCCCGTCCATGTTTATACGATGACCAAATCGAGTGCTTCATCATAATATCTTCTATTTTAGTATCCGGCAATGAAATATTTCAGGGACATTCGAGAGACACATAATAATACTACACCCCAAATGCCATCCAGCAGGGCGTTCTCAAGCTAGTCCGGGTTCTGGACCTTCCACATATTATAAACAAAATTAATTGTCCACGGAGCTACTTTTTCTCCTGGTCAAATAATGAATAACCAAAGGTTCTCATAGGGTACAGACCTTAAAAATAGTTGAAGGGTGAATAAAGTTAGTAACATTATCTTACGGATTTCCCGTAGATTGGCGTCGTCACAAAACAGCAGCCAGTGTTTTTCATCCCCTACAATCCGCCTCCCCTTGGTTAAATGTGCTTCTGTAGCCTGCGCAAGATCCTGGCGGCTTTTCTCCAATATTCGACTCTAGTCTGGAGTGTAAAGATAAAATTTCATTGAATTTTTCATAATTATAGATTTTTTTCCCTCAAAAGCATAGCTACTTATGCATACCATCTTGTGTCAAAAGTCTGCAACTTTTTTCTAATAGCCTATGACTGCACACGTTCTAGATCAAGGTTGTCGCTATCTAGGTAGTAACTAATCAAAAAAATTAGTATATATATAAGCCCCGGAATTTTTTGGGTAATAGATTAAAATAAAGTGACCGATGCAACAGCGATTACATTACCCTTCTGACGTAAAGTAATAGATGAAAGGCATTACCGTGAAGTTCGAATTCTAGCCAAAAAATCAATGGCATTTATTATGGCAGGGTCGCCAGAAAACCAGGAGGAGGATGTATAGGAAGAGGAAAAAGAAGAGAATGGTGATGTCGATGATCGTAGTGGTGGGAAGACCATGGGCCAATTATGACCAACTGCGATGCAAGCTGTGCACAATTTATAAAAATTAGCAGACGAGGTAAACTAAGGGGAGAGTATCTAATACATTCGGGTGTTAACATTTAAGTACTTACATAGGCTACTCTTGAAATTCTGGGGGACTGGGGCTAGCCTGGGTATGTTATCGAAGTGGTGGCGAAAGCGATAAGTGCAGGGCTGGCAAGGTATTTATATGCTACTATCTAAGCCTTTTCGATTTCGATCAATTAAATACAAAAACATTCTTGACAGCACTTCGGGTGATCAATTATTCTTTATAGATAATTAAGCAGCAGTCAACTTCTGTTTTGGGTTTATTTCAATGCTGACTACCCAATTGCAATCGTTGGCACACTGAAAGTGAATTAGAAGAACTAGGATCGATCCTGACATAATCATAACAGCAGGTCTCGAGGGTCGATGTGATAAGCTATGGGAATCCAGATAGCCCTGCTCCATAAATTTCCTTGGCCTAGGAAGGAAGGATCCTAGGAGTTCACTAGTTGGGTCCCATGTACGCCCACTAGCACCTGGCAATTACTGCCACCACCACCACTTATCTAACTTTCTCTCTACCCTTTCCAAAGATTTTATAACACCTGTCCTTTCTTGTTTGAGTTCCCCCAAATCCTTATCAAATTTCGTCACCTCCTTTTCGAGGGCTCCTACTCGAACATCCACATTATCCCGAAACGCTTCCAACTTTTTTTCAACGCTCTTGTGGCTGTATACATCCCATAGAAAGGCTGTCACCATCTAAGTAATACGTAATAGCGATAATCAGCATAAGCCTCGGAATTTCTGAATAAAAGATTAAAACAAACTGACTAACGTAATAGACGGTACAACCCTAGTGCTATCGATCCCTTGACTCGAACCCGGACTTCGCGCGTTGATGTCTTTCGTCTTTTGCTTTTTAGCCGCCAGAGGACGCCCAAACCCAAACCCAGAGGGGTATCGGATGGTATTGTTGTTTTTTGTGGTTGTGGTTGTGGGTGGTTGTTGCTGGTGCTGATGGTGTCGACGATGACGCCGACTTCGAAATCCGCCGCGGTAGGGATGGAAAAACTATAGGGTCAATTGTGGCTAATCGTGATGCAATTTTTATATGTTTTATAAATGTTAGCTGATGTAGTACATTAAAAAAAGGGTATTTAATATATTTATACATTCATACATACTCTTAACATTTTGTAGTTTAATATTATCAAAGCGGTGGTGAAAAGGATTAATACGGGGTTGGTAGGATATACCATATTTATATCTTTTCTTTGATCAATAAACCCAAATATATTGATATAATATTTCTAAAACCTAGTCGGTGATCAATCATCCGTCATTAATAAACACCGGTCAAACTCTATTAGTTATGGGTTTATTTCTATGTTAACATTTGACTGAAACACTACTCTCGGACATGTGGGTGTGTACAGATTCCAGTCATTCCATCGGCAACTGAAGACCAAGTTATTATGTCGTTAGTAAAGAAATAGTATTTAAATACTTCATCCCAGTAACCTTAACGTGCGATAAGAAAATGCCTTCCTAGAGTCAAAGATGCTGAACAATGCGCTCATATATACTTATATTCTCTTTTTGGTCATATTAAGTTGGAAGATAAATATTTATGGCATTTGAACGGAAGGTTAGGTCCAGATTAACATAACAGAGTCCGGCGACCAGTAATAAGCCCGTACTTTCATTCCTGACGGAGCATCCTATAGTGAAGAATCACTGCTATACTTCTTATCACTCTGTCATATTATATCGTCGTTAATTTAAGTCCGGGCCTCTCGAATTCCAACAAGAAACTGTGTTGTTGGGCCAGCGCGTGGTGGTGGTAGAGATATCGTTTCACCATAGCCTCGAATCCAGTTTCACCAACTGTTAAGAGCTGTTGAGAATCCCTACTGCATATACTGTCCCCTCGCCTGATATCATATGGCCACTGTTTCGAAATTTTCTACAATGTACACGTTCAGACGTGCCGCTAGCCACCCGTTACTCTATGCTTACCGGCTAGGTGCACGAGCGCAGAAGCCCCGTCTAAACCTTTACCGTCATTGCTCACAACTGGCTCAAAACAGCAACCTTAATCTTATCTCTGAATCAGTACCATCGCTAATTGTAAATGAGCTTTCGAAAGCTAATATCCGTTGCACAAAAGAAGGTATCGAAATCTTCAAAGAAGCATATGGCTCATTGTCCCACTCGATTTTGGGTTGCTCTTGGGCTTTTTCGCGGCACTTTCAGGATGCCTGGATGGCCAGCGACATCGACTTCAACTGTTTTTACCATTTACAACATTCTCCAAAATCGCCCTGGAGACCAAACGATGAAGCTTTCGTTATATGCATGAACAGTAGGGTCTACAAAATGTGGGAAGCCATGTACTTAACCTCTACGATATTTCGAGAGTTGATTGATCAAGAAGAGCGGTATATTCAGTCATTACCAAATAAACTACTTCGAGTTGATGAGTCGGCGTTATGGGGGTGGATGTCCGCGTTAATTAAAGAAGGGGTCGTAAATCGAGAGGATATTGAAAACCTACCGAATCCTATAGACCTTTCGAAACTAGAGATCCCCAAAACTCCCCAGAGGAAGGCTAGCGAACACGGGTAGGATGCTCTAGAAAACCCTCTTGGCGCTAGTATTTCTCAGCCGCCTGGGCAAGTTAGATATAGGGTCGGCAGCTACTGTCGCTGAAGGAATTCGGATACTTGAATTCAAGGACCTATTTACTTAAAAAGTATTTAGTTCGATTGAAATAAGACAATTAATGCGGGCCACAAGTCGATAGTGAGCAATGCTTACTCTATACCCAAGTATTTTAAATTTACAAATTGAAACCAAGTCTGTGTTTTTTTTGGTGTTGTTAAAAGTCCGAAATGTGGATAACCATAGTAAGCTGTCATATGCATGAGCTTAGCGTCATATTGAACATACTGGTCGCACCCTAGGAGTATCTACTAATAGTCACATATCGATATGCATGAATATAATAATCACTTCCCAGCCTGGGTACGAGACAAGAAAGATCATGCATGGACGACTTTGCCGCCCCCTGGTCGGCGTAGTTAGCGCCCAAAGAGCTTGCTATTGGCTCTTGTGAGCGGCTGGCAAGCGCTTTCTATTTTGGCGGGGTTTGAACAAACCCCTAAAATCCTGAGGCCTCGGGCTCGTAGGTTCTTAAATTTGGGGCTTTGGGCCTCGAAATACTACTCAGAATGGAACCAGTCGTTATTTCGAAGAATAGAATCTTTACGCCTTCATCACTTTCCTTTATCACCGGCCCGGTGACCTCTATATAATATTATACATACACCTTGGTTAACTTACGATTTTTTAATATATTTATACCTCTGTGGACCCTCAAAATCGAGCGCTATAGCCAGAAACATTATATATACTAAAATGGCGACAGCTAATTATAAGAAAAAACTTACACACAATGACTACACCGTGGGGCTGATATACGTCAAGCCTTTGGAGATGGATGCAATTCTAACCATGCTTGACGAGGAACACGAATCACTTCGGTTAAATGAGGACGATGACAATGAATACACACTTGGAAGGATTGGGCCCCATAATGTCCTGGTGGTTGGACCTCCTAGGGGGGAAGAGGGCAAAGTTGCCGTTTCTACAGTTGTCAACCAAATATGTCTTAGTTTTAAGAACATTAAGATGGGTTTATTGGTTGGTATAGGGGATGGGGTTCCGAGGAACGGTCATGATGTGCGGCTTGGAGATGTTATTGTCAGTGCGCCGGAAAATGGCCCAGCGGTCGTACAATATGACCTTGGGAAATGGAATACCGATGGTAAATACAAACTTGAGCGCATAAACACTCTGTTTGAGCTTGGCTTACAGTTTCTGGTGGAAACGAGACTAACCCAATATACCACGAATAATCAGACGTCATTGAAGTTACAAGAACATTGGGGAAACCTCCACGGCAGCTTCTAAACGTAGCCAATAAAGTCCGGAGTCAATATCTAATGCTAATGGAGGGGGAAGAATCCTTTTTTCACCAGCATCTCAAACGATTTGAACTTTTTCCACGCCTAAAGTGCACTTATTCCCACCCTGAAATTCCCGATCTCCTATTTCCACCTAACTACTTCCATGAAGATAGTACAGACTGTGAATCGAACCACGGCCACCTCCAAGTATCACGGGAAGAACGTTCACAGGATATCGAAATACATTACAGTACTATCCTCTCAGGAGACTCGACCCTGAGCTGTGGTATGAGAAGAGATAAGCTTAGCGCACAACACCATAATGCACTTTGCTTTGAAACGGCGGCTGCCGGCCTGATGGACGATTTCCCCTGTTTGGTGATACGCGGAATTAGCAGCTATGCCGACTCCCACAGAAACGAAGCATGGGAGGGGTATGCTGCAGCTACTGCTGCAGCGTATGCTCGGGAAATTTTATGCACTATGGCGGAAAGGGTAGCCGCAGAACTTAAGCCATCGGCTGCTGAAAGTAAGCTTAGATGAAGTTTCTTCGAAAGATGTATCGCTGTTTTAGCTAACTTTTACAGTAACTATAGGCCAAAATTCTATCGAAGAGAGGTTAAGAGAAGCGGAAGAACGGATTGGTATGTGAATCGAATGATATCATTCTATAAAATCATTAGCTATACTCGAACCTATATTGACTTTTCTTCCTAGAGTTCCTTCGGATGTTATCTTTCCCTGGAGGTAACAATCAAAGGATCTCGATAGAATCTGCACACACCAATACATACGAATGGATTGAGGATTGGAAATCATCTGACGGCAGGAAGTTGTTGATCGTAGGAAAGGCGGGCTCAGAGAGTCAGCACTAATGAAGGGGTTTTCTTCACAAGGAAGCCTTCAGAATTTGATTTGACCGGATCTTCTGCGGTTTCTTCTTTTCAAATCGATACTAGTAAGATATAGAAAAAAATTTGGCGTTAAGGTTGCGCTTGTCGGACTACCCTTAAACCCGCACCCTGTTAGTATAGCTAATATATATATCATACCTAAGAGATTAGCACTGGTTACATCTTGGAGCTAGATCATAGCTTTATCGACTCTGTGGCAATTATGCAGTACTATCAGAAGATAATTGAGTATTAGTGACATTTATAAGCGACATGTAAAGTTAAAATATATATTGGTATCCTTTTGATATCCACGGTGCGAGTGCTACGCGGCCTATACATTGGATATTGAATCAGGGCTCTCATTAACATCCACCACTGTTCCACAAGTTAGTCGGTATAGCGACTTCAGCTAGCGTTAACTTCTAATAGCAAATATTTACAATCCCCATCCTTGCAATCAGAGAAGGGCTGAAAAGGAATCAACAATCGCCGTAAAAATAAGAATAAGATATAGTGCAAGAGGAAGCAGTTCCAAAGAAAAAAAAGAAAAAAAGCCATATGTGTCGCTTGAATAAGATGAAAGGAAATTGCGAGGGTAATGGCACTATGCACTCTGGCGTGCGGGTTATGATACATTCTACGCAATAGAATGATTAAATGCCATAGAACACCTGGAGGCCTGTTAGTACTGCTGTCACGGGGGAATGGACCCAAACGGCCTGAAAAGCGTCAAGACTTGGGAACTAGACTTACCCAATCCTGAACGTCCCCAACATCGAGGAACGGCTGTTGGCACTTCCCGAGCCACCCACATCTAAGATTATCCAGCATACGGCTCCATCCGGACTAATTAAACCAGTGTCAGTGCTCAAACTCTTCCAAGTGTAGTGGTGTGAAAAAAATACATACACCTCTTGTACCAATCATCATGTCGCATTCAATCGCCATCATCAGCTGTAAAAACCAATTGATTGTCATATCCGTTCGGTTTCCAAATGTTTCTAATTGCTGCTCGGGTCCGATGTTGGCTCCTATATAGCCATATTAGTGACTAAGCTCTACCCTAAACCCCAGGTTCAAATATTTTCGTTATCAGATTCATATACGTACGGGGAATTTCACTCCAATACCATGTCCAGGACCAATCGCTCGTTGTTCGTGCTTTCGCATCCACAACTTTATACATCTCATGCTCCTTCTGCAAATGTTCTTTCGCCTGCTCAAATACATCCGGATTCTCAGTCGACACAAATGCAATCTTCTTGAATCCCACAGGATTCTGTGATATAAACTCCTCCGCCGCATCGACGTATTCTTGAAAATTCTTGAGCTCCATTTCTATCCCCTTATCTCCATGGCGGACGTGCATGCTTACCGATCCCGCAGGCATGGGGAAAGGCACAGTCGAACTGTCGACAATGTCGTCACCGTCGAAAAAGAGAGCTTTATGTAGTGCCGGATCACGACGTTTTCGGAGTAATTCGGCCATTGTACGAGCGTTGAAGCGCATGATGTATGATATCGATTGACCTCTCCACCAGTACTTCAATGTGTCGGGTGTGATCATCGGGTACATTCTTTTTAAGGCGATTCCAAAGATTTGGGGCAGAGCTCCTGCGGGTGTGTTCATGATATCTTGGTCTATTTCAGACCTTGCGGGGAGGAGAATGTGGTTTTCCGGTGTTAGATCGTCCATACTGCAGCTGCTAAGTTTTTCAAAGAAGCATTCCATGGAGTTTCCGCAGAGTTCGTGAGATGAAGGGTCGATGAAGTGTCTTCCCGGTCCGTTTTTGGGGTTGAAGATGAGGATTCTGTTGAAGCGGAGTGCTAGATTGAGGTTCATGCTGATAGAGAAAACAATGGCGCCTAAAGAAATATATCAGTATAAACTGGTTGAATTCGGGGTTGGATAGCTTGTCGAACCTAATCCAAAGCTTTCGTCATTCGGGAAGGATTCCATCACAATGAATTTCTTGTCTTTGCAGCTTTCCGGGTGCTGGTGTTCATAGATATATCTTTGTGTAAACTTCGTTAACGGTGGGAGACCCTTCATAGAACACCGTTAGCTTGCATCTCTTTCTACACTATCCATCAATATAGTACCTCGTCGTCTAAGTCTTCGATATGTCTATTCCAAGCATCCTCGCTGTCCAAAGTATACAGCCTCTCAATCGTCTGTGTTCTCTTATCCCTAGCTGTGCTACCCTTCGCCAACTTCGCCAACAAATCCCGATCCCTCTCACTCAATTCATTCTCATAAAATGTCTCTTCGGGCGCCGCATACTGATATCCATGTAAATTTTGTTGTCGCACCCGCTCTAACGCCTCGTTTGTCGTAAGATCCTCCCATTTCTTGAACGTATTCGTGCGAGCCTCGACGGTTAACAGACCTGTACGGATTGAAACGAAAACTATGAGGATCGCTCCTATCGAGATAGTGAAAAGAAAGGATCTGGATCTTTGAAGTATCATTGTTATTATCGTTGGTAGAAAATTTAGTTGGTTCTGGTTTAGCTTTGGTGAAGGGGGGTACTTTGGGGGATATTAAGTGGGAAGGCAATATCCCTGGCGGTTATCGTATATATTGGTCGAACCAAGGGAGAGGGGGTGCGGGAAAGGTGACAATCATACCTCATTTTGCATGTAAAATCGCAGACCCCTTCAAAAAGGTCGACGGGCCTGTAGATCTTTTTAAATAAAGAGAGAAATCGCATTTCTTAGACATTTTCATGTTCACTTCGCTTTTTCCCGAAATCCGGGTAAGTGGGTCGCCAGTGCCTCGTACGTGGAGTTGACGGCTGTTGAAGCCATGTCGATTAAGCTTGCAGCTTGACGAGATCCACACTTCGTTTGGCCACAGGGGCTCTGGTAAGGGTTTGTCTTACCTTTCAAAACTAGACACTTAACTATTTGACAGGTTTAGCTAACCGGTTTCTTTTTTTGACGAGTTGGACGGGAAGAACGGCATGGGCCTGGTGCGAAATGGGTTAAGAAATTGGGGAAAAAATATGAGTTACCCACTTTCGATGCACCTGCAATTCGAATTCAGGCGTCAGATGGAGATACAGATGTGCATGTACTATTAAGTGGCACTAGACTTCCGCGCCGAGAGCCAGGGGGCCCGACGAACCGGGGCTAATCAACTGGTGGTTTCTTAATCGTGGGGCCGGGGGGCAAGGCCAAACGACGGGGATATTGGCACTTCGATACCTACCAACAGTTGCGGCGTCGACGGCTAATATTGGTCTTGGTATTATTTTTTCACAACGAAATGTGGTCTGCTTACTTTCAATAGTAGGAAGAATATAATCCGTATCTTGCAGATACGCAAGCTTTGAATAACCCGCCCAGTTATCGAAAGGCAAAATATGCAAGAAGATGTCTAGGTCCGGTAGTTAGTAGCACTCTATAATCCTTGAAGCCGGCTTTTCAACGTGAGAGATCCCTAAAACCCCGTCTTATCAACACTAAAGGAACAACCAAGCCCGGAGCGAGAACGTGCGTAGAGGCAAAAACGTGTTCCGCGAGGTATTTACCAAACTTTGGATATTTTGGATACCGAGGAATTAAGTCTGTTTCATTGAAACTTTCATATACGTACCGATAGAGCCGATTTGCTCTTGTCAATTTCTATTGTTCCGTCGGTTCTATGGTCAAGGTGTGCGGTCCAGAAAGAGGGTCCCGTCAATAGGGACAGGTTCGAATGGAAAGGCCAAGAGAAGTGGCGTTAGAAAAGTGCGGCTCCCCGGTCAATGGGTAATCGATTCAGCCAGCCCAGATCGATTCTGCGGAAGATACTCCAGTGGCTTCGGAGAACCGTAAGCTTCTTCCCGAAATGACGATTTCGAATAGTTGATTATGTTGATACTTAACTGAGGTCGGAACTCGGCCACGAAATTAAGGAGTTCGAGTTCGCGAAGCTGGGCTGCATAGAAATAAAATGCAACAAGGTCAACAAAACCAATGCTCACTAGTTGACTCCACCATGATCATGATCACCCTTTGAAGTCCTTTTTTTATTATCCGTAAGAAATAATCATTATATTTAATCATACATGACCTATAGTATACTATACATTACTCAACAATATCATGGCAGTTATGTTGCAGCGCATCCCTATGCCTGAGCCCGCACCTCCAAAATAGCCAAAACAAAATCTCGCAGATGATCTGCCCAGGGTATTTATTTTAATATATACCGCATTCCCTCATAAACTTGGTGCATCGCTGTCAGCACCCTAGCCGTCTACCAGCTGATTCGAGCACCGCATTGCGGTCAAAAAACTCATGATTACCCGCAAATCGAAGATAGCCGGATTTGTAGCACCTGCGATTCTTTACATACTTATTAAGCTTCAAAGCAAGACTTGGCTCTAACTAGCCTTTAAGAGTGTCATAGCCTGACTTCTCCCTAAAGTACCTTCCGAACTGATAAAACACAAACGGCACTGCCGTCAACACTACGGCGATAATGCCCAGCGCTGTTGTCGCCATACCGATTCCTAAGTTCGTATACATCTGTATAGCAAACAATGGGAACACGGCACCGAATCCGTAGCGCAGGAGGCCGTTCGCAGCCAAAGCACTAGCAGCGGCCATAAATTGGTATGTGTCGACTAGGTATGTAGCCGATGCGACTATGACAGGGTAAATAAGAGGTGTGGTTAGCAGATAGCCCCGCTTGTCCGGATATTTGCATTTTATTCCCTTTTCTTGATTTTAGAACAGAAATGTGGGTCTAGACTTGCAGCTTATCCGGGGTAAACGAAAAATGTATACAGAATACGTACGGAAAATAAGCATCATCGAGAATCCGAAGGGGATGATGGATAAAGTCGGGACTATCCAATGAATTGATGTTCGACATGTCCATGCAAACCTATGGTGGGCCACGTGGTTAGCAAACATGGGGTTGTTGATCTGCTATGTACCTTGCACATAGACGAGCTCGCCAGTGATCTTGGAAGTTTTTATTCTTACCAAAATAGTGATACGGGGAGAGCTAAGCTCCCCACCATGGCACTAATTAACCGTAGCTCGACAGGAGCCTTTTGACCGTTAGCGATAGCGTGCTCATATCTTCGCTTATAAATTGTACGGTCGATGACGCCAAAGGTCATGGAACCAAGGATGATCCCAATAACACTGCTGATGAAGATTAACCCGCTTTGTCGTCTGTCGAAATGGTATTGTGTACCGAATGAGTATGGGATCGCCGCGAAGAAGAGGAAGAGTACACCGAAGATGAAGGCGGTGTACAGCGATAGAGCGATGACGATGGGTTCAGTGAACAACATATGTACCGGGCGGAATAGAGTTATTAAAAGGACCTTCTTCATCGCCTCAGCACCACTAGGTTTTGGTGGGAGTTTCTGGCCGCGCTCGATGGCTCGCTTTTTGAGAATCGCGGGTTTGTACGTTTCCTTCATAAATGGGATGAACCAGAGGAACATGGGTCCGCCGACGAGGAGGACGAGCCACATGGTCCAGCGCCAAGTACGATGGTAGCTAATGAGGCCGCCGAAGACAGGTCCCAGGGAAGAACCTAGGAATGGAGACTAAGGGATATTAGTTTATGCTGGTCTCGTTCCTAGGTTTATGCCAGTAGTTAAGATCTCGGCCTTGGAATTTTGTCTTACCATAATGAAGAACATTGCCGCTAGCCCACCATCCTGCATTGAATAATTCAAGTTATTATTACTGCTTTCCACAGTACCAAGGATTGAATTTAAGGAAACAATGGTATCGTACCTTATGTGTATCCCAAATATCACCTATTGTTCCAGCGCCTACTGCAAGGGCAGGCGCACCCACGCATCCAGCAATCAATCTAAATATTTTTTAGAGCCTGTTGATTTTTTAAGCCAGAAAACCAAAAAAGCCTACCTGAAGATGCAAAGGGCCGTCACATTTGGTGCCAACCCCGATGCCATTGTGAACAGCAAAAAGAGTGCGAAACTGATAAGGTAGACATATTTTCTACCAAACATTTCACTCAATGGCGCTAGGGAACACCAAAATATGAAATCAGTACTGGTATCTAGGGACAATTCGTTAGTTCGTCACTTACCAGCAAGCATAGGCCCCAATGCGAATCCCAAAGTATGTGTAGTCAGTGGCACAAGTGCCACCTCGAACGAAACGTTAAATTCATCTTGAATCTGCTGTGTCGCCGTTGTATAAATCGGCGATGCTAAAGTACTACTCGAGTAAGTATCACAATTCACTATCGCCATATGTGAAAACATGAACGTTTTAACTTACACTACAAAACTAAAAAGTGCGGGCGGGATAGTTTGGAATACTCGATCACCAAATGCCCAATTCCTTGGATTCTTTTCGTCGTCCGGATGATCCCAATCAAGAGGTGCCGATGGGACATCTGCATCCAATGGCGGCATGCCAGACTCTTTTCTCTGTAACTCGATTTCTGCATCGACATCGACATCGTTTACTGGACGCTGTATCCCCAATTCGATACTGCTGGGATTGGCCGAGGAACCATATGGTTCCTTGGACTTCTGGGCGTCCTTGTCAAACATCGTGGCAAATCTACCAAATGGCAGAAATAGGACCAGTCAATAAAAAATTATTAAAAGGATCTGTACCACAAAAAGAAGTATGACCTAGTCCGAATGTTATCCACCGTTGCGGAAACAATTATGGAGGTTTTTTTTGGGAGGGCGGCTATCCAGCTACTTAAGTAAGCTCGAATCCAAACCTCTGGAAAAAGCTGCACGGGTGCGTCTACCAGCCTAAATCCTTGCTGCTAAAAAACCTAATTCACATATATAACAGCGATAACTCTCCATATAGCTAGTTAGATCGATACGACCGTAAGTTATCTATTAACGTAATTAATGTAATTAACAGATTACGAAAGGATCCTCATTGCGTGATGTGATTCAACAGACCACTTGATCAGATATTCATATTCTAAAAGATACCTAGGTGCATGCCTTTCCCTGCCGTTTAGCCGTGCATAATTCTCAGACACTCCTCCTGCAAGCCGGAGACCGATCATCTCCGTTTGCTATATGAGGCCGTGGTCATAGAATCCCTTCCATTGGTCCTAAAACGAACTGATCACATATAACGCTCAAAGATCTGGGGAAACGGGCGTTTCTGTCTCGGTTCAACCGACCAGTAACGTGACCAGCGGACCCCCCATCCAAGAACGCAAATTGCAACCCACACGGTTTGAACACCCCCCAAAACTTGTTCGCTGTGAACTATGAAAACCAGCACTCTCGGCTCAGCCGAATGGGTTGCTGCTTGAGGTTGGCGGCAGATCAGAAAGCCTCTTCGCTAAAATTCAAAGCTAGTGGTTCGGCCGGGGTAACTTTTGTCCCACAGGCCTATGTCGTTCGCACTTCGCAATTTTTGGGCGGCTTTCCCTTTCCATGTTATAACGTTTGATTAACGTTTTACCTCGGCATCGTCTAAATATCGTCTACATCTAGCATATGTAATTGTAAACATATCAGGAATTATTAATAATCAAAGATGGTGAGCTCGAGCTTGCAGCGCTTGGGGAGACTTTTGCGGAGAGTTTGAACCAACCTAAACCAACTTACAACATGAAACTGCGTTGAATTGCCAAGCCTTCAACTATTCCCCTATGTTGCTCGCCAAAAGCCAACAATGCAACAATGCACGCACGAATGCATGAATATTATTATCAATTGTAATTACCACCTTGCTTCGGAGTCGCGTCGACGGTCCGAGAAATCCAATCAATTGCTCCCGGTTCGGCATGCCATTGCAGTCGGTATCGGAAAACCGGCACCGGTAAAATCGGCATCGGTATCGGAGTGTACTCTCCCGACCGGACTGACCAAATCCTCCCCGTTCTCCCTTTTTCCAATTGAATAAATTTACGGCATACCGACAGGATCGACGGGTTCTTAGACCGAATGGCTCTCTTAACACCGCTTGACAGCCCCGCGGGCGCCGTCAGGTCGCTGTGCATTATCTATGTGATTCGGACTTTATCATTATTGCTTTTAGCCTGGTCTACGACTTTTTTGTTCCCGTCGTTTTCACCACTAGGGTATGATACCAGCTCGACGCACGTCACTGGGGATGGTAATCTTATTGGTGAAGATGGTTATATTACGACAAGTTTCGTTGAGAGGTTGGTTACTACGTTGACAAGGTGGGATGCAATCTATTTCACGAGTATAGTAAAGAACGGACATCGTTGGGAACAAGAGTGGGCGTTTGGGGTCGGACAGTCGTATTTGGTACATGGTATGCATTTCCCCCTCCTTCCCAACGGGAATTCGTTCTTTCTTGTCCACCTAGCCTTAAGTTTATTAATTTTATTTTATTTTTTTAAATAGGATTCCAATGGATCCTGAACCTTTTCGGAGACTTTGAGATGAGTCCTTCATCTCAGATTCTATTCCTCTCCGTCTGCTCATGTGGATCTCATCTTGTCTCTGCGGTCGTGCTTTACCACCTGACAACAGTTTTGTTCGAGACGGCTCGACCAAAGGGGGCTTCTACCCTTGGCAGTGGGGAAACCCCGAAGATAGTTGCATTTGTCGCTGCGACATTACATATTCTTTCACCCGCGGGCATATTTCTCATCGCACCGTACAATGAACCGGTATTTTCGGTTCTATCGTTTTTGGGATATTATCTCTACAGCTATGCGATCAAGAATACGGCTATTGACGGCCAGCACGGGTTGATTAACGAAGTCTTTTTGTTACTTTCGGGACTATTGTTTGGGGTTTCGGGGCTCTTTCGTTCGAATGGGATTATTAATGGGGTACTCTTTGTTTTTGAGGTTCTGCAGTCATTTTGGAGGTTGACGTCGGGGACAAATCCCGCGGCGAATATTCGGTTGTTCTTCGTCAGTGGGATTTCTGGGGCTTTAGTAGGAATACCGATGGTCTGGAGGCAGTATCAAGGATGGTCAGAGTACTGTACTACGGAATCTTCGATCCAGAGGGTATGGTGCTCGAAGACGTTACCATCCATCTACAGCTTTGTCCAGAGTCATTACTGGTAAGTCGATCTAAACTCCCAATTAGGCCTTAATCAATATCATGCTGATGCATTCTAATAGGGGCGTCGGCCTTTTAAAATACTGGACACCAGGGAACATCCCACTCTTCCTACTTGCGGCACCGACACTATACGTCCTATTCAGAACCTCACTGAACGTCATAAATGTCCAAACACCCATTTCAACCCGTCTTTATTCCCTAGACCTCAAATATACAAATAAGGACCTTCTATTCCGCTTGACGCTGCCACAACTTCTACTAGCAGTTTTGGCTGTTACGAATTACCACGTACAAATTATTGCTAGGTTGAGTAGCGGATTACCTATTTGGTACATCGTGGCAGCTGCGGCTCTCGTTCAAACGGCGACAACAGGAACCAAAGCATCTGAATCTAAAGAATCATCTAAATTAAACGAAGGTGGCAAAGCCACAGACGAAGCTTTGAGCGCTGAGGCGAGTTGGGTTCGACCTGCGGTACGGTTCTTTTTGGGATATCAGGTGGTACAGGCAGTGCTTTATGGTGGCTTCCTACCACCCGCATGAAAGAAGAATCTGGGGATTCGGATTCCGGGCATTTCATATCCTAAAACCCCTCACTTTCCAGACGAAGAACTAGTTTACGAGACCCATTTTTCGATTCACAGTCTATAATTACTACGCCACATGTGGCTTAAACGGTGGCTGTCCGCCGATCGACCCCCTCCGAAAAGGGAATACCCCTGCAACTCGTCACATCCTGTCAACACCAGACCAATGAACATCTTCGCTTCGTCTTCCTTTGACGTCAAGCGTGGTTCTAGACGCTGTTTTCGATAGTTTACGACATTTTGACACCATCTTCAATCCGGTCATCCATTTCCAGGTTTTTTGTTTTTTCGTTTAGCAATGTTGTCGATTTTAGGCGAAATGCCATACCTTCTTTCATACGCGGGATTCCGGAAAATTACCCTAAAAGCAGCCTTTTCCTAGCTTTATTGATTTCGATCGATTTCTTGCGATGAAAAATGCCCATTACATTCTTATTGCTTGGCTTTGCACATGGGAGGCAAAAGAATGACCTAGATACGATAGAGTGATGGCGACCCTTTCCTCACCCCTTCGAAAAGAAACTTTTTTCTTTTACTTAAACATGACATGTCAGACTTATAATGCGGTTTAATATGACTATCAACGCTCTAGGCCAAGTGCTAGAGCAATGCCTCTCTTTTTGGACAGTGACTTTTTGCCCAAAAGGAAGGAATTTATATAGTGAACCCTTTCCGCAAATGCAGTAGTCTAGAAGTAAAGAAAACGCATGACTTTTGGTTTCTTTAAGAGGATTTTATTCGGACCTCCCCGTTCTTCTTCTTTTTCATAATCTTGACGGTATATCGAGATATCTTATCGATTCGAAGAAAAATATATTATAGCAGAATAATTATAACATTTTGGGAATTAAAAGAGGATTAACTGGGAATATACACTACATACATGACAAAACAACGGTAAAAGCTCCAAGTTCGCAATGCGATTATTACTTTCCTCCCTGCTAGTACAAGTGGGATATGTCGCTTGTCATTCCATACAAAGAAGGCAAGAAGTCTCGTCGACAGATGTATGTTTAAGATGGGCGCACCAAGGTACGTATATAACCTTCCTTTTTTATACATTATCAACATTGGTATTTCAATACTTAGCTTCGAATGCTAATTAATACATGGCTATACAGCTACAATAGTAGACAGCACACTCTACATCTACGGCGGTAGATCTCGAAAGTCGTCACAACAGACAGAAAATACCTGGAGTATGTCCAGCCACTCCCTCCCATACGCAGTGTAATCATAACTAACAAAAAAATACAACAAAGACAACGACTTCCTCTCCCTCTCCCTCTCCAAAGACTTCAACATCGCCTCAACCCCCCTCACCGGCCTTCCAAAACCAAATGGTCCACCAGCAGTAGCCCTCGGATACCTCTGGCACGACTATTCATCACTATACCTCTACGGTGGCCAATACTCCGACACCCCACCCGTCGAACCCGATCCCTTCGAACTATGGAAATACTCAATCAAGGAATCAAAATGGTCCACCGACGCTTCCACAACAAACACACAACCGAAAATCGAAAGAGCAGCAGAAGGTGCGGGAGTAACAATTCCAAATAGGGATAACCCCAGAGGATACTACTTTGGCGGTCATCTAGATGGCTACACGACAAATGGGTGGAGTCAATCTACCCCCAGATTATATCTAACAAGTATGATCGAATACGATATGGGTTCATCTACTTGGACGAATCATACGGAAGAGGGGGCGAGTTTTCCGGAAAGAGCGGATGGGGTGGTGGTTTATATACCTTGGGGTGGGGATGGGATATTATTGGCGTTGGGTGGAGGGGATAATGTGACTTTTTCGCAGTTGAATGTTATTGATGTTTTTGATATAAAGAAGAGTAAATGGTATTTCTCCCAATCTCACCCCTCTTCTTTCTATACACACCGGATGGCAATAATGATACTAACATTCTGTACAAAAAAAGGACAAAACAAGCAACCACAGGTCCCACGCCGCAAATCCGCGTCAACGCCTGCGCGGTAGTCTTCTCCGCTCCAGATAACTCTTCCCATAACATCTACATGTACGGCGGTCAAAACCTACAACCAGCTGGCGAGCAAACACAATACGACGATATATGGATCTTAACAATACCATTATTCAAATGGATAAAAGTCGAGACGGACGGACAATCTAACCCGCCAGCTAGAGCGGGGCATACCTGTCATGCTTATAGAGGACAAATGTTAGTTGTGGGAGGGTTTGTGGGGAGTCAGTTGGTATAAAACATATCCATATTACTTTTATATAAGTCTTTTGGTTAGGGAAACTGACAGACGGAATATTATACAGAGCTGCGACACTGGAATCTACGTCTTCGACGCTTCAACCCTCCAATGGCAAACCACTTTCCACGGGGGTCCATTTACCTTCGGCGACTCCACAAATACCTACGACCCCTCCTCATCCGAACAACTCTACGCCGTCCCCGACATAATAATCTCCCAAATCGGCGGCTCAAACACTGGCGGCGCAACAGTCACCGCACCAGAAAAGACAGCAGTCCCAGATTCCCCACTCACAGGATCAAACCCAGAATACACCTATAAACCAGATAACACACCAATAATAACCGCAATTCCTGTAACCTCGACGATTACGGCTGATAATGGAGAGGTCATAACTACAGTAATAACGAGTGTTAGGACTACGACACCAACGGGTAATCCAAATCCTACAAATTCACCCGGCAATAATAATAGCGGTAATAAATCCACACCAGTTGGTATAATAGTCGGCTCAACGGTCGGTAGCGTGGCACTTGTCGTTTCTGTCTTACTCCTCTCGCTATTCTTATGGTATAAACGCCGAGTCAGGGATTTACAAAAATCTTACGAGGAAGATAGGGTTTCTCAGGGACTTGTGGGGAATAGACCCGTATCGATGGTTAGTTCTAATATTGGAGGAGGAGGTGGTGGTGGTGCGGGAGGAAGACATTATAATTATTCGGCAGTGATGGATGGGAGGAGTAAAGAAGATTTGATGGAAGGCGTTGAACCGACGTTTTGGGGGATGTTGTTACAGCCCAGGAGGAGTTTAAGGGTTGTTAATCATTGATGTTCTCCTTTATATTATACTTTTAGTATTTGGTATCTGTTGTTTAGCGGGTTAGTTGGTGTGTTCGTGGTTGTATTTTTATATATGTCTGTTGGTTTTGTTCTGAATTGGAACAGTATAGAGATGCTATGCAAGGAAATTCTCCCGGTTTGTATTTATTTCAAGCTATCGATATCGTTAATAACCCAGGCAGTTTGTATAGCTGCCTTTCATAGTATCGTATAATCCTTCAAATCGATATATAGATTCAGCACCCACAGCTAATATCCAAAATAAATAAAAGCATCAAATCACCCCAAACGCCCGTTAAGATCATAACCCCCCAAGAAAGCATTCAGATATACGCCAAAACCCCCTCGCAATGCCACAATAAAAACAATAAAAGCGCCCCTATCAATCCCACACGCCACCCTGTAGACCCCTCCCTCGTGCAATCCCCTCTTTAACCTCCCACTCAACCGTCTCCCTAACCCTCCCCATCCCCACAATAGCTCTCTCATAAGCTTCGAGATTAAGTACCCCCTTAACTTTAAATATCGAGATAGCGTCTAAAACCCCATCTTTTCGTTTATATCCAATAACATTGACCCACGTACCCTCTATTATCGGTGGTAGTGGGTTTAACGGTTCCGAGGAGGTGGTTCTGAGTGTTAAGTCGATCGATACTTGTAACGTATAATTCGGAGGGGTTGTAGGTATCTGTGGCTGCGGCGGTTGTGGCGGTAGAACTGTAAAAGCTGCCGATGTTGTCGTCGCTATAGGAGAAGGAGACGGAGGAGGTGGAGGAGTCGTAGGGATTGCGATTGCTGGTGGTTTAGGACGAGATAATGGGCGTCTGGTGTTCAGTCCGATGGAGTCTAAAGCTGATATCGCGGCTTTGGAGGCGGCGGGGAGGGGTTTTATAGGTGAGAGAGGTGGTGGGGAGGGTTGGACCAGGTGAACGATGTAGTTTCTGGTGGGGGTTATGGGAGGATTGGATGGTCGTTGTGGGGAGCCTTTTCCCTGGGGTGATGCCGGTGATACTGGAGTTTTGAGAATATTGCGGGTGATGCCATTTGTTGGAGGATTTGGTATTTTAGTATTACCCCCATTGGCCATCCTCTTCGAAGGACCCGTCCCTCGAGCCACGCCGGAACCGTTTATATGTCTCCTCTCTGGTAGGTTATTTCCACCCCTAACGGCCACTCGACTAGAGGAACCAATAGATTGCCGTGGAAAAATCCCCCTCCTCTCGGTTCCCGCCGTCTCCCCATAATTCACAAAATTCTCATTCCCTGAAATACCTGCAGCCGGCCGTTTCCGCGATCCTTGACCATTGCGAACATGTACCTGAGGTAACGGTACATCGATCGACGGACGATGATGAAGTGACATTATTCCCGTTTCCGGATCGTAGGATTGTATCCTAAACATATAGTGTATTAGTCTTTTTTTCTTTTATCTTGTGAAGAAGAGGGAAGGACGTACAATCCCAACACCTTAACTTTACAACCAACCGGTAAATAATGTACATTTTGAATAAAGTGTACCGGCGACGGGAACGGGGTGGTTGGCATCTAGAATATCTTCTCTCTCTCCTTCTACTCAATTTAACCTTCTTTTCGTAACGTTATAATCGAAGAATGAGATTGACGAGGAACCTGTAAAGCTAACAGAGAGTATATCGTATATCGTGAAATTAAGAAAGAAAAAGAAGTAGTAGTTGAATAACAGGAAGTGTGCATTTTTGACGTATTCGGGGACATCCAGACCGATCGTGAATGTTCGGTGGGCTATTCATTGAGCTAAGAAGGGAGGAGGTGGTGGAGGTTGTGGAGGTTGTGGAGGTTGTGTGTGACTCGGACGCGGGAGGCTTTTTTTTGGCAGTCAGCTGTTTGAGATTCGCGTGTGTGGGCGAAAACATAGCGCCTGGTCTTGTGACTTCGCTTTTCGGCTGCATTCAGCACTAAACCCGGTGTATGATAGAAGACAGGCACCAATCCCCATACTATGCATGTATTCCAGGCTTCATTCGACAGCAGTTTCAGGCACAATACATTATTATTTTTGTAGGAGATGCAATATCAAAAAGACAATTAACCGCCGTCCACCACACTGACCAGTTACCAACCTCATGAATATGATGCGGAAAGAAACCCTTTTAAGAGAAATACTAGAAAGCTTCGAAAGTAAAATGAAATCTAAGGAGATATAGAAATAATTATGTATAAATTTTGAAAATAAAAATAGAGAGGCCTCTAATACAACCGGAGAAAAGAAAAAGAGAAGCAATCCAAAGCGAGAAAACAAATAAGACCATGGCCAGCAAAACGGGGGGGAAGCAAAGAAGAACTCAAAGGAAACCAATTTTTTATACTACAGATTAACATTATCGTGTACCAAGTTTTTTTCCGCCACAAGATCAAGACAAGATCTTCCCCAAAGAAAAAAGAGTTTGAAAAAAAAAGACCAGAAAGTACAACGCTTGCTAAAAAGAGGTATGAAAGTCGACGGCGAGAGGATACAAAAAACAATTGTACAAGAAAGCGTGCGATATTTAAACAAAGGGGGCAAGAGAGAAAGGAGAAATCAAAAGGACTTTTTGTGTATCAGTCAGTCATTAATAAAGCGTCAAAAAAGGACGAAAAGTGAAGGAAGCAGAAGTATCAAAGGCGGTAGGAGTGGAGGGGCATTTCATATAGAGAAGTATTAGCATCACAGAGGGCTTGGATGTTACTCCAAACAATGATGGTTACAGCGACAATAAACTAGAAGATGTGAGAATTCTCATGGTATAGGGTTTCTCTAAACCAACGGTAGTCTCACTTCTTCAGAACGGGCCGGGCGTGTGTACGGATTTCCCACCCTAAAATCCCTTATTACAGAGACCTAGGAGGATCGTCGCTTCCAACGCCAGACCTTGGGCCCTCCGCAGCACCGCTGGGCGGGATGGGAACACCGCTTGTAGCAATAACGGGACCAGGATGATGATCATCTAGCTCGGTATCCGATATAGTAATAAGCGGAGTTCTAGTACCTGGTGAGTTTTCACCACCAGAATATGGATCCTCATCCTGAACAGCCTGAAGTTTCTTCATCTTCTCCTCTGCGCGGATTTGGCGGTACCACATTGTGGAGTACTTTCCTCTGAGGGCGAGGAGTTGGTCATGTGTGCCCACTTCTGCGACGCGGCCATTGGCTACGACGACGATTTGGTTGGCGTTCGTGATCGTGGAAAGGCGGTGGCTATATACATCCCGTTAGTGGATTATAGTGACATGTGTGAGGATTAATATGGACTTACGCAATGACAAGGGTAGTTCGGCCGGCAGTGAGTTCTCTCAAGGCGGATTGGATATGCTGTTCGGTCTCTGTGTCCAGTGACGCGGTAGCCTCATCCAAGAGAATGATCTTGGGGTTCTTGATGATAGTACGAGCGATTGCAACCTGTACTTTGTTAGCGAATTGTGTAAAATAAGTACGTAAAGAATGACGAATTTAGGTACGAACCCTCTGCTTCTCTCCACCCGACAAACGCAATCCTCTCTCTCCCACCTTGGTATTATACCCATCTGGGAAAGTAAGGATCTTCTCGTGAATACTGGCAGCCTGGCAAGCCCGATAAACATCTTGATCGGTAGCACTAGGATTGGCGTATTTCAGATTATACATCAAAGTCTCGTTGAACAAGACGGTATCCTGGGGCACGACACCAATCTGCTCTCTAAGACTCTCAATCGTAAAATCTCTCACATCTCGTCCGTCAATTTTAACAGATCCCATTGACGCATTATAAAACCTGAAAATAAGTCGCAAAATGGTGGTCTTTCCCCCACCGCTTTCACCGACAAATGCTGTTGTGGTGCCCGGGGCGGCTTCGAAGCTCAACCCGCGAAGAGCAGGTTTTCGCTCGTCGTAGGCAAAATGGACGTTTTCGAAAGTCAAGTGGCCATCTGTACGGCCCAGTCGCTTAGACTGTGGCTCATCGATAACCGTTGGCTTTTCTCGGAATAGCTCAAGCATTCTCTCGGAATTGATCATGGAGCTTTGAATGCTTCTGTAGAATGTGCCAAAGAAGTTAAGGGGTCCCTGAAGCTGTGCTAAGTAGGTCAAGAGTGTGACGAATTTACCAACGTCGGCTTGACCGGTCGTGACTTGGTATGCACTCAAGTAGCAGGCAGCGACAAGGCCCAAGGTAAACATGAGGTTCTGAGTCACATTCATGATGTTCAAAGATGTCAAGACACGGTATTCGGCGTGCTGGAAGCCTCTTACGGCCTCCCTGTACCGGTTGAACTCGTATGCTTCGGCGTTAAAGTATTTCACTGTCTCATACGCAATCATCGAGTCGTTCCTATATTTCAATTAGTCTCTCATTCCATTGTTTGAATGTCGTTCGGAGCGTGCTTACTTGACGGCATCTTCTTCTCGCGACTTGTTCACCATGGTTCGACGAATATCAGATCTCCAGCGGGCCATTCTCACAGTTACGTAAAGATAAGCCCCGGTGACAATGATAATAATCAAAGCATAGTACGCATCATAGTTTGTCAAGAAATAAACCACAGCGATACCCAGATCTAACAACATCGGAAGCACTTGGAATGTCACCATTTCCAAAAAGTTATTGATCGCCGCGCCTTTCGACAGGGCTGACAATACCTCGCCAGTCTTCTTTCCCAAATGGAAATCAAGCGAAAGAGAGTGGACGTGCTCGAAAGCAGCCTGGGAGATCGATCTGTAGGAGTATTGGCTGATTGGAACCCATAGGATGGATCTTATTCCACCCAAGAGACCCATGTTGCCTTGTAGGAAGCGGAAAATGAGGTAAAGGAAGATATCGAACCATGGAATTCGTCCTATTCAACTAGGTGTTAGCGCGGGGGCCCTCATACCAAAGAATCACACAGAATCCCCACAACTTACGTTCGTCGGCTTTGTCATTTCCAAGAATCGTAGTGATACGACCCAGTTGATCCGGAACCTTCACGTTAATCCATCTCTGGATCAGAACGATCAAGATACAAATCGCCATAACAAGCTGGAGCTTTCGATCCTTGCTTGGCCACAAATACGGAAACAGCATCTTATACCCTTTGAGATACTCCCACCACGAGCCTTCAGGATTCTTATCCCTACGAGCCCAACCTGGTTTCTTATTAACAGGAGCAGAGTTGCTATTACTAGCACCAGGCTGTGGTGTCGTAGCTCCATACTCAACATGGCTATCATCCGATCCCAATAGCGAAGAGGTCTCAGAGCTAGATCCACTATCGCTCTCTAGCTGGATTCGCTTTCGCTTCTCTCGAGCATAGAGTAGGAACCAAATCGTTACCATGCCAGCGAGCCACACGATTCTGAACCCGGCTACAGCAGCCAAAGCTACCTGCCATTTGTCCCATTCCGAAAATCGGGTGTGTAACGAGGAGTCTTCGATCAGGATTGTGATTTCGGCGCAGAGTATCATAAACCATGAGGTCGCATGTGGCATTACAGGGTAGTACCTGCTCTCCAATTGACTAGCGAGAAGAGTTATCGAGAGGAATATCAGTGAAGTCGTATATATCTTTTGTTGCCTACAAGTTAGCATGTGGCTAAAAAAACTTGTCTCTCATCGAGAGAAGCGCCATCGTGGAGTGATCAACTTACAACTGTGTCCTGACCAGCCCACCAGCCCTTTTTCGCCAGTGCGTGAAGAATTAAATTCGCAGCATCAAAGATCTACACATTTTTCATTAATCGGCCGATTTTCCTTTACTAGATTTTTTTGTAACAAAAAAAATTTGAAAAAAATTGAACAAACAAATATACTCACATATGAAAGAGTAAGGCCAACAAGCGCCCAATGGAACATAGACCTCGCAAAGGAGCTCAGAAGCGGCTTATTCGGCACTCTTTGAAGCTCGTGACCAGACGGTATGTTTGGTTTACTAATCGAGCTCTTGCGTCGTGCGAACAATATGGACTCCTTTGTAGGATCCACCGTTTCCGAGGTGTAAATCGACCATGTCGCCAGGAATATTATGAAGAAGAACAGGAGGAACACGGGAAACAAGTAATGCAGCGACGTCAACAACGTCGAAGACGTCGGTTTCTCGAGCAGGACCGGCATAATGGGCAATGTCGTTATTGGATTTGAAGCGGCCATGGCTTCGTATGGCCTCTTCGTTATTATTTTTTTATTTTATATTTTTGTATATTTTTAGATTGAGAAGTTTTTATCGGCCGGTTGGTATTGAAGCGGCGAAGGGAGGCAAGGACAGTTTCCGAAAGCCAAAATCAATGGTTCCGAAAGTAATCCTTTGTTGTTTTATACAAAGCAGCAGAAACTCGAAGGTTGTCTGCTCATCACGAAGATATGGCGAGGAACTGACATCGACCAGGCGCCGTGAAATCCACGCTTTTTAGCAAAGGGCTGCTGGAGGATGAAGTTTAGAGGATTAAGTTGGCAGAGAGCTGTACTGAAACACTTGCTTGCGTTGGAAAAATATATAAAGAGTCCAAGTCTATTAGTCGGCGAGATGGTTTCCTTTTTTGTCTTTCCTTTTTCTGCTCTTAAAATCCGAGAACACCCAGTCGGATATAAACCCGGTCGAAGATTAAGAACAGAATAGAAAACAAAAAAACAAAGTTTTGTTTTTTTTTTCTTTGAAAGGGGTGTGAGAATTAAATTCCGTTCTCTTTTTTTTTTTTTTAGTAATCGAGGAATTCGTATTGTACTTATAGTAGTCTACCGATACAATGCGTGCTGCCTGGACCCGGACGGTGGAGACAAGAAGAAAAAAGAGTCTACGTGTGTATCCGTAAGTACTTAAAGTTAGCGTTTTGGGTTATCGTCTGCGAACGAATGTATCGGTTCCAAACGACGTGAATTTCGAATGATCCAGGCAAAGGCAGGCGCGGTATTAAAGTATGCCAAGGGACCTGAACCTGGGCTTTTCGACAAAAGTTGCAGGGAATATTTAGAGCTAGGAGCGCTCCTTGTGACTAAGAAGTTATTAGTCCTGTGGCAAAGGAACGAATACGTAATAACTGGTTTGGCAGTTCAGGCGCAAATGCCCGGTGGATTTGATTCAAAGCGTAGGCTGTGTCTTTCGTTATGTAAGTACTTCAAGTAAGTATAATGTCAAAGTGTAATTGTAATGGACTAGAAAGGATTGGATTGGAATCAAAAAGATCTTAAGAAGAGAGAAAGAGAAAAGGTGTAAAAAAAAGTGAAGTCCGGGGAAGGAAGAAAGAGAAATGGAAAGAAAAAAAAGTAAAAGGCTAAAAAAAAAAGAAGCTCCGAATTTAGGAGAAGTCGGGTCGAGTTAATGTTTTATGGAGCGAGCCAAGAAGGAGATATGTAAACCACAAAGGGGATGAAAATTTTCGACAGGAGGCTCGTTTCATGGCAGAATTCAAAAAAATAAAAATACCACCAGAAACTTGGGCCATGAATTGTTATTAAACGGCGCTGCTCCGAAACGTGATTGTGACGAAATACACATTAACCTGCAGCATCCGGCCTGGTTTGGTTTGTCCTTCATCTCTTCTGTTGTATGACCATCATTGCATAGGTTGCATAGATTGCATAGAGTCCTGACGTTGTAGCACGGTTGACCAGAATGCCATTCCTGCCTCGATCGCAGATTTTACAGGCCTAATCGATGTTTGTATTGTACAGATCAAGTAAAGCAGTATGATTGCTGGCGCATTGGCATCGTTCATGGCGAGCAATGGTAAGCGACCCCACTGGCAGAGCTTCGGGTAAGTAGCGTCCTCTGGAGCTCTAACTAATCGAAATGCCGTTTAGTCCCGATCAAGGAAGCTACATAGATGCATGTTGCTTGCAGTTTTGGGACTGCACTGCCACCATTAGCTCATTAGTTAAGCATTCCAAGACGCAGTCTTTCGTGACCTCGAACCGGCGCTTGTGATGCAAGGTCCATTTCCAAGTTCTCGACTTGGGTCAGCTGGGCCGTCCTTGCAGATACTATTGATTGCTATCGTTCAGGATACCTGCAGGCTAGGCCTGTTCAGGGCAATGTCGTTCACTGGGACAAAAATTAACTCCAGCTAAATACATCATGCATTCTCACATCCAACAAGTTAACCCGTTAACAACGCACATAATATAACATACCGTGAGGGATGGGCTTTATATACCCTAGCATTGTCGCACAGTATCACAAGCATCAACTGACAGACAGTGACGGTACACATGGTAAACGGCACGGCATGGACATGGTGTAGGGATTGTTTGCACCTAACGTTAGTTTTACCGAGAACGGGCCTGCGCGTGTTTCCCATTATGCATCAGTATCTGACAAGCATAAACGGCATCCGGATAGATAACAAAGCTGACATAAAATGCGAATCGAACCCCTCAGAATTGCCTTACTTGCATCAACGTTATCTTATACGCACTTCCGACATGTCACTCTCATCTTTTCACCCACTAACCGATTAGAAACGCCCGCCGTTTATTGCAGTGCTTCCATAGCCGTGTTGGGTCGAAGCGTCCTCAAGTAACAGCCGTTTGCCAGGCATAAAAGCAACTTCAGTAGTATCTGAAATGGCAGCACCCGTCTGTCGACGGACCCGCCTCATCATCGGGGCAACGTAATGTTTTTTTTCGATTAGGGAAAGTCCAAATGTACTAACCTTCGATAATACGAGAAACCTTGCTTCGAGATACCAAAAGTCGACGACCGCCTATCCCGGAACCACGGAAATCTTCTGCGTCCCTTTAACCTTTCCTCCCCTTGCGGCCTCCATCTTCGCAGTTCTTGCCCCAAATTGTATCTGTAAACATCAAACAGTCCGTAAGCGATCGCTAAATGCAGGTCTCCGTGTATTTAAAGCCTTACCGCTCGTTTCTTCTCGCCAGCCACTCTCTTCATCCCCAGTTTCCAAGCCAACAGCCTCAAAACCTGTTTCTCATTGTCAAGCGTACTCCACTCTTCGCCCGATTGAACAGCACCGAATCCACATTTTTCTGTCACGGGCCAAGATATAACTTCTTGCAATAAACGTTCATCGAGGAAAGGGAACCTCGCTTCTCGTCCCCAGTTAGCAATGATCCTATCATCACGGCCCAAATTCCGTTTCCCAAGACGAGTAAGATCAAGTTCCAATTCGTCAATCAGACCTGGGTATCCGGCTCGGTTGAAGGCTGTCCCATGTCGCGCGTAGCCGCCAAACAGTTCATCCGCGCCTAACCCTGACAGTAAGATTCTCGGGGAATCGGTTTCAAGTGGGCGTGAGGCAAAGTAAAACGCAAGTCCAATAGAAAGGTCCATTTCTGTGTCATGAGGGTGGAGAAGGGCAATCACGGCTGATTTGTGCTCTACAACCTCTTCGTAGGGCACGTTTATTTCCCTGAACCTCCAATCTCTAGTAGAACAAACACTTTGGAGCTCGAGCCACGACTTCCGTCCAGTTTGGCGATCGGGGCAAATATCGTAAACACTATCAATAGAACCCTTGGCAGATACGTCTTCCAACGCACTGGGCCCCAATCCCGTCTCACCATTCACTTGCGTGGAAACGTTCTTCGATTTCCTAGCCTTCTTGGCCTCGGCGAACGCAGCTTCAAGAACTCTTTTATTCTCAAAGGCGACGTTGAGTAATTCAATAGGCTCCCCAGTTGGAAGAATGTCGTGCACAATCCTCGCTAGCATAGTACAATCTACCCCACCAGAGAACAAAATACCTACCTTCGAAGGCCGTAGTATCCCTTCGTGGCCGGGTACCAGTGGTATCGAGTGCCGGGGTACATTCTGTACTCGGAGTCGTAAACTGTCATAAAGAAGATCGTAGAGACGGCTAACCGGTGATGACTGTGGGTTCAGGGCTGGTGGATTTGTTGGTGGTATGTGTTTGCATAGCTGGGGTATTGGTAGCTTCATCGACAGAGGCTCAGTGGATAGTTCCGAGTCTGGGACAAAAGCGAATCTGTGTGGGTGCCAGGGACTCGTATAAGTTTGCAAGTCAATGTAATAGAAGCCGTCAGCCTCAATCTCCTCCCACTGAGACGTAGCTTGGGGATCTGCTATACTACAAATAGCAAAATTCCCATCATCGTCAACAGACTTCCTTCGCAACAAAGACCTTCTCCCAAGCCAGTCCCTCCCGAACCATACTCTTTTCGACGATCCATCGTAGAACACAAAAGCGAAAGGTCCTTCGATTTTCTGCAAAACATCCTGAACTTTGCCACTACACGAGCTCAATTGGGCAAAGATGACCTGCGCGTCGTTTTCGTCGGATCCAAATTCTTGTCCATTGAAGCGCCACGCTTCACCATTCCAACAAAGCACATACTCTGGCGCGTCATCCTGTTTTTCTGTTCTGTTCGATTTCGAGAATATAGGTTGAGGAACAACAGCTGTCCCACGTAGCGACAGCACGGACGATGTAAATTTTAGCCGTAAGGAACCGACGACGAGTTCCACCGACTCAAGTGAGTCCGGACCCCTTCTTGTAACATCTTTGACAAGATCGTCCGAGGTCGAGGATGTCGTAGAGTTATCAGCCTGTGAGAGCTCAAAGAGGATCCCACACATGCGGAGAAATAATAGCTAGGCAGCCTGCACCGTCGCCTTCAATACCCTTGCTATGAAGGGAAGAAAAAAAAGGGGAAGGAAGTTGTTATCCCCTGAAGCCTGACACTACTGTCCGCCTCGATTTGATGCTTGGAAATACTCAATTGGAGCCCCTGGCGTTTTTCCACTGTCGGACAAGAGACGACAAGACGTTCGGGAAGTGATATGGTCGTGAAGGGTTAAATGTGTGGTGTTTGCTGATGGTTTCGTTTGGTTGTCCCCAGGCAACCATCAGCAACCATCAAAAGCAGCTAATTGTTTACGACCAACAACACATAATCCTAGCGTCGGCGCCAAACCACAACGTCAGCCTCCAACATATTAAAGGTACCCGGCCCCCAGTTCTGATATCAAAGGTCCACAAAGTACTCGAGTACTTCTTGACAAAAAAAAATATTCGCTACGTGTGTCTAATATCTGGTATCTGGTATCTGGTCTACCAATTACCTCCCGGCAATCAGTCTTCAATTCTTTCGATCTTCTTTCGTTGTTGATATTCGATCCCGAGAACCCGCCATTAGCATTCCACCATCAATATCTGAACATTCTTCAGCCCCCACAGTTCCACTATCATTCTTTTTCTATCCTAATCGTTAACCGACCTCTACATATATCGATCAGTCTTTTGCCGTCGTCTAAAATATACTTTGATCATCTGGGTATCTTTTAGATAATTGGAATCAAACATTGCCAGGATGGATCGGGTGCGCCCCTCGTTTATGACGAAAGAGCAGTTGGGTATGCATATATAATTCTCAAATATGGAAATGGCCGGGGGTTACCGGAGCAATTAATACTAACGGCATATATTAGACAAGTACATGAACGATGTAAAGCAAAACCGACAGCCTCGTCCAAGGCCAAACTTTGAACTCCCTGCGAAACGACTCTCAATGACATTCAACGACCCACCTCCCGAACCTCAGGAAAAGGAAGAACCAAAACCGGAACCAATTTTCAGAGTTCAAACAGATTCTCCAGTCTCGGCATTTCGACGCTATGGGGGGAGTGTAAGGGATATACAGAAGTCGAAGGGGACGGTTCGGACTAGGAATGGTTGGATCATTGGTGATAGTTCAGGGAAACCTTCTTCGCCCTTTAGTGGGAATAGGCAAGGAGCACAGTCACGAATAGTCGAGGAACCGGAAACAACGAGAAGAGTTAAAATGGTTGAGGAGACGAAGCCTTCGCCGGTGGTGGCACAAGTAAAGGCAAACGATAAAGAAAACCAAGCAGACTGGGATTCCGACTCACCACTCGAAGAATCTTTGGAGGACTCGATTATCAAGTTGCAAAACGATATCAGCCAAGAGATTGAGGCCGTAAGCATTCTACTCGACTCGCCTATCGACGAAAGTGGAGATAGCGTCTCTGGGGATGTTGATGATATTTTGGACTCATATAGAGATGACCCAAAACCGGACTCGCCGGCGCCTCTCAAGATTACTAGAAGTCTTCCAGTTGATATCAAACATACTCTGGCTATACACCAATCGCAGTTGCCGGAGCCCCCTGTGTCGATTACCAATACCAACAAGATCGGTCAATACCAGGTCAATTCCCCACCAACCCCAAGTTCGACTCCGCCTGAGTTAGAAAAGAGGCCGAAGTTTGGGGACCGAGGGGTTCCAACATTCTCCTCAGTTGCGCCACCGACGCCCCCTACGAAGGTCATGATAGTTGAGGATGATAAGCTTGTTGCAGAGATGACGCTAGATGATGGGAAGGGTGACGCCGGGTATAATGTCCAACAAGGAAATCCAAATGCCGTCGTTCCTTCAGCTGAGGTATCGAAGATCGCCGGCAAGATTTCTGAGTTACAAATGAAAGCAGATCCGTGGGCTGCTGCTCCTAAGCCCGCCTTTCCAAATATCAGTATGGAGGAGTTTCAAGAGAGGAACGAACCACATTCCGAGCACAGGCCTTCCCAATTGTCTTTCAACAGGACTAATAGTCTTCCCGTCGGCATGTCTCAAGATTCGACAAATGCTGCTACCGGTAATAAGAAGTCTTTTGAACAACGACAGTATAAGCCTTACAGGCCGCCAACCCAACCAGCATCACTGCCTTCAACAGTTCCTAGGCCAGCATTCATGAGAACTCGGACAGGGTCTGAGTCTGTAATAACCCCTCCAGTGTGCCCTTCGCCTGCCCCGCATGTCGGGGCGATTCCATCCCATATGAATAACGCACATGGGCGGCACTCTAGCCTTGGGAACATCTACCAGCCCAATCAACCACCCATAATGGCCGCTTATGCCGCGACCCAGAATTTCGTACCACTCCAACATAGGCACTCGATGAGCACAAATGTAGGCTATGGACAAATTCAGCCAATGCGGCACTTCAATGCTGGCCCCCCTCTGCCAACCCATAGCCAACATCGACCAGGGCCGCAAAATCATTTTAATAGACAGTTCCATAGCAGCTTTGGACCATCTGGCCATATGAACCAGCCAACAGTATCTCGTATGCTTTCGAATGTTGGAACTTCTGGGCGTTCGCTCCCAGTGCTTCCTACGGACTTGTCAAAGGCACTCCCTGAACCACCAACCAACATTATTAATGATCCTCAAGTGCTACTAAAGCAATCTCCCTCGGCAACCGGAGCACCCCTAGTTAAAAACCAGACACCCCCTCCTATTCCTACGTTTTCCTTTGACGATACACCGACGTCCGGTAGCCGGCGTTTACCTGCAGCTCCTACACAACAGCAGAGTAAGCCGCTACCGACAATGCCCACCAGATCCTTTGAAGACAGGAAACAGCAAGAGACAAAAGCAATGCCTCCTGTCCCTGTTTTCTCATTTTCCGATGATTCTACGCCCAATTCGAAAAGTATACCTTCTATCAACATTCCCGATGATAATGCCTCTAAGCCTAGCGTTCCGATAATCAATGTTCCTGACGATGACGACAATGATAAGACCAACTCTTCAGTTCCATCCTTCTCTTTCTCCGGTCCAGACGAACAAACAGACCGGAGACCTCTCCCCACTGCTCCTACCACTCAAAAACAAGATCCACGCCCTCTCCCATCTCCAAGGAAAAACAGCATAGCTGACCGAAGAGCCGCCTTTGAAACACATGGCCATGGCGCGAATCACCGTATTCCTTTGCCTAGATCTGCTGCTTCTTGTACCGCCTGTGGACAACATATCTCCGCTAGAGCAGTATCTGCTTCCGGGCTTAGGTTTCACCCAGAGTGCTTCCGTTGTTCTCACTGCAGTACCCGTCTCGAGCATGTCGCATTCTACCCTGAACCTTTATCTCCCGACGCTGGTCCCGACGCTCAGCTAACCGGCCGTTTCTTCTGCCATCTCGACTTCCACGAGTTATTTAGCCCTAGGTGCAAGAGCTGCAAGACCCCAATTGAAGGTGAAGTTGTAGAAGCTTGCGGGGCTACATGGCATCCTGGTCATTTCTTCTGCGCCGAGTGTGGTGATGTAAGTAATATAACCGAACTTTGTTTTCCCCATAGGAGCAGCGGCTGACATATTCGATAGCCTTTCGACGCTAAGTCGAGATTCGTAGAAAAGGATAAGTACGCATGGTGCCTCTGCTGTTACCAGAAACGATATAGCAGTAAGTGCAAGAAGTGCAAGAAGCCAGTGACCGATACTGTTGTCAAGGCACTGGATGCCGACTGGCATATGGAGTGTTTTTGCTGTTTTGTAAGTTTCGTCCCTATAAACCAATGGGATGTGCTTTGATTCTAACAACATCTTATAGGAATGTGGATCTGAGTTCCAGGATGGAAGATACTTCCTCCGAGGCGGCTGCGACAACGAACCAGTTTGCACGAAGTGCGAGGAAACCAGATTGAAGAGCTGGGAGCTGGTGCAGTGAGTGGAACGGTCGATATGACGTGATGTTACTAACCTATCTTTCTTCTAACCCTCCCCCGTTTTCCCTTGACGATATTATCGAAAAAGCATAACGTACGGCGTGCATGAGAGAATTGGCGTATGAGATTTGTTTTTATTGCGAATTAATTGATAATTACAGTTACTGCTTTTTATTTTTATAAACCTGATTGTAAAGGTTATCGATGTCGCCCCCCCTCTGTCATATTCCGCCTTTTTTTTCCCTAAATTAATGCACATATGAACGCGAGGGTGTTTCTCGGCGGGTCAATGTAGACCATTTCTGTATCGATTAGTTTCTTTCTCCACTTTTAAAGGCTTTGTTTTACTTCTTTCAGCATGTTTATATTGACAACTTCTTTTTCTGGGGCACTTTTTTATTACTATTTATTGTATTATACGAAAGCATGCGAGTGCGCAGTTCTTGGTGGTCAATAAATACAAAATACTACCTTAACTTCTAAAGATATTCAAAGGGACTTGATTATAATTTCACTAGTCTCGTGAGAGGAATATAAACATACATTGATCTATCCATAAATTCAATACATACAATATTATTGGCAAAAACATCATGGTAGCATCAAAACCAAGGTTGCATCGACGTAAATACAGAACCCACGATCTATAGTTTCTAACCATATCTAGCCATATAATACCTAACTCCATTTCAATCCACCATATGAGCATCAGGAACATGAGTTCTCCCCCTCCTCCCCACAAACGGACTTCGTGCTCCCACTCCATCATACCCATCATAACTATCACCACCCTCAATAGCCCTTAGTTGCGTCGTTTCCAATTCTGGACTTAATCCTCTCATCCCCATTCCCTCAACATCATCATCTTGATACATATACCTCCCATAATCAAGTCCATATGGATACCCCATGCCCATCCCTCCCTGCATACTATCCAACAATCTATTCCTACCACTATTATACCCATACCCATATCCACCATACCCATCACCCCCCAACGCCCCTCTATTACCACCAGATCCAATATAAGGGCTACCCCATCCACTTCTGATAAAGTTCCTTTCGATGTCTTTTGGAGTATTTATATTCATACAATTTACTTCGTCGCATTCGTCGGGGTTGGTAGAGGAGATTTGGTGATGATGACGACGGTGGTGGTGTGAGGAATATGGGTTTATGAAATTATAGTTATTGTATCCTCGATTATGGTGATGATCGCGGTCCCAATAACGGGGGGTATTATACCCACCGGTATAACCATAATTATTATATACCCTATCACCAGCAGGGTAGTACGGATAATATCCTTCTCCCATACTCCCACCTCCAAATGCATCATATCCATATCCATAGCGATTATTATAATCACTAGGAATACCGATACCAGTACCCATGGAATAACCCCTACTACCGCCGTATTGAAGTCTTAGACAGTTTTCGCATGAGCCTAGAAGATCCCATGTTCGAACGTTACGGTTGGAACGCTTTGAGGGACGACAGGTGGTGTGATAGGTTCGGCCGCGGGTGTGCCGGGCTGTGGTGCAGGTTTGGAAGATGCAGGTTTGGGTGTGGCCGCATTTGAAGCGGAGGCGGTTGAAGAAGCACATTACTCCTTGTGCTAGTTATTATGCACGTGGGGGTTTAATGTCGATATTGGTGGTTAGGTTAGTTTGAACGGGTTATTATACGTATGGGGCGACTTCTGAATATAATTTATTGGTCGGTTGGTTGGAATTAACGTCGCAAGGTTTAGAATGTTTTGTAAAGGAACCAATTATAGATAGATTTAAGGGTGTGAGGCAAATTAAAGGTGTATACAGCGAGCTTTTAATTTTAAGACCTATAAAACTCTCGAGATAGACGACCGCGGTGCTACTTAAATACTTTCCCCAATCAATTCCGTTTGCATAACTATCGATCATATCACCCGATATACCTATTAATATTCTTCTACTTTTGTAAGGAGACCTATATTCGAGTTAAAAAACCTACGTAGAGGAGCCCCTCGCCTACACGCATGCGCAGGATGCATCTTCAAAAAAGAGGCTGGTTCTTAAAAGGCAAACTTCTGGAAGGATTAACAAAGCCATTCCTTGCATGCACATAACCCTTTTTGTACGAGTTACTCAAACTTGTTCGCTGTTGTGCGACATAATATATCTCATGTTGGCTGCCGCTGTGTGAGACCCGAGTGTACGAAGACATTGTCATGGTGGGGAAAAAAGTGATACTTCTTGAGCAAACATTTTCTGTACTGCGTATGTAGATAGATAGGGTTGTGGCGCCATGATTGATCTATTAAATCTTTGATACATTGGAAGTGATTATAAGATTCGAACGGTGCATGCCTCGGGTAGATAGATTGGAAATATATGTTGATTGCAATTGATCATTTTAATGGGAAGTGAGAGAAGATTATTCATTGAAGTTTTAGATTCTATAGTGTAAAATATATTCTGGATAAGAAATTTAGAACCGCTTGCATATCTGTCAGGTGAGAATGTATGTCAATAGTTTAATTATAACGGTGTCTTTAGGTTTTGTAAAGCCGCATATGGAATAGTCGATCTGTCCTCGAGTTTTGCTCAAGGACGCATAAAGTCTGACATAGGGAACCCTGCACAATATAATCAGCTGCTTGGCTTTAGAACCTCACATGGCCTCATACCCTGCCCATAGACCGTTATGTAAGTAAATATTTAGTTGTGGCAGATGATGCATATGAGACCGCACTTAGTTTAGTCGAGAAGTCTGGCCGAATAGCTAGCTTTGTACTTCTCTCTAAATATGATAAGTAACGCCTCAACGCCTGCATGTATGACCTAACCTGGAAACCTAGAGCTAAGTACGTATCATATATTTTTTGAAAATGATTTCATTCACTGACTCTGTCACCAAGGCATTCGATCCCGCCCACTGTAGATGCTGGGTGCATGCTGATTAAAATAATTTCCCAACATCTAAGTTACACCACTTATTTGCCATACGTTAAGGATGGGGCATAGCCAGGGTACAAGCCATATTGTATCAGGCTCATACACGATCCTGCAATATTCTAATTGCAAACAATTGGAGGGGGTTTTCAAAAACATTAAATTTAGAGGGAAGCGGTATTGGTTAGTACCATCTGAACTAGTCCAAGATAAGTGTGTTGTTTTTGTTGGTGAAATCTAAATGTCCGGAGAGAATTGGACGGGATGGATGGTTCGCAAGTTATTAGCCAGTAATAACTAGACGGATGAAGCAGAATGACACACAGCCGTCCTGCCAAAGTGCAGTTTTAGAGGACAAGGGAAGGGATCAGGGTTTCTCGACTTTTCCCTTCCGTATTATAATCGGTACATCTCCACAGATTGTAGCGTTATTGGGTTTTGTTCCCGCGCGCAAAACGCAGAGAGCTTCACAACAGTATCGGCAAGATTAAGACCACTCGTTGATATGAAAGTGTAAGTATGTATATTTCATCTCCGAATCGACATTACAGATCGTACTCCGTGATACGTTACGGCATTCAAATGAGGTATACCGGGATTCACTTCTTTATTCATTACGCTGGAAATAGACCTGACCATGTGGGCGGCTAGTGATGTGTTGCCCTTGCGTTGGATATGTTTGACGATGTCATGTCATCGTCCTGAACGAACAGGTGAACGGCCTCATTCAATTGACCCAGCCTCATGTTTTTTTATCAATGTTTACCCCCCGGTTATCAGCATGCAGAAGGTGGGAGGAAAAAACGTGACGTCGTTGGATTATATGTTTGAGGTATGTACGACCAACCACCTAATTTGAAGCCTCTGAAAGGTTGAATATGCGCCGAACATCCTCGGGCTTTATACCCGGTTTGGAGGGCTCGATTGGCAGGAGTCGCAACTTGACGTTGCTGTTTGATGGGGATGGCCGCTGGGAACAGTTAATATCGAATAAACCTGCCTTTTGACAGCTGGTTATGGAGACACCTGACGATGACTCGAGTTCGGCTTTTCAGGGATATGTCTTAAAGCTAAAAAGTTAATACATACTTGGGTAGCTTAGTCCTTTCCCTTCAGCTGATCGGGTGGCTCGTGGGTTAGGACGGACAGATTCGATTCCTGGCCATTGGGATCCCGAATGGAACGAAAAGAAAAGAAGAAAAAAAGCCATGCATGAATGAATGGGAAGGGAAAAAAAATCTTGGGATGAATGATGCTAACTACGACTTAGTAATTAACAGATGGAGCCTTGAAGAGTTGGCAGTTGAAATTAGTATTAGCTCGGCTTTGTCAGGCTACTTGGTGGCATCGATTATATCGACATCAAACATAACGCTGTCAGGTACCTCTACCTGTCCCTTGCTTGCATAAAACCGCATCGATCCTTTGGAAGTCGAGAAAGACGACAGAAAAGACGGGATGAACAACCTAAGGCGGCACGTTCGGGTTGGGCCTTCCTAGCTTCAGCTCTCACTGACGATATATTCGAGTATATCATCCGGGCTAAGATCGTGGCCAGTGACGTGTCCGACGCTGCGGTTGTCGAAGTTGGGGCCTGCCAGCTCATCAATCCGAAAAAAAAAAAAAACTAATTGTCGGTATCCAGCCTCCCACACCTCTTACATAGATATACACCATATGCCACATCTTGTTATCCTCTCCCATCACATCAGAACCCCACATCGCATTGGTCAAGTGGATACATTACTCTAACCCGGCCGTGGGAACTAAGCTGAACCCATGCCTTTGGGATCGCAGGTTGCCCTTCTGATGTCTTGTCGATAAACGAGGGTATACTTGCTCAATTACGCAAAAGTCAATGTTCAAGAAGTATCAATTGGCCTTGCATTCTGCGTGCTAGCTAGCTCGTTAGCATCGATTATTAAAAAAACAAGGCCGCCAGCAGGGATACCACACAAGTAGATGTCCGTCTTGAACAGAACAGGGAGAACTTTCAGGGCTTGCCACGTCTCTCTTCGCAGTGTGATCCTGGTCATTGCTCCGCTGGAGAAACGGCCGTTCTTCTAAGTTAGCGACTTCAGCCTGCCTCATCTCTTCCCACTTCCTGCAACAAGTTACAGCAACATGCATATAATCACAGCACGGCCTGGCTCCATCTCGTCAGTGTGACTAGGGATAAGGGAAGTTTAGGAAAGAAAAGAAGAAAAGAAGAAGAAAACAAAAGAAAAAAAGTTTCAATGAGGCGCATTGCATGAAGCAGAAAGGGGACGGATGGTCAGATCGGTCGACGTTTAAAGGCCCGCCAGGTTGTATTTTTTCTTTATTTTATTCTTTTTATATATGCGAGCGGGCCTGCACTTGTGCGATGCAGCCAGAAGCGACCCACGGAAACACAAAGTTTTCCCTCTTCGACTATTTATATTTTTTTGGCCCCATCTCATCGACTGGGGAAAAAGGTTTTCCAGAACCTATTACGACAGGAAAGAATATTCGGAACACAGACCGCATTTTCTATCGTTTTTATTTTGTTTTGTTTTATACTGTTTTATTTTTTTAGCTTGGGAGGTTGCTTGGGAATCTGTTTAGGGAAGAGTTCACGATAGTTTCGGTTCATCACATTATTTCACATCTGCTTCCGTCTTGCTACGCAAAAAACCCCATTTCTCATCACGATACCTTGTTAAGCCACACTTATCCTCGACTCTTCCAATTTCGAGGACCGAGAAAGAAAGAAAAACAATCCTCATTGACTTTTAAACCTTGTCCAGGCTGCCTATTCACCTGACTGCGAAACACGTTGTCGACCTTGGATAGACGGACTCTGTACGCTTGTGGTTTTTCTTGTGGCACCCGGCCGTCTCATCTGCATATCTGCGGAAGGTAGAAAGATAGACAGCTAGTCCGACGGGGTAATTTGGAAAAATTAGAAGGAAGCAAAAGGGAAGGGCCAAAAAAAAAAGTGAAAGGAAAGGAAGGCTGCAGCGGTAAACCCGATAAGCTAGTTATATCACTGGAAATACGCCCCCAGGTCATCGACAGGTCATCACTTGCTCCAACGGTGTTTCATGCCAACCTTTTTTTTTTTCGATTCGGCGTCCAAAAGAAAGTGCCAGCCGACATCATCTGCAGTTTCCTTCACACCCACAGTACCGAAGCGCTATTGAATCTGCCAAGGCCGGACGCACGAACAGTTTTCCGAGGCCCAGAAGCTCATTCAAAGCAAGGAGAACAATAGGAAGCATTTGAATGTTTGGTTGTTAGAAAGGAAAAAGAAAGGAAAGGAAAGCTGGAGGCATCCGACACACACGCTGACCTTGCGCCCGAAATTTCCACAGGCGACCCGCAACAGAACCCAAGTTGCTTTTCGAACAAGGATTATCAGGGACAACATTTTACGAAAAAATTTTGGGAGGACCTTTAGGCGGGCTGCCACAAGTCAAACGGTTAAGATACGAAAGAGTGAAGAGAGAGAAAAAAGTAGCGTGAGGGAAGCCAATTTGGGAAAAATAATAAGACGCATCCCAGCGGAAAATTAGTTTACCACTCTTTCAATCCTCGTGTTCCAGTCTAAACACCATTTCTATTCTAACGGCTCTCTCTTTTGTCATTTCTTTCGGACGGTCATAATATTTCGACGCCTCATCCTTTCTCTAGCGATTTCAATTCCGTGGTTCGGCGTCGACGAAATACCTGCGTTACCTAAACAAGGGGGAGGTTCTGCAATTCTTGTTGGTCAACAGGTCAGATTAACGCGGAACGGTCCAACCCATTCGACTCGAAATTCCTCTGTCGGTTAAGGCCTCCGACCGGTGACCCCCTCCTTTCGACATTGGCGACGAATTAAAAAAAATATATTCTTTGGGGAATTCTGGTTGTTGTTTTTGATTGTTTCCCCCCTTAACTTCTGCAGAATCGGACGTTATTTCTTTCCCTCTCTTATTAAAAACGGCAAGCTAGCGCGCGGTGGGGGAGTACGTTGCGGCAGGATGGTCGGCTCCGAGGTCGATCAGAAATACCTGGGGAACTATGCAAAGGTTGTTGGGACTCACAATGAGAGTCTATCGGCGGCACTATTCAAAGTGTTAGGACTATCGACGATACTATCCAAGAAGTTGGTTCGGGCACGAAAACAGCGGAAATTGGACCCGACAAGGACGACGAAATCACTGGACCTATATCGACACATAATATGGATGGCAAGGGAAGGATACATATTACTGGACGTCTACGTTTTACCGTTTGTGCTCAATTTCATCGAATTGAAGGTGCTAGCGTTGAAATTGAAGGCGTCGTTTCTTCACATTTTCGTGCTATTCGACCACACGTACCAAACCAAGACCGATTTCTCGCTACCGGGCGGGCCATTCCACCAGACGCAGCCGACGACGCCGGAATTGGCAGAAGCTGATGAACATCAACCGGTAAAGGGGCAAACCAATTCGTTCTACAATTACATCAATATTGCATCCCAAGCATTTGTAACAGCTGACGACTATGCAACGCGATTATTATCTGGTTCGCATCCATTACGGTTGAGCGTCAAGCTTGAGTACTCGGCATTTGCACACGACTGCATGAAGGAATTTTCGTTATCAAGAAGCATTGCCAGAAAAGCGGTTGATGATGCGTTTGCTAGCATGGAAGCTATGACGGATGAGAGTTTTGAGGACGCTATGGATTTAGTGTCGAGCTTGGGGGTTATGGCACGGAGAGGGGGGAATTAGGGTGGCATTCTTTTCTGGGATTTCTAAGACATCTTGTCGACGTCTTTCGCGCTACACACTTTTGGCACTGTTATAACACTCGAACCCGGAACGAGAAAACCTTAACTTTAACCTTTTAAGTTAGAGTTCCCGCAAAAAGAGAGCAGCATCGATCCAGACCCTCTCTCCTCGATCGATTGACCCTATTCGGATCAAGCTATCTACGCCCGTTTTTATACAACCGTCGACATCAAAACCATCACAAAACCAAACACCCCCGCGCTTATATATATCACCTCAAATTCTGGACACATTCCGCATTTTTTGCTTCTACGGGCTGTGCTTGAAAATCCATTGCATTCCCCGTGCGCTTATCATTCCCAGAATCTACGCCTTTCTCGATCTCATAACTCCGCGGAGACCTCCTATACATCCATATCAGTTTCCTAGCTGTGCTCTAATACCCGGTTTTTCTTTTTTCTGTTCTTGTTGACGGATTTCCTTTTCGAATACCTACCGACCTATCCTCCAAAACCATTTTCCTTTCTCGGCATTTTATCGGGCGTTCAAGTTGATAGATTCTTGTTTCTTTCTTTCTTTCCTATCCCTTGGTATATTGTTGTATATTCTGTAATAATAGAATATGGGGCGCTAATAGTGTATTTCCATTCCCTTTTTTCTTTCCATTTTCCATTTTCATAGTGTCATCGAACTATTTCCTTTTTGTTCTTTCGTTTCCTTTTGGTATCTCTTGGTGATTGTTCGTCATATGGGTTAGGAGTTATTGTTTAGGATTTTTATATACACAACTTTTTCCTATATCCTTATTTTTTTTTCCTTTTGTTTTTCTTCCCCCTTTTTCGACCTTATTTTCCCTTGTTTTATGCGATCTGTGAATTTCCTTTTGTATATATGGTTATACCATGGATATTTTGGATGAGGAAAACTATTTTTCTTAATATACCTATCTACTTATTTATTTTGGTGGGATCGGTAGGGAAAGGGAGGGAAATATAAAAGTTGGTTATTTTGGATTTTTTTATATATATTACTCTTCTTTTTTGGGTAGTGGTGTATATGTAGCCTCGAGACTGCATGTGGACCTGTAACGACCCTCCCTTTGTGATGTGACGTCTGGGTGCGAGCATGCGTGTAATCCTGGTCTTGTTCCCGGATGCCACAAGGGAGGGAAGGATGAATCTCGGTATTGTGGCCCCGGAGCACAGGGACCGGTTTTTTTAGCATATACTTATCGGGAACAGGGAGCTAAGAAATTATAGCGATAGCTTCGAAAGAAATTGCAAACGGGAATAATTAGTAAATCTAGCGGTCCTGTGACCACAGGCAGGTGTCGTTTGCGAAAGTAGTGGTCTAAGCCTAAACCCCCCAGTATATACATAGCTTGTGAGGGGTTTCGAATGGAAGCCAATTTAGCAAAAAGAGACTAGATAAGTAGTTATTCGATTCAAAGAGCAGATAATTGTGATAAGGAAGTCGATTTGGCCCGATAAAAACAAACTGTAAAATGTACGCATTGGAAGGAATATATAAAATTGTAGCATCTTCTTTTGAAGTGGGTGTATGATTTGTGAAAACATCTGTGTACTGGGAGCATGCATATATCGATACTGGGATACTGGAAGTACAGCTAGCTCTAATGCCAAAATCACAATCGGCAGTTCTGTCCATGCGCAATGCACTCGGCATCGGGAGGGAGTTGACCGATAACGATTCCCACATACTGAAAGACCTTGGCAGGAGGTGGGAAGTACCCCCCCGCCCCCTGCCAACATTTGCTTTTCTGATCGTTGGTGTATTGTTCTGTTGCTTTTGCAAGCAGATATTTTGAGATTTGACGACTTTCTCGCGCGCTGAGCAGGTAAAAATTGGTGTGCTCTCTTAAGGCCACCATAATACGCGATTTTAAGTGAGGGTGTGATGCATGAGGCCTCAACCTATCGGCGGCATCGTCTGGTAATTCGAACACATTCCAATTTCCATATAGGTGACCATCCGTCCCGACGGAGAGAAAGGCTCCAACCGAGTAAACACTACCCGGCGAATAGGCTCGACTTCCAAAGCCAAACAACGAGGGTGGACACCAAGACCACGGGCCGCTCTCAAAGATGGGAACTTCGTCATGGAATATTGAGTGATAGCTGATACTCCCAATCTTGATGAGAATTTTTCTAGATATATCAGCACGCGGCTGCTCGGGATCAAACCATGTTTGGTCGGGCGTCTTAGAATTTGTTCCGACTAGGAGCGCTGCGATGATAATTCGGTCTCGGGCCCAGCAAGTATATCTCGGTTCTAGGATGCTTAGAAGGCTGTCAATGGTAAAGTCAGACCGTTGGCTTTCAATAGGGGTTACGGTGAAAGCTATGCTGCCGGGGAAAACTCCAAAGTCAGGATACTCGGAGGGTCTGTTGAAATTGCTTTGGTTACGCCGAAGCCATCTTATATGTTCTGCAACTGACTTCCATCCTGGATGGGCGTAAAGGTGCATTGAGGGTTGAACGATCTTGGAGTCCAGATCTTTCAATACGCGTCTGCCTCCGTTCGGATTCTTGAAAACAACTTTGACGGATTCGGATGATCTAAGCTCAAGCGCGGTCCAACCGCGGCTGAACCAAGTTGACAATGCTAGCGCCAAACACGAGTGGCCATCACCAGTCCACTTGAAATCCGCCAGTTCTAGGTCGAAAACTACTGTATGTTTGGCTTTTTTGTAGTTATCGTGCATGTTTTGAATCGCTTTTACCCTTTTATCTTTGTCGGATGGGATGCTAATTGCATCCCACCATATACCTTCACAACCGAGCTCCTAAGCAATAGTCTTAAAGTAGCGAAAAAGGCATCGGTTGACATTGCCTGGGGTATGCTCGCCTACGCCCGTTCCGTTCGCCCAGACATGAGAAATTGCTAGGTAATTTTTCGCACCCGGTTGTGGATCTTTTTCGTTTAATGTCCAAGCTGTCGCGCCAGGTTTAGATATTTCTGCGATATCTATTTTGTTGAGTTTGGCTTGACTGAAATTGATTGTTCCACAATTTTGAGATTTGCAGAGCAGATGTAGTTGGGGCACTTTCGTGGTATTCTCGTCGTTCAATTGACAGATCTGAACGTTGCAAGCGCCATGTTTCTCTAAATGGAATTTGGATGATAACTCGCACCCTTCTTGCCGAACCATCTCAGATATCGAGAATATTTCTACAAGCCCCCGTGCCGAGGAACTGGCGAGATTCCAGAGCCGGTGCTTGCAGACCCCTTCTGGGGCTTTATCAATTGTTCCACAAGAATATACCACTTGCTCAATCATGGATGGGCTAAAAATAGCCTGAGTAGCTATGCCATTGAGGTCAAGCGTCATGCCCCCAGCCATTATAGTAACAACAAAATAGAAAAGTTCGCATATACGAAACAGCTTCTGGAGGGATTTATCGGTTTTCGAGCTCTCAATAAGAGCAGGTAGGCTCGCAGAACATGCCTCCAAAAAATGCACACAGAATCTTCCTGCAGTTTTCAGCTTAGGGCAGGGAGTTTTTGGTGTTGAGTTAGCTACCCAACATGATAGAACAGTCAGGATGAGGTCCTGGAGCTTTGGATATTCTGGTATTCGTGGGGCAATAGCCATGAATTTCTCTCTCGTGAATGTGCATGCGACATTTGTACAATATTTGATGTCGCCGCGGTTTTGGAGGAGGTGCCCGATAGATTTAACGGGGAATTTGAGGAGTTCCTCGATGGAAAATGGAATATCGTATTTCTTGTCTCTTTCTCGTAGTGACTCTATGGTTTCTTCGGGAGTCTGGTGCCCGGGATCTGCTGAGACATCGAGGTTGGAAAAAAGCCTGGGGCCGGAATTGATGCACCCTATAGCTGTCTGATTTTCCGCCACCTTCAACTGCTCCCCCCCCCTAAGTGCTTGCCTCAACAGCTCCTTCGCTTTATGTATTTCCACATGTCGCTCCTCCTCTCTAAGTGCTCGGCTCACTTGCTCTCCCGCCCTGCGTATTTCCCTCGCTTGCTCCCTCATCGCGCGTGCATCCTTGCGTGCGGCCCGGCGCTCGGCCCAGCGCTCTTCCCGCCTGCTCAGGTTCATGTTCGTAGCATGCATCCGATCACAAGATGTGGGCGGGGGCAACAAGCGCTAGGCTGAGCAGTAGATAGGTGTTTAACTGTATCTATGTCGTACTGGAAAATTCGAAATATTAATCTCGAGCTCGAATATATAAATGTTATCCCGCCTTTAACCACGCAATTAATGTTTTTGCACTGGCGTGATAGTGATCTGAATTGTGGAATGTTGGGTTTATAAAAAGCTTACGATAGTTCGGTTGACGGTATTCGACTCGGTTTATATCCATGAATACATGCCATGTCGAAGTCGTCTACATATGTACATACCTATAGCTATCTTCATCCTGAGTCTCTTCGGCGGGGCCTTAGTGATAATCAATAACCAGATATTATATACCCCTCGTCTCGTAACATTGATATGCGACTCTTCGTTGGCAGCGCAGGCGCCTCCTAATCGTTGGCAATACATATGCTTACGTACCCGTCCAATAACATGCAAAAAAATTTTTTAGGACATATATGTCGACTCAGCCTCTGCCTGCAGCAAACATGCAGATAATTCGAGTAGTCGAGTTGTACGTTGCATTGTACGGCCTTTGAGAAAGCCTCGAGTTGTCTGGCCGTTGGTGTACCGTGAAACGGCGAGGTTTGATTGGGTCGTTTTATCTCAAAAGCGCCCGCTCCCAAAAGGCCAATATAATTGGTCTCATCCTATCTTACGTCGCGTTTATGTTCGATCATTATGCTGCAAGGCTGTGGGAAAGCTTCGAGTCTTTTATATAACACAGCAAAAACCACATAACTGTATAGTTTTCCTGTCTGTAATCATCTCTATCTCTCAAAATCTTTTCGATACTTAGGCTAGAATACTAAATGCCAGTTATCACGGCGCAGATGCGACAAATTTTATCACCGATGAAAAAATCGGTGCAAGTACTCCGTCGGATGGCGGATGGTGACCCGACGAGTACATCCGATTTCTTGTCGGCCCAATTTCAGAATCCGGGAGATATACTCTCTGTTTTACTTTTACTCGGCCATGAAGTTGTGCATAAAGCTATCGCGCAGCTGGCCGGAGCTGGACCGCTGACTCCAGTTGCATTCTCGTATGGCTGGGTGGCATATGCTGCTACTGCCCTGCTGGCTGCTTTCTCAGGTAAGCGCAAGCTAGATATATAGCAGATACCTTGTATTTATCAAATACTGACACCCACAAGACGGGAAGTTAATGCCATCGACGGATACGCAAGAGCCGCTGATAATTTCGCCGACTACCGGACATCATAGGACGACAAGAAATTGGGTCATCAGTCGACTCCTAAGAGATCTAGAATATAGCTTCGACGCGAGCACTGAAAACGAGGCTAGCCACCCTGACCCCAATAGCACCGAGGAAGTTAAGTTGGCACCTGGACAAACACGTTGGGAACCTCTCCGGGTTTCTGTATTCGAAGTCGACAAAACTCGAGAGCCTGGTGTACCGATCCGCGATTGTATTTGGTTCTGCGGCGTCGGTGTTATATTAGTGCAACTGGTAGTATCTACGATTCCTTGGATCCGCGATGGTGAATGGGGTCCGTTTATCGTCACTGGGGCGGGTACAGTCCTCGCGCTGATCTCGGGCAGTTTATCACAGTTCCGAAAGGAAAAGTGGGCTTGCCCTCGGGATGGTGGTGACGCCGTTATCTTGACGAGAGGTAACGGAAGTAGACATGCGGTCCTCATTCTCCGCTCGAAGGTGAGCCCTTCGAAGTCCTCGGAGCCGACTACTGATGTCAGCCGTGGTCTTGATTTCGAGATTCTAGCAGAGGGCTCGCGCCCACAATTTAAAATAAACAGAAACGCCGACTGGGAAACGATACGGCCATCGGAGATCACACGAGGGGCTGTTGCGATTCAGGCTTTCTTCTGGGTTTTACTTCTAATCTGCACGTCGGGCTTAAAAGAAAATACATGGTGTATGCTACCCCTTCCTTTTACTGATAGTATACAGCTGGCTTCATATGATCATGCGCTAAACATCATGATTGATACAATTAATTTAGATCTATTGGGAATCGGCTTGCTTGGGAGTATCCAAAATGTGATTGCTGCAAGTGCCATTCGCGAGCCAGGTACCTATGGAGTGCACCTCAACTTCAAGGAAAAGATTACAGGCAGATCAGTTCGCGAAGTTTTGAAGGCTACTGAGGAGAAATACGAGTTCGCCGGGTTATCACTCGTGGATATCTTCTTCCCAGGGTCGATGCGAGTTAAAGACAGTGCTGAGATAGCCTTTTGGCGTGAGGTTCAGGATAAAAGAAATGGCGAAAATGCCTTTGGACATCGCATCGATAGCTTACCACACTAGGCACCTTATCCGTCATTTAATCTTATATGCCATTTAATTCTCTGCCGCATGTATAAAACAAGGTTTACCAATTGAATGTACTCTATTACTGGTAAATCTTCGCATCTATATATATATATATACTTAGTATATATGATAATACTATTAAATTCGTATTGAACATCCTAAAATCATATTATATACAAGTATCAATAAATCAATTACCCCCTCCTTCTAGCACAGTACCTCATGAAATCTAATTGAAATCCATTTGCACTCCAACGTTGTTGACTCAGAGTGCACTAGTCGGTTGCTTCGAAACGGAACCAGTCCTATGCTAGCCTGTTGACGCTTCCAGAATTCTTGTGTAACCCGAGTTTGGTTTGGACCCTTCGAAATCGAAAGCAGTAAAATGTAGTTATGGTTAGACTTGTGCTACTAACGATTCGCTCTAGTACTCGATGCGGTATTGATCGTATTATTTTACTGTTATAGTTATAAGTATAGATCGGTATAGGTTTGATATCTTGCGGATTAATTATGGGGGTTATGTAGAATTTTTTATACGGAAAAGCTTATATATTATCCGATGGATTCGCGAATCCGATATGTGGACTTCATATATGGATCGGAACTTTTCGTGGATTTTTAAAATTTTTTGATATCACATGTGTAGTTACCTTCAAGCAGATATCGCGGTCGTTTTATCGATCGCATGTTGTTCGCATGATGTTTTTATGTCACTCGCTCGGTCAATTTGTCGGATTTCGGGTAACTCGAAAAAATCGCATGGATCCGATCTAGCTCGGTTCCTTTTTCAAAGGGAACCAGTAGGATTGTTTCCCAGGAATTATAAGTGGTTTTTGGGGATTTTAGCCGTGTGATATGATTTCTTACTCAGCGCGGTGGAGCCAGCCAGAAATTACCTTCTTTCCAATAGTACTTACTTTTTTGAAAAGTAGGGAAAATTACGTTTTTGGTAGATGCATGTAGATAAGATTTTTTGGAGTAGGGATATACTAAATAAGGATATCTATATTTTTCCCTTCTACAGAATTTCTATATATGGAATTTATTTTTATTTTTTTGATATATGAATTATAGATGTCGTTTCATCCCATATCCACCCCTTGCGCATCTGTAATATACCATGTAAGGAAATTTTTTTGAGGATATGAACCGATGAAACGAGTCGCGCTTCTCAAAATAACTTGAAACGACACACACTACACGCCCTCACTCACACTCTCGTTATTTTATTTTTTTGGCTAAGGCGCAAGAAGCGCACATGTGTGTAAGAAAACGGGGAAAAGAATTCGAAAGGGACGTGCCCTTTTTTTTTCTTTCTTTCTGGATGCGCCAGGGGTAAGCTAGTTTGGAAGGATTATAGAACGATTGTTATAGTTATAGTGTTCCGGGGGGACTTGGTCGGGGAAGGATTTGGGGAACATGCCCACCCCAGAGGTAGGTCGGTTTGATAATTGATATTGTCTTATCGAAGATACTACATATTAACGAAACCGCTACGTATGATATATCACAATCTTTTTTGGAGTATACCGGCTTTATATATTGATTTGTTAAGTAGTTTTTTAATTCCGTTTACCCCGGATGGAGAGATAAGACCGATAGACGGATGTATATGTAGGGACTTAGGTGGTCCGTCCGTTTTTCCATATCCACTTTTTCTTAGGTTTATCTCTTTTTTTTTTTTTTTTTTTTTTTTGATCTTTTCGTACCTGCACCGTTCGAGCCGAAAATGCTCCATTCGCCTAGGTGTGGCATGGTTCGGAAGGGTATGTACACCAGCCATTTTATATGTAAGCCATGTATTTTAGTTACTTGCTTACTTACGGGGTAAGGAATAGTGGGGAGGAGCTGGAGTAGGAGAAGAAGATGAGCTCTGGAGAAGAAGAAGGGAGGGGTCGGATGGGCGTGGGATCGAATCGAGTCGATGAGGGATGGGATGTGGGGTTGGGCCGCTGGTGCCATGGGTGGGATGAAGCGGCTTTGTGAGGTCTGATACGGGTAACGGGATAGAGTTATAATGTGATTTGGAGGGGTTTGATGAGAAGACGGGTAGTTTGGAGAGGCTTAGTTGTAGCCAAGGAAACTTGTTTCTTACGTATAATGTTGAGGGTTATGTATAAAATTGTGATATATTGAAATAAATCGAGTTCCCGTGATTCATAATGATTAGTTTAGATTCGAGAAAAACTGGTCTGCTGGTTTACCCGCGGAACCGGTTGGTTCTTTAACCTACTCGACTTGACCTTGTTTCCCCGGGCCGGCTGGGTTTAAAGGAAAAGTAAGCCGGATCGATTCGAGATATTCTGCAATAAGCCTATTTAATAAATAACTAGCCGAAATACAGCGACTTTTACTTGTCACGTTAGCATTGTTTTTTTTTCTTTTCAGTATCATTTATCGATCCTCGATCCTCCCCGGGAGAACATGTTTAAGTTTGGTGCAGGCAGGCGGGGCCAATGGTCCGGGATATCCCGGGAATTTGGTCTGGAATCGATTTTTTTTTTCCTTGGGAAGTTTGAGGGTTTTCGGCAATGATCACCTCTTGGTTAGTGTCGGGTATCGGTTTTTTGACTCAGAAAGAAAAAGAAGGTGATGCACAGAAGGTTCGAATTTTGGGGTATCATTTCGTTTGGGGGTGTCGTCATTTTTTTTTTTTAAAAAAAAAAACTTTGCACCGGCCGGTGTCAATCGATAGTTTCCCTGGATGGGTGATGAGGGGTGTGGAGTGAAGGGTCTATATGCATAAGTACATGCTGCAGGTGGGATTTTTTGAGATATCACAAGATTTGGAGGTTTATTGTATTTTACCTGATGTATTGTTTGAGAGAAAAAGCTGGGATGCATAGGCTGGGACTATGCTATAGTTCTGATCTAATATATCCCGCGCTCAGCTGGGGTTAATTGAGTTTATAAATTTCCTCCAGCTTGAATAGTATACGCATGTACATATTTTTGTGAGTATAATAACAACATTGTGAAGATACTTTAACAGCGGGGTATAATGAATGGGCTGTCATGAAAGATTGCGAATTAACAACTGGTTTGTTCGTTTCTGGTGAAGTTGTTCGAAGAGTTAAAAACTGACAAATCACAACGGCCGGCGGACCAAGTCCATGGCTTCCGTTGTTTTAGCGCTATAGCATTCGACCACGTTTTCTTACTGCACGGTGCAATCACCCACTCAATCACTCACTCCACCGGGTGGGCCATAGCGTTATGGAGGGGTGATGTGATAGCACCGCTGCTTCTTCTTATGCTACTAATTAGTGGGATTTTTTTTGTCCGTATATATGGGATCCTTAGAACGCCGTTTGCAAAATTAGTGGATAGTTACACAGATTTAATAACCTTTCTTTAAATTGGTGAAGGATTTGTAAGTTATATACTATGCCTATGTACTATGCTCATGAGGATCGAGGGGATGACATGACGCCGGCCGAGGTTTTAGTTTTTTTTTATTTGGGGTGGGCTTGCTGCCATGTGCTTAGCGAGATGGATGGAGATGGTCTGATGATCTTTGGAGAGCTAAGAGCGGTTATTATATGCCTACGGATGGATAGACTAGACTACCTAAGTAAGTAAAAGTCTGACATGTATGTATACAGGGCGAAAAGGGTCTATGAGATCATAAAAATGTGGTTCAAAGGAATCCGGATTCATTCGATTTTGGAATTTCCAAATTTCTGGCTGGCGGTTATATTAGGGCTAAGATACATATACATCTATCTATCTATTTGTTTTATGGGTCTAGATCTTTTGGCAGTTAGTTTTTTTTTCAAAATTTTTTAAAGAGCATTCCGGATTCAGTATTTCGATTGCGTGTGTAAACTAAATGCATTGTCGGTATAGGGCAGCGAAGGTATTCGAAGTACCTCGTCCGCGTCATAACATTTGGGGGACTCGGGCCATTAATTCGGGCCAAGACACAACGTTTGGCGCTGTAAGAGACTAAACCTGCTTTTTGCATTGGGTTTCCAAAGGGCGAAATTGATATTTTAGAGAGTTAAGAAACTATACATTCAGGATTCGATCTAGAGGGGGAAGTTACATGGTGTGATATACTGAGAAAGTATACTAGTACCAGGCGAGAGAAATATTTGCCTTCGTGTAATCTATAATAGAATGGGACAGCTATCTTGGTTGGAGGGAAGCTCACGCGTGGGCATCGGTAATTGGATAATGCTGCAATGTTGGCGAGCTGACAGGAGGAGGAGGGGAATGATAGAGTGATGATGATGATAGTGATGATGATGATTAGAGTATGATCAAGCCCGGATGGCGGCTATATCAAACTACACAGTAGCTGAAGCATGTATGAATTCGTAGTACCCGTTATTATATTTTTAAAATTTTAGGCTTGAGTCTTTCTTTCTGTTTCCTCAGTATCTTAATAATTTATGATTCAAAAGCCTAAAAACTAGGACTGCCTAGATCACAATCATGGAACGTCAGTCATCCCCCCCTGAGCACCGACCGAGGGAGGTTAGTTATGGGGTGTCGCGGGAAAGTCATGGTTGGAGAGGGGGAAGGGTTTCCGGAAAAAGCATGTATGGCACAGGCTAACCGCACCTGTTCTAAAACCCCCATGTCACAGCTTTTTTTCTCACCACCTGCCTGAGATTTCTTGTTAGTTGGTCTGAGGACACTTTTGGATTGCCCCCCCGTTTAATTGTCTCTGCTGATGGCTGATTGCTTTGATATTTAATATTTATGGGGGTGTAGGGAGGTACATAGATGGCGCTGTTGTGTATATATACCTACTTCTGATATGCTATGATATTAGTACTAGGATAGATCTAGAGATCAAGCCTTTATGAGGCGTATAAGTATCAAATACTTATGTCGAGGTAAGATGGGATGGACATGAATATGAATGTGAATGTGAATGTGAAGCTTGAGAATCTCGAGGATAGATAGATGTGAATATAGGCGAACCCCCCAAAACCAGCAAGCTCAAGCGAAAAGACACTTTACATTGACATGTAATGCACATACATAAGTATATACATTACATTCCCAGAACGGGAGTCAACGTTCCCCAGGGTCTGATCTGGTTCCTCGGGGGGGAAGGGGTTTTAAGTATGTCTGGCGTGCGCGGGCCCCGTTCGTTTCTTTTTGCCCATTTTAACCTGGAAAGGAAGAATTCCCAGAATGAGATCCGTCTCCCACACCTTATTCTGAGGAAGAAGAAGAAGAAGAAGAGAAGAAGAAGGGTGTGCATGTCATACTGGTCACTTAACCACACTTATTGGGCCAGGATGGGAGTTTCTTTTCTTTTTCCTTCTCTTCTTTTCGTGCTTCTTTGCTTTTCCCTGCTCTCCTAACTGGTCGGTCCTGTCCTGTCCTGTCTTGTTCACCTCAAAGTCGGGTCTCTGGGAAGGGAAGTCAAGTAAGTATAGTATGAAGCATGTACGGAGTGCTGTGTATTGCATTCATCCGTCGTCAATTCACCACCATTCGGTCCCATCTCCTCGACATCCATCTTTTCTCCTTTCTCCCTTTTTTATACTTCATTTGACGACGCTCCACTCCTTACTGAACCTTCCCGTGCGGATTATATCGAGCGACGACCGATAACCGACCCAGGGAGACACTTTTGGGAAAGAAGAAGATAAACTACTCGGTCCATTTTTGGGTTTGGCTTTTTGTTTGGTTTTGGTTTCCCAGCTTTCTTCTCTGGCTGGCTCGCTTGGTTGGTCGCTTTGCTCTGCTCTGCTTTGCTTTACCCTACCCGGCCCCTTCTTCTTCTCTTCTTTGATATCGTTTTTCTTTTCTTTTCTTTTCTTTTCGGTTTTTTCTCTTTCCTTGCTGAGTGAGGGCCGGAAAAGGAAAATAAGGCGGAGAATACGGGAATTAAGGAACGACCTCGACCTCGACCTGACCTGGCCACCAGACGAAATTTTTTGTTTCCCCCCTTCTATTTCGCACCTTTTTGTTTTTTTCCCTCCTCCGTCTCCGACAGCTTTATCTCTGTGAGAAAGAGATAGAGGGAAGCCGAAAAAAAAAAAAACACTTCGACAGCAGTTTTTGTTATAAGAAAGAAGGGGATATTAGTTTGGGTATACTGGGAGACTTTTTAGAAGGAGACGCGACGACTTGGACGAAAACTACGAGAAAAAAAGACCGATAGAGGTTATAGCGACACAAATACGCCCACTCGAACGAACGGGACGCCGAAAGACAGTCGATCGAAGCCTTATTCAAGAGGATAGGATAATATCGAAGGAACAATAAGAAAGAATCAGAAGAGAAGAAAGAAGTCAAAGAGATTGGTGGTAGGACAAGGAAAGGCTGCTCTTACTACAACTGCTACCATTACCAGCACAGCCGTTTTCGCTCGACGTCAGAGTGGTTATACACATACTCTCCCTCGCTCTCTCTTATTGGTATTAACGGACCTTTCACGATACGATACGGCACTAGACGAGACGCAGGAACCGAGGCAGGATTTTCTTCTGGTTATAACGTTTATTTGTTTTTTATAACTTATAACAGCTTTTATCGTCAAGCCGTTGGGAAGTTATATCGTCGACCTTTCTTCCTTCTCTCTCTCTCTCTCTCTCTTCCTTCTCTATCTTATATATCCTTCTTGCGGTATATTGAATCGAATCAGTCACAGCTGGGTCACAAGCTATCGTCTACACACCCCTGGATATCCAGTCTTCGACGGTTTAACCTTTTTGATATTTTATTATTCCTCTTTTCTCCACTCTTCTCTCTTTCTTCATTTCGCCTGGATCCAACTAGTGCAACATCTGAAGAAGTCAAAAAAAAAAGAGGCGGCTTTTTGCGGGCCTTCCTGCAACCGCAGTGCAGTGCAGTGCAGTGCAGCCAGCCAGCCAGTCAGTCAGTCAGACGTCTCAGACAGCCAGTGCCTGTTATCGTCGTCCTGTCGCCCTGATTGATTCTCTTTCCTCCACCACCTCTTCCTCCTCCTCTTCTTTAGTTTTATATTATAGGCCTCGGATTAATAATTAATTCCCTGCCTGTTCTTGTTCCTGTTCCTGTTCCTTTTGGACTTCTTTCCCTCGTTTCTGTTCGGTTGTTGTTGTGTGTGCCCAGGATCCATCCATCCATCCATCAGATTAGTTAGCATCCATTCTTGCCGTCAATCGCCCACACCACACCTTTTCTTCCCCCCAACATTTATTACTTACTATTAACAACATCCTTCTCACCTCCACCTCCACCTCCACCTCCACCTCCACTTTACATCCACCACAGCCACCATCACCATCACCATCACTAACCACCAATCTATCCATCCATCGGCTCTACTGTCAATTCATCAGCATCGACATCGACATCAGACAGATCTCATCCTCTTCCTTTTTTGCCGTTCAGTCTATCTATCTCCGACTGTCGCCTTCCCTGGTTGTCGCCCTGCGAAATCGCAATCTCCGACACTCACACTTACACCCACACCCACACGCCCCTCTCCCAACCGAGGACTGGCTAGAACCGCCCATTCTAATTTTATAACCATCAACATTAACATCAACATCAACATCAACATCAACATCTCCATCTCCACCTCCATCTTCGTCGACGTGCAATCACTTCTTCATCCATCTCAGTCTCATCAGCGCTAGCGAGTCCCCAATACCTGGTACGTACTGCTTCCCTGCGGCAATTTGTGTCGCCAGGCCTTCCTCCTCCTCGTTCTTCTCTTTTTCCCTCGCCGTCTTTTTTTTCCCTCTTGATGTCGCATTTTTTCCTTTCGGCAGAACCTGAAACTAACATTCGTGCGCCAGACTTGCTTGCCCACACGTCTCGTTTCAACAATCATCCACCCATCCATTTAGCCTACCCTAGTCTACTCCATCACCACTGTAAAAACAGAAGGAAAAAACACCCTCACAAAGAATACCATCAACGGTAGATCGTCGAGGAAAATCAGCGAAACGAGAAAAAAGTTTCGCTACTACGTTCTCAAAAATCATCTTTTAAAAACACTGGATTCTCATAACCTCGTCCATGCAATCCGTCGGAACACACCAGTATAACACTTCGAATTCGCAACAACCTCATAACCACCCTACCCCTCAATCACCTCCGGGATTGTATTCCGCGTCTAGCGGTTTCAATAACAGCATGAATTCGCAAAAAGTCACTTCTCCCCGAAATAACACCCACCCTGTCGCCACAAACAGTCTGCCGACGCCTCGTAGTCCGACACTAGATGCGACGCAATCGTCTAGTATGGAGGATGTCATGGATATCGATGGATCGTCTGCTTCCCTGAAAAGGAGAAGAAGTCAAGGAGATTTGGGAGATGACGACAGACCCAGGAAGAGTAGAAGTAGGAGTAGAGACCCCATGGAAATCGACCAAGGGCAGCCGCCGATATCTTCCCTTTCGACAATACGACCGAGAAGGACGGTTCCGACGATGGAAGAGCTTTTGGCAATGCCGACGACGGGTCCTCCGTCCTGGCTTAATCTCAAAAGTATGTCTTCTGTTTTTTGTTGAATAGAGAGATTCGAAAGAAAAACGTGTTTTGGGATAAATTTTTTTTTTTTTTTTTTTTTTTTCTGAAGGGGAGGGTTTGTGGATGAATTGTTTTACTGACGCGAGATCACACCCTTTTTTCAGAGCACGTTCCTTTAAGGCCCGACTTGACAAGTAATCTCATTGAAAAGTACAACTTGACATCTATAGCTGCATCAGTCGCTCGAACCGATTCATCCGGACAAAAACAAAAACTGCGAAAATCTTATAAGGGGAAGATTGCCGGTTTATCTGGGAAAAATGAGGTCGTAACAAAAGCAGAACAGGTCGCGGTACCGGAAGGGCAAGAAGGCTGGGGCCAACCGGTCGTCCAACTCGTAAAGGGAGGACTTTTGGAGATGTTGGATATCCCAGACGAGGAGTGGCGAAGCTTGAAGGTAATAGGGAAGGAAGTGCCTAGAAATGGAAATGCTGGTCGGCCGCTCGACTTTAACGCTCTGCGTAAGGGGTTGAGCAATTGGTCTAAGGGACCGATACCAGATGTAATGACTCATAACACGTCTGTCATCTTTCTTTACGCTCTACTGACACATTTCTGCAGTATGACGCTTCATGGCTAGCCCTGGAAGATCCTCCGCTGAGGCCCAGCGCCAATTCTACCTCTGGACACCCGACAGGAAACTCCACTCTCAACAACGTCAAATCCAATACCCCGGCTGCGACCGCGTCTCCGAACGGTGTCAATACATCGTCTCCAAATCCGGCCAATATGCGGTCTTCCGGACGGAAACGAAGAAGAGACTACGGTGACGGCGCGTGGGAAGGATATGGCGAAGATGCTGAAGATGATGGTGGAAGCGGGTATGATGACGATGCAGCCGGCAAGAGGAAGAAGAAAAGAAAGGTTAGTGAACTACAAGAAGATTGATTTCCTTTTTTTATTATACATCCATCTATACGAACACAGTGTCTGAGAATTATGGTACCAAGCCCAAAACAGGCGGCTTGACATCATCTTGAACTCAACGCTCCTACTACACCTACACATTTTTCTTTTATGAAGACGACACGGTCTTGTCAAAAAGAAGTCGTGAAGCCGACCTCGTCAACCTTTACACACCCAAATCCAGCATCCACATTCGACCGAGATCGAACCCCATTCTAACAGCCTCCGATCAGATACCCGATTACGACGACAGAGTTGGGGGAGTGGGCATGAATAACCTGCCTGTTAACCACGCCCACGCAGTCGGGGTGGGAGGTGGTTATTACCAACGGTAGTGCTGTCATTTTTTACATTATTATTTTCATGGTAAACCTTATTACAACAATGCGGCCTCTTCATCATTTTCTCTGTCTAGAGGTCCTAAACCACATATCAATCATCGCCGCCAACCCCCCTTTTCTATTTTAATAATCTTTTATCTTGAGCGAGTCTGGTTTTTCTTTTCTCTTCCGCCTTCACCGTCATTCACAAAGTTGCTTTTCCCCCGCCCACGACTTTATGACATATACTACTGCACTTATATGATACCACAAATAGTACCGCTTTTTCTTCTTCTTCTTTTATTGTTTCTGCACAGAATCCAGCAAGTCGCTTTCTGTTCTGGATTATCGGGTAGCCGTGGGGAATGGAGGGGAGGGGAGGGATTTTCCAATTCAAACAGCCTCGCCTCAAATACGGAACTCCCCTCCGGACTCGAACTCTATCGAGTGCACCCTTCAGTCCCCGACCGCAGGCTCTCATCCGGTTTTATATAATAGCTCGTTTCTTCTGCTTTCTATTTAAATTATCGCGGTACTCACCTCGGGCAAATACTTCGGCGCACTCGGACAAAAAAATTGCTTTTCAAACTTGTCACATTTTTCTTCCGCATTTTTAACTTTTTATTTTATTCTTGTTCCTTTTCTCTTCCTGTGTAAATATAGGTTCGACCTTCAACTATCACCACCACCATCACACTACCCCCCTCCCCTGTCCATTGTCTACATTGTTAGTCTTTGAGACTTTTCACCACCGCCAACTCATTCCTATTACTTTCTTCCCAACGTTCAAATCTCCCTTTTGTTTGTTCCTTGGGGGAGTATGTATGTTTCTAGACTTCAGTGCTTCGTCGTTAGAAGATTTGGTACTACTAGTCACTTCTCTTTTTTTTGCGATATCATTTATGTTTTTCGTTGAATCGAAGAGGAGGAGCAGGAAGATGAGGAGGAGAAAGAGGAGGAGGGGGGGGGGGGTGTGTGTCTGTGTCTGTGGATTGGCTGGCAAGAGCAGCGCTGGTTTGATAATGTACGATATTACTGCTATTACTACAACTATATCATAACTACTATCAATCACTACAACCATGACTCTGCCATTGATAAAAACAATATTTCGTAGCCTCGTGGGTCCGATGAATGATGAATGAATTAAATTGATGGCTAGAACCGAGCGGTCCCTTGCAGTTGCAGTTGCAGCAGTTGCCGTTGCAGCGGTTGCAGGCACAGGCGAGACACAGAAAGTTTTGGCGGCAATGACATCCATCTGAATCTGACTGACAGTCGAAACGAAACCTCGCCAAACACAACCAACCAACACCATCAACCTCACCTCTTCGCCTCTTCACAACCTTCACAACCTTCACCTCCCTCCTTCCAAATGTCAGCTTCCACAAATCCGCCACCATCGCTCGTCTCTCCTTCAAACAAAACCGACATCATGACCTCCGCTGACCCTGAACCCACAAAGAAGTCCAAGAAGAAGAAGAGCTCCAAAAAACCCCAGCTCAATGGCATCGATACTTCATCCAATAATGACTCCAAGTCTACCACCAATACTACCAATACAGCTACATCGACTTCTGCAACCACTAACGGGAAGATACCTCAATCCCCGGCTATGTCTTCCACTTCATCAAAATCTAAGGACGGGAATGCTGGTTCCCTTATAATATGCAGGAACAAGTACTGCGGCCTCCCTGCGCTTGGTCTTTTTTTTTTTTTTTTTTAAAGATCATCTCTTTTCCCACACTTTCCGCGTTCTATCCTCTCATCCCGTTCGTTCAACAATCGACCCTGCATATTTCAATCAATTCACATGGCCTTTTACCTATTCATACCGTCCCTGTTTGAAAAATAAGAAATAAAAAATAAACCTCAGGTGGATTGAATTAACATGTCTCTAGACACTGGCGCTACATCTCGTCCTTCCACGGCCCATGGCTCCAACTCCCCCCCGAAGTCCTCGAATCCCTCGCCTATCACAACTGGGGAACCCCACGTCCACACCCCATCGACCCCGCCGTTTTCTTCGATATTGTCAAGATCCGACGTCTCGTCGACGAAGCTACTACCATTAGCGTTCGAGCCGCAGCGGGTGTCGCATCTTCTTCAAGCAGTTACAACTCCTCCGCTGCCTCCCTGATGGGTGGTGGGAACGCCGCAATCCTAGGGATCGGATTTACAAACCCGAATTCCAATGCCAAACTTTCGAGGGAACGGAAGCATCGGATGAGAGAACTTGCGACTCAAAAGCTTTCTAGAGCTTACGCTCTCGATGAAATTGCCGCTAGCGTCGCAACAATGCAAGGGGCCAGTACCCTTGAGGATGTTGCTTCGTTCGTTCTTCAGAGGAATCCGGACGACGTGGATGCCAAATATGTACATTTCTTCCATGAGAAGATCCCTAGTAGGATGTTGGCTGCTTCTACTAGTCTTGATCCGCTGGATCAAGTGATCTTTGAGAGACCGTACGATGGATGGGCATTGAGGACTCGAGCTGTTACAAAGGGGTTCAAAGACGATCATGTTGGCGCTGCGGCAGATTTGACAAGCGCTCTGAAGAGGGTTAGGAGCGCGGTTCACGATAATGGGATCGGGAAGGGCACGATTGGGGATATCTTTGGGACGAATGGAACTACTAGTGGGATGATGCATGAGAACCGTGGGAGTAGGGGGACTGGCAATGGGAGTGGAGGTGGACCTGGAGCTGGGACATGGGATGGAGTCACCAAGGATGAAAATTTACAGCCGAGTTCATTGGAGATGCAGCTATTGTTCCACAGGGCTAGTACCTATCTTACGATCGCTTGCCAGAAGATCGAGACTTTCAATGCTCTTGGAGAACATAAGAACCCACCTCCGGCGAATGGAGCACCACCACCCACCACTGCCAACGGTGGGCCGGATATTTATACTTTGACGGCTCAAAAGCGAGAGACGATTCGAAAGGCCATCCGACAGAATGCTAAGAAAGCAATCCGAGATTACCTTAAATATCTGTCTTATTTCGATTATACACCCGGTCTTACACCAGAAGAAGCAGAGGATCAATTACGACAGAACATCCAAGCTGCAGCTAGGATGAAGACCCAGAAGGCTTTGGAGTATGATGCCAATGGGAACGGAAATACTAGCAATGGTAACAACAATAATGGCAGCAGCAGCACAACTACCAATGGGAAAGAGCATGCTAATGGCGGATACTCCCGAGCTCGTATCCCTGCACCTAGAGGACCAGTTTACTCCGTCTCAACCCTTTTCACATCCCCACCCTCCACCCTCCCACCATACCCACCTTCCCAATCCACCGAACTCACCAAATATGCGCCTCCTTCATCCAACTCCGCCGCTACTTCATCTTCTACCTCCCCCCAACAACCCTCTCAATCCTCTACTATGATCCCAGTCTACGAACAAATCACCTACCATCCACTCCTAACCGACGCTCTTCACTCCCTCCTTCTCTGCCACGCCATAATCTCTACCCCCGCCAAGGAAATCCAACGGTACGCCTTCATGGTCGCACGGCTAGCAAGGATATGCGATGGATATCCCATCTTCTTGGCGGCTAGAAGTCCGGCGAGAGCAGATTGGATCGAACTTATACGAAGAGTTGGGGATTGGATGACACTCGGGAGAAGTTGGGAGAGTCTTTGTCAACCGGCGCCGTTACCACCTGTTATTGAACGGGATGATGGGTATCATTCTCATTCCCACCATCACCATTCTCACCACCACAATCATTCTCACCATCACGGTAGTGGCGGTGGCGCTGGTAATAAATTGATTGGGGATGGGAATGTCAGTAGTGATGCTCTGACGGCATTGATGAATGGAGGTGATTCGGATGGTGGATTTGAACTTACTGGTGGATCTGGAAGTTTTGGAGGTTGTAGTGGTAGTCATAAGGAGCATAGTCAAGTCAGGGGAGCTAAAAGGTGGGCTCAAGAAGATGGGAAGGAATATCCCATCTCCACGGAGAGGGCAGCGGTGATTGCGAGGTTTGTGAAGGAAGATATGAAGAGGGGGAAGGATGGTGGGGATAAAGCAGCAGCGGTGAAGAAGGAGAATGGAGAGGTTGCTAAGGGGAAAGTTGGGGGAGAAAAAGTGGAGGTTCGGTTGGCGAAGGAAGAGAGTTTTGATGCTGAGGAGTTGGATTGAAAAAGCGGGTCTTTTATGTGTGTATTATTGCCGCGGGGGATTTGGTTATGAAGTGGGCCTTTGGACTCATCATATTGGGTTCTAGCGATGTTATGGGAGTGTGGGCTGTTCGGCCTCATACTTCCACTTCCGTACATATATCCCTTCCTCATTCCCTCCCTCCCCATACACTACACACATTACACATGCTAACGATTCTATTCTTTTACTCCATTACTTTCCTTATTTAACATAAACACCCGAAAACATGTCTTTCTCTAGCTCTCCCTTCCCCCCCACTCCTCCATGATACTATAGATATCACTAACTTACTTTTCTTCTTCTTTCCCTTCCCTTCCTTTATCGTTATTCTAACCCTTCGCCCTTCCTTTTCCCTTTATACTACGCACATGATAAGCCCAGAAAAACAGAAACTGTACTTTTAAAACAAACTTACTTACGTATACCTCTGTGGAAAAACAGAAGAGGAAGAAGAAGAAGACATCGGTGCTGGTTGTTATAACTCCACTATTATTACTATTCCTACTACTACTACTACTACTACTACTACTATTATTATTATTATTATTACTACGCTTCGATGATTGAGCCGAAAAAAAGGGAATTCGTCTATGTACAAAATAGCAAAAAAAAAAAAAAAAAGGCTTCCGCTGAATTAAAGATTTCAATAGAACAAATAGGTAGCAAACCGACAGGTTTATTAAACTGACTTATTTATGTATGATACAGTCCCCCCTTCCCATCTCCACCTATATATACACCCCACCGACCACCTAAATCAGTGGTAGTTTATAACAATATTAATGAAATGTAAATCTACTGAAACCACCAGTTCATACTCCCCACAACTCCACGCCCTTGACCCCCTCCCTCATCAGGAACACTCTTAACACTATGCCACCACCCTTCAGGAATAAACACCGCCTCCCCCCTCTCCACCACCGTTTCAAAAACCTCGTCCCGACAAAATTCAAGCAACTCTACTACTTCCCTCTCAACTTCATCATACTCCATATCTACTTCTTCATCTCCATCATCACAACCCCAAACCACCCTTTCAAACACATTACTCTCCTTCCACGTCAACAATCCATCACGTATCCTTCCCCTGGGATCTGTAGATTCAAGTCTCGAATGTTGATACAAATGTGTAAAGATTTTAGAACCTAATTTTGGTGGGATTGCTATAATCTTCTTTGAGGATGAAAGTTGAAGGAATATATTATGCGATGGATCTCGATGGAGTGGTGTGTGTGTTTGCTTTGAAGGAAGTGGGGAGGAGCGGGAGAGCCAGATTGAGGAGCTGTAGATGTCTATTTCTGGGAGTTTGGAGTTGTTTGTGGGTTTAAGTGGTGTATTTACTGGATTTGAAGGTTGGGTTTGTTGGTAACGACGGGATGAAGTGGAGCGGATGTTGAAGCCCAGGTGGGTAAAAGGTGGTGGTAGATCTTTTAGTAGGAAGTGAGGTGGTTGATGTTGTGTTAGGTATAATTTTGGGATCGTAGTATCACTACCGATATCATCATTGTATCCGTCGATTTCATCTGTAGGTAAAGATAAATAGTCAAGGAAGGAGTTCCATGAGAAGCTTGTGATTTCGACGTCGGAACCAGGTGTCGGGGGCGTGATTTCTACGGGGACGTGGACGTCTAGAGAATATGAGGAGGAGAGGGAGTGAAGGTATGGGATGTTTAGACGGTTGTAAGGCGGGGTTTGGAGGAACCAGTTTTTGAAGGCGGGAGTGTGAGGTTGAAGGAAAGTTGAGGGGAATTTTGTGGGGGTGTGGTGTGGGGTTGGGTTGGTGAAGGTTTTGGAGAAGGTAGAGGGGGAGGGGTGGAGGGGGAAGGGTTTTCGAGGGAGGGGTTTTGAAGTTGAGAATTGGCGGGTGAGGTGGGGGAAGGTGGGCGGTTTGCGGGGAGGGCGCATGGTGGCGGTTGTGGTGGTGGTGGGGATCAAGCGGGAAAGAATAAAAACATAGGGAGCTCAAGTTTTTGTAAAAATTTTTATTTTATTTTTTTGGATTAGATAAAACGCTCAGAAATCGAATCAGACGACCTAAGCGTCCAAATCGTCCAAGAAGGAGACGAAGAACGTTGGGTATAGTTATTATGGATACTGTCAACATCAGCCCTGCCGACTACGGTCTCGGACGATGAAATGACTGTGAGAGATGACGATGACGTCGTCCTCATCGAAGAGTGATGGGATGGAGTTGGCGTGGCGTGCGCGTGGGTTGGGGGTTGATAGTCCAATTGAGGTAATGCGGGTGCGGTTCGGCCCGTTGCTGCAGCGTCTCGCTTGTCGATTGCATAATCCCAACCCCAGAGTATGTCTTCGTCGGAGTCGAGGTCGATCATGTGGCGGGGTTCGTCTAGGCCCACTTTTTGGGTTAAAGATGATTCTTTGGTGGTAGAGGAGTCGAGGAGAGTCATTTCAACTTCTTCTTTTCCGAAGACTTCTTTTAGAGGGTTCAGGTCTAGCCTTCTGTAGCGGAATGGATCGGTTTTGTGGCCGATTTTGTGGGATTGGTACGAGGGGTCTGTGAAGTTGTGGCCGACTGCTACGGCTGCTGCTTCACCAATGTATTTTGTTTTGTCTCTAAGAGAGGTATTTTGGTCTTGTAACATTCCTTTTGCATATCGTTCTCGAATTTCAGCGGCCGTGTGTGCCATCCGAAGTTTCTCAGGAGTAACGATTCCTCGACCTTCCCATTTTGCGTCTAACCAGATGTTATAACATCTATCACAAAGTCGGTTAGCACAGCCAATATCGTTACACACGTATTGTGTCTTTGTCAAAGTAATATATCTATCGCAACCATTGCACATACGGCTTTCGTACGGCTTTGGAAGGGTCTCGGTTTGACCGCCCCACTTAGGAAGGATCTTGAGACCGGCTGGGATTAGAGAGACTCGTTTTTGAGAAATGTTTTCGATTGGGATGGGATTTGAGCGGAAGGATGGCTTTCGAGAAGATAGCTGACGGGAGGTTTCGAGGACTGGCGACGCGGACCTAGTGCTTTCGTTTTCGGCTGTCGAAGAGGATGAGGATTTTGGAGGCTCTGTGAGCTTTAGACTGACAGACCTTAAAAGACCGATGGGTCTAGCGTCTCTTTTGGGGAGAAATCTTGGGAAGTCGGTATCTAATTCCACACCGATTTTTGATTCTGCTTTTGTAAGGAAGTTTGGACGGATTTGATTGATTGAAGTAGTGTATTGTTCGTTTATCTCTGGAGAACACAGAACATAGTTACATTGAACTGGCTCTTTGGGAGGCCAACGGACGACGGGCGGTTGGTCTGTGAGTCTGTAGACATCTCTGGGGATTTGCTGGGTTGGGGTGAAGGTGTAGATATCAAATAGTCTTTGGCGTCTTTCCTTTATGGCATCTACCGACGCATTGGAATTCGCAGAGGAATCTGACGATGATGCTTCGTTGGAGGTAGCCTTGGAGGGTGGCGTTTGAGGTTGAGGTTCTGTTGGTGATAGTGGAGGTGTTTCTAATGGTTCATCTTCTTCGATGATTGGATCCATTGCATGTGAAGATTGGTATATTTGTGTAGTGAAGATGGTAGTGGAGATAGTGATGATGATATTGATGACGGTGATGATGATGATGATGATGAGAGGTTGGAGGTGAAGGGATGGAGTGGTGATGGTGGCGAGTATGTGAAGGATATAAAGCCCGACATTATTATATGCACCCCGCCGAGGTTCTTTGTTTGCTAGTCCACCACCATTGTATATCTACATCTACCCATCTCCAAGATGTAATCGCCCTCTTATTACTTCCATACTTTAGGCCGGCTTCATCTATCTTCTCCCTTAATATCGACAGTTTAAACATTGCACAACACCCCCTAGAGCCGTTGTTTAACTTCTTCCATAATGTCGTCCCAAATCCCCCGTCCGAAGAAGTCCAGCCTCGACCTAATAGACATTAACAAATCTCTCCCTCCTCTCCCTCCAGAGCCAAGTACACCCCCAAAAAAGATTCTGGGACGAAGCATCAGTTACTCTGTTCTCAGGCCACCTGCCTCTGCACCTGTCTCTAGAAACCGGGAAGCCTCATGTGACTTTCCAAATCTTGCGAAGCTTAAAACCGAGCTTTTTGGAGCCGATGTGGATCGTTATGGTAGCAAAGAGCCTAGGAAGCATGTTTGCAATGTCAGTGTTCTTATCAACCGTTCTACGGTGCCGGTGAGTCTAGATATCTTACCCTTTTGCGGAATTACGAGAGTGAATTACGCATCGATACTGACAAAATCAAAAGGTTCCGGATGACCCAGAGCTATATGAGAGCCCATCTTGGTGGGCTGGCCGTTATATGGCCATCAGTGATCGCTTGAGAGGTGAAATGCCACGAGCCATTCAAGAAGAGCGAGATGAAGAAGCACGCCTGGAGATGATCGCTCTCTGTGGTGGTAATATCCATAAACAAAGGAGCTTAAAGGTATATAACCCCATCCTCTAGATAATTACTTATGGATGTTGAATTTTTGTACTAATACAGTATGTCTAGATCTGGTGGATCAACTTCAACATGAAGCAGGACCAACGTGAAGAAACAAGAAAGCAAAAGGCTGTGGTTTAGGAAACAAAGTCCCCGCGTCAGCAGGATATCTCGCCAAACGGAAATTGTTTATGTTTCTGGAAACACTAAGGTTACTGACTTTATTAAGATTGGAGTGTGATAGTACATACAAGGGTTCTGCTTTTTCCGATTTTACCGTATAAGGGTTCAATGCGATATTGTTTCCTTTGTCCTGTTTAACTTTGACCGGCGTGGGTAGGGTCTTCTGAGACCATATTCTTTTTTGATAGTGAATGCGGCTAGCCGATTAGTGGTGTAAATTTTTAATTTTAGATATGAATGAGGTAGGCAGAGAGATTGAATCATACAAAGGTGGTCTGATAATATATGAGGTTCCAAGGCTATTACAATATAATAGCTTAGAAAATATGTAGTTTGTACTTGTTATGACGTTGAATCAAGCCCAGGGCACTCGGCGAGTTAATTTTGTTGCTAGACTAGCCAGCCTATGCAGAGAGTTTTCGAAGAAATTGATCATCCACACCCAACTAGCTTGATATATTGAAGACCCCATCTATTATAAAAATAGATTAAAGACCCTTTACGAAAATCTTTAATACTGATATCAAGAGTCAAAGATGTATCGACGCTAAGGTATACGTATATAAGGCCGACCAGGCCGGGGAGCTTTTGTTCTCCCTCCCCCCCCCCAAACTTTGCAACTAGTTCGGTGGCTTTGACTATATACAACCTACAATCTATTATCCGGCGGATTCAATAAAAGAACTAATTATAAGGATATACGCTCGTTTTTCAACATGTTCATCTATATCCGTTTTGCAATTTTACCATTCTTCGACTCGTAATCACTAATGCTGTACTGCTGTGCACGTGGCCTGTATTTGAACGCTCACCCGCAAAGTCCGAATTAGTGCTAGCTCATATAGATTATACCATCCCATCGGCACCATATCCGCGGATCTTCCCGTTAACATGGTCATTTTGAAATACGAGGACGGGGAAACCCGTTATTTTGTAAACAGCTTTTGGAAATCTTTGTCACGATTAAAGGGTATTTTGGCGATTCTTCTTATAATTATCTGTTTTGAAGCAGAATTTACTACGGTCAAAGTAATACGGGTTATGTGGAGAAGAATCGGATTCATCCTACTGTCGTTAAACCGTTTGGGGTGGGGCTTATTTTCGAGGGGGAAACAAAGAGTAAGCGAGTTACATCTGAGGGGCGGAAGTGTCTTGGACTACATAGTATCCATGGTCGAGACAGTACTAACTTGATCTGTACATGGGATTGTTTTATTGGGGCAGGCAAGAGTTGATAGTTTCTGCTAATTGGGTTGGGGAATATACTCCTTCTCTGGATTTGGAGCACTTTATCGAATTCAGCCATCCCCAGACTATTCAGCCATGTTTAATGTACGGTATGATCAGATTATATCTCATGTCGACAAGAAGTTGGTTTGTTGGATAGACTAGTATTAATTCACCAAAAAGAAAAGACGTATGTGGCCTTTCGATTTTCGGTATCTTGGGTTTCTCTTGCATAATGGGGTTGCGGTTGTCTCGTACCCGGACCTGGAAGGGGATGCGGCTGTAATGTCTTACTCTTGTCTTTTGTATAGATTCATCATAGTTCTAGATCTATAGACACACGCAAGGTGCGGGCGCTGGGCCCGTTTTTTCTAGTTTCCGAAATATCTACCGTTTCTCCAAGTTCATAGGAAAGTTTCACGGGTTGAAACTTGCCTTAGCTTCAATTTCTCACCCTTTACTCTGCATACGTACCCTATCATGAATATAATGGTACCCTCCGAATTCGCGAAACTACCCGGGATTGGTAACTCCACATGTCGTGCCATATGGCCATGCCGTTGGGTTCATGGTTCTTTGTAGCAGTCTGGAGGTCTTTGTACAATTATAGGGATAAATATAGACCCACACTGGTCCTAGCGTTGCGAAAAGCCCTGCTCCTGACTAACCTCAGCTCTTCTGTCTTCTCAGCTCTTCTGTCTTAATATACGTTTATTTATTTTTCCGGAAGTTCCGAAGCGGGATGCTTGCGTAATCTCAACAAGGCAGTCAGATATCGATAATGGGAAGTAAGACCCAAAACAACTAGCTTCTCACCTAGCCGCGTCTTTCTACGAATTCAGAAATGAGAAACAATAGGGATGAGTTACGTATATATACGTCACTAAGTGTACCTTTGGGAAGTACTTCTAGACAAACAGAAGAGTATATCCGGCACCCGTATTTTTCTGATCCAGAGAGTTGTTTCAATTCCCATACTCTATGCATGGTACCAGACCTGAAAGGTGCCATTGGCGCTCCTTCCACTTGAGCTTTTCACATGCACACGGTGGATACTTTCTTTTATTTTTGGTTTTATGATCATCAGGGCAGCACAAAATTTCATGGAATTTGATCGACGAGGTGCCTGTTCCCTAAGGATCTGTGTTGGTCCGTTGGATTTTTTGGGTTTAGTTTCCGGATTCGGAAGACGCGGGAGGTTTCGGCTATGGGCTTTTTTGACAGCTGCATATGTTGTGGATGGGTACAGCGTCTGAGGATGTTGTGTGAGGCTATTGGAGGTTATGGGTGCGAAGGGTTCGTCTATGAATAGGTTGAGGATGGTACTAATCGGTTTTCTCCCTCCCCTCCCCTCACAAGTATTTTGGATCCTTGCTTTCTTTGCGGGGGGATATACAGGTAAGCCAGCGACGGGTTTCAAGACAAGTGCGAGAACACGCCTCCTTACATTACTAAAATCAAAGAGATAGAGGAGGCGGGGACTACTTTCCAACCACCTCTCTTTATTTTCTTTCTCTACAACAAACTTGAAGGTTTTATTGGGGGCTTTAAACAAACCCCTGAGAAGAAAGCGAAGGTTTAAGATGCATATGGATAATGTGATAGTAAGAACATGCAGGTACGGGAAAACAGCTGAAACTTGTGGTTCCCGGGATAACTTACGCGGATTCGTACACGTATAAATTTTTTTGTTGGATTGTAGTACAAAGAGAGGGGCCTTTGAAACATGATGGGTGCCGCAGCCGAAGAGGGGTAGGAAATTTTCCGGCATGTAAGGAGCTGACGCTAGAAACAAGTGAGAACTAACTATGCGGTGGGCTGATTAATTGGATGGGTGTGCTTTGTGATAAGGATTTTTTGGCTTGGGAATAGTGTAGGTTTTAATCCCTAGCTCTCAAGGAGAACGCTATTTTGAGATTGGGATGGAATCGATATCGTCTTTTCGTTTCATTTCTTTATTACTTGGGTATGCATGTGTGCTATATTGTTACTTAATACTAAGGAAACGAAAGATTGTTCCTTGCAGCTTAGATAACTATAAACTAGGCAACTGGATATGCACATGCATGTATACGATTGAAGCGAGCTTCTAGAAGTCTTGATAACCTTCGGAGATATGCTTTTTTAGATTTCTCCTCCCTTCAATATATTACTCCGCTGTTTGATAGGACAGAAGCGCCGCAGGCAAGGCATTGAGTGTATGAACTAAGCCAAGCTCTTGGAATATAATAAGCTTAATTAAGGAGATCTCGAGAGGGAAAAGAGGTTGTGGTTCTTCCCGCGCTGGCTTACCTCTGACCCGTCCGCTGTTGATCATAGGTCGGTACACGGTTTGAGTGAATGAAGAAGGGAGTTACTGGTTTAACCTTGCGTGTACTGTATAGGTTCCCCGTGTGTTTGTGTAACTTTGGCATTAATAAGATTTCTAAGGCTTTGTTTCTTTTCTTTTCCTTATATCGTAGTTAGATGTAACGACGTAAGGGTGGGTTAGTCTCGATTAACTTACGTATACACGGTTTCTTTTACTAGGGGAGGTGCGGCCACGTCCATGTTCTATCTGGTTTGGGCCTCTTCGAGTATGCAGTACATGTACGGTACGAGGCGAGAAGGGGGAGGTACTTGCCGCTAGATTAAGGATTCATTACTAAATTTCTTTTGTGAGGGCTGTGTGTGATAATAGTGAAAGTGTGTGTATGCATGATTCTCTTCAACTCTGCGGCCTCGACTCAAGAGTATAAAACTGAAGACATTAGTCCCCCAGAATACAATAATTCAAATTATACCTTAGTAGATCTAAGAATTCTGCCTTACAAGTTAAGCTTTCTTAGCTGAGCTTCTTTTTAAAGACCGTTAGTTACATATTGGAGTCACTCGTTTTTCTTTTGTTCTATATTTAAATTTATATCTATATCGATACCCACATCGCTATATCGTTGGCCAGCCTTCCTTTGTATAAAGTTAGAGGTCTTTTCGTCCTAAAAGGCTCTATTTTTCTACTATTGGTATATGTTATTCGGTATATCCTTAGCATACTTTATACTATAAACGACATATAGCTATTCAACCATCTCTCTATAAAAAACCAAAATGCTGCAAAAAATCCTCTTCTACACTTCTCTCCTCCTCACTCCACTTCTAACAACCGCCCACATCCCCTATCTCGACTCCGCAGGCCTCCATAACTCATATACTTCCGCTTTCCAATTTCACGATAACACCTACTCTCGTGCTTTATGCACCACAACCTACTGTCCACCGCGGTATTTCCAACCTCCTTCAAATTCCACAAATGCTACAAGGGGAGGATTCAAAAGACCTCGATGGACAGGAGAATCATGGTCAAAAGTATTCCTCTCAGCCGGCGAGGACCTGCATTTCGAATTCGGGGTGCCGAATATCCCCGCTCTCGAGTTTCCAAGCTTTCGACCGACGGTTTATTTGCTAGGAAGGTGTTTACCGTCCCCTAGAGTGTTCGGGCACCCTCAACCTCAGTTTTTGGAAAATCCTGGTAGTCAGTTGGATCTACCGAGAGGATGCAAGCTCAAGGGTCTGAGATTCCATTTGTCCGACCCTGGCTGGGAGGCTACGAAGTTTTATGAGAAATATATTGGGGCGACGTTTTTGAGGTATTTGGATTATACGGTGCCTGTTGGATGTGATGGAGAGGTTTATATTGTGGTGAAGGGGTGGGAGAAGAGGGTTACGGAATATTATGTTTCTGTTGGGAAAGAAGAGCAATTCCCGCCTTATGAGAGTACCGATGGGATTGCGAAAGTTGAGGATGTGAAGAAGTGGGCGAATGGTGAGGTGGCAGGAGTCGGAAAGTTCTGTCAAAGAAGGGGAATTTGGGAGAGGGAGTGAAGGGAAACCTGTTCTTTTCTTTCTGATTTCTTGATTTGATTTGGATTTTAAACCTTTGGAATATGGTGGTTGTTCATGAAGATGGCGTTTTCTTATTTGAGTTATAAAACTTCAGATTGTGAGAATAGTCTTGTATAGTATGTTTTGATATCGGAATTAATTTTGTCTTTTTGTGCATGCAGCACCATATAAAACCATTCCTAAGATCACATGTAGCTGTTTATTCTCTTGGTCATTTCCTCGAGCAGCCGTAAGATTATAAAATTCTCGATTATTACTACTATTGTAAAGGTTCTTGTCCTAGGATAATACTATACGGAATCTTTCGAACTGCGTTGTAAGGTATTCTCGTGGTTGTATTCTTGGATTTGCGGACGCTAGGGTTAAGGTTACTCAGGTCATTTCATATGATCATGCACTGGCGGATTTTGGAGTGAGTGTGAAATTCCTTAATTAAAGTTTATTGAAAATGCAGCTTTACCTGATCGTTTGTAGGGCGCGGCTATTTAAGAATTATAATGCTATGGTACACAAGCCAAGTTCCAGTACTCGAAAACCTTTGTCTGTAGATATCTACAACTGTTATTGTAAATTTAGTTTGCCAGGAGAGAAAGAACAGATTTGCCGATTAGCTTAGGAATGCGGGAATGAATATAAACTAAGGTCACAATATTAATATAACATGACAACTGCTAGCGCTCAACACTGGTAAGTAAATTTATAAATCAATCGCTAATTTTCTATCGGATCTGGAGCGGGAGATGCTAGTGGTGGATCTATATCTATGACAACGAACGCCCTCACGATGATAATATTTTGATCAAGATTCTTCCCTCCACCATCACCGTGCTTCCTGAGAAAAGGGCTTCCAACAAGCTTGATGGTGCCTGCTAGGTCGACCTCGGTGTCATCACCATCACTTACTCCGATATCTGCACCTTGTGCTGTGGTTAATTCATCATCCTCCACCCTAGTAAAGCCCATTTGGCTTAGAAGCGGCGAGTCTACAGTGAAAGAGGCCCTTTCTTTCATGATAAGCCGAGAAAATCTGACGGCTCGTTCGAAGACTTCCCCCAATCTTCTAAGATATAGTCCACTAGGTGTACCATGTGGCCCCTCCCGTTCTATTTTATAATTCGCTAAATTTTCTTGTATATGGGCGGTAAACTCATTAATGAGCTGCGTTATGGATTCCTTTTCATTCTGCCTGCTATCCCCAGCTTCTTGTAAGGCAGCTAGCTGACGCACGGTAATAGACCGCCACTTGCCGGCGTCTTCATTGACGTCGTGGTCTGGAAAGAGCTTAGCAAAGTGGAAACCAGATGCGAGATCGCCGATAGGACCACTAAACGAGGCGAGAGGGCTGTTACGATTGAATAGTCTCTCACTTATGAATTTCCAGGTCGCTTGGCGGAGGATTAGTCTTTTCTCTGTATCTGATAGACTATATTGCGTGGGGCTGAGAGAGGGATGGAATGAGTCTTCCCAAAGTGTGTGGGGACCCCAGTCCGTTAAAGGATTGCCTTGTAGGGCTATTTCTTTGAGCTCCTTAGACTTGCAGAGCTTTCCGATACTATTATTGAGCTGTACGAACTCTTGACATACTTGGGAATCGAAACTGGGATCGAATCTCTCAACGCAACCGAGAACTTCATCTTGGAGTTTGAAGAATTTCTGGCTCGTCTGTTCTAGCTCGTCCTGAGCCTCGAAAAGTTCTATTTCTTTCTGTTTTAACTCGTCCTGAAGCTCGGAAAGTTGCCTTTGTGTCTCTTTTAACTCGATTTTGTCTTTTGACCAGCCTGTCTGAGCTTGGGAGGGATTTTTGACTCCAAAGATTTCTAGAAGCTCACGTGGAAATAATGTCGACTTCTGTATTTTATTGTCCCCATCGAGTTGGGAATGATGTGCCGCGCATTCTTGACGGGACGTTTCCAACTCTTTTTTTTTCTTTTATATGCCTTCCGGTAGTCATTTTTTCTTTCCATCAAGATTTTATACTCTTCCACCAGGATTTTATGCTCTTCCACCAGGATTTTATGCTCTTCCACCAGGATTTTATGCTCTTCCATCGGGCTTTCATACTTGGAATTCGGTTCGGGTAGATTGCTGATCGGCTCGGCCTTTCTAACCTGCTCTACCTGCGGCTGAGCCTCGATGCTAGGTAATTGGAGTTCGACCTGATGCCCTAACTCGTTATTTGAACCTTCTGGATCAAGGCCGGAGTGGCCGTGGATATCGGTATGCCTTCGGAGCCATCCCTACATGTATACACCGCGAAGTTAGTAAAATCTAAAACCTAGATAGAAGAAATTAATGGCAATGGTATCTCGTATACATTCTGATTTTGATCCTTTTACTCCCGTTCAATGTTAATGCTGGCAATTCTTTCCACAAGAGCCACAAAACTTCCTGGAAGGCTGGTTACCGCCGGCTGTGAAAAGGAATTTCAGAGCACCTATACGTGTATATAAACTGGGTGTGTATTTGTTACGGCTTAGAAGCGAGAAGTTTCGAGAGGCGGGGGATGTCGACAATTAAAATGTGACATAAATATATAAAAACAAATTCTTACAGCCTTTGTAGAAATTGTAACCGCGCATTATAATTGGGCATCAGGTAGGGCATTAGGCAATTTTCATGCAATACCCCGCTCGAGGTACTCATGTACTCGTATTTCCCAACGCAATTTGCTGTGCACGAGCTGGAATTTGGCAGCCTTCTAAAGATGCCTGATAAATTCTCCCAGGCCAGAGCGGAGAACCACTCATTTTCTCATCATCACATCTGGGTGTGTTGGGGTAGCGTTTATATATCACGATACTGCCAACTACCTCGAAGCCGGGGTAAAGTCTAGCCTGTAATTCCTACTTGTACCTCAAACCAGAGTCGACCTCGCAAAATTTTTTAAAAATCCTACCTGATATTAACAAGAAACTGAGGGTATTGTAACTTTTGACACCGGTTCAGAATGCCACGCGGACGTAAGTCTACAGCTGCGGCGCATGTGCCCCGGGCGGAGGCACGAATTGTCATTGGGCTTGACTTTGGAACAACTTATTCGTGAGTAGACCCCTCTCACTATGGTATTTGACAGGATAGCACTCAAGTCAAAAAATAGCGGCGTGGCCTATTGTGACGAGAAAGGCGCCGCCGAAGGCACTAGCGGGGTTCAGCTCATATCTTCCTGGCCGGGACTGGCTACACACACTTCAACAAACGAGTAAGACGAGTTCCCTCTACTTCGACTCTCTTTTCTTCTTCTTCTTCTTCTTCTTCTTCTTCTTCTTCTTGATGCCGCTGACAGTTAAATAGGAAAGTACAGAGTCGAATTGCTTATGGCACGCCCCCAGAGCCTGACATTATTTGGGGAAACCAAATTAAGCACAATACGAAAGCTCCTATCCATTCTTGCATGAAGCTTAAATTGGATGAGCGCCCGGCTCACATTCGCCACTTTATGGAAGTCCTTACGAGAGGAATGGCTGGCATGAACGTCAAGGATGAAGACGAAAGTTCGAACGAGCCCCTTGATCACCCGAGTAAAACACCGGTAGACATGGTGGCCGACTATTTAACCAAAGTTCGAGAAACAGCTTGGGACGTACTCGAGCAGCAGTACGGAAAGGTTCTTTTCTCGTCTATGAGGAAGGAGCTTGTCGTGACTGTTCCAGCTGTTTGGTCTGAGCGAGCTAAGGACTTGACTCTCAGGGCTGTGAACCGGGCGGATTTTGATGCGTCTAGGATATCACTTGTGTCGGAACCAGAAGCCGCAGCCATCTACACTCTCAAAGACATGCGCGAAGGGCCCAGCCGGGATGATATCAAAGTGGGGGATGTCTTCATACTGTGCGATGCTGGTGGTGGTACCGTCGACCTGATTTCATACAAGATCACACAGATTGAGCCCGTTCTTAGGGTTGAAGAGGCAGCTATCGGGAGTGGTGATAAGTGTGGGGCTTCATATGTGGAAGCAGAGTTCCTTTCATGGCTAGAGAAATGGATAGGGTCTGAAGCTTTCCAGAAGATCCCTGAAGAAAAAAAGCGCCATGGTAGCCAAATGATGAACTCCTTTGAGATCAATAAACAACACTTCTCTGGGGATGATGATGAGATAGAAATTCGACTTCCGGCAGAGACTGGTATTCAGAATAGTGAGGAACTCAACATAGATGACCGAATTCTGACTTTGAGCACGTATGGAAATCCTATACCCTATACCCCGCCCCTCAATATCGATTTTATCAGACCTAATCTTTGAAACATTAATGCATTTTCATAAAGTGGCTGACGTTCTGATATGATAGTGCGCAAATGAAGCAGATCTTCGACTTTTGCGTTAGCAGTACTATCAAGCTAATCGACGGTCAGGCCACAGCGGTCATGAAAGCTGGACTCGGAAAACCTAAGGTAAGAGACAATCGATGATTTATTTATGGTCTTTCTGCCAACGTCTAATCGTACCGGGTGTTATAGATGGTACTCGTCGTTGGTGGGTTCGGGCGCAATCAATATCTCTACCACAAAATCCAAGAATACTGCGTGTCAATAGGGACTGAAATCCGGCAGCCCAGAGCCCCGTGAGTTCCCTAAATTCCACTATTTTATGTTAGCTTCGTAGTTTAATTTAGGGATATAGATGGTCAGCTGTCTCTCGAGGCGCTGTCTGTCGTGGTCTGGAACCAGCTTCAGGAGGACTTGTCGCCGTGCGCCTAGCCCGCAAATTCTACGGCACCCCCGTCTCTACGATGTTCCTGCCCGGTGTGCACAAGCCTGAGGATATGTATATTGACGGATACACGGGGTGCAGAATGGCTAAGAGCCAGATGCGTTGGCTTAGCGAGAAAGGAGACCGCCTACCCGAAGCTCACCCGCGGAAAATCGAGATTCAGGTCTCGTTTTCTTTTCGGCCGGAAGAACCTCGTCAAGTTGGAGTCCCGCTAATTGGGTGTAGCGAGGATAAGGCACCAGAGCGCCTTGCAGATTCAGGGGCTCAACCTATTTGCCGAATCATGGCCGATTTGAGTACCATTCCATTATCTCAATGCGACCAGATGCTAAACCCTTTGACTGGCATGGTGTTTTACAGTGTTGATTTGGCACTTCAAGCCACTTTTTCCAGGGAAGTTCTGACTTGGAAGGTGCTGCACGGCGGCAAAGAATATGGCTCAGCCACTGCCACATATGATGACTAGAATAGCCTTGAATTCTTTAGTCTGGCCTAGAGGTATCTGTCTCTCCAGGATGTGCTATTCTTATGGGTTTCACCCTTGCTTTTTAGCATATAGTCTTGTTACCAGAATGCGTTGATTCAGGTTGTATTTCCGTTTGTAGTTAGTATGGCTTGTGCTACGGGACCAGCTTGTGCGACGTTTACCATTTTTGACTATGGATAATCCATGTATAAGGGAAAGTTGCAGTTGATTATATAACGAGCACCAAGTATGAGTTTGAGTTTGAAGACCATATACTCTGGGTGTCTCTTCCCTCTTATGATCTTAGAATATAATGCGCTAAACAGAGTGCTATGGATACGGGGTTTTTGCGATATATACGTTTGTCGATACTCTGGCCGGATTTAGTCCTTCCATTCGATTTTCGTAAAGCTCATAAGTCGCTGCGTTCTGACTAATATACCAAGGAAAAGTCATAGATTATTAGATCCGCAAGTGGCGTCAATTCAGAATCCTTAGCTTTAGTCTCCGTCATGGTTGACTACTTTAAAAGACGATATTAGCACGCGGATTCAACTAACCCGATGACCAAACCAACCGCTACTCACACTCTTCTATTGTTAACCCCCCCTTTTTTTTGCCAGAGAGATACGCTGACCTCCCCGAAGCTGTATTCTGAGAACTCCCCGTTGATGAAGGTCGGCGCCTTTTCATATTTTTCAGGACCATCGTCGCAGTCCATAAGAAAAGCCACTGATTATCTTCCTTGGTGGATTTTAACATGGCTAAAGCGAGACGAGAATATCCAGAATTCCTTTCTTCTAGATGACTGATATATTGATGAAGAACTTGGTCCTTTATTGTCTTAGACTGATGTCCGAATCCCACCGACTCCATTTCCTCGAACTGGTCTTCAAAAAGTTTTAAAACAGATTCCATCATATACTTAATTTAGTTTGATAGGTTAGGCAACCACTTGAAAAGAATGAAGGTTTGAGAAAGGGGGCCACACTTTCATATGCTTGGTAGCTCCTTCCATAGTGTAATTATTCCAGGACCCAGTCCTTTTCCGGTAATATTCAACGTCGAAAGCGTCGGCGATCTGCTGGACGTTCAGATGGTGAATGGACAGCTGATCTGGTTTAGGTATTCTCGGCGGAATCGGCTCGTCCTCCATGGCTTCCGTTGAAATTGCCTTCGTATACGTAGTCAGGGGCTTAGTTTTTCTTGTTGACAAAGCAACTCCGCTCTGGGTTTATGTATCATGATGGCAATTTTGCAGCTACGTTCACTCCATTCGCGTTCGCGTTCGTGCTCACGAATTAAATTCATCCTTTTTGCGTTTTCCACACGTGTGCACCGGACCGTGTGATATGTGATGTGTGCCACCAATTGTTTTGCTTTACGGAGTAGCTACGCGCGAGCTACGATCGCTATTAAACCTGTATTTGATCAGGTATTATATTGTGTCGAGCTACGCCAGGAAGACAATAGTAGTATAGCACAGAGAATAGAATATATCTAATAGTCGAATAATGAAAGTAGCTAGTACTAGTTTACGCTTTAATTGATGCATGATGGTTAGCAACGTTGCGCGTTGGAAACGTTGCGTTGCAGATTGCAGTCTAGAGTTGACGTCGAATCACGTGACAAAAACACGGCTTTGCATTGTACTAAATTTAGCTAAATATACAAATTTATATATAAATTTTAATTTAAATACATCAAATTAATAATGATATGTATATATAAGTACCTACTATAGGCCTATGCCTGGCCTTGGCCTCATAAATTATTATTTAGAATCGATTAAAGCCGGCAGTGTTAGCACGTTAGGTTAAGATCTAGATATCTGGGCCTAGGATCTCTCATGTATCTATAAACATTTCGGCGCCACTGCTCCGATTATGCATTGATATTGAATCAAGTGCAAATTTAACTCGTAGCTCGAGCAATCCAGCTAGTTCAAGAGAAACACTGACGCAAATTAATAAGGTTAGATCCGAAAGGATAGTTATAGCACAGTCTAGCTAGATGATATTTCGGATCCGCGGACCTTCGAAGTTAAATTACAATAAAGAAAAATAATACTATGGAATATGGATAGACGGGAACGAAATCAGAAAGTGGTTTGTTATATCACATATAAACTGTAGCTAGAGACATCAGTATGTAGCTGAGCATTCATGCTTCTAGCCATAAATCCTGTAAGTTGTCTGGCAATGTCGACTATTGCGCTCGCATGAACAACGTTGCGGGCTCTAACGAGCAGTGGTCCCACTTTGATCGACATGTTTCGATTTGACTCGATTAGCAGGACCACTTCCACCTCGCCACGCTTGTCTAACACCGCTACTGACAGCGCTCCTCGCATACAAGTCTTGGCTATGTTTACAATATCCCTTTGTGCTCCCGATACTAGAGGCATAGCTGATTCAGACAGCCCAGAGATAGATCTGGCCAATGGGTCCTGACATCGTACGCATGTGAGTTCGACCGGACCTAGCACGGAGTCCACTATAGGGTTCACATAGCTGAAAGCAACTTGGCATTGCTTCTCAAACCATGAGATTCTATCGATGAAAAGGTTGATGGTGGAACGCAATATGTGGGGTGATGCGATAAAGTGAACCCAATCACCTTCAGGCCTGAGCGAAAATTCCTCGATAATCCAGGATGGTGGCCGTTCAAAAACGACTATAAGGCTCTCAGGATTCCGCTTTGTAGCAAATCCAGATTTTCTGAGAGCAAATTCCAGATATGTTGCATTGGCCTGGCAATACCGATACATTTTGGTGATATCTTCTGGTCTAAACGCCTGATCATACAGCCACTTTTCAAACACAATCCTTGGGTCGACGTTCCATTTAAATGGCGCGAGATGATCATGGGGACTATAGCAGATGACCTCGCCGGATACCATGCCGCCTAACGCCTTGTGGTGGCTGATTGTTACACCTTGTACGAACGGTCTACCTTCTTCATCGATCGTTCCTGGTAAACCGAGTTTGACGCTGCAGTTCTCGAAGCCAAAATCAAACGCTCCGTCGACGTGAATATGAGATATTGTAACCCCCACGTCGGCTAATCTTTCACATATTTTCTTGAGGTTATCTCGTGCACCTACAAAAGTCGTACCCATATTGGCGAATAATACCATATGATATTCTTCGCCACGCTCTCGACATTCCCTTTGATCGCCTAGCGCTCTTTCAACAAGCGCGTTGATTGAGATGGAACCCATTTTATCACATGATATTTCAGAATATTTGGGTTTGTGGCTAGTCAACCAGCGATTTGTAATTGTATCGCAATCACGGGCTGTCTTGGAGACGCTATAGTGGGTTTCAGTGGAGAAATATACAAACGCCCCAGGTAGTCGGGCTAAGGCCACGTGGATCCCAACTCGGTTGCCCATTGTGCTTCCATTTGTAAGGGTTCCCTTAAACTGTGTTTCAGACCCGGTAAGCCCAAAGCTCTGCATTCGGGTGGCAAGAAGTTGGTCCGCATGTGATTCCAGCCAATCTTGGGGAATTTTGACGTCCAGAAACTTCCCAACAACGGGCCCTAACGCAGAATATGAAAACATGTTCAATGGATAGCCGGCAGAGAACCGAGTTTTAACTCTCCAAGACCGAACGGTTTCGCGCAAGTCATCGATGACTAGTGGGGGTATTGGGTATAACTTGGAGAAATCCCGGTTTACGATGTTTTCAACCGTCTTGTTGGATATCGATAAGGCTTCCAAGAACGACTTGATGTCATTAGGAACAACAGAGGGCTGGACGGTGAGAATAACTTCCCCTTTGTTTGGGAGGCTTTGGCCACCTAGAGCGACCAAGCCTTCGATCTGTTCCTGAGAGCATGATTGAACTATAACGTCCAGAGAGTAAGAAGGCGCAATGAATTTCACTTTTCCCGCGAGGGCGCGAATGAGTATGGTTCTCATTCGAGCGCAGTATTGATATACTTCTTGGAATCCACTTGCCCCGAACTTGATCTCCTGCAGGGCGGCCCAGAGAGGAAGGAGAGCATCTCGTGACCCAGCCAGAGAGGCATCATATGCTCGTACATATGCGACTTTCACATGTTTTGCTCCCAAAGATGCTGGCTTTAAAGCGACTGCATGCGCTGGGCCCACATGATTTGATCCCGCTGCGACAATAGTACTAGCGCGAACAGGTCCATCATGTATCCGCAACTCTTTGGATAGTAGTCTAGGTTCTAGCCTCAAACTTCTAATTCCTAATAGTTTCCTGTCTCTTGAAGATAATGTTGTGATATAGTCGAAGTTTCGTGAAGCATCGACGTGGAGTAGAAGTTTAACACTCTCTGAGATCTTGCAGATGATATCCAAGTCATCGCACATTCCGTTGAGAGCTGCTAACGTGGCTGCGAAAATAACAGGCCGTTCATTATTTGTAACCGCATTTAAATCTCGACAGATGTTCTCTATGTTGTCTGATAAAGATATACGATAAATTTGAAGTCCAAAGAAAGACTTTGCGGATAATATTGTTTGCTCGTCGAAGTTGTCATAGACTAGAATCGGCCTCAAAGTGGGGTGTTTATCTCGTAGGTCTTGCTGCAGAGTTCGAATGCAATAACAGTTCGCCTCTCTAGCTGTGCAAATATACCCAGTTGCATTCGCATCCCCCACACGAGCGCCTTTTTCTCTAAGAGCTCTTCGCTCATAAGACTTGAAGTGAAATTGCCAGCTGCTGTCGATCTCATCAGGCATATTAAGTTGGTTGTTATGCCATGGGAGACCAACTTCTGCTATTGTGCGGCCTGCTTCCATCCATAGAGGATCTGTGAGTGGTGAGAATGGTCGCGGTTTTATAGACGTCCAGATTTGGTGTAGACGATTGGCTTCCGTGAGGACACCATAGATCCTATGGTTCGGATCATGCCATGGAGTAATGACGGGATTATCAATCCACTGAGTTTTGGAGGCCTCAAATGCATTCCGGACAACATCGTTGGATACAATCTCCTCTATTGGTCTCCGATGGCTTGAAACTTCAGTTGTTGGAATCAGAGTCTCCGCTAGTTTAGATATAGAACCTGGCTGGGGTTTAGCTTATATACTACTATATATAATATACCACGGCAGAAATATTTCAAAGTGCTCACGAACCTTTTGTGATTATTGCTTCAAGCAGCAGGTGCCCATTTAATTTCGGTACTTGTGACGTTTTCCGGAAGTCATCCGTACAGGAAACAATGTAGTTTCCTTGGGAGTGTGATCCACATTCCATGAGTTAAACTCTGGCTTGACGATCTGTGAAAGAAGACGAGGGGAGGCCCGAGAATTGAAAGAAAGAGAGAAATCGAGAGTTGGTACTCGGTTCACGGCTCCAATATCCTGCGTTAAATTCGTACACTGCGAAACTACTGAGTGGAGATGCTGAAATATCGAGGGACAAGATTGCCTTTATATATGTAGGTTCATCTGCATATAGACGACTCTGTGGTGTAATTAGGTAATGCATGTTCCATGTGCACAGGTCTGCAGATGGCCTGTCGGGTGTATTGGAATTACCATTCGTAACTGCAATAGGTTGAGGATCGCGATCGGATGGCATGTTCGCGATCATGTCCGGTTAAAGCTACTAGGCCGAGCAAAACGGTCTAAGAGAATCGAAGAGTTCGCCTTCGTTATCGAATACTTGGCTATTCGATTTGATCCGAGGAGTTTCGAGAATACCCCATTTAAGCCCTATAAATTATGATTCTAGCTGGTTGTTAAGATACCCATGAGAAGTCAAAGCGTATATGATCCAGATACCCGAGATAGTATAGTTTACCACTAGCCTGCTGTTTTAAATTTTACGTATTAACGCGAATTCGTGTGTTATAACATCAACTCGTTGATTAAGCCCAGAATACCTATAGACTTTTGTTAATAAGCTCCCCTAGCTATGGTCAATATTATAAAAGAAAGTTCGGGGTGTTGATTGGATGCGGATACTGCCGGAAGCAGGTTGACATGCAGTTAACAAAACAAGGATTTCGGGATCGATCTAAAGAATGTTAAAAAAGAAAGTCACTATCCCGGGTCACCAGGGTACCGGGGTAGTAAAATACAAATTCCCGTTCTCGGTAGTTTTTACGGTACTAGCCTCGTCTCAAGACGTCATGAAGGGGGGCACTAAATTTAAAGTACAAATAGAATCTGACAATATGTCATTTGCTTCGGCCGGGGATCCGGAGTTGTGTTTGTACCCGCTAGTTCGGACCCCAGACCCAAAAAATACCACAAAGCACATAGGGTCACCGATTTCGTTGGTTATGTCCCTAGGACAAGTCGACATCGAACGCAAACCAGCTGCACCCAGGTATATTATTCAATGCAGTATACATACGGAGCACAATATTTTGACTAAGATGCTGATATGATGGATTTAGTTCGCGCGAATTCGCGGGCTCTAATCTCACGGACTCGAATGAGCCTCGTGCCTCGTGCTGTTACTGTTGGTATACGGAGGTAGCCAATTGCATAGCTATGTATAGCTGTACCTGCACCAGCCGGCGGAGCAACTAGGGGCGGGACTTGTATTGCGGGGGAACAGCATAAAAATCACCTAGGCACTGTAGAATATCGTCTGTATACGTACAGCTGTGCATTCAGGTCGGGTCTGGTGCTATGCGCCTCTGATCATAGTTGAGGAGTCTAGCGACGAGACAACCCCTAATTAGCTTAATCAACGCGCGATTTCGACCTGGAGGCCGGCTTCCCTTTGGAATGTGAACTTTGCCGCATATGCATGTCTAGGCCTAGGTGGTGTACCCGGATCTGCTGAATCTTAATATAGATATATAAAAATCGACGATAGTTAGTATATATACTACAGGTCAGTTACCACCACAGACCGGTGGCAGACTCTTGGAGCCTCTCGGCATTTCGAATTAATTCTGATGAGGCTCAAACCAGCTAGGATATGTTTCCTTCCGTTGTAATTACTAATTTAACCGTCATGTTAGATTCCTTCGCGATGATCGGTATCGATATCCGGGTTGCGCAGCACAGGATGATCATATGAGCATATGAGTTTGATCGCGATTGGTACGGATACTTCGATTCGCGACCCTTTCCCCCTGGTCATAAATGCACGTATTAGATTTGGACAATGCTGCAACGCACACCGCAATTACCGTCCCAGCCCATTCTGTTCAGATTGTTCAGGCAATGCAGTTTTAAACTGCAACCCATTATCTTTCTTCTCTCTCTAGTACCCGACCCTCTATCAGATCAAGATTACCTTTCTGATGGATAAAAAATGATTCTAGAATTCTGAATCTTCGTTCCAAACCAAAATGATTTATTCTTCAGTCATTGGAGCTTTCGGTCGTTAAAGCTTCCTTAGGCGCCTTGGCAAATCTCAACAACCAGCATTCGTAATATTCTATGCCTCCCGTCCAACAGGTCTTCACGACTTGTGCATAACGGAAAAAGGAGGGACAAGTATGTCCGGATGACTTCATACGGTCTTCCTTATCCTTCTCGGTTCCGTGTTTGGAAGGGCTCTGTAAAATCGGTATCAACTTGCGTTCACAATTCGCCAAGTGATCGCGTTTCACAGCTCGGGTAGGATCCAAAGATTTGACACAAACCGCCTCCCGGATTCGCAGTACGGGACGCAGTGGGGAGCGATGTGGAGGATCTCACATGGTTATGGTCTGCTTCATTTAACTCTTCACATGAGTTCTGGAACACTGCCACTCCAGGCGGCCCGATCAATCGTCAGTGGTGGAACGATGCGTGGAATATGGGAATTCGGGCCGGCCCAAGCATCTTCAAAACATTTGTAGTTGAGGATTTAGCGAAATTTAAGATGGTAAGGTTGTAGCCTTCATTCAGTGGCACGTTCCACCAGCAGACGGCTCGCAAGATATCCCATTGCCAGATTACCCATCGTATTAGGATACTGAGATTACTGATAGACTCTAGGGTGGCATGCAAAAAGCGAGGGTAGAGACCATGGGCCGAAGGATTCACTGGAGTAAGCTTTTTTTTGACCGCCCAATCAACTTGCTCTCTCCGCCTTGGTCGAATCCTTTTATCAAGCTATATACTGACTTTTTGATAGTGGGTGAATTTATAGGAGTTGATCCTGCGTACCAGAAAATGGGTCGAGGCTATACTCTAATGAATTTGGTATGCGAGCGGGCTGAAACAGCTGGTATAGAGGTATACGGTGATGCAACTAAAAGGTCGGCCCCTCTTCAAGAAATATTTTGGGGTTCAAGATCGGAAAGTTATTGGAATATCAACCAGTCCCGGTACCTTTGGAACTTATCAGTTTATGGGCATCGTAAGACCACCTGAAGCAAGTGCGGGACTAATTACTTTTACTTCTTCTTCTCCCTCTTCTGATGTTTTTACGTACTACATAAACACATCCTGAAATTGGCTTTGTTTTTGTCACGCATCAATTTGTTCCTAGGATCCTATATCATGCAATTCAGAAAATTACGAAGCGAAAAAAAAGAAATAGCTCTCAAAAATGGGTTGAGCAGCCGATACAGAACCAGCGATGAAACTTAAGAAAGCTCTAGTTCAACACTTCTACCGGAATTTTTCATCATCTTCCATAGATACTAGTTATAAATTTCTCTTCTCGTTAGCCTAGCGAATAATGTAGACGTCAGGCATATCGACAAAGAGTTTAACGAGTCAAAGACACTCCAAGCGCGCAGATCACCACCTAATATGGACTTGCAGCCTCCACGAGTGGCCTAATTAGGAAAGTCGCCTTTGATATACAACAGCACAACGCAGAATATAGTTAGTGTCGATCGAGCATCATGATATAATGCAGTCTTAAATACCACACAGCTTTTGCTCTCACTTAAATCTATATTTTTGAGCTCTATTGATTTTCTTACTACTTATTGGAAGGCTGTACGTGCGTGCCGCACTTTAACCCGACTGCACTTATTGTTTTAGAAATTTGACGAGTCTCGCATTGCATATATTTGACCTTGGATGATATTATGTGAAACAATGGCTCCGAGACTAGTGAAACAACATACTTTTGTGCCATGCTTTTCTCGGGAGATTTTCTTCCTCCGTTGTTAATCATGTGTACTGAGAATTGTACTTTGACAATCGGGCAAAGTAAAATCATAACTTCATCTTCCTCCCAACTGCCTTTCCCGCCTACTAGATATGCTAGGTACAAAGTTTCTCGAGTCTATAAAGATTGTCCAATTCGAATCAACATGCATTTTCTTAGAACATTACCAAACAGGGTAAAAATACCATGTTCTTTCCGCTAGATCTATAGAACGCAACCATACCCTGAAGAGGGTTCTTTGAGTTACTGCCGCCTTTACCGCCTCTTGATTCAACCTCTCCTTCATTTGAACAATTGACCTGAGAATAGAGGTTGCCATTGTCATCTGTATCAAGACCCGCAAATGTGAAGAGCTCCCCAGCTAGCGTAATAACTATTGTACTAAGGGCAACGAAGTCATTGAGCTTGTTCTGTATAGTGTTCAATGTCTTATGTTCCCATCCCACTATAACATCTCGGAACCTCGAATTTCGCTCACGACTTCCATAACGTTTGAAGGATTGATGAAGGTCGAAGTCCACCCAGGACCCATAGGTTTCATCCTTTGAGACAGCGTTCTAGTCTAAAGTTTGACCCGGGACCGCCAAATCTTTGCGTGCGCCTCTGTCGATGACAATGTTCTATGTGCCCACTTCTCCGGGGACGATGACAACTCTTATGAGGGATCATATTGTGTATTCAATTGTTTAACGTCTCGGAAGTAGTGGTAAAACTTGGTCTGATTCCTCACCTGGAGTTACCGTAATATCAAGGTATCTTGGAATGGGAATATAATAGGGTGATTATTCGCGGATGATGCCTTCCCGCCAACCTTGGAGGTGTCGGGAACTTTTTGGGAAATCGCATACCCCAAAACCAAAGGGAAATTTGGAGAAGCTTTCCCAACTATGTATTTTGTCTTTTGGAGATGGATGAAGTACTCTCTGACTAACAGCTTTATGTCTTGGTCAACCTCCTCGAGATCATCATTACCCGCAAGCAGTTCGCCTTTTTCGTCCCACAATTTCAGTGTCTCTACCATATCTATCTGCCTTTTCAAAGAGGCAAAAGATAGATGAAACAGTAAAGGCTTGGATATCTACATAGTCTTTAAGATTGTTCTTCACCGAGTTTGCAACTTTAACTGGGTTATCTTTTTCGTCGGAGGCCTTAAGAACCTCTTTTAAAAGAACAAAGAAACCGTGATAGAATGAATTTAGTTAGTGATTTTCTCTATACCAAGAATTTCATAAACTCTTACATATCATTCAATGCGTCCTGGGGTCGGCTAGAAATTTTGACTTCCCAATTGAGGGTGTAATCATTTATATTCAACTTTGTGAAGACTGGAGGATTCAATTAATATTTCACATAGGTATAAAAACTATCACCAAGTTCTCCATCTGCCTTCTGTCCCCTTTAAATTTGATTTCGACGTGAGCTGTTTTATAAGCCTTCGTCGGGTTGTTTCAGGGCGGAGTCAAGGGCCTAAGCCGGACCTTTGGACATTCGGTGAATCTATTGATCCCTTCCCGGTAGGCGAACTTCCCAGCTGCCTCTGATTTTGTGAAACCAAGCTCACGTATATCAAGGCGGTGGTTGATGGGACAGTCTCTTGGTGGTGGGTTTGACAATTATGATCACCTCCAATAATTAAGATCGGGTTCGAAATCCGAGGTACTGTGTTTCTGTTTCAACTCAAATTGATTTTCGGAGTACTGGAAGCTATTGCTTCAAGGCTCGAGTTCACTTTTGGTAGGGACGTGATGATGATTTTTTTAGATACTTCGAAGGTTAGCATTCGACCGTTCCCGCATATGTGACACTCAAAAGGAAAATATCTATACTTCATGACGTATTTATGACGAAAATTTACTGAGTCCGCAATATAGTTTTTTTTCGGACGGCCTATAAGCATAGCAAGCATCACAGTTCGGTGCCTGGGATTGGGAACAGCTTAAAGGATATCTTCAATGATTGCGCCTTTGAACTTAATAGAATATTAGATGATCCAAGGACCAAAGATGCTTCAGACGGTCAGGCTCCTCGTGAGAGTTGGGTAGATCAAATTTACAATAACCAGCCGGCCTCTAATGAAAGCTGCTTCGAAAATAAAACCAATGCAATGGATCATAGAAGCCGCCGCTGAAGAGTCGCTAGACATAAAAATACCTAATTTATCTGTTTTACTAGATGAAATGGCAGCCATTGACACAAATTCCGCGGTGACTGAGTCCGAAATACTAGTCAACTTCGAAACCCTCTATGAACAGCTCAATAGTGTGGTAGGGGTTCGGACTTAGCGGAAGCTTCAATGCTATCCTAAACTGTTTTAAAGCCACAACCTGGACAATTTTTGTCCTAATTGAAAAGTTAACACTATTCTAGGAATCTGGGATAGTCTTGTCGTGTTTCCTCCGGACATCGCATTTCTTCTGAACAGTCTCTGGAAATTCGAAAATACCTGGTGTTACAGATTTGTGGGAGGATATCACCGGAACCGAGTTTACTATCCTCGGTCTCGTGAAGTTTGTTCATTCAACAATCCTCAACGTCATCTTCTTAATTAGTTCAACCAAGTCCCATTCGTCGGTGATGGAGTCAATCGTTGTGCCCTTAAAGCCTTCGGAGACTACATCTATGAAGCTTATATTTATCTTTATTATATTACCAATGTTACCCACAAGCCTTGCACTTGCGGGACACTCTAAGTCTACGATATTCCCGCCACATAGATTTCGTGGATGTATATCTACACATGGAACTCATCATATAATCTTAAAACCATGGTCCTCCTAGAGCTCCCAACGGAATCGAGCTCCAAATTTGTGTTGAAACCAAGCTATTCCGGATATGGAAGCATAACTTCCGCTCTTATTCCTATTTAGGAAGTTTATCATGCAATATACAACAGCAACAACGCTGAATACAGCTTTCGATGAAGAACAAAAGGAAGGATCGCAATTGGTGCATCCCATGCTGAGATACGACAGTTACCATCAGAACCACATCATAATTCAAGTTCTAGCTATCGAGCCAAATATCTACTTTACCCACCATATCAGGCTACCCGCTAAACAAATAGATGAACACAGAACAAAAAAACTTCAAGCCATCAAATCTCCGTGAATTCAAAACGCAACAATATTCAACAAAAAAAGATTTACCAAAAATGGTAATAATATTTTTTCCCTTTTAAACTAAAAAGGCACCTCAAACCCCCGTACCCTGTCAACCCATGGGTCTTCATCATTGGTCCCGATTTTTTGTTTGACATCCGCATATGCATCGCAGTGCTGGCATCTTTTCGGGCCTAGCCTACTGGTTCAAGAAGCTTCTATGCATTCTATCTCTTCGAATCGTTGGGAAAAAAAAACATCTTATGATTGAAAAAAGTTTTTTTTTTTGCCATCGCAGGATGGGATCCGAGATGCATATGCCACGACATGATATGATATACATGATATGATATGATATGATATTCTATATATCTTCTCCCAATCCCCATTTTCCGTCAGGTCGATGGTTAATACCCTTTCTTTCTTTCTCTTCTTCAACCAGGTAAAAAAACGTTTTCTCGTTTTACATAATTGCATCGAACCTAATCAAGCGAACGAACGATCGAAAGAGTCAACCTTGTTAATTAATCTAACTAAGCCAGAAATTTTAAAACACTTACCCCGCGGCGACAGCTCATCGAATACCCATATCGCCCTTCGACAAAAAAAGCTTTATTTTTTTAAGCTTAAAATTCGCGGTTAACTTGGACCCCGCCAACGAAATCGTTATCACACCCTGGACCTTTTTCTTTTTTACCACCCCCAAAAAAAGCTGCTGACAACAAAAAAAACACACACTGTCACCGCCACCTTTTTTTTTTGCCCTTTCTTTATCAAATCGATCGAATATTTATCCATTGAACAGCGGAATTTAACAACTATCCCTTTTTTCCCCATTTCCCAACTGGTTTTTTCGCTTACGTATACTTTTACCTTAACCTTTTATATATATATTTTTTCTCTCCTAGTAGACGCTCCCGCTAGTTAGGAATTGTTGTTTTTCTACTTTATTGTTCATTAGTTAAGCGCCTTCCGTTTTTACGGCGCGAAATATTTTATCGATACCCATAACATACATAACCCAACCCCCTTGAGCGGGGCAAATTCCAAAGTCTTTTCTCCCTTTCCAATCTCTCTATCTCTAACCTTTTCGAACTCCTCATCCCATAAATTAAACCATAACAAAATAACGATACACTTCGAAGAAGAATAATCGAAACACACCAAAAAAGCACAATAAACCCCCCCGTCCTCTTCCTCCCCGCTATCAAAAATTCAAAAATTCTGGAAAATTCCGAGTCATAAAAACCCGATATCATTAGCGTGGAAACTTCGAGTAAACGAATCATAAGTGGAGAAAAGGAAAAGAAAAAGAGAAAAGGGAAGAGAAAAAAAATCCAACAAAACTTGCCAGCACAATCCAAACCGAAAGAAGGGAAAAGAGAAGGAAGGTCGACTTACGATTGGACCACGAAAAACACCGCCGTTGGATTGGACTCTTTCTGGTCCCCCAGATCGAAATCGATATAAGCTAGCTCAGCTCCCACGATAGGATACAATAGCTCCATAGCTTCGATTCTCACCACCAACCACCACCACAACCACCTTCCCTACAACCACAACTAATCCCCCCAAACGTCACCGCCTTCCAAACCACCCCCCTCATAATCAATCACCAAAACAACAGAAACCCCCCCTCACAAAAAAGAAATGGCCCACCTCGGACGCGGCCCCATGGCTCGCGGCCGCGGAGCAGTCCCACCCCCCCCTCTACGCGGCGGCTCCCGACCCCCTCCACAACAAATAATGCCAGCACCACAAGGCTACTACGAACCCCCTCCGCCACAGCAACAACAACCCCCTCCAGGTACTCACTCACGCCCCATAACTCCACGCCCCCGCACCCCATCACTCCAAACTAATCCCTACCATCCCCCACCAGGTCACCACCCCTTACCCCCGGGCGCTGGCGGCGGAAATCCATTCCACAGAGGTGGTGGCGGTGTAGGAAGAATGCCAGTTGGTGGTGGTCGTCCCGGTGCTCCACCGTTATCACATCATCATACCCATCCGGGGGCATATGCTGCCACGGAACCAGGGTATGATATGGACTCTGGCGAAGATCATACGCCCGAAAGTGGGAATTCTCCGGAAGGAAGTGAATTGACGTTGGGACCTTCGCCGGGTCCTCATGGATATGGTGGTGGGGGGTATCCTCCGCCCCCACCGCCCGGTAGAGGGGTACCCCCGCCGCAGTATTTTGATAGTCCGGGGCTTATGGCGGAGAATACGCATTTGAGGCAGGAGGTTGCGGTGTTGAGGCAGAGGGTTAATGAGATGGCGGTATGTATTCCCCCCATCCCCTTCAAAAGTATAAAAAAAGAAAGTTATAGAAAGAAAAAAAGGAAGAAGGAGAAGAAGAAGAAGAAGCTAATAGAACATCTTTAAAAAAAATGAATAGGCAGGTAACGAAGTCGCCCGCTGGGATCCCGCAATGGCAGCTCAACTCGAAGTCAAAGATTTCGAAATCACGGGTCTACATACCCAAATGCAAGAAATGATGACCGCAAACCAATCCGAAATCACAAAACTCACCGAATCCCTCAAAGCCGCCGAATCAAAACTAAAAGAAGAATCAGAAAAACGTGAAAAGGAAGTGAAAACTCTAAAAGATGATCTAGACGACGTAACAGCATACCTTTCCGTCGCAAAGGCAGAGGAAGGCGTAGTCGACGACGTATGGTTCAAAGAGGAGCTCACGAAATTTGCTACTCAGTTGAGAAATTGGGTATGGAAACATTGTAAAGCCGCCTCGCAGATGCCGGAGATGGTCCAGGATATAGGCATTCAAGCTAGAATCGGCCACGCGGTCCCGGAATTCGCAAGATTAACGATGAGCAACAGCAGAATGACGGTAATGCAGGCTGTCGTACAAGATATCATCTTACGAAGGATATTCGATAGATACTGCGTCGGACTGCAGGAAGGACAGGAAGCCGCGATGAGAGGGATTGAAGTCATGTTGACACAGCACTCGGTTACAGTACCACGTATGTTTCCCCCCACATTCTATAAATACGCCCCCCTTACATAAAAAGAACCGATGGAACTAATGGAATACATATACAGCAAACTACGGCATGATAAACCGCTGGCGCGCCCTCTCAATCGCTCTTCTCACAAACACCCACCCCGTAAAAGACAACTCCGAATCCGCAATAGTCGACTGCTGTTCCGAAGTCGAATCCGTCGTTTTCTCCCTCATCCCCGGTCACAAAGCTCGTCCGGGCGACGCCGCTTCGAGAGCATTAATCCCATTACTAGCAAACGCTGTCAGAATCTCTCACCATTTTAAGGGCCAACGTGCAAGAATCGATGTCGTTAGCCCCGTGGGACATATATTCGACCCAGAGTGGATGGAAGATGCGTCAGGTATGGAAGATGATGTAGATGAGGATTTGAGAGGGAAGATGGTTGGTGCGTGCGCGTTTCCAGCGGTTATTAAGTGGGGTAATGAGAAGGGCGATGATTATGGGCTTAGGACTATTATATTCAGAGCGAAGGTGCTTTGTTTGTTGGATACAGATTAAAAATAAGAGAGGGGGTAAGGAGAAGAAGGGAGCTAGGAGGAAGTTTAGTTTTTTTTTCCATTTTTCATTTATTACTTCGGGGAGGCGGGTTCGGTATACCTACTTACTTACTTTAGCACATTTCCCATCTTTGCATCTGCATTTTCCTTCTCTTCTTCTTCACGATATCACCACCTTCGGGACCGGCTAGTACGGTTTTTGCATGCTTCCTTTTTTCCCTTTCTGTTTATTTTTCGGCGGATATCCATGTTGGCAAAAATGCATCTTCACAATATTTACGACCCTCTTACGACTTTCATTTTCATATTTCCTTCTTCATATATTACTCTAATGTCAAATCCTATATACCATTACATTACCACTGATATACCCTTATGTTCCCCATTTCCAATTATCGATCTGTCATTAATACTGTCAACGTGACAGCAGACATCTTGTAGTTCCTTTCACAGCATCGTTTCCACGTTGTATACTAACTTAAAATATGGAAAAGGAACTAATATTAATATATTATTTCTATGGGGTTAGTTATGAGAGCTCTAGATAGAAGTATGTATGATGAATAAAAGCATCTGTTCCTAAAGCGGTATGCCGGTAGTGGAAATTATATTGATAATAATACATACATAAGATGCTGCCTGATAAGATATCTATCTATCTATCTATCTACATCCTATCTCCCTCATAGTTTAAAAAAACCCGAGGTGCTTGCTAGCTAGATTTAGCCTTGAAAGTAGTTTTGAGCACATCATAATCCCCAATCCTTAGATTATAACCCAAGAAAGATATAACCCAACCCGCCCTCTACAAGAGCGGAGTTCTCCTTAATTCGCCTGAGCAGCAGCAGTAGCCCTCATCTTGAACCCCCTCCTATTTCGCAGCAACAACCTTATCTTGGTTATTATTACTACTATTATTATTATTCTCCCCTGTATTTTTAAACGCATACATCACATCCCCTGCCCAAATCCCATCCTTCCCGATCTTCCCCACTCTAACATCATTCTGAATCCTCTTTCTCACCAAATTCCCCGCTTCATTCGCATCCTCCCTACTGTCATGTCCCTGTGCATTCTCATTCGTTTGTATAAACCTTCCCAAATGCGTTTTGACAAGGTATTTAAGACTGAACTTCATCCCAGGCGCTCTATGCCTGTATAACAGCGCAGTATCAACAACACGAGGGTGTATTATTCTCATACATTTCAGATCGTTATCGAGTGAATGCCCGATAATTATTGTCGAGGAGTCGATGTAAGTAAATAGGATTTCGCGAGCTTCGAGCGGACTTGATGCTCTTAAAAGTACCTTGGGGCCATCTTTATTCGGTAGAGAGGAGTTGTAGTAGGGGAGTGCGGTATCGAATTGTTCTTGGGTTACTCCGGAGAAACGGGTGTTTAGGTCTAGAACCTCACCATAAGGTTGGACGAGGATGTCGACGATGGGTTCGTAGGTTGGGAAACGTGTCGCTGTTAACCGGATTACTTCGAAACCTTTGGTTGTGAATGCCATTTCACAGTCCATGCAGATTGCCTTTTCGATTTTTTTGTCCGAAGGAGGTGGTGTCGTTTCCGAAGAAGGTGAGAGTATCGGTGCAGATGGGGTTTCGACAAATTGCCAGACACTAGCCAGTCGGACCGGACTTTTAACCATAAAAACATGATTTGTATGTTCTACGCAGCCTGTAGTTTCTCCCCGTGGTGTAGCGCAGCAAGCCCATGTTCTCCTACCGCCGTCGACGATAAACCTTCCATAGTGGTGGGTACAGCTCCCACCTGTTACCCAGCTTTTGGTTTCTTTGTCTTGTTCTTTGAGAACTTGGAATCTGGTTTTACAACGGTCGCATTCCTCCCTTCCATCTGCGGCTTCCAGACCCTCCTTGGTTTTTCGAATTTCTTCTTCTGACGGCGGGAGGACGACGTATTCGGATGCCTTTAGGGATAGGAGGGATGCGACATAGCCACCTAAAGCTGTGACTTCAGCTTCCGGGCTCAACCCTGTTACTAACTCCTCGTTTCCATCCGGCAGATCCTTCTTCCTTTTCGACTGTTCTTTTTCCTCCAGATCCTTTTTGAAAGTTTCCGGTGTCATCTTCCCTAGAGCAAAAATTCGGTTCCTCATAATGTTTTTATAGGTAAAAATATCGTTCAGCGCACTCGCGGCCTCCTCATCATTCGCGAGTTTTATCATCCTCTGTTTCCCTATGGCGGTCTTTTGGCTATCTGGGTCTAGTCGGATGAACTCCTTGTGGAGTTGTACGAGGATGTTATGTCTAGTTTCGAAATTCGCGGGCGCCCGAGGGACGGTACGTGGCATAAGACGTTCGGGTTCTCGTGGGGGACCGGGTTTCGGCTTTCCGAATTCGAGAAGGAGTTTTGTGGCATCTGTGTCAGAGAGTAGAGTAGTTGTGGTATGGTTTGGTGGTGAAGTATGTAAAGATCGTATCGATTGATTAGTTGTCGAAGAAGATGGTCCCGAGGGTTTTAATGTTGACGACGACGACGATGAAGAAGAAGAAAACGATGGTCCAGCCCTTTCTATCCTTGTCTTTGTAATAGATCCCGTCTTTTTATCTGTAGTTTTGAGCTTAAGGTACTTCCCTGCCTCGGAATCAAGAGAACTAGAAGGCGGTTGTTGCGACGGTGAAGACGAAGGATAAGGTGGAGGAGACGAAGATGGTAATGAGGAGACGGAAGAGGGCGTTGATTTCTTGAGAATAGATTTGATGATGGGGTTTGAGGGGGCTTCCGTGGATTTGGTATGGTGAGCCTCGTCGATCCTACGTCTCTTCGGCGGCGGAGGGGGGGTCGGACTGCGCTCATTTCGGGAGACGGATTTAGCTGTTGGACCGTTGATTAGCGCCAGTACCACGACCATGACTACGACCACGTATCACTATTTGAGAAAGGAAGGGTTTTCAACCTTTTGTATTTGAAGATATCGACGATGTAGAAGCGGTGGTAAGAGGAGGAGTGGGCCGTTCAATAACAACCGCCTGATGCGAGAACAGACAGTTCTGCAAACCGCACGTCGAGACCTTCGGACAAGGTACGGATTTGAAGAGACCGGAAGGACGGAACATTGTTGATTTTGATCTTGAGGATGTGAAGATAGAACCGGCTAGTCAACTTTTTGAGGAAGACGGTAGTCGAGTGGTTGTGAATCTTAAGATCATTATCGTCGGGAGATGGGCGATGGGCGGATGGAGTGAGGTTATTGGACGTGATGGATATCAGGCAGCTTATGGACTAGCGCAACACAGCTGGTCTGTCTAGCAGCCTCGAAGAAGAAGACGAAGATACAAAATATACAATTACAATTGATGTAGTTCGATAAATTTAGAAAATAAAATAAAATAGAAAATAAAATAAAATAAAAGTATAGTTAAACCAGTCTATCCAAGAAGAGGAAGAAAAAAAAAAAAAAAAGGCTGCACGGGAAGGTTAATTGATTACCTGCAAGCCCTGTCAGTCGACCTTGTCTGTCTTATCCTGTCCCGAGCTCGAGTCCACCGACCTAGCCGAGTCCAGGTTTTTTTAACGTTTGACCTTCCCCGGAAATATCTTAGCTCCCCCGGTCGGTACATCATACATACTTAAGTACTTAGTCCTGATATCATATCTTTATATAGGTCGAGTACTCGCGGGGAGGATATAATTTGAGCTTATTACTTTCCTCGAGAAGCGCGCAACCGCTCTACTCCCTCCAATTCATTGTCCACTTCTCCATAACTATAATAATTACACAGCGACCCCAGATTTTCCATACCTCAAAACTGAATTATAAACTTATAGAATTCGAATAGAGAGAGAATAGTGAAGGAAAATGACAGATCAAACTGGGAAATCACATGCGCCGCACCGGGGATTCATAGCTGGTGTTTTCTCCGGCATCGGTGGGTCTTCTATCTACATCTAACTACTCCACGTCGATACCTCAACATTCATAACTAACATATCATATCGACATCTTCTTATAGCAAAGTTATCAGGTATATATTTTACTCTCCTATGTATATAGTTTCAATATAATAGGAGTATGTATATCAGATAATTGACCAATTGCAATCGATCGGTGGCGTCGGTATATAGTGGGGCATCCGTATGAACCCCTCCATAATAACTATAACATCCTTCTTACGTAAAAGCACAAGACTAATTGTATATTTTATTCGATATAAAAAGCTTCGACACCGTCAAAGTCCGTCTTCAAACCTCTCAATCCTCCCAATTCAAAGGCCCTCTCGATTGCGTCCTCAAAACGGTAAAGAATGAAGGTATCCGTGGATTCTACAAAGGTAATTTCTCTCTCTCTAATACAAATATCTTACACCTACCACTCTTATATATACTTAATGCACTATAAATTACAATTATTACAGGTGCGACCCCTCCGCTGGTCGGATGGATGTTCATGGACTCGATGTAAAAACCCGCATACATTCCCTATCCAAATTATTTGTTTCTTGCCTGCTGATATAGTCGCTTTGGTCTAAAAGAATGCTCGGTTCTTTGTCGAATTACCGCCAACTCCTCCTCGACATCGATAGCCCTTTCCTTCGCGCAAGACCTCATCTAGACGAACCAGGCGGTCGTTCCGATCTAGATCCAATCCCAAAACTAAGTTCCACCGGTCACGGGATAGCCGGAATCCTCGCTGGATGGGTATTCCACCTCTTTATTTTTCCCATCTTCCTCATAACAAAACCCAAGACTAATCATGTTGTTAGACCGTATCCTTCATCGCCGCTCCAATCGAACACGTCAAAGCCCGTCTCCAAGTCCAATACCACACCCTAAAACACACCTCCCCCACAACAGCAATCAAACCGAAATACACCGGTCCCATAGACTGCATCCTCAAAATCTCCCGCCAGCACGGTTTCTTCTCCATCTTCCACGGTCTAAAATCCACCTTGGTATTCCGCACCTTCTTCTTCTGCTGGTGGGGGTCCTACGATATAATAACAAAGTACCTCCAAAGAAACACAACCTTATCCGCACCTGCTATCAACTTCTGGGCCGGCGGGTTAAGCGCCCAGGTCTTCTGGATAACAAGCTATCCGAGCGATGTTGTTAAACAGAGGATTATGACCGATGAGTTGGCAGTCGATAAGAGGAAGTATAAAAGTTGGTGGAGTGCCGTTAAGGGTGTTTACAGAGAGAAGGGGTATAGGGGATATTGGAGGGGGTTTTTGCCGTGCTTCTTGAGGGCGTTTCCGGCGAATGCGGCCGCTTTGGTGGCGTTCGAGAGTGTAATGAGGGGACTGCAGACTATTGAGGCCGAGTAAAGTAGATTCTTTTTTCGTTTAGATGATTCTTCTTCTGTGTAGGATATGGTTGGAGATAGATATAGACCCTGTGATTAGGATGACGATGATATGGTGGTGGTGGTGGTGTTTCCGTCTTTAGATTCTTTATCCGTATTCTTTTCGAGGAAGTCCAATATCGCCGTGAGGTCTTCGTTTTTACTTCCCTTCGACATTCCATCTTTCTGATTATCACCATCATTCGCCCGAACCGTTTGAGGAGAAATAGAAGAAGAAGTAGTAGCAGCAGAAGGAGACGAAGAATCAGCAGCTTGACGTCTCGCCGCCAACCTCGCCCCTTCAAACTGCTTGGAAATCTGGTCCGAAACCTCACTCGCCATCTTCTCCTCCTCCTGCGTCCGCGGTCGCCAACTTAATCGTTCCTCAGGTTCAGGCTGCGCAATCAACTGATGTGGTAAAAACCCAAATTCCGTTTTATAAACCTCATAAGCCGGTACGTCGAGTGGATGTGTACTTTTAAATCCCATACCATCAGCATAATCATGTATATATTTATATACCAGTATCCAAAGAAAAAGAGGAATACGAAGAGGAAGAACATACTGCAACAAAGCCCTAACTGCCGCCTTAGTAACCTTCTTCCCATGACACAATACCTCAACTCTAACCTCCTCCCTAACACTCATAACCCCGACCTCCCCTCCCAAAGCCCCGACCTCAGCTCTAAACTGTCCGGTCCCATAACTCGAAAAACAACATCTAGTATACTTCCCACCACCCAAAACCCCGCCACCGACCTCAAATATAGCCTCTTTGATCCGATTGACACTATCGACGGGTGCATAGAAGATTAATTTATAATCTGCACTTTCGTCGACGGTTCTTTGTATCTCCGTCATCTTGTAGATTGAGAAGCGAGAGGTGGGTTTGAAACGTCGGTAGGATGGGGTGGAAGTTTTGTTAGTGGTGGTGGAAGATGTAACAACGGGTTCTTCACGGAGGTAGGGCGTCGGAGAGGGGATTGTTGCCGTGGTGGGGGTGGTCGTAGAGGAGGACGGATTGTGGGAAGTTACGGATTCGACGAAGGAGGTCCATGATTGTCGAGATGTTGCACGGCGGATGGGGAGGCGGACCAGAAGGTGGTGGGAGGGATGCATGGCGGGGGGAAGTTTTGGAGGGGTGGAATTAAAAGTCGGAGATATTACATACTAAGAACTCCGTAGTTAGGCCGGATTCCAGAACGTGAGGTTGGTTTTGGTGGCGGGGGAATTGCAACAGGCAACGCAGTTACAGCTCTTCGTTTCTTCCATTCAAGTTATAAGTGAGTACGACGATTAGGATAGTATAATTCGAGACTTAGCACCAGAATCTAGAAGACTTCAAAAGACAAAGATCCAATCTTCTATCTAGAAGGCCTCCTTTCAGACTTATATATTCTCCCCATTTCCTGAGTATAGCAATGAATTACGAAAGACTCAAAACGTTCTTGTTCAAGCTGCAAGAAAGAAGGCCAGTAGCCAACTTGATGGTCAAATTAAGATTTCAAGCCCATCAAAGCTTTAAAGACGCAGGAGCCTACTACAACCGTGGGCCACCAACCACCGAAACGCAGAATGTCGAAAGTCGAGGAATAAACCGAAAGATCGATTGAGATCTTGAAGAACAAAACCTCGACAAAGAAGGATAAATCCCAACTGCGGGATCGTAGCTAGAGACTTAATAAAACCCCGGAATTTCACTCTCCAAATAAAGGATAAGGGATCTGAAAATGAATATCTATAGCTATAGCAAAAAAGAATAGAAGGGGAATTACGTGACTCGAGTTGGCGGAGCCTCTCTTGAAGCTCCCTATTCTCGTCGCGAATATCCTTTTTGTTCTTTTCTGCTAGGTATGTACATGCATAGTTAAAAAGTTGGAAAACCCCGTCGAAAGTATTTATCTCCACTTTCCCTAGGTTGTTACAGAAACATCTACCACCAGCGGCGCCCTCCTTAGCCCCCGTGATCTCAGCGCTACCAACCATATATATCTTTTAAACATCTAAAAGATATATCCGCTTGTAGCCCATCTATTTCTTTTCGATGACCTAAAAACCCACATCACTCATTCGTTCATCGATCTTCTTAATCTTTTCATTAACATCGGTTTCTGTTGCATTCTTTCTTCCTACCTTCCCCTTTGGCACCAGTAAGCCTAGCCTTCATGGCAGAATTGGTATATTTGCTGATCAAAGTAATGGAATGGCTGCGAGATTGGCACTGCTGCTGGCCCGGAAATTACGGACTTCCGTACCAAAACTCGTATAGCAGTAACCATCGATCGGCTGCCTAAATCGCAGTTTCGAAAATAGTGTTCTTTGTTTCTATCACCGCCGTTAGATAACCTGCACGTTAGCTTTGTTTTTTTTTTTTCCTCTTGGGAACACGAAGGTGAGGACACATACGATCTTCTTGTGGATGTCTACCTCCAACAAAGGGTCGTAAAAAAATTTTGTAAAAGCGTAGTGACTAGAAGTTAAGTCCGGTATATATAAACTCCCGCACCAGCCATCATGATATTTTTTTAGCAGGCACCGATCGCAAAGACGAATTACCAGTCGATAGTTTTGGTTGGCTTCTGAGGTGATCGATCCTCCTTTGATGTCGAATAGTTTGAATTTGAGCAGGCATCGATCGCAAAGACTAGGGCTTGTGGAACAGCGATACCACCAGTGGCAATACAGGATGAAATAACCGCAGATCTCATTTGACCGTGGTGTGTTCTGGCCGGAAACCAATCTTCTGAGTTTGTGGATGTTACTTTAGAGTATGAGTTCTAGCGTATGCCTCTAAAATTGTCTCAAAAGGAAACAAAAACGAGTGGATTCTGTGACCATCAAGTAGAGTTTTTTTTGTTCCACTTTTGATTCAGAGTGCCCTACTTTAACTAAATAAAAGGTTAGCATCGATAAAACTTATATAACATTCATCATTAAGTAATTTTTGTACTTATTGAAATGCAAGGATAATATTATCGTTGCTCATCTTTGTAGCCATTGATAGGAGGCCGAATACATAACGCGATAGGGGGGTCATCCCAAGAGAATTCAAATATGGAACGACAAGGGATTTCGGAGAGGAAGGCGGCGAAGTATATGAAGTAACCGTAACGTTGAAAGTCCACGAGACCGAAATGGATCACGAAATAAAAGGCTTAACAAACGCAAGGTATTCAGCTTCGATTATTTAAAGCAAAAGGTATAAACTTCAGATTTATAGAGCACTAGCAGGCCCGGGGTATATTCGAAACGCGACCTTGGTTTTCGTGGCTGTGGGTTCGATTGTGGTTGTGGAGCTTTTGGAGCTTGTGGCTGTCATCGTATAATTATTCCTGATCGATGTCTGCATGCATTCAATGAGGTACTAGTATCGATCGATAGTTGAGAGTGTGATTTATTTAGCTAGACCGAACTACTAACTTACCTACCTACCTCACGCTTTATATAGCCACGCCGGTAAGTAACGTAAGTAGATAATTTTGATTCTTTTTTATTTATATTTATTTTTATATTTTTATTTCACGTCTACAGATCGATCTGATCCTCGATTTACACACGTGCGCATGCGCATCTGATTTAAATACAAACGGCCTCGGTTGCTAGACACACGTGGCGAAGACAAGTAAAAGTAACTAAGAACTTCTGTTTCCTGGCCATGGGCGAATCTACTATGTAGTGGGGCATGTGAATTAAATCTTGATTACAAACATCGGAGCTGCCTAGTCTGTACGATATACGTGTAATGTTACGGGAGAGGCCCTAGGAGCATATTATCTGTTGAGCATGAGCGTTAAGAGCTTAAGAGACGGATCGACTTCATAGAATATCCCTATGATATCATGATCTTCGAGGCCTTCCACTTCAATTCATCCAACTACTTAACATCAACCATCAAACTCCAACCAACCATTCATCATCACTTCCTACACAGAATTCAGTGCAGTATGAATGTGTATAGGATTGTAAGATCTCTTTCCCTGTTTTAAACTTTAAGGATTCAGTAACTCCTGTACTTCATAGTATAAATTTAGTCCACCCGCGCCGTTCTGTAGACGTCTAGATGAAAGTCCGAGAAGCGTCTCGGTATTCCCTCTATATATAATGCCCTCACCGATCACGTACTTGCACAGGATATACCGACAATCCTATAAAATATAATCTCCCTCCTGTCTCAAGGTTTCCTATTTTTTAATACATTCCAACCTCTAGTCAACCATCCGATATCCTTCCAGTTAACCCTCAGTAACTTAATTATAAGTGTGAAACTTTCTGTCACAAAGACTCTCTATACATAAACCCTTCCTCTAATATATAAATTATAAAACTCCCCATTCAAGGCCGACATAGCCCTCCTAAGAAACTATGAAAATGGCAGCCACCATAAGTTCAAAAGCAAACGAGACATCAGACCTCTCCCAATCGGCACTCGTAATGTCATCCGCTCTTAATAAAATCGCAACATCTCTCGACACCATCTCCGCCGAACTGGGGCTCATGCAAGGCGCCGCATCCGCAATGCCTATGTCTTCAGAAGATTTCCACGCCGGTATGAATGAAATCAAGGATATGCTCAAAAAAGAGTAAGTCTCTTTGTATTAAAAAAACAAAAGCATAGTAATTCCAATTTAACGATATTTATTACCACGGATAGATCAGAACTTTCATTAATTCGAATGTTTAACGCGCAAGCAACGAGGAGAGAGCAACTTAGATTCCCGGTCGATGGATTGGGTGAATTTATTGAAGGCAAGAATTCTATAGCGGATTTGACTGGTACGTGCAAATTCTTCCCCTCTTACATCCATAGAACCTTAAATTAAAATTTCTCTGACTGACTATATCGTAATTAACTGATGGGCAATTTAGTCTATGATTGTAGAGTCGTGCTGAGTCTTTTGCAGATTCCATACAGTGACCATGCGAGTTTTTTGACCCTACAAGGCCTTATTACCGATTATTTGGCGGCTTGGTAGCTAGAGTTTCACCAGCAGTCTTGAAGGGGTAATCCTTATATATGTGTTGGAGTGCTTATCATTTGATAATGTTACAGAGAAATCAGCTTCTGATAGGATAGGAGCTTCTAATATAAATAGAATAAAACGGGGTTCGGTTTTGTCACCAGTTGCGGTTTTTTCAATAGTGAAGCCGCTATCTCGTACGTTGCATCTGACCCCGAGACTATATCGATATCACTATAATGTATTTCGTTCCAAGAAACTGCTTTAATGATTATTAGAATTTATTAGCTTCAGTCCTCGTTAACCAATCCGTAGTCCCCGCTTCGTTAGTATTATAATTCTAGACATACAACATTTATATATATTCATTAAGTAATTACCTATGCATGGGGGGTTCCATACCGGCTACAGCGTAAATGTAGTACCTCAATATTTTTATTTATTTTTGATAAACAGTCTGGCACTGTCTCGAGGGGTTCGCTATGATTCTTGAAACGAATGAATTGCGATATCGTGATATCAAAAGAACCTATGATATTCTTCATGAAGCCATCCCATTCATAACTAATACAACCCATGCACATATAAAACAGCACATCCAATTTAATCAGCCTCGCCATTCGGAATACTCCAATATATATCCTTGCTCTGCCCTCACCGAGCCACCATATAAGTATAATATAAACCTACAAACTCTTATCCTTCAAAACCTCATAAGGATTCCCCCCTCTCCCCTCCCCAGTCCCACCACCAGGAACACCCGCCTCCCTCGCATTCCTCTTCACAAACTCTCTTTCCGCATACCTCCCGGGATCCTCCTCACTCCCAATCTCCGGCTGCTTATCCACCACATTAACCCCCTCCCCAAATTCATCCTTTTTCTCAGTCTTCTTCTTCCTCCCAGCGACTTCATCCCAATCCACATCCTCCCCATCCCAATTCTGTCCATAATGCGGATTCACAAACCCCTTCCCAGACCCCTCAGTCTCATATTTCTCTTCCTCATCAACCCGAACAACACCAACGTGTCCACCGCCGTCTTCACTTTCATGAACCCTCCTGACACCGATAGTGTCGTCACCGCGGTTTATAGTGGTATTCGTGGACATGGCGGATAATATACCCGTGGGATTTCCCTTGGAGAAAGTACCGTTGTTGGAACGGAGGGAGGAGGCAGCTAGGGAGTCCGAGAGGACGGGGCCGGAGTGTTCGAGTTTTGGGGAGGTTGAGGAGGTAGTAGTTTTTGTGCCTTTGGTTGGGTTTGTCTGTTTATTTTTTAAGAAGGGGGGGGTTAGTATGCTTATATTGAGAAGATGAGGGGGGCGGGGGAGGGGATATACGCACTTTTTGGTACTTTGACATAATACTGTTATTGCGATACAGTAGGGTATTTAATTTAACAGTTAAGGAATATAAAAGTATCGATATCGACTTATATTATCCTGTAAAATATATATTTTATCTAACCCAGGCCCGTCTAGTAAGCCGCGCAAGCTCTTTTTATATCCCGTATATACGCTCCTAGGATCCTAAATCACTTGCGTTGACGACACTCCGACGACACCCCGACGTCATACTCGGGGGGCGTAGAACATATAAAATCTAAAAATCTCCATCGATCTACGGACGGTTCTTACGAAAATGGGTATAACTAAGGGTATTTGAGGTTAGTTTGAATATCGATAGGATGGAATATTTGAGTATGTTCGAGAAAGTATTTTTATTGTTTATTCTATGATAGTGTAAGTAGTTAATTAATAATTATTGGACATGTGCCATGGGAGTTTGGATTTAATTCAGGGAAAGAACTAAAGTGAATATGATATAATATAACACGCAGCTTGGTGTTGACGTTGTTGGTAGCTCTTGGTATGCTAATAAGGACGCGGACGGGATACTTGGAAGCCGACTTGACTTGACTTGACTTCACCGCCAGCCGGCCGAACCCCGAATATTGATATGAAGCTAAAAAGTTAATATAACGCCAACAATTCATATCGATAAAACGGAATAATAAAAAATAATATAAAATAAAATTAGAAACTTAATAATAACGTGGGGGTGGAAACTCGGTAAGGTAACTATTCATTATCGAACCAGCGCTCCAGCCAGCCGGTCGGTCGGTAAGGCAAAATGTACGGTAAGGCAAAGTATGGTAATAATAGCGAACCAACCGAGCTCGTTTCCAAACTCCCAAAAAAAAACCCAAGCTGGGCTGACCTGACCTGACCTGGCCTGACCTAAGAAACAGTAAAGGGAGAGAGAAAAAACCGCATAGCCGTGTTTAAGTGGTGAGTATTGGTGGTGCTCCATCTTTCCGAGCAAGGAGCTCAAGCGGCAACCTCGGTGCACAACAGCAGCTTATTATCAGCGTTCCGCGCCCCCCCTTCCTCCTCCTCCCTTTGGAGCGCTAGGAATCCAAGGGAGCTGGGGAGCTCGAGCTCAACGTGTGATTAATATATATGTAAGTACGAACTCACCTTCATTCGAGGAAGCCCTGTGAGATTTGAGACGTGAGACTTTTTTTCCGTGGGGTTTTGATCAATCGCAAATAGAATTATTTCAATCGTGTGACCCAGTTGATGGCGGGAATTGTCTGGTTCGAGTATTAGATTGATTACTCTGCGTTTTGGAACTGACTAGCTTATGATAGACGAAATATGAAGGTTTCTTTTGGAATGCTCTTCGCGTTCAATTATGTTGATTACTTAATGATCGTAAGGAATTATATTACATCATGATGGAGATCACAAAGCTTTGGGAACTTGGCGGAGGTAACTAGCACCTGGTTAGCTTCTTTTCCGTTCCTCTCGAAAAAAAAAAAAAAAAAAAAAAAATTTGCGACCGCGGCTGTCGGAACCAAAATTTAATGGCATGAGCTCGAGGTCACAGGTTCCTCCTGCGACAGTGTTAGTTGGCATCTCATGCGTGATACACCCGTGCATATCCCAACTATTTTTCATTTTTTTTTTCATGCCTACGGGATATTTTCCGCCGTTGAACCATACAGAAACCCTGGAACTTCGGGACGTGTAATGTAAGCACACAACATACACAGTCGTAGTAGTTTCGAAAGGAGGTGGTCAGGCAAGCTAGCATTTCGCATTTGCGTTCCGGCAAAGGGAAGGAAGGAAGGAAGGAAGGGAAGGCAAAAAAAAAAAGGATCAATCTCGAACGTCCCCGGCCCGGATGGGAGGGTTCCAGACGTGTGTGCGCCCCATTCCTTTCCGTAGTACACGAAACTGCGATACTGAAAAATCAACCCGTTCTCAAGCGCGCCGTCGGAGATACACCAAAGGCAACGGATTATCTCGGGACGAACTTCGCAATACCCGTTTTTTTCCCTCTCTCATATGACAAACAGCTAATTTGTATCTGTAACTGGGCTTGGCGGGGAGCGAGAAAAAAAAGTTGGGCTGCGGCTGTTACTGCGGGTTTTTTTGGGGGGTTTGTTAACGTTGTGAGACATACTTATTCTGGTAATTGGAAATCCGAGCCTTTAGCTTAGATTAGCTTAGCTTTAGTGATTTCATTAGTATTAAAGATTTACGAATACGGTAACGATTTAAGCGGCGGAGAAGTCGGTTTGGGAAAGTGGCCTAGGATTTCTTTTCGAGCTAATGGTTTTTCCTTATCCTCCCCGGGGTGGCCGAGGGGGCTACGGTATCATAGCAGATAAATGGTCGATTTAAGGATTTACCGGGCGAGCCCATCCCCATTAACCGGAATCAACCCATTCCTTTTAATCTTTGGTCCGATTGGGAAACTTCGGGGTAAGCTGGGATATCTTAGGTAGGAGATTATTGATAACCTTCTTCTTGGATAGCTAACTAGGTAGCTAAAGCTGCTTGGTCCCAGCGTTTTTTTCTTGTCTTGATCGGTACACGCATGCATGCGAGAAAATAACCGACATGTCACCGTCTCGTGCTTGTGATATCATATTCATATGAGTTTTGCCGAATATCAGTATGCGGTAGCGTACAGACAAAGATGACATGTCTGTACTTAGATATCGAAAGTGTTATTCGGATCCCCAAAGAGTACGTAAATCTTTACTTATGGTAGTTATCGCGAGAAGACTCGGTCGTAATCGAAGGAGGGGGTGTATAAAGAACACATGAGCATTACATGTTTAAATTTCCTTGATTGAGATAATAATAACAAAGATGATATTAACAAAGAAAAAAAAAGGCATGGTCTGCTTATATTACCTTGCATATCTGTATAAGGAAAATGCGGAGAAATGGTGATTTTGCAATTGAGGTATGGTGGTTTGTTTTAACTTTTTTTTTTCGGATCATGAGAATCACCCCATACGGGCATACCCATATCGTACGGTATCATATCATATCATACGCATACCTATCGAAACAGGGCGTATCAGCCCAACGAGAAGTCACGAATTGTTAATACTAATTCGGGATTGTTTTTTTTTTCCAGGAAGGAAGAAAACCAAGCAATTCAGCCCGCCGCTTGGTATTGCCATCTCATCGTTAGGCGAGGAGATTTCAAGATCAGGCTCCTTTATGTCTTTGCTTTTCGGAAAAAGGAAAAGACACCAACAACCAAGATATTTTCTTGACGTGTTTTGACGTTATAGTGGTCTCACGAGGTTTTTGTCTTGGAGTCTTGGGAATGTTAGACATGACATTTGATCAATTGTATTGAATTGAATTGAACTAGGCACTCGAATGGTGATCTAGATTATCGGCAAGGGGCAGTAACGGTCCTCAAAGATCAATTAACTTAGAATTATATAATATAAAGAAACTCTCTTTTTGAATAAGAGAAAGCCAAAAATGTCTTGGATTATGTTTGTTCGGGGGGGGGAAAGAAACTGGGCTGATGCAGGTCTTCCTTTTCGCGTCGTTCAATAACCCGCAGATCAGAGACATTTGGATTTGACACCTTTGTTCGAGGAGAGGGCTTTTAAAGACAATAATCTAAGTCAGGTCATTATCCCAACGGTGATTTGTTTTCCGGGGTGTCTTCTCCTGTGTACACCCCTTCAATAAGCAATCGCATTGGATGTTAAGTTAACAAAACATACGTGTGTAGGACACACTGGACGTTCGGATGGTTCCCCTACCCGGACTTTTTCCCATGAGGTTTTTCGTTATTAACGTTGGTGCTTGCTGCTGCTGCCCTGTCGTTTGTCTCAGTTTGCTTATTTCTCTCTTTGGTTTTGGGGGGACGAGAGAACTAGTTTAAGGTAGGACCGACCTGACTTATGCTTTTCCCGGGAAAACCGTAGAAAACCAGAATCGGCCCATTTTCATACGAAACATTGCATACACAAAGTGTCAGTTAGTCAGTCGGTGTGTAGCGGTAGCGGTAGCATTTTTCTTTTCTTTTCGTTTGGTTCCGGTTGTACCCTTTAATTGTTTTTTCTTTCTCGTTCGTCCGAATCAAATTTGGGCAGGCCACTGGGGGCTGGTTTGGTCTCGCATTGCTGGCACACACAACAGAATTTTTTCCCATTGCAATTGGGGGGCTATACGCAGGACTATATCATCAATCGGGGGGCCTCGCCGTGATTGTATATAATTACGGGAATTCTTTTTTTTTTTTTGTTTATATTATATATCTCCTGATACTTCCTCCTCTCTCTCTCTTTTTTTTATCTTGTGTAATAAAAAGAGTCAAAAGGAACATAACATAACATAACAACTTCTATCAACGACAATAAACGTTCAATTCTCAAAAACCAAGAATATAAAGAAAAAAAGGGAAACCAGAAAATGAGCCTGGCCAAAAGATTCGGATCGAAGATTTCGGCCTTTCCTCCTCAATAATATTATATTATTAACTACCAAGTTAAACAAACCAACACAATCCTCGGAGTTCCCCTGCGAAAAACAGATCGAATCGATCCATTTTATACAGACGACGTTTAGTCTTGTCGGCCGCCACACGCTTACTCCGATATCGATTCGATATTTATATCCACTAGTAGACTGTCTATACCTATATTTATAGATATACATACATAGATATAGATATACCTATCTAGCTCTTTTTTGCCTACGAAAATATATAGGAAGGCTAGACCCCTGCAGAAGATTCCTATCCCACGCACACACGCACATACGATATCGAACCGTTTCTCCGAATAGAGACAGAAAAAGAGATTAGATCTGACAGATAACGAAAAGCACGGAAGATCTAGCGTCAAAATTTTTTATATATCTCTATATATAACGTGCAGCAAAGGAAGCAAGGAAGCCGGCAAGCCCAGGCGATAGGTATCAATTTTTTGTCTTTTCGCCCCCAGTTAGGTAACTTGTTTAATAAAGGGAAAAGAAAAAAAAGTGGATACCAACTTGTGAAAGAGTGAAAAGTTCAAGCCAACCGGACTATTATCACGCACGCCAAACAGAAAGAGAGAGAAAGAAAAAAAAAGGAAGAGAGGGACAAGGGTTTCGAGATCAGCTTTTTAATACCAGAAAGTTAGAGTACCATACAATTATCGGTTCGACGCCTGGAGGCCGCCGTTCGGAGTATCTGCGACAGCTTTAAATTTGCCAGTTAAATACCTCATACGACCAATATCCAACCAGCCAGCACATTCGAATCGCGTTTTTGTATAATTAGATTTTAATTCCCCATTGCGAGGAAAGATCTATCTTTTTGGAAGAGTACCCACATTTGTTTCTTTACTTACCAGGTACGTACTTATATATACACCTATATATCCTATAACTTCTTCTTCTTCTCTTTTCTTTCCTGTCTTTTCGATATCTTCTTATCATTCTTTGGGGGGACATTCTAATGAGGTGTTAATTGGGAACAGGCTTTCCGCTTTCGACAGCAAATTGCCTGACAACACATAATTTGCTTCGGCGTCAAATTGCAACACTCGCAAATTGAGGGCGTCTGATATTCCGACAACGTTAACTTTGGCTTCAACGAATCCAAATTAACTAAATCCATCATCTCGGACTTGAGGCATATATCTATCCTGCTTTCACTACTTACCAGCTGGTCTTACGTATCACGTATCTTACGTATACTTCTTTGTCAAAATCCTTGCAGCTAAATGTCTGCAAACAAGACCCTCAAGCTGCTCAACAGCATCACTTCAACCACATCTGCTTCACACCGACGAAGAAGAAGTTCTGTAGCTGTTACCGCTGCTGCTTCCACTCTGGCTCCGATGTTCCAGTCGACCGTCCCTGTTCCTGTTCCTCCGAACTATTTTCCTCACAGTAACCAGACTCATTCTGGTCATCATCACCATCCTCATCATGGTGGTGGTGGTGGTGGTGGTGTGAATGCTACTGCTTATCAGCAGTTCCTTCCGGTGTTTGTCACGCCTACAACACCGGCGTCATCCGACCTTCATACATCATATCACGGCACCAACGTCACTTCTCCACCTCCTTATTACTTCCACACCCCGCCTATCAGTAGTGTTGGTGGGGCTGGCGGTGCTGCCATTGTCGGGAATGGGAAAAATCAGCAGCAGCAGCAGGAGCAGCCACCATCCCAAGTGCAAAATCAGAACCAGTACCAGAACCAGTATCAGAACCAGTACCAGCAGCAGCTGTTCCAGTCGGGACCTCAGGCGGGTGTCAATCACGGTGCCAATCACAGCCTGCATCACACGAGAGCAGGTTCCTTGCACCAGGATCTTTTAAATAAGAAGCACGCCTCCCGTCCTTCGATTTCTCAGTTCTCTGTTGCAAATTCCTCTCATTTCCAATTTGCATTCGAAGCTCAACCTCCTTCTGCTCACGATTCCGTTCATCACAGCTCTGTTCATACGACAAACGGTAATATCAACAACACTCCTGCTGTTGCTCAGACCATTCACTCGAAGCGTTCTGCTCATTCTCGACAGTCTTCGTTGAATCAAGTTCAAACTGTTGTTCAACCTCAACCTCAAATTCAGCAGCAACAGCAACAGCAGCAGGTAGTTGGTAACTCTGGTTTCTCGTTCTTGTGCTTGAACCCCGAACCTATCCAAGTTACTGCCCCTCAACCTGTCGTTCAAAATCAACTCCTAACCTCAACTACCCAAGGCTTCCTCCCTGGTGGATTTTTCTCCTTGACGCCAGAGGACTCGTATCCTCTACTGTGCACAACATTCGCTCAGCCCGCAACCACTCCACGTGAGAGCCACGTTAACTCCTACTTCCCAATCATGCCTGTCAATCCTGTTGTTCAGCAGATTGCCCCTCGTACTGGATATCATCGACAAAACTACCAGCGTTTGACCAAACACGCAATCTCCGCTGTCGACTCCCGAGATTCTCGTGAATTTCGCTGGAACCGTGTTCTTCGCTATGTTCACGAAATCTCAGCCCCCCACGGATCCAAATTCCCTCCATCGGATGCATGGATCCTCCAGCAACGCCAAAGAGTCCTTCTAACTCCTCGCCAGGGTAGCAAGGGCGATGCTCACAGCCTTTGGGATGGCGGTTCTCTAGGTACTAACGGCGTGGACGATTTCATCTGGGATGATGATATCCAAAACGGTAAACGTTTTACTATCCCGCCGAAGAGTCAACAGGGCGATGATGCACCCTTCGAAGAGGATCATATGGTGTTTAATCTTGAGGCGGCGAAGGCTGACTCCGACCTCGCGTTTGGATATGAAGTTGATGATACCAACTTTTGCCCACCGGCCAAGAGGACCAAGAGTAATGAAAGTCAGAAGGCGGCTAGGAGGGGTTTACATGAATACCTTGCCGCACTCAAATCATTTGAACTCTCGCACGCTCAGGATATGAAGCGTGAGGCTCCGCTTACCATGGCTTAATATATTTCTCTCTTATCTTCATTCATTTTTTTTTCTTTTTTCATGCAATAATCCTTATTTTTGGTTTGCAATAATGAGGGGGTTTGCTTATCGCCACTTTTTATCATCGATCTCCTTCTTTCTCATATTATTTCGTTTGGTATCAGTTCATGCTGTTTATTAGCGTGGGTTTTTCTTTTATCCAGACCGATCTTACTTTGCCTTTTTTTTTTGTTTCATCATGCACGACCGGCGTTTATATTACAATGGGGGTTTCTATAGGGATATTTGATATTCTTTCTATCGATGCCTTGCTTGTTTTTTTGATCTCTGCTCTTCTTTGTTTGTTTCTATCCCTTTTGCATTGCTCATATGACATACCCTATAGACCGTCCTATTCTTCTTTTTCCCCTCTGACTCTTTTCAATTCCTACTTCTGAATCCTTCTCCCCCCACTACGTCAAGCTTTACGATCTTGCTCCTTTTTTTTGCGGGTTATTTTGCAAATACTTATTCTTCTTGGTTGTTCTCGTTGGTTTACTTTTTTAAACGTCTGCGACCAATTTTTTTTTTTTTTTTTGTTAAATCGAGATCGAGAGATACCCCGCTCAGATATATATATACATTTTATCTACCCACCTTTCTATCTTCCCTTTTTATTTTAGTTCCTAGGGTTTAAATACTTTTTCTCCTTATACCATTTCATAACTTTCTTTAAAAGAACACATTTTTTTTTCGTCTTTTGAGAAGATATCATTCGGAATTATATTATTATTATTATTATTATTATTATTATTATTATTATTATTATTATTATATTAGTAGCATTACTTTTTTTCCTTTATAGACTTTTCCTAGCTTCGTTTTTATTCTTCGAAAATATATTTTTTAGATAAGGGATTTTTAGGACAGTTGAAAGATGGGGGTTGGTAGAATATTTGGAATTAAATGGGATAATATACGATACAAATTCTTTTTTGATCGATGATCGGGGGCGTAGATGTGGTATGTATCCGTATGCGGTGATTTGGTGGAGGCGGGGTTCGAGGTTTTTCAGGCAAGATATAAACTGGAATTCCGCCCTTGATTTTATTCATTTATCGGCACAGCTGCATAGTAGGAAAAAAAAAAAAATCAAAATCCTAAACTTCGGAAATAAGGTATATACGTAAGGGATGAGGCTCTGCTATCTAAGTCTCATTGTTCAGCCTTGTTTTTTTTTTGTTAATGGTTCCTGCATTTAAATTTTGGTGGGTGGCGATTGCAATTTTTTTTTTTTAGGATATTTGGGGGAGATGGGCTGCAAGGCACATTCATTCCTGTGTGCGCAGCGCTTTACTGTGAGTGTGTGTGTGGTACCTGAGTTTTTATGCATGCATGCCATGCATGTATGTCTTGCGGATGGATGTATGTGCAGCTGGAGGGGTATTTGATCAGGGGGGTTTTTTAGTTTTCCTTTTTTAAAAAATAAACTTAAAGGAAAAAGATTAATTGGGGTTTTTTGTTCATTTTCTATTTTTCTTTCAGTTACGCCTGATTTGTATGATATCTTGGTGGAGGTATATGGTATATGGTACATGTGGTGAGCGAGGTGGGTGAGGGGAGAGGTGTTGTGGTTGTGTCACATGTTGGATTTTTTTGGGGGGGAAAGGATGTAGGTAGGGAAGATACTTGGGCGTGTATATGCCATGTGATGGGTATGATGTATATGATCTGTGATGGGTATGGAAGTGAGGGAGCTGATTGGAGAGAAGTTAAGTTGTGAAATGAGGAGAGAAGGGTCGGGCCTGGAGAGAGGTACGTCACCGCTGAGGATAGGTGGGATACCTTTGGGTAACTAGGTAACTAGGTAGGTAACTGGGTAGGTAACTAGGTCGGTCGTCTTTTCTTTTGGGAAAGGAGGACAGTACCTATTTTATATGCGGGGAAAATATTGTAATATGGATATATGAGTTAGAGTAGTTGATCCTGGGGACCTTCGATTCGTAGATGGGTCGATTAAGTATCTGATTTGCCTGTTTATATTTATAAACTTCATGGTTGTAGTACAATACAAAGTACATTTGGAACCTGAACAACAAGGTTTACAATTTCAAGTCAGTTTAGGAAGGAAACTTGTCGCTTTAAGAACACATCATGGAAAGATACTAAGCTAAGCTATATAAGAAGATGAATCTAAGGGATTCTGCCTTGTTGTATTTTACCTATCGCAACACGGATATCTATATTCTTCCGGGATATGGTGGGGGTAAGTGTGTCGGTGCTTCCAGAGATCTCAAGTTTATAATATACCTATTAAGTACTTAGGTAATAGAGTATAGTAGAAGTATTTGGGGTGCTCAGGGGCTAGTATACGGTACTAAACACATGGTATAAAATATTCAGACTATGACTTTGCGTCTGCCTGTTTTCTACATCCAACTTTACCAGATAAGACTATATACAAAATATATAATATATAAAATTTGCAAACTGGAGCTTCGAACGCTCCTAACTTTGCTAACTGATAACGCCCATATTCGAGGCGATTCGCTAGTAGATACAGAAGACTAGACTAGACCCATATATCTACCTACAGCGAGCTAAGTATGTAAACTTTTGGTATATACTTACATAAGTTTTGTGCGTGTCGCGTCGAGGCGATGCGACGCCGGGTTTATGGTTTGATTTGTGATCTTCTCCTGAAGATAGGCAGAGATTCGATGTTCGTCTATCTTCGTGGAAGAAAATAAAACTTATATATAATAGCTACTAGTTAACTATTGAGGTGAGGAAAATATGTGACATAATTCAGGAGCGTGCTAGGCCGGTCGGGGTATAAATATCTACCTACCTACCTATCCACACTAGAATACTTTTTTCACTCTCTTCTTCACTCTCTTACTTCTTTATACATACAAACCTACCTATAGTCTCGTACTACAATGCTCGTGTACACATATACACACAACCGTCCGATCCCACAGTCTTTCCCTCCAGGACGATATCTTCGTGGTCATAAATGGCATCACCATCGCTCTAATACCGGCCTAATGGGAGGTATTTCGGATCTGAAGCGTGAGTGGGATCAACGTCGATGCCATTCAGCAATATTATAGCGTCTTTTGAGGTCTTCACGACGGAAGATTCATGCTCAACGTATAGACCGAGGTCAGCCTTCTTGCACATTTGCGAGGGCGGTGGTTGGTGTTAATTGATATACTGCAATGCACTAGTAAGTTTGTTGAATTGAAAAAAATAGTCGCAGCTCGCAGCGTTAATTCTGATTTACGAGATGATTTCTACAGAACACCAATACAAGCAATGATTAGAAGGCAGGAATTTATGATGTCCTGTTGTTGTTGTCTCAAACCAGACTTCGAAAAAAAAAGTGTCGCCCTCTGTCCCGGCATCATCATATTTGCTGTTGTTGGTTACGAAACTCGATGTCCTGGTTTGTCCAGTCTATCATATCTTCCACACAAACTATACCTGAAAGTGCTCTTGTATAGTGTCATGAGGCTAGTGTCATGGGAGGTTGGACTACAAACAAACCTCTTTTTTTGAGCAAACGTCATGACGTCAGGATCTCGGAGACAAGCTGATCCAAATACCGCGTCGCTAATCACATCAAGGACGCCTGGCTAAGGACCCAGCTAAGGAAAGAAGAGATATCGTCCTCATCGCTAAGAATTCGAACTGTAATGGGAACTTTGTTCCCAAGCTCCGAAATCAGTCTCTTAACTTCAAAAGTATATATCCTGCTGCACTACCAGAACCCCGGAAATTTAAGGATACCTAACGCCATGCTCGTGCTGGACACGAATATCACAAATTCCTGGCCAGTGGAAATAAAACCTGTGTTTTGATCCAGTACCCTTCGACCCTTTGGAACGAGGAGACTTGATGGTTTAAGCTCCAAGAAATCCAAGAGAAAGAGAGGTAGGTTACCCACTAAGTCTCTTTAGAAGGAACTGGGATGATAATATTTGGGATTAAAGGGTTTCCGCTAGACACAAAAAAATACTCTAACTTCGACCATTCGAGGCGAGGAAAATGAAAGCGTATATGCGATGTCGGGGGGTGGGTCCGGCGGTTCAGATGAATAGAAAGAAAGAGATCTCTCCGAGATGATAAATCTCATAAAATACTACATTCAAAATGCGAAATGCACCAGCAAAGTTATCACAAAGAAGTGAAGGGTGGAAATCTTCTCGCATGTTGAAATCCGTTAAAAACGCATATTACAAGTAAGTTTGGGGAAGAATAGTATTAAATTCGTATCCGAAAACTAATCTTTTCTTCTCTTTATGTATAGATATCGATTCAAGGAAAGAGAAATTGAGGGGAAAAGAATTAGGGAACGATCTCGCCCTCGCCTGCGAGGATTCTTCCCCAAGAACACCTCACGCGGAAAACAGATAAAAATATGAACATTGATGTACATCCTCGGAAATTTTTGTCGTTGAATTCAAAACACAGCTCGGGTATCTAGTAGACATTGAAGAATGGCATTGCCCACTCACTTGCTCACCGTAAAGTTGGCGAGAAAGATGTGCTCGCTAGCCCCGCTGAAGGTCGTTAAGTTTAGAACTCTTCCCCGATTGGTTCGTCGCACGTTTTACCTATGGACATATGGATTTATCGTATATTATATGTATTTTGGGAGGAGCCGCGATGACCAAGCTAGACCTGGCCGTCATTAAAATAGGGTCCGGAAAACTTGACGAGAAAAACACCCTCGGGAATGTCATCTACAATGGAGACAGGTGGTCCACAGGCGATGAAATAAAGAGTAGAGAACTTTAGATATGGAGGTTGGTTAACCCTTACTTGCTTATATACCTACTATGTATGTATGTATGTATGTATAGCATGTTTCCATGGCGGCTTGAGACGTGCTAGGCGCATGATTTTTCTTCAGCTGAAAGCTAGATATATATTCCATTCTTGTTCATATATAAATATATAAATTATTAACCATACATAATATAATTAACCATTATAAAAAGTAGAATAAAGGGAAAGAAAAGCTTTGAATGAAGGTTGCATGCACATGTGCAATTGGCAAGGGAATGATATGATGATTATTGTTACACCGGATGTGAGTGAACGAGTGAATAAAGAAAACAAAAACAACTAAAGCATGAAGAATTAACTTTCGTTCTAGTATATAATAGAAAAAGGAAAAGGGAAGGAACGGGGACTTTCGTTGCAAATTTTTGTGGGAAATGATATGATATGGGATAAGTAAAGGAAAGGAAACGAATGATTATGGTAGTAGACAGATGTATGTATATGATATGATATGATATGATATGATACGATAAAGAAAAGTAATGATGATATATATAACGAAGAAAAAAAACACCCCCCAAAAAAAGAAAAATCCCTTAACACAGCCGTATAAAAACTCCGGGTATCGATGCCAGAAATAATAATAATAATAATAAAAACAAAACAGAGGATGAGGAGGGGAAAAAATCGCGAGATTTCTTGGGATGGTAAAGATGTTCGAGCGTAGAAAAGAAGTAACTGTGAGAAACAAAGGAGAGAAAAAAGAAGAATATGTAAAGAGTAGACAGACGTTAATACACACCCCGCCCTTTTTCTTTTTTCTTTTTGGAACAAAAAATGAGGGGAAGAAAGAGGACGGAAAGGAGAAGAAAAATGGTTATATAAAACGAACGATGGTTTTTTCCCGCTAATACTGACAGACAGACAGATAGACAGACAGACAGAGAAACGAGAATGATAAGAGCGCCGGATGGTAATGGGTAAGTCACGAGAAAAACAGAGACAAAGACAGAAGCAAAGGCCTTCTTCGTTTTATAAATAATCGGAAGGGAATGGCGACCCGAATGAGAAAGAAAAAAAAAACGCACAAAAGCAGGGTTACAAGTACAAACCAATGAAGTATAGAAAAGAGGAGTAATGATAACACAGAGAAAAAAGTAGCGAGCTTGCGCACTTTTTGGCAGTGGAGAGTGTGTATATTTATGGATGTTGCCTTGTTGGGTCCCGCCGTGGTGGAGAGTGGTATATATATATGTACGTTCTTTTTTTTATATTTGTGGAGTTTCGTTTTGCGAATGCCTTCATGGTATTGGAAAGATGGGTGTCGTGATAGTAGTGGTGGTTGTGTGTTTAAGGAATTTCTAATCCTCGTAGATGGTTTCGAGGTCGAAATCCGATCTTCTTTCAGCTCCACAGACACTCCACCTTTGTCGTCGCTTGCTCTCTCGGAGGGACATGTTGTTCATGGAAGAGGTAACCAATGAAAGACCAAGCCCAATCGTATCGTCTTCCTTGTCCTTTTCTTCTTTTTCCGCTGCATCACGTTGTTGTCGCTCTTCCTCCTCTTCAAGGATAGCAAGAAGCTCGCCGTCCGGAGAGTCTTCGATTGTTTCAAGACTGTATGTTGTTAAAGATGGAGAGCAGCTGCGGGAAGAAGTCGGACTGGAAGCATTGCTGGTCAGGGATGGAGGGTAGCTAGACAGCTGACTGTTGACTCCTGGGAACACTTCGGTTGCAAGGTATGCCGGTGGCGCCTTTGGAGGAGTTGGAGGCGGCGGCGTGGCTGTTCTCAAAAAGGACGGTCTCTTGGCAAAGGGAGGTAGGTTGAGAGGGGTAGACGGGAAAGTTGGAACAAAGGAGTTCCTATAAGTCGGACTGGCAGGAGTTGTCGTCCATTTTGGAGATGCAGGCGGAGGACCCTGGGACTTTGTCCGATTTGGCAAGGGGAGACTGTGTGCTCGGATCATCGAGGGAGGAGGAGAGACCGAGGAAGAGGATTTGGAGCGGATATGGGATCTTCTCCAGGAAGGTGTCGATGAGGTTGAGGCTAGAGCTGAAGATATGTCGGATGATGAAGTAGCAGCCGTTGTTCGTGTCTTCTGCACAGTTAAGGACGGCGAGCTTGACGATGGAGACGGCGAACGGGAGGCAGAGGGAGTCGAAGGCATCGACGAGGAAGGGACCGGAGCGGACATGGTGAGGTTTAAGGACGATGGAGGAGATGATGGATGGAGATGAGGTTGGACGGGCCCCTTGCTGTCTTTGTGGTGGTCCTTGGATAGCCGGCAGGCTGCGTTGGTTGGGAGGTTTAAGAATGAGTCCAGTCGGGTCTGGGCCGACTGACTAACTACTAATCACCAACTGACTCTTACAGAACACCAGGCAACCTCGAGATATCAGAATTTCCCCCCACGGGAAACAAATAAAATCCTATGAGTTCTGAATCCCTTGTGTATCCGTTCACACACGGACGATTCACTATTCTCGCCCGGATCCACTCGTTATTCCACGCCTGTGCCTGCCTTTCGTCCTGCTTTTGCTTCTTTCCCCGGATTTCTCGATTCGAATGTCAAGGAACGCCCGTTTGTCGAATACGCACACAAATACACACACACACGGCTTGACTAAAAAAATAAAAAAGAAGTTCTGCCGCTGCAATCGGAGAATTTGTCGAAAATGCAAGCCGATAAGGTCGCTTTCCTTTGAAGTTCCTAAAGCGGGGGGTCTACCTCGGATCGAAACTCCTGTCCTGTTTCCTGAAGGCTACAAGCAAACCACTTAGGTAAAAACAAAAAGACAGTGACACGGCACAGATTCTTTGATCGAAAAGAGAACAAAAAATATGTGGTGAAAATGCCTTCTTGTTCCTTTTGGGGGAAGAAAAGAATAAGTATCGAATCCGTCAAAGCAGGAACCGAAAACCAGAGGAGAGAGAAGAGAAGAGAAGAGGAAGAAGAGAAAAGACGGGTTGGGAAAAATGTCTTGGGAGGTTTGTGACTAGGGTGAACAGGGCATGTGCGTCCTCTGCATGCACGCCAGGATCTAACTGCAGTTACTCGTCCAGTCTCTTGTTTGCTCGCCCTCGAACGAGACCTATTGATATGGTTATCTGGGGAAAAGATTGCGTGAGTCCAGTCGGGTCCGACCGAATGTCGAATCCACTTCTTTCTCCTCCTTCAGGGGAATCGATACTGCAAACAGCAAGGTCGGGTTCTTATTGGAACAGTAATCGATCCCGTCCGTCGCCAAAATATTCCAAGGTTAAAAAGCCCGTTTTTCTCGTTTGTCGGTAAAAAAAAAGAGGAGAACAAAAGGATGTGACAAAAAAGATGACTGCTACCGTTGATCGAAGGGAACTCCGAAGTGGATATATACTACTCGACTACGGGGGGGCCGACCAGGAAAGAGAAAAAAAGACGAATGGATCTGAATGAATAGCCGAATTGGTAATCGAAAATTGAAAGCTTTTGTTTGTTGGTGACTGAAAATCAGAATGGCTGACCGGAACCTACGAGAATTGGAAAAAGGTAGTGGTGAATTAAAAATGGTTTAATAGGAAGTGTGAATTCAACAGACATCATGGGATCTTTTTAGGAGTCCAGAAAGCGAGAGGGGTCCAGTCATATATATGTATGGACCATGGGGCACCGGATTGGATTGGCATCTCAAAGCCAGAAAAGCAATTCAGCCTTCGAAACAATAAGCCAAGGCCGACAGCCCTTTCCCAAAGATTATTACTTCCTCGCTATTATGATTCCTCTGCATACATACGCATACATCACTGCGATATAGAACCCGAAGAAATAAGAAATATAAAAAAGCATCAGCGTCGGCTACCCACGAGGTGGTAGGTTTAAACTCTTTTGTTGGCTGTCTTTCCTTTTCTTTCACAGCGGCGAGTCTCAGACAGGTCCAACCTTCGCACGCCTCAGGACGAGACATGCCTCATCTTTCCCTTCTCTTTCGCTGGTATGTATGGGGATTTCGATTTTGAGCCATTAAAAACCCTCCCAAGGTCAGCCCCCCGGAACGGGGAAACCGGTTAGCAGACAAAAAAACCCAACCATCTTCAGTTTTTCCCTGAATACAACCTGGTTAGGTTTTTTTTCCTTTCCATTCAACCAGCTTTCCTCGCTCTTTGGAGAGAAGAGAAAGACGCCGAATCCCTGCTAGATCTACTATGTATGGGGAATAACCACAAGTGCCACCGGCGGATTCGGAACCGTTCTGGGAATAGTTCTGAGAATCTTCTTTCAACGTGGAACCAAAAGGGCTGTGCACCGCCATATATACCTATTATATGCTCCATAAAAAGGAACCGTGAACTGTCGGCTTATGATAACATCCGTTCCCAGCTGTGTAGCGCATCATCATGCGGCGAGCGAATCGTTACATCCCAATCGCTAAAACACCAAAAAAAAGTCAGAAAAATAAGTAACGTAATCATGCAGCAGGGGAACCAAACTTCCTCCAAGAAACGAAAAAGACCAAGGTCTTGGTCTATGAACTCTACAAGCCAAAAGTTTAGGCCACGACAATAACCCAGTAGCCGCCCTCTCAGGTTCCATATCGCACCGGCTAACCACCATACAAAAATACAATAACAATGCTTCGTTGTTCCATTGCAAAATATAGCATCACGAGGGAAGGGGTTAACTAGCAGTCCTCTCAACGATCTGTTCTGTTATGTAAATCGGACCCCATCGTCAGGATCAGGTTCTGGACAACCATCAGGCAGCCGCGGCCCTAGCTAACCAACATTTATTATCCCCGGAACATCCTGTTTTCAAAAAAATCCAGACGGAAAATTTACGAACAAGAAAAAAGAAGATCCCGCCACACTCACTCAAAACCACCCTATTCCCTGGGTTTTTCGATCGAAAGGAAAGGAACTTGTTTTTGGTTCCCAACAGACGGGATAAGCTTGTTCCTCCCCCTGCGCCAGTGAAAACGTGGGAATGCTGGCTGGCCTTTTATGATTGAATTAGGAAATATAATGAGAAAAAAAAGCGAGGGGAGTCCAAAAAAAAGGAAACCTACCAAACCACAGGAACATGAAACAATCACCCCAGCCGTCGGGCGCCAGGAATTTGTTTTTTGGGGTTTGGTGTGGACACGCGTGTACTTCAAAGTTTCCGAAGAGTCTACGAAATCTAAGACGAATCATAGATTCACCTTTCGAGAGTTTGGGACATCGGTCGGCCGCGTGGAAGTCAGACTTCTCGAGCCGAATAATTCAAAAAGTCAATCGTAGACGTTCGACTTCAATAATTAAAGGAAACATTTAACGAGAAAAGCAAGGTCAGAAATAAAAAAGCTTATCGAAGTTACCCTACATTCTACATAATCCAAGAACATGCCAATACCAACATACCCATTGTATCAAGTCCTCTTCTTTCTTCCCCCTTCTTCAAGATTCTATTTCAGAAAGTAGCTACTTTGTAACTCCAGTATCTGCAAAAAGTAGGAGCCAGGGGGAAGATCAAAATGCGGCGGACATCATTTCCACCGGTGGCGCAGAATTCAGCGAAGAAAAGCAAAATACATAGTTAGGCATATTTTTTGGTCCCTGTGTGGCTGCATGTTCCATGCATCAGGTTCGACGTTCCCGCTCAAACCTTGGTATCAACTCTGCAGCTTTCCGTTGGAAGAAGGAGATGTGGTTTTTTTTTTTTTTTTTTTCCCTTCTCCTTCCCATTGACTGAGTCTACAGCATCATCGTTTTCGGAAGACGGGAAAGAAGGCTAGCGAACTTTTTTTTCATGCAAACGACGCGAACGTCAGGAATCAACTAGACTTCATGCGGCCGAACGCGACTCAAGAAAAAGAACAGGCGGGTAAGCACCAACGAGGGTTCCTAAAACCCCGAACGGCGTTTGTTCTTTTAGGAATCCGTGCGCTTTGCGAATCGGATTGAATTGAAGGGGATGATGAAAGCCTGGCCCCCGAAAATAAACCAACAATAAAATCATATTAATAGTAACAATTTATAGGAACAAATTTATACACTCAAAAGTCGCAATACCCTTGATGTTAATGCTCCCAGGGATGCATAATAGATAGGGGACTTGACTCATGAACGTCTCTTCGTTTCCGTTCCTTTTTGGCAATCCTATCGATCTGGCATGTCCGCAATCTTAAAAATGTTGAAGATAGATATAGTACCACGACGCAGAAATAGGGGAGGTTATGTATAGGGGGATATGAACCCCATGTAAAAGCTACATAACCCCAGCGATCTCGTAAGGGTACATAGATCTTGAAAAGACCCAAAAAGGGGGAAGTCGGTTTAACCCAGATCGCATTTTTGCTTTATCATACCAGGTTCTGATGTCCCCTGCCAAGCCAAGGGTTTTCCGTTCCCGCCTCTAAAATTAAGTACCATTTTTAGAGGGGTCTCGATGATACATGTAGAAAGGGGATGTGGGGTGTTTTCTAGAAGCCTTCCTGAATTGTTTAAACACTTCCCCTTGCCTTCCATCGATCTCCAGCCGGAGAGAATCAGGGTGGACATGGTGTGTGTGTCGGATATAGATGGGAAAAAAACTTTGGTAAGGTATCAGATTGGTTAATATGTTTTGTTCCTTACATTCATTTTGGAAGATTCGATTTTGGTGGGAAGTTTTGTTTGTTCGTTTGTTTGTTGAAGGGTTACATTCGAAGTCACTTTCTGCCCTACGGCTTCTCTGCTGCAGCACGCGCACGGTACGGTGTATATGTGTACACATATGTACGTCTATAGAGGCGCAGACGGCCCGAAGAGGCGGCGAAATGGACGGGATTTTTCTTTTCTTTCGTTCTTATACACTCAATTATGTAAGGCTATGTAATATAATCCTGCAGGATGTATTTTCTTTATATCTGCACTTTTGTATACATGCATTCTCGTCTGGTGAATTTATTCTGATAAGGCTGTGTAAAAGTTCAGTATTCATGAGATAATCAAACCTCTGTCAGCTTACCTCCTCGACCTGCATAAAAAAAAACCCCTTCGATACTAATTTGACAGACTTGCATGTAAAGAATATGTAAAAAACCCCAGGTTGAACGGGAGGGAAAGCAAGTGCGGGCCGTCGTATCTAGTACCCAGGTTATGTATGCAAGTACTTAACTACTTGCTTCACACACCCTGTTTGTTAGTTGCTTAGGACAGGGAGAAGGATAAAAATACAACATGGTTAACACATAACTTTACCCCGGTATGTTTATGGTATTAAAAAACAAAACAAAATTATGTACAAGTGAGGGGAACATGAGGGGGAATTATGGAGTACAAGTAGGATATAAGGGGTAGGAGAATGGGTAGTAGAATGATAGTTAACGGGTAGTAGATGGGTAACAGATGGGTGGTAATGATGGTAGTATGGGGGTACTAATTGTAGGGCAGCAGCAATAGTAGTAAAATATTGGTAGCAATAGGGAAGACTGAGCATTAGTAATGAAGAAATGACTGAGTAGAGTAATGGTGGCCGTAGCAATGTAGTCGGGTAGTCGAGTAAGTATTGCGCACTCGATTAGCCCGCTGCCATTGTGGTTGTGGACAGCGATCAACGTGGATATCGGTTGTCAAGTGAGGATTGTGTATCGATCGATTTAGCAACATAAAAACAAATAAGAAAGAAATATAATAAAAAGGTAAAAGGAGAGCGGGGGCGTGCAGTTCGGTCTCGCAGTTTGCGGCGGATACGCGGCTTATTCTTGTCACCCTCGGCGGGGGTTACCTTCGGACACAGGCAACCTCAACGTTTCAAACTGATGACCTTCTTGACGAAGTCCAAGCATAGATTCCCACTCGTGCACCGTTATCGACCGGCAGGACCTAAGGTTCGGGAAGTGAGACAAAAATTTCACTATCGACCGCCCAGCGCGTATGATTCTATCGTTCTCCTTGATGGAGAAACCGCAAACCCTAATATTCAGGACTATTATTCAACTTCCTGAGAAGATGGAAGATGATACTATTCCATAGATCCATTCTTTCATCAAGGTAGCCAACGCCGCAGGCAAATTCGACACTCTCAACGTTGACGGCAGCACGAAAGAAATCAATCAACGTCTTGGAATAAGTATATTCATCCTGCTCCAATCTCCGAGCCTTCTCCCTTGAGTGCATCACTTTCCAGGGAAATTAGTTTGTGTTGTCGATGATGAGAGATCCTGGAAGAGCCCCTGCTTCATAGAATCCAAGTTTTCGATAAACCTGAGCCCTGTCATCATCGGTCCTTGGTTCATGTGTGGGATTGTATGGAAAACGGGAATGGTCAAAGGATCATGGGAACTTTCCGATCTTAGAGAAAATGACTATGCACAACAACCAAACAACATGACGGGTATCAGCAAAGGGATTCTCCCCACGCTAAACCAACAAGGGAAGCATTCATGCAAATGCGGGGAGCTGCATTTTTTTTTTTTAACATCCATCTGTCCATCCTTCGGAACGGTTGTATCCATAACTGATATTTAGTTGTTTGAAGGGCGGCTGCGTCGCAACAACGTTGACCTGTCGACTGGCCAAGCGGAGATTGGCAAGATCCTTGCGAGGAACTGCACGAAGCACGCGAAGAAGAACACCTTCAGGGACTGGCAAAGGCATTTTCGAGAAGGGGTACACAAAGATAGTGTTTATCATGATGAGGTAGTGATGGGCATTGATGGGGTCAATGAGGAGATGGAGATGGAGACGGAGATGGAGATGGAGATGGAGATGGAGATGGAGATGGAGATGGAGATGGAGATGGAGATGGAAGGGGTGAGAGGAAGAGGGGAGGGAGGTGCTCTCTCTAGCATCAGGGTGACCTCTTGTTTTCAACGGGGGTACACGAACACCAGCTTTGTGACGGATTATACCACCTATGACGCGGAGACTGCGGTATCTGGGTGTAAAACAATTTACTAGTACATAGCATGCAGGACCCATGCTGGGAGAAATATAATTCTCTACTCTCAGATTGCAAGTTTATATCTTGAGATTAATCTATGGAGGTTCAATCAGGTCATAGCCCTCAAATTTGCAACTAGAGGGCTGATTGTGGGAAAGACACTCCTAGGATGGCTTGAAGCCCATTGCGGGGATTGGAATTTACGTCTACTGGCTGTGGGATGACATTGTTAGATTTCCACACAAGTTGGGGAACGGGGAATATAATCACCACCCTCAAAATCATTGGATAAGTTCGATTTCTTTATTCTAACGGTCTATCAATGTTGCATTTTGGAGTAGTATGCGCTCTAGGTTTGACTCGGCTAGGCTATTCGAGGCTGGGCTGGGTGGTTTTGGGGGCGGGTTCTGTAGGATCAATCGCTGGGATATCTCTATGTGCCATGGGCAAACTTCGGGCTTCGAAGATATAAAAAGAACTAACAGGCTCGTGTTTTGATATAAACCTTGAGGTCTATACTAATTCTAAACTTGGGTTTGTATTTCTATTTAGGACGTTGAAAAATGAACAAATCTGACTACCTCTAGGACGAAGCTACTTTTCAAGGTACTCTATATTGCTATCCCACTTCTACAGGTTAATAAAAACTAGCATACGAATACGAGGGTGTATAAATACTTCACTAAAGTAGCTTGTATTATTCCTTAGCATCGAATCCAATATATACTTCCTGCTGAGATTATAATGAGTTGCAATGTTGTATTTGTATTATCCCGTTTAGGTTAAGCGAGAGTATCTTGAGCCTCGGCCGAGAATGCTTCATCGTGTGTAACATGCTGTTTTGCTCCACTTTCATGCAGACTTTTGACCTAATTGGCTTGGGGATTAGATTTATAAATTTATAGATGTGAAGGGACTCATAGAAGGTCTAGATATGAAATATGAAATCAAGCACTTAGAAGAAAGATATTGCTGAAAATCTGTATTCTGATACTCTCTGCTATTTTGACATTTTAGGGATATCCAACCCGGTAGGCCTTGGAAGCTCGAAGCTCTGCCACACTATTCTCTAATAACCTCATCGTCAACTTCAACGACCACTCTTTACCCCGTGGTAAAGTCGCTTTCCCAACTTCCTCTCTCAAGTGGCGAATACCCATTCGTGTCTGCGACAAAGCAAGTTTAGTCGCATCCACAATCTGCAACCCTTCCATCGAAGACTTATAAACCACCGCAAAAAGCTCAGACTTCCTATCCAAATCCTCCATCTTCTGTTTATACGGCTGCGACCCGATCAACTCCTTCCAAAACGACTTTTCTGTCATCTTGGTCTCTTCGAATGTATCACGTCCCATATTCAATGCATTAGCAATAGAATCTAACTTCCTTTCAAACTCCATGAGATGCTTTCCTAACTCTACGTATCTATCATAGACACTGCCGGCCAGATCTTCCATCTTGACGGCGTAATTGTCAAACGCTCTTTCTAATTCCATCTCTGCGAAAGATTTTTCGTAGGGCCACCATCTTCGGTAGTAGATTAGGGATGTGAGAGCAGATGAGTTTTTGGAGTCGATTCTGCGAAGGGCGGCGTTGGTCCAGGAGGTGTAGGTTATTGCGTCGTCTATTAGGCTATGGGTTTTTGAACTGCAGTCGTGCATGCCATCTATGACGGCGTCGAGGAGGTGGTTGTATTCTGGGATTAGGGAATAGAGGTTTGCCCTTTTATTTACAAAAAAGAATATGTGTTAGAGCCAAGGAATCGGGGATCTGGGAGGGGGGTATAACACTTACATTGAAGATACATCTGCAGTCCCAACCGTTAACTCCATCAATATTTTTCGAAATTCATGTCTCGTGCCGCTGATTTTCGACGGGAGACTATCTGATTTTGAGGAAACCTTTTGGAGGTCTCCGAACGACGAACTTTGATATACTGCACGTGCGAAGAAAGGATCCGGCGCTGGGATTCCAGACCATGTTGAAGTTGAACATGGTGATAAGATAGCTAGAGAATCTGGAGTATATGGATCGAAGAATCCACAGGTTGAGTCTGGAAAGATCAGTGCTATGAGGTGGAAAGGGATGATTCCTCCGATTAATAGCGCTAGGAAAAGTATTATGGAGTATTTTGTGATTTTGTAAATTAGAGTTGATGTGATTTTTATGATCTCTGTGATTTCATTTTTGAGAATGGTTTGGAAATTCTGGAGAATGGCGGAGTATTGAAGTTTATAGAATGGCCGTTTGGAGGATGGTTCTTGGGTGGTGGACTTTGTATCTGGATAGTCTTCTGGTACTGTGTCGTTTGTGATGTTTTGAAATTGGACTGGGATCTTTTCTGTTGTATTGGGTTCGGAGTCGCTGGGAGGTGTACATTCTCTTTGAGATCTGATATTGGTGATATCTTCGCGTTTGGCGTCGATACCATCGCCGTCACCACCGTATTTAAACACCGGTTGTTCATACAGTTTATCATATTCTGGATAGAATAATCCAACCGCTTCGGTACGGTTATCCGGAACATCGGCGGTAGCGTTTTCTAGAGAGCTGGCGGGGAAAGATATATAGTTAGACCAGTTAGGACTTTGGTATTGTGGTTATAAAACGGTTCGGGGTAGTCTAGGAACGAGACTAGTTCGGGGGTTGATATACGTACCTCTGGTGATTGGCGGGTGGAACTTCACGCTTCATTTTGATATTGATAGGGGATCCCCGCATTCGATCTTAATTGATTTCTGAAAGGCTGAAAGATGTAGTAAGGATTTGGATGTGTTTCATATCCTTCAATCGCGGCCGGGAATAAGGCTATGCTTATATCAAATCACTTCTCGAGCAGGCTGTTGAATTTCAGCTGTTAGCTGTTGATTGATTGAGATGCAGGCCAGGCTGTGTTGTTTTTGTTGGTGTAGTTCTGGCTAGCTAGCTTCGGCCAGCACACGCGATGGCTACTAGCTACTACCTATATGTATCGATGCGATGAGGCTGAGCTGAGTATCGATCTTTGATAGTATATTATTAATTTAAATAGCCACAAGACTACTGTCGACGCCTGAATACTTAGGTATGTTGATATTGTACTACTGGAGACGTGGCATTGTAGGTACAAAGTGTCGCGTCGGCGTTGTTGCAGGTTGAGGATTAAGGCATCAAGACCAGCGCTACTACAATCATGCATGCATGCATCAAGCAATCAGCGGAATAAGCCTCGCCGCATGCATTGCATTGGAGGGGTTAACCCTTCCAGTTTTACACTGACCCCGAGACCAAATAATCTCCATCACTGTAGTCTAGTGCAGTCTCCAATTCAAGATACATCTATCGCTCACTAGATTTCTTCAGGACTTAATCTGTTTGTTCTGCGAGGAGTGGCAATGCATGTCGCTGTGTTATAGGCGGGTAGCGGTGTCACGAAAACGCTTCTTGATATATTACAAGCCGGTTAGTATATAAAATGATTTAGCTACTAGTAGTCAGTGCCTAGGTAAGTGGTTAACGGCTGTTAGCTTTCTAAAAGACATTTCAGATATTCAATTGACCGCGGTGTCGATACCTCGTGGAAATCACGAGTTCGATCTGGAAGCACCCGGTTTACACAGCATGACATCATCGTATAGTAACTACAGACTTTTTCGCCCACTCCCCGATTTCCATCATAATTATAAACTCTTTGGATATCTCCACCGACTCGGGGCGAAACGTTCACGATGTTTTCAAATCCAGGCGAAACCTTAAATAGCAATTTCGATAAGACTCCCGTGCCGAATCCACTTCGAGTCGTCCACAACCTTCACTAATATGCGTGGTACCTTTTTGTTCTTCTCTCTTTAGCTAACTTTCGGCCCTTTCCCCAGATTTTCGTTTCCGGCGATCAATTGGCGCCGTTGAAGTTCTGTACGTTCTAATACATTTACCGACATGCACAATCTCTCCCTTTTTTTTGCCTCCAGAGATTTCATGTATGCATGGAACCGTGAAACTTTGAGGTTGATATCGTAGGCCAAGAGTAATTTCTCATCAAAAGTTTCACGGCTTCCCAAAAATTATACTATCCAGGCCTTTTTGTCTCGGTTTCGATTGCTTTGTTATCTTTTCTACTACCTGTCCATGTCCGCGATATTGGGTAGTTTGCCGTCACACTAGAAACGGGAAACCAGCCGTGTACGAGGAATGCAATGCAGTCGGTTCACTAGTACTCCCAAAACCAAAGTATCACTGACGGACGCTCGAGCGCAAAGTCCTCGCTGCGACGTCGCATACGCAAAAAAACAAATACCGCTTTGAACAAACTACAAACATTCTGCTTTTCTAATCTTCGGCTGTTGATTTTGCAGAATGATTGTCAGATGACAAGGCAACGAAGATAACGAGCCAAGACGCCCGCTATTCGGGTATCGAGTTCGGGACTGATACCGACCGCTTAAGTATGTGATTAAGCATACTAGGCATCCCTTGGGATGTTTCTCGGTCGAAGAATCATTCGATCCTTGGGCAGCTAAGGCTTTCCTTAGCACATCTGTACCCCGCATACCCCAGAAATTCTTGTTTTTAGCGGGCCATCTTGGCCCACGATGTGCAACACCATTTCCTTTCATCGATATCCAACAGTGGGTCCGCCGGATACGGGTTTTTTCTTTTCTTTCTCTCTTTTGGTAATGAAATAACCCTGAATATCGTCATTCGAAGGACTTTGATAAGAAATAAATCCCCTAGCGTGGAGGGTGGAGCTCGTGCCGAAGGCAACTGAACACTTCCCTTCTGATTGCTGGCTTGCAAGCCTACATAGTCCTGAAAGGATAATCGGGAGTCGGAATATGCAAGATGGAGAAGAAAACAAACAAAAAAAGATGACAAGGCAAGGAAGTCTCGCCGAAAATTCTTCCATTGACTATGAATCCTGGTTTCGAATTTCGGAGCGAGAGGAGGGAGGATGATACATGAAGGTGTAACCATAGAGTTACGGTCGACTCATGCATGTCGTCTGATTATTTTAACTTAAGGTGTGGATTGCGAACCGCTGCTGCCTTTTATGCGAGGACATGGTATATACTTGCTACCGAGTCGCATGTGGTTTTGTCGTACCTTTCCGTCAGCCCAGTTATTCGCGTATGATGGGGGATTCCACTATACCCACAGGGGTTTATGATAAAGTGATGCCGTCGAATATTGGGCACAACGATAGGAAATGATCGTGGTAGGAATGATAAATTCCCAAAAACCTGATTTTTTCATTATTTTTATAGCCAATGTCCTGTCGCTCTACCCTTCAAGGTGTGAAGATACTCGGATGCTTCGTGAGTACTTAAAGGTTCGCCAAGAGCTATAGCTCCAGATTAAGATGTCCGTGAGCTTCAAGCTTCATTGTGGTGCATTTGCAAGCTCAAGCTAACCACGACAAACTAGGATAGCCGCTTATCGTACGATAAAAACGCTACACCACCAATCGCCATGATCATAAAACAAGAAGGAAAAAAGAAAAGAAACAAAAGAGTGAACAAGGAAAGGGTCTATGAGGTACGAATCGTGAAAGAAGATGGAGGTCCGACAGAAGTTTTTGGCGGGTGTGGAAGACATTCCGAGTTTTGTTTTTGTAGTCAGTTGGGATCGGCACGTAATGCTGGATGATCGGTATGTCCGCTACCGCTCTTGGACGACATGCACAGGCATGCCTGACATCAAAGTTCACCAGAGCGGCCTTTTTTCTTTCTCGGATTCTACCCAAGGCTTTAACGAGGTGCGTGGGCTTGCTGTATTTAAAAGGGAGCAAAAGGGATGCCCTTCGCAATTGTTCGCAATCGATCTTTTCGAGTATATGGAAAATCTTCAATCGATGACTACTGCCATGCGTCATTGAGGATTTTGATTTTTGTTCAACCATATATATCATTTCTTACCTTTCCAGCATTATCCTCGAGGACGTTTGTTGGGTTTTTTATATTTATTTTCACTGGGGATTTGGTAATTCGATCTCCGGGCTTACGATAACACACACGGAATAATAATTATGTCGAATGATATCGACTACGAGAAGCCGAGTGCGAGTCGGTATGCATATTACTTCCCATATCCTTGAGCTATATCGATTGGCATTTCCAATATTTCTTCTTTTTTTAAAAAAACTAACTAAGAGGTTTTCACAATATCTAGTGAGGATGACTCCAAGGATTACGAAAGAGACGGCGCAGCCGATAGTGTCAATTTGAATCAAAACGTCGAAGCAAAGTAAGTTTTGGCTTCTTGGCTCATCACAGACAAAAAAGAGCTTGTCCCTTAACTTCTCCCCGCATGACTCGTGTATCCGTCATTTCTCTCAGATACCCCTCAAAGGTTCTTCCTTTACCGCGACGGATTCTTACCTACGTCATTGGATCGAAGAGAGGGGTTCAATGGTTGTTATCTCTACGTCGCACAAAGAAATCTAAAGGGGAGTGATATAAGGGTATTCTAATATAACATTGTGCGTAACTTCAGAATCAAGAATCCCCTCGCTGGACTTTCCCGGGAAGCTCTCTTTGCAGACGTCGACAGATTCGCCACAGAAAATGATCTCGAAGATATCAAAGATGATTTACGAAAGGGTGCTCTAGTCGCCCAGGATCCTGGGAATTATGAACAACTTGTGGAACTAGATGATGTGGAGAGACAGGTTCTGAAGGATGAGGCGGAGCATATCTATAAACAGCCTATGTCGCTGTATATCTCCATCATCGTTTGTAAGACTTCATTCCTGATAGTTGAAATTCAAATGGGCAACTTGGCTGATAATAATATGTTTGAGGATAGGTTCCATTGGTGCAGCCGTACAGTATGTACCAAATCCTAGTTCATTATAATAGGCGTAGTTCGAAATATAGCTGACGAAATCGGATAGAGGATGGGATCAGACTGGATCCAACGGCGCCAATCTTTCGTTCCCGAAGGAGTTCGGTATCTGGGTTGATCCAGATAACCCGTCGCCCGACGACGATAAAAATCAATGGATTCTGGGTCTCGTAAACTCTGCGCCGTATATCGGCAGCGCTTTCATGTTAGTCATATCTAGCCACGTCAAGAGTTTGATTGATTGCTAATGAGAATGTCGTTTTTAGTGGTTGTTGGCTTTCCGATCCTCTAAATAACTTATTCGGACGTCGTGGGACTATTTTCTTCTCAGCAAACTTTTGTCTTTGGCCTGCCATTGGTTCTGGGTTTACGAAAAACTGGTATGAACTGTTCATTTGTCGTATTCTTCTCGGTATTGGGATGGGATCGAAGGGCTCTACGGTCCCTGTCTTTGCTGCTGAGAATTCACCGGCTGCTATTCGTGGTTCTTTGGTTATGACGTAAGTTGGCCTTTTTTAAACTTATTGACCTATCTTCATATACTAATATATGAGATTAGATGGGTGTGTTTATTTTTCTATCTCTAGGTTGACGGAGATCGCGAAACTAACGAATCGAGTAGCAATTATGGACGGCATTTGGTATTTTCCTGTACGCTTCATAGTCGCCAGATGTATACGGGAATCTTGCTGACGGGAATTTCTAGGGGAACTTGCGCCAATTTAGCGGTCGTGGATACTGGCAAGATTGCATGGCGTCTACAACTCGGCTCTGCGTTCATCCCAGCCGTTCCATTACTTCTCGGTATCTACTTCTGTCCTGGTAAGAAGACTCCTCGAAAACTTTTACGGGCTATATGTTCAATTGTCACCATCTAACACCTATTGCAGAATCGCCGCGTTGGTATATTAAGAAGAGACGCTATAAAGAAGCTTTCAAGAGTCTTCTCCGACTTCGAAACCATCGTATTCAAGCTGCTCGCGATCTATACTACATCAATGCTCAAATTAGTGTCGAACACAAGGTTATGGGACAATCCACTTATCTTTCCAGATTCATTGACCTCTTCAGAGTTCCACGTATTAGACGTGCGACTTTGGCAGCTGGTATTGTCATGTTGGCGCAGCAAATGTGCGGCAGTAAGTAGTTCGAACGTTCATAAATATCCAGACTACATCGCAGCTTGGTAGCTTGCAAACTGTGTGACTAACTTTGCTATTTAGTTAACATCATGGCATTCTATTCATCTTCTATCTTTGAGGCTGCCGGTGCATCCCCGAAAGAGTCGTTGATTGCTTCCATGGGCTTTGGGTTGATTAATTTCTTGTTCGCATGGCCTGCCGTGTTTACAATCGATACTTATGGACGTCGGTCCCTTCTGTTGTTTACATTCCCACAGATGGCTTGGACGTTGCTAGCCGCTGGGTAAGGGATATCTTGATAGATAATTCATGGACTCTGGCTAACGAATTTGTTTTTGTTAGTTTCTGCTTCTATATCCCAGAATCGAGTACAGCGCACATCGCCCTCATAGCTTTGTTCGTCTACATCTTTACAGCATTTTACTCGGCAGGAGAAGGTCCCGTTCCCTTCGCATACTCCGCTGAAGTCTTTCCACTCTCTCACAGAGGTAAGGAATTATAAAAGCTCTCGTCACTGTGTATCAGATATCGTTGTGTTTGCTAATATTGATATTGGGCGCGAACAGAGGTCGGAATGTCATACGCCGTCACAGTCTGTCTATTCTTCGCCGCCGTTCTGGCAATGACTTGGCCAAGAATGTTAGGAGCAATGACCCCCACCGGTGCCTTTGGGTTCTACGCAGCATTAAACGTCGTTGCTTTCTTCCTTATCTTTTGCTTCTTACCTGAGACTAAGCAGAGAACCTTGGAGGAGTTGGATTATATCTGTAAGCTCCCCTAAAATCGACCTTGAATGTTTTTTCCTGGATGTATCAGTAAAAGCTAATTGAGGTCGTGAAAAATAAAAGTCGGTGTACCAACCCATAAATTTACGAAATACCAGTGGACCCAAGCACTACCCTATTGGATTAAAAAGAATATAATGCGAAAGAAGGATGTAGAACTTAAATCGCTTTACCAATTCGATGAATCGGTACTTTCGTCTGTGGAGCAGAGACGAAAGGAGTCGCAGGCTAGGCGGAGGTCTAGTACTACTAGTGCGGCGAGAAGGCAGTCGATGACGAAGGGTAGTGAGTTTGTGGATACTGGGAATACAGGTGTTGGAGGTAGCGGTGGTGGTACCGGTGCGGCTTGATGGATAGATTTAAGTGTGCTATATTAATTTAGGAGGAGGATTTTGCGGACTATATCATGGTAATAGCCTCGGGAACAGGCGCAGATGTGAGGGCAGCGTCATGATAAACTCCTCTTTTGCATTAAGTGTGCATGTGGTATCTGAGGGAAACGGTTTTTTTTTGATATCAATGATTGATATCTTGACGGTACCCTTCATGCATATTGTCTGTCGAGTTTTACGACATCGATCCACTTTTCGATTTATAGTCTGGCATATGGATCGATTGCGCATATTTATTTATGTATCTAGTCTTTTTTAACTTTGGGGCGTATATTTGATATACTCTCATTTCATTGTATTCATTCTGCACCACCGTCTCTTGAATGATTTGATTTCTCTCGTAAATAAACTGAGTGGAATTAAAGACAGCTCTATATATGGGATCGCAAATATTCATCTTCGATTATATCGATATCCAACGTATACGCGTAGATCTTTGAAGTACACTTGTGATGTCATTAGTCCTAGATTCACGATGTATCGATCCACTAAATGTACCTTAATGTACTCACTGATGCAGCTTAACTAAGTCAAAAAAAAGGGAAAGTTTTCAACTACCGAACGTTTGAGGCCCCGGATCTGCAGAAACTTGAAATGTGTCGGTGTGCATGCGTTAATAATGATCTACACCTTGCATTGGACATACACTTGATTTTTATTGAATTTCCCCTTTTCTTTTTGGTTTGGTGGGATGGTCTCGAGACGAGGAATTTAGTTCAATATAGCTAATACGTTGTCTCGTCGCCAGACTCCTTCAGTATAGTTAATACACACAGTTGAGGAGTCTAGCGACGAGACAAGTTGATACATACGTTTTATAACAGTAAAACTGGAGAAGGGAGAGGATTAATTGCATTGTCTTCTTCCTGTTCGCAGCTTTGGACGCTACTTTCCAACTCAGCCTTTAACCCAGCTGATATAATTTCTATACTAACAGAAGTCCCATCTCATGCCCCCAAAAACTTATCTCGTAAACGAAATTCTGCCGTGCACAACGGGGGCGTTTCCACAAAGTGATAAAAATAAAACCACCATCACTACCATCTAATATTAATAATAAGGAATTGAATACCGCGTGCAAGCTGGCCACACTTTAGTGTGTCTGAACAATGCAAGCTGGTTATTTCAAAGCCTCATCTCCGCAATATCGCTCAACGGCGTCCCAATCCATAGATCAGCATTTGGATCTAACCTACTATAATCATTCTCATCTGCTTCCGAGTCGTGGGCCCATGGTTCAATCGCATTGAAAGCATTGATATCCCATGGTTGGTCACACAGTGGGTGCTCTTGAAATGGACCGTACCAGCCTTCTTGAGAACACCAGACGTTCCTTTGGCCCTCCAGAATGATTATGAGTTGGACAGGGGCGTGGTAATTACCTGGTGAGGTTAGTAGGGTGAGATATTTGGATGTACGGTTGAAAGAGGTATTGGGGACTTACTTCTTCGACGCCACTGATAGCGGGCGGGAGGAGTTGGGTTGGTATCTTGAGCCGTTTCTGCTTCCGATGGTTCTGTTGGTTCGACCTCCTCCCATGATCCTGAATTTGAGTCCTGTTGATATGACATCGAGTCCCATAGTTTTTGTATCTGTCTGCGCATTTCCCTATGTACGGATTCTTCCCTGAAAATGCCGAGTACAACCTTCAATCTTGGGAAATCCGCGGTCCAAATATCCATAGCCTTTTCTATGAGTTTTTCAGAAGAACAGAAGTCCATTCTTAACATTTCTAGGCTTGGGGGGAACATGAAGCTGAAAAAGCATTCATCTTCAACGTCAGTTTGGAATGCGTGGATCATGGCTGTTGTACAAAACATGTGAACCTTGCGAAGACGACTGAACCCTAGGAGTGGTTCCATTATTGAGCGAGGGATCGCGAGTGGTGCAATTCGGATGGTGAGGGATTCTAGGGTATCCTGATGATTTTCCAAGAGTTTCATAATGCATTTGAAATCTCGTGCGCTAGGTGCAGCTACCGGCCCCAATGCAGGAGAACCCCACATCGCAAATAGGTTTAGATCGAAGCGACGGAGACCAGTGATTTTGTGGAGTAATGGAATAAGTTTTTCGTAGATTGATGGTATTTCGTCCATCCAGAGACGTAGATCTTGGACTTGGAATTTATCGGTATCTGGTGATGCATCGTTTCCAGGTAGCTCATAGCTGATTTCAGTTGGATACCAAGCTTCTTGCCAACCGGCTGATTGATATCCTTGGTGATATTCGTTAATATCTTGTTCAACAGTTCTAACCGAGGCGTTCCCTTGACCATTTCCACGTTGAGGTAGCCCCCATATAGACATAACTTTTTCTTCTGAGTTTAAAGACCAAACGGAGATATCATCTTCTGATTCGGACTCGAGATGTGGTTCCCATGTTTCTTCTGCATCCTCACAGAACTCTTCAATCGGTCTGATCTTTGGACGACCCCTTGTACTTCCGAATCTATAGTCAATTCCAAGAGTTGGGAGTGGTCCGAGTCGAAGGAATCTTTCCAACAGCCAGTAATCGACTGGAGCCAAATCAGTCAATCTAACCATTCCTAGTCGGTTTAGTTGGAACGGTGGTTCAAAATAGTGTAATGTCGTGAGCATGAATTTCGAACTCATGGCGTGAATAGAAGGTGCTAATTCGATTTCCTCCAAGTCCTTCAATTGAAAAAGTATGACAGTCGGTAAGATATACGTCCCATACTCATCAACCTTCGACTCCAAATACTTAAAAACTTCGTCCTCGTCATATTCTGCTCTTTGTGCCAGATATAACTTCAACTTAGCAAGCCCTTCCTCGATAAATTCATCATACTCATCTCTGAACCAGAACGATGTTTCTTTCTGAAATCGAAACGTAGCGGATCTAACATGTTGGACCAATGGCTCCGTCAATGTATAAAGAACGAGTTTTAATAACGTATCAGGAAACTGTGTTTCTTCGTCATACCAGAGGTGACGATTGGCGAGTGGATAGAAAACTTGTCGTAAATGATGACAGGTTTGTGATAGGGAATTGAGGGCTTTGGAATCTTGTCCGGGTGTGGAGTCGTGTAGATAACCTGCGATCCCTAGCATCATCTCGTAAGGAAGGAAGAGGAATGGAGAGGTCGAGAGTTCGGGTGACTGAGATTGCGGGGTGGTATCCTCCGCTGTTGCATCGGTTTCGGTTGCTGTTGGTCCTGGTTCCATGTCGTCCACGCCCATATTGTGCTAGGATCCTTGAGAACTCGTCGATAAGGTATTGAGCTATATATCTATATAGCTGATGACCTAGACTCGAAGGGATTTATTCGTACTTAGGCACTTAAGTAAGTAGGTAGTTTTAAAAATGGTGTTTTTTTTTGTGTGTGTGTGTGGGATTGCAAGAGATAGCGAGCAAGTCGACAAGCCGCCGTGTATACATGTGCATTAATGCAATGCGTCACGACAATGCACCCTGGCCTGGCCTTGCGCTTGCCTGACATTCTAGCTGTCGCGAGATACATACGATGCGATGTCACATGACTAACGGATTGTAAAATAATTTTCCATTGCTAGGGAGTCTTAAATACAGCTTGTAGTACTAACCTTTGCATGCTAAGTTAGTGTGTATTATGTAAGTACAACGAGGATCTGATGTGTACTAATCAAGGGCAATGAACCAGGGGATATGTTAATCAACGATAATAATATGAAGGTGAGTGCCTGCAACACATAATATGCAACAACTCCATAAGCCACCGTTAGAGTATGCTGGTAGCAGGCCGCGAAGAAAGAAAATGGGGAAGGGTAGGGGAAGCAAATAAAGGAGGAAGGAGTAGGGAGGGAAGGTGGAAAGAAAAACAGATAAAATGATGCATACAGGAAATCAGAAAGATAATCGCTTCGCGGTTGTAATCAATTGCCCAAAGCCTTTGTGTTGGTATTTTCCTGGATCCAGTGCATTATCTCCTTCGCATAGGCAGTCATAAAAAGTCGTACTTCTTCCTCTTCATTCCGTCCGTTCTGTCCGTCCTTGAACCTGTCTAAAAATCGGTCCTGAAGTCTGTTCTGGATCTGTTGCATCACTTGATCTTTTAACGGCGATACAAGCCTCCCTTTGCACTCTGCGGATAAATTTTCTGTGTAGCGCTTAGCTAGAACTTCCTCCCACCCCTCTTGGATGCCTCTATTATTGCGAACCATACATTCTACAAGGTCCGTTGGCAACAGGTGACATCTTTCTTCGTCACAAATAAACTCCGTGAGTGTAGAAATAGCCACGTTGCGAATTTTGAACTTCCAGTGTTGGAGGCCGTCATATCCGCCGTCTTCTACAGCAGTTTTGCCGTCATCAATGCCTCGCCACCAATTCCGCCTAGAAGGAGGACCCGCAGCCTCCCCTTGATAATGAATCACCATGGTTTTCACATTTGGGAAGTCGTAGGCGGCAAACTGGTCCCACCACGATTTGGATACCCTCTCGAGGCAGCTATAACAAACGGACTTGACATTTGAGGGAGGCGCTGGGAAAAACGACGGATCGAACAAAAAGTCGCAAACATGGAGCGATCTGAGTTTTTTGAGTCCAAAAAGTGCAGTCTGAAGAGCTTGTAGCAGTTTGGTTGACGCCGGCTGGGGTTGGTGAAGCATCTCATCTTCGACACGTGGAGTTACTGGCTTTGGTAATAACCCCAGATCTCTAAGATTCGTAGCAGCGGAGAGCAATTTCGTGAGAGCGGGTATGTCGTAAGCCTGGTTTGAGTGTTCGGTATAGTTTTTTAGCCCACCGCTGTCGGCAATCGGGTTCTTGAATGACAGATTCAAGAATGTTAAATTCGGATAGTTAAAATCGGTCAATATGTCTTTGATGGAAGAGCAAGTGTATGAGAGATCAAGGCAGAATTCGCTTTGGGCCTTCGATCTAGAGTAAGTTTTGAGCGCTTGGATGAGCCTTCCAGCTCTAGATTTTGGACTACTCGCAAGCTGAGGAAATCCGTCTCGGAAAAGATCTATATTACGAGAGGGTAAATTAGCACAAATTGAAGCCTCTTCTGTTTTCGACGAGAATTGCCTTTATTTGAGGCTGTAGAGAGATTGCTTTTGGTCTTACAGTCTCTGCAAAGCTCCACACGCAAATATCTAACATTTGGCATTCGGCCATCCTGGATCCTCTCCTTCACTAGCTCAAGGAGATCGCCTTCCGTAGCAGCCTTTCCATTTTGCCGCTCAGGTTCGCCCCCCATAAACATCATTATCTTGGTGATAGATCCATATCCAAGATCCGAATCGTTGAAGAGACGGGTAGCTCTGGCCATTTTGTCCATCTGTTCCTCATCCAGACAACCACGGCGCCAATCTTCATAATCAGGAGCGTTGGTCATTTTCATATCGAGTTTAGACCAGAGGATAGGTTTGGCAATTTTGTTAATCGCTTTGCAAGTGCCAGCTAGCTGGGAGAGGTTATGTGGTGTGCAGTACGAAAAGATTTCGACTTGAAGCTCGGGGGCAAGATTGACAAGACGGGATTTCTCCTGGAGAATACTGACGGACTGAAGTCCGCTGGATGATTCAGTAGCCATCTTGCTCGTTATGAATTTTAATGGCGAAACGTTTGGAGATGGTTTGTGGGTTGATGAATTGATGCCGTTGCGATTATCGTGGGTTGGTTGGTTGGTGGATTTTGGATTTACGTTGCTGTGTTGTGTTATGTTGGACATTTGTATCGTCGCCATGCCCTCAAACTACACTGACGGAGGTCTAATACTCACGTGACCATGGAACCAGAATAGCCTACTATCCATCTACGAAACCTACCGTACTCTTCTTAATGCTGACTTCTCATTTCAATATAATGTTCCAGAGAATTTGATACTCATATACGCTTCATCAAGGATCACTCCAAATACAACAAGCAACACATTGAAGACCAGCTTGATTGACGGCTCAGGTATTCCTTGGCTCGCGAACTAGACCCAGGCTTGCATACGTTACATGACTATTTCTGACAAAACAAGTTCGTCAACTAGTCTACACCTTAAGATCGCTTATGCGATATTTATATTAATATACATTAAAAATTTAAATGCTATCTATTCAGCCTCAAGCGTCTAGCATAACCGCTCAGCGAATGAGATGGCAATATCATTGCATTGTTTGTGGCGGACATTACGCATATGCATGCATGGAAAAAATATGCAACGTTTGTTCTAGGTCAACAGGATTTCCTAGATCCTGAGCGGCTAAGTCACCATACGGAATTGGCAGCAGTTAATTGCACATGGAGCTCCACCAGACTAGCAGTTACTCAATTATCCGGGGTGCATAGGTGAAGGGACTCGATTGGATAACATGGGTGCACGTAGACTGCACTGCGACCGATACCTAAAATCGCTGCCCCCCGGCCACCTGGGCGGCCCACCCATTGCATACTGTGCCCCAATATCAAAGAGTCAGGCATGCACGTATCAATCAACTTAAATATTGAATGTCTCTTCATTGAAATTCGGTGCACTTAGGGAGCAGGTATATTGAAGTTATATATTTAATATTTTCATCATGGAACCCTCCCAACAATCCGCTATTATGTCGCCGGCAATCTCTGCCATTCAGCTCCATGCTCCCATGCAAAGTTCTGAAACACCCCCTCAGCCCTCCTCTCCACCACTCGAAAACATGAACAGTGGATCTAGTATCGATGAGCCAACTGTAAGTACCTCGCCGATTGAAAACATCCTGCCGAATACCCCGATCAAACTTGTATTCGATGAACTCGCGAGTACCAAATACGTATTAATACCTGAATTCTGGCTGAATTTTATAACCAGCCAGCAGAGAAGTTGATTTCGAAATACAACCTCGAAAACTTTCCCATGTGCCTTCCATCCGCGGATATATATATCGACCAAGACAGGATTTTGCAAAATCTTTCTGATTTACAGCTCGTGACTGACCGAAACCTAAGATCCAACCATATCTTTGGGTTTACTAAAGAGGGCCATTGTACGTATAAACATATCTATTTCGCCCAGAATTGAAATTTTTCGCATTGTGTGGAGTGCATGAAACATCGGTCTAGCAATAGACGGTAGTTAAATTAACATGCATGAGTTGGGTCGCTCGTTTGGCTCCACACTGCGACAGCATGTGCACGCGCATATATCACTAATAATCCACACGTTTTCGACATGAGTAGTCTATGATTACAAGGTTAGAGATCAGCCACCAGGGGATCCTAATCGTCTTCCCTTATATGACAATCCAGGAGCTATTTCGGGGTTTACAGACTCCGAGGTTGAAAGAATATTGAAGGTACGAGGTTTTGTAACGTCGATGCCTCGTGTGCATTTGTTCGTAGCTTTCACAAAAAGGCCTAGGACTAAACTCCATTCTCATATTAGTGCGATGACCCCGCTGAGAGCTACAGGTTTTAGTAGGACACCTTTTAAATGAGCGCAGTAGATTTGAAATTTCCTCTAAGGAGCTGCAAGAACAATGGAAAGCTGACTTCAAACTTCGAATTTTTATAACTTCAGTCTAGGAGGTCGCCTTCGCGACATAACCCCAACCGTGATGAAAGCGATATTCGCAGAACATGACTTTGATACGACATTCCTTCAGACAACTATTCGTTTTGATAACCCCGAAAGTATTCCTATAGGAAGTCGGTCACTAAATGATAGAGAGGGTGTGCCAAAAACCTATGGTACGTACTCCTACTAGTTTTAGCTAACGCCTCATGCATAGTTCTGTCACCTGAATACAACATTGTATTAAATACAGCCTAACATATAAAAATGGATAGATATCTACATAATATTACCTTCAAGGGCAGCCAATAAGCCTTGGGGTACCCTTCGGGAAGTAACCGCAGGGTTACTGCCAATCAACCCACGTTCTTATCTAGAAGTATTCTCTGAATCAAATCCCACCAAGACAACCGTAATAGGTGAAACCTCCAAACAAAAAGTACATCTAAAATACGACCTTAAAACGAGGAAGACAACCGTTTTTCTGCAGGTTGGGGGAGAAAAATTCAACTTCTGTCAGCTACTGCAGGACGCCTTTGTAGCTTTCAAGCGGGAAAAAGACACAGACCAAAGGGACCCCTTCTTTATCATCATTATAGCCCTAAGACATTGGACAAACGTTTGGAGACGAGTCTTGGATTACATTAGTTTGAAAACGGAGTGGCTGGTAAGATGTTTTGGCTTCATTAGCACCCATTAGCTACTTTAGATTAAGGCTTTTGCTATTCAGTTTCTCTAATTCCATGATATATAAACTTGGAAGCAGATTAGTTATTCTATACTCTAACGCTCTAGCTAATCCATTGTCTTTACGATCCTATCGATCTCCTTGTTTAATACAGACTAATTCTTTTAGTCAATTCTAGGACCAAAAAGTGCAAGATTTCATCTCATCCGACGGCAATGAAGTTGAAAAGGAATACGGCGAACTCAATTCCAAAATGCACATTACACAACGACATGTTTCTGCAATGCGATCGGAGATTATTGAGTCAAAGTTGATATTCAAATTTACTCAGGAACAACATACGAGTTTCTTAGAATTTTCCGGCTTGAAGTCCGAAACCTCTACGAGGGTTCGGGAGCAATTGACAGTGCTCCTTCTTGATATTGAGACTCTCGGTGTTCATCTGGAACAAGAATTAGATAAAATAAAGACTTCCTCTGCGTGGGTAAGTATTTCCCCCCTTCTATGCGGGTAAAACCTCGAAAACGTCAAAGAACACACTCTTGTAACAAAATCATATTCTAGCTCTCCACCTCCATCTCGTTAAAACACACAAAAGCCATGAGAATAGCCAGCGAAGAATCACATAAGGCTTCTCTCGCACTCAAAGAAAATACAGACGCCATGAAGGCTGGCGACGATCTTTTACGAGAACTAGCGCAAGAGACTCTGCAAAGCAATCTGGAAATGAAGAAAAACGGTGATGCTATGCGGCAGATAGCTGAAGAGAGTAAAAAAATCGCCGAAGCTAATAGCAAGGAGTCGGAAACCATGACTCAAATTGCAAAAAGCACACAGAAGGATTCACAATCCATGAAGGTTCTTGCTTTTCTTACTATGATGTATCTTCCCGGTGCATTCGTTTCGGTAAGTTATACTCCGCTAGCATCAATAATCGTTTCTAAAGTCCTGCATTCTGACCCGCTATGCACGCATGCATATACATTTACGTGTATATACGGACGTCCATACGTTAAAGAATTCTAGCAACATTGCAATATAAGAACTAATTCGATTTTTAAACGTTGATAGAGTATATTCGGCTGGAGTATCATCTCATTTGATGTATCTGAAGACGGGACTCAACAACTCGTCGTGGCAAAGGAGTGGCGGTTATTCGTCATATCTACAGTAGCACTCACCATCGGTACCGTTCTCGGATGCTTGTGCTGGATTTGGGTTAATCGCAAAAAACTCGGTCCTATTAAGCCGGCGGGCAGTGTGTAGATCACTTTCGTAGTCTCACGGGCTGGATCGACTACTTATTTACTAGGAAGTATGTATATACCTAGGAGGCGCCCGGAGGGGGAGGATTGGCTGAGCAGAAGACTTACCATGCCAATTTGCCCTTGCTTCGACTCCATTCACGTTACTGTCAATACTCTTGAGGTTGAGTTTTGTCTCGTCGCCAGACCTCCCAACTATGGGTTACTTAATGTATACTTAGCAGACCTGATAGACTTGGTAATGAGATAATCTATTCCTGCTATAAACCTACATCGGTGTGATTTTAAGGTTGTAGTTTAGATAGGCCAACAGGCCATAGGCGCGCTGCATATAAAACATATTAATATGCATATTAATTGCTATAGCGTTAGAAACAGTCTTGACGTTACACACCATCAGGCGGCTTTATATATTAGCTTTATCCCATACTACGTATGCGCATGCATACGTCTTACTCACACATCCGCCTCACGTTGGTAGGCCTGGCCAGCCGGCAAGCTGACATGCACGGTTAAGTTACACAGAAACCAACAGGTGTCCAACCACAGGGTCCACACCATTCCCGTCGGTCCTCAAACCGTTAACCTCTTCACGGAATCCGAGCAAGTTATAAGTCTCAAAATACTTCTCAAAAACGAAACAGTCACCCTCCTAAACAAAAATCCATATTCTAATGATGCTTACAAACAAAAAAAAGATCACAAGACTAAATATAGAAGAAAAGATTCAAGAGGACACCCTAAAATACAGAGGAGTAGGAGTAAAAACCAAAAAGAATTAGAGTAGTAAAAGATAACTTCGCAAAACGCTCATCTTTGAATTTCCTTTGTGTGTGTGTGATTGTGTTTGTGACTTTCATTTGCGGCTTCCCATCGTGGTTTTGTTTACAAGAATAGTAAAAAAAATAAAAAATGCTAATATTACCATGTAGAATTTTTCCCGTCTCTTGTTGTGTGTGTGTCCGTCTTCCGTGAACATGTAGTGGTAGTAGTAGTATGGTAAGCCATTGAGTGGCGAGAGGTTTCGGGATATCCAAGTGCTACTCTATTCTTCCCATATCCGGAGTAAATTCCTTTACTCGCAGACGCTCCCTTGTGCCTTCGAGTTCATCAACAGGGCAACGATAAGACCATAAAGACCTGATTCGTATAATTAGCATCACCTCTCCCAAAAAGATTTCGTTTCCTGAATGTAAAACTTACCCAAGACTTCTGCGAAAATGAGAATTAAAATCATTCCAACGAAGAGCCTTGGCTGCTGAACGGTACCACGAACACCAGCATCACCAACAATACCAATGGCGAAACCGGCAGCAAGACCAGAGAGACCGACAGCAAGACCGGCGCCGAGCTGGATGAAACCGGAGAATAGTGTCTGCTTTTGGGCCAAACCGGAGGAAATCAAGACGGAGACGACGAGACCGTAAATGGCAACGATACCAGCCATGACGACTGGGATGGAGTCTTTAAACCGAGCGGGGATTCGTGGTTAGCGTACAATTTCTCTCATTTTCCATGGAAAACAGCCCGTGAAACAATAGCTTCGTGACTTTTTTCGGTGTGGTGAGTGGCTGACGTTCGAGCTTACGCACTACCACCACTCCCAAAAAGCTCGGAACCAGCATTCCACAGCCAGTTGTGCAAGGGGGATGGTAAACATACTCTTCACCATCATATCAGGTCTCAAAACACCGGAAGCAACGACACCGACACCAGACTTTGCGGTTCCGTAAGAAGCTCCGAAAGCACAGAAGATTATGGAGGCGGCGCACCCCATGGCACCAAAGAACGGCTACAGCAGAACATCTTGAGGATCAGTAAATTTTCCCTTGTCGCAGAAAATGGATATTTTAAAAACTCCATCATTTCTTTGGAAAAAGTGGTGAAAGGCGCGAATTAAACCGACGTCGGACTTGCCGCATCTAGTGCAGCCTATGACGGCAACGGAGATAATTTTCGCCAGGGGCAGATAGAACGCCATGACTTGAAAGTGGATTGCGCAGGACATACCGCATAGACGGGACTAAATTGAAGAAATGTTAGTATAGACTCGAATATAAAGCTTATTAAAAAAACTCGTAGAGCTGTCGCTCCAAGTTATCTCCTCAAAAGTCCCCGTCAAAGCCACGTACCAGTAATCTGAAGACATGATGGAAATATGTGTCGGGAGTTGCGGAAAACTCGGTCGGAAGTTAGACTGGCGAAAAGAAGAAGTCGGTATATAAGTCGACAAGTGTCTTTAACGGTGAAGATGAGTCGAGAAGGCTTGAAAACAGCGGACTGTTGGGGGATTGGTTGTTCCTGGGAGGTCGAGGACACGGAAGTTGTGCAGGTTCTGGCTGGCTGATGATGTAGACGATGGCTGGCAAGCAAAGCAGGAGAGCCAAACCAACACGCTTCTCAACTTTGGGGGCGTGGAACTGAAGGCTTGGCACTGAATGACTAAGCTTCAACACACAACGCAACACGAACTTTTTCTATTTTATTTTTTTGGTTTTAAGACTTTTTTTTCTTCAAACTTTCTTCATACCATCACCATCACTCTCCACCTGCATCGCAACCATCGAAGGGCGAGCTACCGCAAGGAACCCTTTGCCATTCATCCACACCTTACTCCAACAGTCGCCTTAGTCTAGATTCTCAAATAATCAGCTCTATCAACATGTCTGCCCCAAATCCAAAAGGTTAGTTAGTCGTCAGTCCCAGGACCGTATCTAAGTACCAGCAAGCTAAGAGTCAATATAGCATTCCCCCTCGCCGATCAGGCTCTCACCCAACAGATCCTGGACATCATCCAGCAGGCCAACAATTATCGCCAGTTGAAGAAGGGAGCCAACGAAGGTATTTATTCCCAGTGTTCTATTCTCGTTCGTCGATTCCATGTCATCGCTAACTTGAAACCGAAAAAATCTGTAGCCACGAAGACTCTTAACCGTGGTATCTCCGAATTCATCGTTATGGCGGCCGACACCTCTCCAATCGAAATTCTCCTCCATCTTCCTCTCCTTTGCGAAGACAAGAACGTTCCATACGTCTTCGTTCCATCCAAGATCGCCCTTGGACGTGCCTGCGGTGTTAGCAGAGCCGTCATTTCCGCTAGCGTCACCACTAACGAGGCTAGCGAGTTGGCTCAGCAGATCAAGGCTGTGAAGGATAAGATCGAGAGATTGTTGATCTAGTTGGTTTTCGCGATGGGTTTTTTCCTTGGGCTTAGTGTCTGGTTGTTTGGCTCCCATATCCAGACACTGATTCTTTGAGTCACGACTTGATTTTCTACCAGACAGTTGCTTCAAATGTATTTCTATGATCTTACCTGCTTTTAGATAAGCTTGGTATTTGAATCCGTTGTTCACCCGGGAACCCAATATCCAAAACATTCTGTATTTTTAGATAGATAATGACATATGATTCCAAAATACTCAATTGCATGTTAACGCCGTGGCTTTTATATACAGAGTATGATACACTAAATATGCCGTTTGTTGGAAAACATTGGGGTATTTCACCACACCTGTTTTGCCAACATCGAGTTGTCTTCCCTGCCAGCTGGCTTGGTTTCCTCCGGTACTATCTCCCGCTCGCCGAGATCCAGTTGGCTGCTTAGTCGGTACGCTCGGAGGCATCTCTTTGGGCGCCTTCATGAACGCCTTCCTTATTGACCTCCTTCAGCGCAGTATCCAGTCCGGCATTCACTTCGGCCAGTTGCTCTTGCTGGCCCTGCAGCTTTTCTAGTTCATATAACACCCTAACCCCGTCCGACGAGAGGCCCTGCTGGGCCTCCCGTTTCTTTAATCTGGCTATGTATTCTGAGAATTTAGGTGGTCCACGGTACAGCCCCTGATTATCGCCTTCGATTATCGCCGAATCATTATCGTTAGAGCGTGCCTTCTGAATCTCTGCTTCGTACTTCTTGCCCTCCAATGTGATAAACCTACGGGCCGAGAGAGAGAGACCTTGGGGAGACCTCTTTTTCTTTCTCGGCTTCTTCCCCTTGCTCTCATCAATCTTCTTCCATTCTTTCTGAGCCACTAATGGGAATCCCCTAGGGCGTGGTTCGCTATTGTTGCCGATGAAACGGATGAGGGTTTTGCTGGCTTTGCCAGCTGTAGCTGAGGGTATTTTTATTAGTGAGGGAACTATGGATTTTCTGATAGGGTGGTTAATTCTTCTTACGAACCTTCTCCGATTTCAACGAGGAGATCCATCTTGAGGGAGAACAGGGGGATCTCCATCTTTTGTCCGTTGATACAAAGAGCAGTATCGGCACCGGTTTGTAATTGTTGAGCCGGGTAGTTGAATTTCTTGGGTGGTTTGGTCTCTTCTATGGGCGGGGGCATTTCTTGAGAAACTTGCGGAGAGACTTCCTCTATGGAGCTCTGTGATGCGGCGGTGTCTTTGGAATCCTGTTGAGATGTTCCCTCTATAGAGTCCTGTGGTGTGCCATCTTTGGGATCTTGTTGAGACTCTGCCTCTGTAGAGCTCTGTGTTAAGACTTCTTTGGAGTCTACAGCTGGTCCCCCAACGGGCCCCGGAGCAGTTGGCACCGACGGTGGATCCGTAGCGGAGTACCCCGTACCTGAGCCAAAAGTATCCCCTTTGCCTACCATTGTGAACTTCCATTGCCCCAACGATGAATCCTTCCGGCTCCTTGATGTCGATTTCATCGGATCATTATAATAAAATGCAATCCATCTCCCCTGTATCGGAGTAGTTGCCCGACCACCAGACGTCTTCGACTTTCCGGGCCCAGCAAAGTACTGTATAACTTCCGGGTCGAGTGCCAATATCCCAGCATTAACACCCCATCCACCGCCCCCAGCAAGAACCTTGGCAAAACGACCTCCATATCTCGGTGGAAGTCTCTGCCCAAGTGCCTTTGAATCATCGAATGATATCCGTGCGAAGATCTCTATAGGTTTTTTCTCTAGAGTAACGGGGTCGTATAATCCCTTCTTCATCGACAAGTCCGCGACTGCGGCTTCTAGTTCTTGGGATGCATTGATTTCTTTCCCATCCGGCCCTGCCAGTTTTTTGATGACATTCCCGACGCCATTAACAATCTTTCGTGGTTCCGTGATGTTCCTCACGGGGAAATTAACCCGTGTTTCCCATACCTGAGATTCGCTCAGCCTGACAGTCACATCCTTAATCCTATTCACCAATTCCGGATGAAGTGTAGCATTGGACCCATCATAATTCGCATCGACACGGTATTTGTGAACCATCGCCGTCGAAGGTGATCCGTTTTGAAAGAGAGTGTTGGCCATCTTTGTCTTAACATATATCAGCTCCTTATTCCTTGCCAGCATCCTCTGTTTTAAATCTTTCGGAGAATCAGTCATATCCATCGACCTAAATATTATCTGAAAATCCCCCCGATCATCATCCGGATTCCTCGAAGAAGCTCGATATGTTGAAAAATTAGGTTGCGGGCTCGACGGCATATCAGCCACAGGTGCCGGTCTAAACTCAAAGTTTCGAAAAGCAGGAGATGTATCTCCATAGAACCTCATCAAACGATCCGTGATCATTAAACTCCATCCTTCTGAGTAAGGCGAGAACATTGACTTGGGAATGCTATCGACTACGACACTGACGGCTTCGACGCGGTGGATTCGAAATCCTGCAGTTTTAACAGCGCGGTCGATGCTCTCTTGGAGGAAGATGGGGTCGGAGACTAAATGGGCGTATGAGGGGGTAGCTTGGAGGATTATGTAGCGGTTTGCGGTTATGCCGGGTTTCTGGAGGGCTTCGACTATGGAGTCGCGGAGATCAGGGATCTAGATTGTTGGTTTGGGTTAGCAGGTCGAGGTATCGATCAAGAACTATCAAAACTAAAATATCTTTGACGAATACAGATGTCTACAGGTTGAATCATAGCTAGGGGCTAGTATAATAACACTATCCGATAACGTTTCCCCACAATAGTACGCCCGGATAGCAATCTCTAAATCCTCAGATCGGGATATCAAAGAAGTCCAGAAATCCAATCCAATGAAACTTACAAAGTCATCATCCTCATCATCCGGCTTCGCCCTCCTATGCAACATCGTCACCACCGACCTCCTCGCCGTCGCTCTCGACGCCCAATTGTTATAAACCCCCGTCCGGACGCCATTGCCTCGCAATGGTATCCTTAATCGCGGGTACAGCGCCGAACAGGATGATCCTGTCCGTACCAGTATCCGCATGCAAGGAATGGTCATCTGGGATGCATGCTTTTCGATATCTCAATCCCGTCCCAGCTTGACTTCTCCAAAACCCCCCCACAACTTCCAATTGGTGGGGAAACTTTGTCAATATAGAAACTCCTTTCTATAAGGGCTTGAATGATATAGTCGTAGATTGGTCCCTATTTCCGAGTTTTTTAGTTTGAATGTTCGGCGCCGGGCCCCACTGGGAAGTCGGGGAGCTGTTGCTGCAGGTTTGTGGACTTTTTGTTGTATTTTTTTGTGGTGAGTTTAAGTTTTTTTTTTTTTGCGTTTGGCGGATGTTATCTTGATTTCGCGGTTCGGGTTTTGGCTTGTTCGCCGATAACTAGCTGAACAATTCGGCAAAGATCCCGGTTACTGTACTGTCAGCGGGATAAATGACAGATGCGTATGCAGGGGCGTTACACACAGAGGAGAGTAAACTTTTTGGGTAATAGTTGGAGATCTGGGGAATGAAAGACGGGAAGTTCAGAAACTGTCGTCGATGCCTAGAGCTATGTGCCTGACAGATAGTGTACGAGCTGGTACTTGGGAGATATACGACAACACAGGCGGGTGTTGGAAAGTTTTAGACGTCATGTATACGCTGCACTTTGAGGGGAATGCAGACATAAGTTGTCTGTTGCTGAGACTAGGGAGAATGCCTGTAATTCACTACGGCATAAATATAAGACAAGACCGAAGGATGGATAGGCTCCCTAGGCGGTGAAGCTAGGTTGTTGAATTCTTTAGTATGTAAATGGTTTCTTGGTTAATTACGATAAGTACACGAGGCGTGGAGATCTTGTATTTTAACTTATCCTGGGCTATCGAATTAGTATAAAGAGACCGTTTAGCGCGCCATGAACACTAGAGCACAATGATATTTAAACTATGTTAAGAGCTGGAAGGGAAACTAGGCTGAAGGTACACATCAGTCTAGCAAACCGAGCTAGTATTTGGGTTAATATTTTACGCAAGTATCTCAATAAGATGTGGGTAGTTTTAGGTGTATATTAAACAAAATGCTTAGATACAAAAATGTGATAGATTTACACATAGATATGATGGTTATAAGACCACTATAAGAAATTCAAAACTTCTTCCAGTTGTGAGTGAGCCATTCACTCAACCAGCGGTTAAGATGTAATCCTTGCTTCTCCAGCCAGGAACCGGTAGGTACCATTCGTCTAACAGCAGATCTTGTAGCACTGGATTGGGCCACCGAAGCAGCTATATTTTCAAAGCAAGTTAGTTTATCCCTTCATACAATTCCCAAGCCTCCCCATTGCTAAAGGTCTAGATGTCTACGTACTATTGGCAATTGCACTTCTGTCCATTGCTGCAGTTGGCATTGGTAGAGCATGCACCACGCTTGATGAGGGTGTGGAGTTCGGAGTCAGGGAGAGCAGCTGGATTTGGGGCTGCCTCAGCAGCTGGAGCGGCCATGGCTGCGAGAGGAGCCAAGATGAGAGTGGCGATGGTGAAGATGGAGATTTGCATTTTGAATGATTGAGATTTGGAGGAGGTTAAAAACCGGGTTTAGAAAATATATTTCGTAGAATTGATATTGCTTGTTGGGATTGAGAGCTGATGATGATGGCGAGATATTTGGTTCCAGTGAGGGAATCCTTCCCTTTTATAGACTTTGGTTTTCATATCCATGGTTCGTCTAGAGTATGGAGACGATCGGTCGCGGGGTTTCCTTGAGGCCTTCCAGAGCACCGATTTCGGTCGAGGTATTCGATTATCTTCCGGAATATTATCCCTGGTTTGTTATCCCTCACAATCTCCTCGTTTGCCTCTGAAATACATGGCAATCCCGTGTAAACCATACCATCAACCAGATACCCTAATAAACCAGAACTCGTATTGGGGTTTCATCCGGAACGACTCCCTTTTGATTTCTAGATATCCATTAGGCTAAGGTGGTGATGACTCCGAAGAATTATGTAAACATGGAGCATGTGGAGTTAATGATTTGTCGAGATGTGGTTTCGGGTGGTGAGAATCGAATAGGAGTATTGATATGCAATGCATGATGGAATCGTCTGATATGGATATATATCTGGGAGTTTATTAATATTGATAAAATGTCAATCAGCTAACGATACGCCTAAACCGGTCCTGGTGTGTGTATTATCCTTGGGGTCTTATCTACAGTCGAAAGGTTCGACATACACTGGATGAGATTGAAATGTATTACGGGACAAATTCAAATCTTTGGATTGGACATGATCGAACTTGGTCCTGAACGACTTCCATTTCATATTTAAACCAAATGCACAGGCTAGATACCATCTATCACCATCTAATCTCAAAATGTCGCCATGAAGTCATCTTCTCGCCCTCAACGAACACACTCCTCACAAGCTGCCTATCGCCCATAAGGGTGGCGAATAGTATACAGGAAAACCGGACTAAAAACGTTCACCATGGCCCGCAAAATCCACTCGCCAAGTACGACGCCCCCAAAAGCTTAGTATCGAGAATGCGCCGAAGTAACCATGATCAGTAATCGCTTAAAAGATAGCCGGGGAAAGGGTCGTTCCTACCCGTCCTTTGACATGCCTTAGTGATATGTATACGAGGCTCTAGGGTTGCGGCTCCGGATGGTATCTATCCGAAAAAGGTTTTTAGAGGAAGTGAGCGCTTTTGTCGGAATTAACTAGTTATATAGTATGTATTGTATGTAGGTCGATCCAAGCGCCTTTGTTTCCACCACTTTCTTAAATTTACTTTCCAGGGTTTCTTTTTCGATATAATTAATTGGTCTACAAACTTATAAAGCTCTAGTGACTCGGGATCATTGAATGCAGTTTATCGAGCTTCTCGTTCCGCTATACCAAAGGCTGCAAATACTAAATTCGACGATTTCACAAAGGATATGTATGTATATTCGTATGAAGCCATGACACATTGTACCGAAAAGATAAAAGATACCAAAATAAATTATTGGTAACACTTAGGAGATCCCCGAGACTGACATAATCTTGATGTCAGCAAGAACAGTGTATGATTGCTGTCATGAGTAATCAAGTTAACCAGCGCTCTAATAATATTACCAAAGTTGAAACCTTTTTTTTCTTGTATGAGTTTGGCCCCTGTCCTGGACTATTATAGTCCGGCTATATGCGAAAACGATATCTTTTGGGCCACCTATTGTAACCGTGTCTAGGCCATGTATCTAGGTCCTAGCATTTACAAAGTTTTCTATGTAACACCAGGTAAGAGAATTAGGATAGATTCAGGTCGATATCATACAATCATCAGCTGAGACTAGGTAAATACTAAGCTCGCTAGACCTCGTACTTTCAACAATATAGGAAAACTAATACTTACAAAAGCTATATAACTAGGGCCAGAGTTCCAATTGTAACGCTGGTCCGGCAGTTAACAAAGGTAAAAGCTCCACCTGGTTCAATCCATACTCAAGAGTGCAATATATGTATGACAATCTATACAGACAACCAATTAATTGATAATATACATCTATATCTCCTCGTCTAATCTATCTGAATACGATGGAGCTATGACCTCCAAACCTCGGAGTAACCCCACAAAATAGAGCAAGGAGGGGAAAACAGCTCAAGATTCAACTACCCCGGACCAGAAGCTTTTTTTTTTTTTTAAATGTGCATATGCATAGCGTTTGCGGAAACGAGGTTGGCTTAACCATCACAGTCAGACGGGCATACAACGAGTCGGTGCGTTGACTAATCTTTTTTGCAACAAAGTGTTGGGATCTTGCAAAAAGTATAGTTATTTCCGATTGGCTTAGAGACACCTTCGGTCTTGTCCTGGGACGTTCCAAGATACCTGTGTATATAAGAACGCTGGATTCTCGGGTTTGGGAAATGTGGTTTTTGGTTTGGGGCATTCAAAGGATATATTCTATATTACACATTTTGAACTTTCTATTATAGATTCTATTTAGAGAATTATTATTTACAGCTAGCTGGGCTTCAATTATCTGATACTCATATATTTCGCTGACAATTCCACAGCATTATACCGTACGACGGCCCGTATATAAAAAATAACATGGCGAATCATACCTGAATACACCGTTCCTCCTTTTAACTTGCATAACCACCGAAATTATTCCCCGGTCCTTCAAGTCAAAATATTACGATAACTTGTTTCTTCTGTTTAACAATAGAGCCTATTAAAAGTGCAGCTGTTATTCTAAGCAATCAACTAGGTGTTAACCTAATCCGGTGAAGACTGCGACGTTAAACCATGTCTAAATCTAATCATCTAATTCAAAGAAAATAGAACTATCAAACAAATCTAGCCACAGGCTGTGCAATCTTAATTAAATCACCAATCGGGGTAGCAATAATTAACATGAAAGAAGGTATTAGGGACATGTGTTTTTTTATATTTTGTTAGAGTACCTTCTATGCATTGTACTACCCTACTCTTCGGGGAGAGGGATTGATTAGGGTTAATTTTTTGTTTGTAAGTTATGATTTGCTCTTCATAATTTGCGACTGCGATCTTACTGCAGCTCTTCGTACAGCATCCCTGTTGTGGGACAGCAAAGCACAGCGTAGCAAGCAGCTGAATGGGTATCTCTTTTCATCCCTTGTTTGGCTGGCTGATCGAGTTGTAGGGCTGATTGATATGCAAAGACATCTGGGATCCGTTGTTATACGAACGGGTCCGAGTTATGTTTAGGTAGATGGTACTTTGGCTTAGCCACGGTTGCAGAACTGGGGGATGTAAATAGACATGTTTAGGTAAGTATGTATTACAATGTAGGTGTAAGCAGGTGTAAGTATTATGCGTTATTTCCATTGTTCCGGGCTGGTGGTTCTCGATCTCGAGATCTCAGGTCGGGAAATTGGGGTTTCCGTTATTCAACGGAGGGGCTGGAATGCCGGTAAACGTTACCACGTTTTATCACCACTTAGCTAAGATATGAGACAAATTTACGGGAACTTTGGGGGTGGCTCCGATGGATGAAGGGCTGTTTGGTTCACTTTTTTCATGTTGGAATTTGATTTTAGAATTGAAAACGGCTCTTTTGAGCTCGGGTTCTTTTGCTCTGAAGTTGAGATTTGGAGATTGTGTTACCTTACATATATGTAGGTAGAATTGGAGCGGGGTCCTCTCTCCTTGAGTGTAAGGCATTGGCAAATTTTAGAAATCTGGAAAAGAGTGGCACTGGTAAAGTGGGATGATATCTGTACAGCCTCACTTACTCTGGCTGAACCCATTCGCGGTGAGGATGCCCGCCTTGAATCCTCTTTCATGGCTCCCGACGGGGTTCGGCAAAGGCTGTCGAGATGCGAACGCGAATGCAACCGTCAGTGTCTTTTCCTTCAGCCTTTCTAGGCCCCATCCACTCGCTTGAACCAGAAAACAGGAAAGAAGGGGAAGGAGGGAAAAAAAAGGAAAGAAATGGCTAAGGTTCATTTATTCTGTTCGTTTGTCGTTCTGCTTCCCGCCCAGTTCTAGGCTTACGTTGCTACATACCAGCATCTCCACCTGGGGCAGTTTCATGGGTGTGGGCAAAAAAAGACAATATCGCTACTTTAGCGGAAGGGGAAGTGGGGTTACGTTGCAATCACGGAAACCTTCAGGAACCGGTTTTTATCTTTTTATCTTTTTAGTATTTCTTGGGGCCGGTGGGCGGCGCTCGTCTGCTTGGAAGAAGTACCAGCAGCCGACGGGTTTGATTTGAGATTGATTGGGGGTTACCGTTAATTACTCAATCAATGTTCTTTCCTCGTAGATGAGCATTAAACTTCCCGGCCTGGATTTATGTTGGAATATTGAAATTCCCTGGACCAGATGATCGAATAATCAAATGTTGAAGACTGCAAATCCTTCTACGGAGTACAGAGCACCTCTTATCGGATAGGCAGGAACATTCTTCAAAGATGGTGCCGGGGTTTGTTTGATAGACACGGTAGAAGAGGGATTTGCAGGGACCCATAGTTGGGACCCTCTTTTTTTTCGATCGAGGACAACCGACAAAAGGCACGGTCGACGGGTTGGAAAAGCCACAAAAGGAGCACTGATGTTGGATGGATGGATGTGTATGCTGGGGAATGCTCATCGTCCCTTCCTGAAGGAGGGAGCTCAGCCAATCAGGCAGCATTGAGACATCTTGGGAGGAATGGAAGTTGGTGGCTTGCCATTGGATGATCTTTGTCGTAATTCAGCCGGTGCTGACATGCAATTGGATGCATGAAAAACACTGAAGGTAGAGATACATTTCATACATTTTTCGAGTTCTGCCAGTTAGTCTTTGATAGACTTAGACTCTCTGTCTATGAGGTCTATAGGCAAGTACTTCTCACGGGCATATGTACGTTATCGCAAGCGGGAGGTGTGGGTGTGTGTGGCCAAAAGATGCATATGGTTTACTATCGACACCACGACCGACGGGAAAGGAAAGGATTCCTGGTCGGAACTGCAATCCGACTAGTTCTTTTCATTTTTCCACGGTCGGGATCGGTCGACGGTAAAAGAGATGGATAGATGGGGGTGTCAGCTCGATTTGGAACTGTGATTGAACTTTTCTCCAAAAGTGCATGGACAACGGGTTTTGGCCCATGGAAACAAAAGAATGGTCCATCCCATCTCTGCATTATGGAGATGCAAGGGGCGATAAAAAAAAGTTATCTACAAGGGGCGCCGTTTTGTTGGCGATGGTGTTGCTGTGCTGTTTGAGATTCTGGTGTGAGTGTGCCATCTACCTGTATCTCGATGGCCACATGCATGCCCCTTTTTCCCGAGCCAGTCGCAAGATTGTGGTACCCGAAGTGACAGGTAAATTGGAGAAACCATAGATGATTCCCCAAAATCGAAACTTGTGAAGGGCCTTTTCTTTCTCTTTCTGAACGTATGTAACATGCGAACATTTTTTGCGTGACGTGAAATCGTCCTGCAGGAAAACCTTCAAATCTTAAAATTATTTTATTTTATTTTATTTTCACCAGTTGTTCACACTGCAATTTTCACGATATTACGCTCCGTATTTGACCGCGTACACTTTCATATTCTGCAAGTTACATACATACCTTTGGAAAACCCCCCCCCCCCAAAAAGTGGGAAACAAATCTTACGACCGGGTCTTGTTCCGAGTAATTGCGAGAATCATTTGACGAAAACGTCAAGTGAAACATTTGAAGCCTCTGGAATGTGAGCATGTCATATCGATAGCAGTGGTTCATGGAGAAACGGCTCGAGAAGCGCGAAGGTGGTGTAAGAATGTCCTCTTCCGGCGATTGTATGTAAGCCTGGAGAAAACTGACCGTGGTGCCCACGGTGAGGCTAGTATGTCGTAACGGAGAGTCGGTATCATGAGCTTTCGGCGAAAGTTCTAAATTGAAGAGAGAAAAAAGAAAGAAAGAAAGAAAAAGAACGAATTGGATGGGAAAGCCTCGAGACCCCTACTGGAGGCATGGGTTTTTCCTCATGCATGGGAGTAAAACCTCTGACGACTTTTACCCGCATTCAATATGAATGCAGGTACACAGCTGATCCCGTTGGTCCAAAATTTGACGGCCCTTGGCGCCTCGAAGGCACCCTAGATGTGCGGGTATTTGGGGCTATAGCCAATCAGAGGTCGATACGGGGCTGGGGCCAAAGCTCAAATTTCAGCCAGGTCTCCAGTTTAGCAACCTTGGCGGTGACGGTACATACAGATATCCGCCCAATGCATCTTGGAGGGCGATTACACAGTTATGTGTGTGTGTGTGTGTGTGTGTGTCGGTACGGAGTACGGTTGAAGCCACGATTATTTTTAATTGATTGATATGATGCGCATATCTTGTTTTGTCGTGGCCTGAATGTGAACAGTTTCCCACAAATTGGCCCAATGATTTGATCTTGAAGTTGCAGTTGCAGAACGGTCGTTAAGGCGATATCACCCTCCCATGCAAGGTGAAAAGAATTAGAATGTTCGTTTCCATTGCATCGAGGATTGTTCTTTTTTAGCAGTCCCGGCAATTCCCTTGACGAACTATGAGGTGTGGGCTGAATCAGGAACCATTGCCCACCCGTTCTAGCGAAAGTTTCTTTAACGAACGTTCGCACTTCATTCTGTAACCCATCGACGGTAATATTACGTCTATGTGCAGATATATTCGTTAGAATCGTTACTATAGTATTGCAGAATTTTTTTGACGAAAAAAAAAGAGAGATTCCGGATACACACCTGAGGAATTAATCGAATTCACCGCCTTCTGCTTCGGATAGCATCCACCACTGGGACGTAACTTACTAGGGGCTAATTAATTAGTACAGCCTGCCAGGTAATTCCTTTTTCCCCTTAGTTGCTACCAACCTTATGCTCTGGGCACACCCTTCTGGAAATTTTTCTTTTGATACGATGCCGGTTCGTGGTTAGCGTCCCCTCGAACCGCAATGTTTCCCACCAGTGTTCCTGTACATGCAGGTCCCATGGCCCCCCCTTCGTTAACCCCCGTTCGATTGGCAATTCCAATCCAGAAGGTCGCCCGTCGCCCGTTTGGTCCTGGGCGGTTTTCCTTTTACATAGTTTGTGGCTCGCCTGTTAATTTGTTCCCCAAATTTCCTGGATCTTTTGTTCGTTCGTTCGTTCATTTTACTGACCTTCTTTTGTTCCTCTCCTTCCCTTCCTTCCATCTCACCCCTCTTTCTTTCTATTCTCATCCTTCTTGAGATCCATCCCGCTCTGGCTTCGTGCCGTTAGCTGTTTTCTTTCTTTCTTTCCTCACCCGTCCCCTCTTTTGTTTTCTGCTCTACAGCCCCTCTCCGGACCTATTGGTTGTTCACCGTAGTGTCTGTCCACTCATTTGACCCCCGTGTAAAGTCAGTTTCGTTTTTGGTTTCTTCGGCGACAAATTCAACACCATTTTTCAACTAGTCGAATTCAACGACATTGGACATCTACCAACTTCAACTTCAACTTCAATTTGAACTACAACTTGAAAAAGAACTCTAGGAAAAAGCGAGGAAGGATATTCACTCGGTTCTACTGGAAATACTTTAATTTTAAACATAGTCAACTATCTTGTCAGCCGACTAATTCCTTCGACTACTCTCTGTTCCACGACTTCGTTCATTCTTTTCACGAATTACTTCATATATTTTTTTTTATCGATCTTTCCGGATTCTTTGACCCAGCGACCGCATTTTTTTAAAGGTTACGACTGGAAATTTCTCGGATTGAACATACTTCTTGGTTTGGTTGTGCTGGTTTCGATCAAATCGCAGTTTGGAGGCATTGAATTGTTCATCCAAGCCTTCGATTCATATTAAAAGGAAGACGCTTATTTTTCATCTCGACCTCAAATCTAAAGACCTACGACGACGGCTTCAGTTTCGCTCCCATATAGCTGTCTGGTCTGGATCATTCCACTACAATATAACTGTCGGAACAAATTAAATTATCAAAGGAAACTCGAAACTCCAACACTTACAAGCAACTTTCGATTTCCGCCAGGCACTCCCGCAAACGCAAGGTTTCATCTTGTATGTTCGTATCACATTTTTTTTCGTAAATTGATTGTGACAAAACTCCAACTGTTGATACGGGCACAGCAAAGTATCTTACCTTGCGCCCCGTTCGTAGACGTTGTGTGTATTTGCCATAAGAAAGGACTCGAAACTGACTTGAGATCATACTATATTACAGCATTCACGATTGTTAGTAATGACCCTCTGAAGGATTGCCATTCATAACACCCCTCGACCGTCTGTGTATTTGCATGCTCTCTCACGACTCTCAAACGCCTATATAACTCGATACCTGGTGATTCTACTACTATTCCGACAATATTCTAATTACGATAGACGACAGAGATACACTCTCTAAATCATATTAACTGCCCAACATGGCTACCGAACTCCACTCTTTGACATCGGCACCGATGCAAACCTTTGTCTTCCCCTCTAAGGCTACTACCACTCCTTCAAAACGACCCTCCAGTTCTTCGGCTCTCCCGAATAGAAATAGTGTTCCATCTGGAATGCCCAGTCCGACATATTCTGATAATGGAGCGAGTCCTGGAAATAGTCCATCAAATTTCGTTTTCCCCATGAGGCAGACAGCGACTTTCCCTCGATCAGCTGTTAACCTGTTAGCTCCTACTCCTGCAAATGCTCAATCACGGACTCCACCTGCATCTCCGACTCCACCAACTGCTACACTTGGTGAGAGGCGTTTTCATGCGCGAAGGCAAAGCGATATTGCCTCAGGGAGCAAACCCCTATCTCTAGGAACTATCAATCAGCCTTTCAAGTTTGGAGGTAGTGTCACCACTCCTTCTCCATCAAAAAGTGCTACCAGCTCTCCAAGCAAGGAAGGAACATCTCCCAAGTTTTCATCCCAAAATGGTCTTCTTTCTCCGCCCCCAGATGCATCCAGCCCAGAACCTCCAAAAATCGAAAAGGGAACGGCTGCACCACCGCCCCCGGGTATGCAAGGGCGGCGTGGACATGCCCACCGCCGCAGCTCTGCCATGAGTATGAGCTCGGCCGATGTTCTTAACATGATGTTGACCGCGGCCAAAGCCAACAACCCTACCAACACCAACAAGGGTGCTGGCAGTGCTCCATCCAGTCCAGCATCTAGTCCCGATGGTCCTGTCAAAGAATCCGTTGTTGGTGTTGTAGAAGACGTTTCAGGTATGTGCACCCGATCAATCTTGCCACATTTGCACTGCCATACTAAAATCCTTCATGCAGGTCCTGTAACCGATGCCAAGATTGTACTAGAGGTGCCGTCAAGCGCCGTCTCATGCGATTCTTCTGCTTCTTCGGTGGTCAATGCTACGGATGAATCCGTCGAATCGGCTAGGACTTCGGTTGAGGAGACCCCTCGTAAGCCCAGGGTAACCTTCAGTGATGCCACGGAAATCATTCCACGTCCTGCCTCTGCAGGAACTTGCAGCACTTTCACCACCATACGTGGCGAAAGCGTAAGCAGCCTACACGGCTACAGAAACTCGATCAGTAGCATGGAAGAATTGCATCCTATTGATTCCAGAGGAAGACGTGCATCTGCATCCGACGCTTCAAGCACACCTCGGGTTCCGAGAACAAAGACTGACCGTAGACCAAACTCTGCTGACGCCGCTACTCTTTTGAATGGCGCCCACAAGGCCAGTTGGTTGTTCCCACCCTTGTCCCCGAAGAATCCCTCTAGTAAGAAGAAGGGACACGCTAAGCATCTGTCCGAATCATCGGCTGCTGAGAAGCCAAAGCGCAAAAGCAGAAAGTCCTCCAACCCTGATGGTACACCCGCCACCCCTAAGAAGGTAAAGGGCGGTATGAAGGGATGGGCGGGAACAATTCTCTTGCGCAGATCGTACAAGAAGCGTCAGCTCAAGAACCTTCCAAGAAGGACACCGACCCCACCCACAATGCATCGAGATGAGATCCAACGTCTCATGCTTGAGGGAAACTATGTTCTCATGCCTACGGGTGTGGCGGACTATGAACCACGAGAGTCGTCCAGCCTGGAAGAGCCTGGGTTCGAACCCATGATTGACTTGGGAGCGTATGAAGCCGATGCTGAATTTGAATTCCCAGTCATTGATCTTGATGCTGCCCTCGGCCCACTTAGCACCCCAAAGTCTCCTAGCAGACCACTTTCCGGATTCGAATCCGCAAGGAAGCGTATGCACTCTGCTGCCGGATGGAATTGCTACCACCGACGTGCAGAGAGTATGCCTGAAATGCAACTCTTCTCCCTTGCTGAGGACGAGATCGAGGGAGACGGAATGGGAGATGTTTTTGAAGATACTGAAGAAGAAGATGATGATGATGATGAAGAGGAAGAGGAAGACGCTGATCTTACGCTCACTGTTGAAGACCTCCCTAAACCAGTCATGCCCGCTGGGCTTGCACTAAACTGGGATACTGATGATAGTGAGATTGAGGAGCTCGATATCGTTGACGGCGTAGCAAATGTCCGCAAAGGTATCAAGCGCAAGATGAGCCGCCTGTCGGAAGACACCGACCCTGCAAGCGAGTCTCAACTATCAGAGGATGTGGTAATGAAGACCGATGAAGCTCTTACATCAACAGACGCCCTTTCCATCCCCACACCTACCACTGACACCCAGCTTTCTCCAATCTTCAACACCAACAACCTCCTAACAAAACCAATGAGCAACGCCAGCGGAAATGTTTCTTACAACTCTTTACATCATGCTTCATCATTCGACCAAACACCAGCAGTTACACCTAGCACCACCAGCACTTCTATCTGCCCACCTACGATGCCCTCCACACCCCATACATCGGACTTCTTGCTTCCACCTGTTCCTCACTTGTTCTACCAGGAGGATGACCGTGTGACAATAATGTCAGGTGCTTCCATCTATGAGGACCCTCTTCTTCTTGGAGAACCTGGCCCGGAAATCAGAATGAGTGTTTCGGTTGATGACATCCCCGCAACCTCTCACTCTCAAACAAAGCGTTTCTATCCTTTCTTCGGTGGTAGCGCTTCATACAGCACCATGCCTGACGTTGAAACCGGGTCCACAGGTACACCCGAGAAGGTCAAAGAGAAGAAGGAAAAGCGATGGAGCAAAATGTTTTCATTCTGGAAAGGCAGATCGTCTACCAATTAAAAGAACTCAACGACTCACCTCCCACTCACCCACGAACTCACCTACGGAATTTTATTTATCGGTTATGTAATATTACGGTCACGCATGATTCATATGCAAATCTCTATTATCCTTTTTTTTCCCCTTTCTGGCTTTCCATATTTCCTTGATGTCAAAAAACCTGCGTATCCCTCCGATTTCCTTGCCTGCCAAAAGAGGCTCCGACAGCCATTTTCTCGTCTTTCCTTACGCATTGAATCGAACTCTTAGACTCAACTTTTCAATGAATTTCCTTTAACTTTTTACTTTTTACTTATTCTCCTTAACTTTCTTCTCTTGAGGCAAAATAACACCACACAACCCGAACAGCATTTGCAAATACACCATTCCGAAGGCATTGCATATCTTTTTCTTGCTGCATTCATGGTTTCGCCGATAGACCCTCGAACTCACCTCCTTACGACTCTGTGATTATATATACCTCTTTTTTCCTTTATTTCCTTGACTCTCCTTGCTTTATTCCTCTTCGCCCTTGCGTTATCTGATTTCTCGTATCGATCGCCCTGATTCATCTTTTTTATATATATAACTGTAACGCCATTACCGACCCTCTTGCTTCTATACTTTCCTTAATGTTAATTTCCTTTTTTTTGAGATAACTAACTTTTATTTTTTATTTGAAAACCCCTCCGCCACTGTTGGGATTGGGATGGAGAAAGAATAACGGCTGTCCTAGTTTATTTTTTTGGAATAGGGAGGGGTCTGATTCTGTACTTTTTTTTCTGCTTCAAGCACGCTTTCCTTCGTCTCTCTTTTTTCTTTCTTGCACACTCCTTTTTCCTTTTTTTTTTTGAAAAATATGGGCAGACTTTTCTTTCCAACGACGATGCATGGCAGCCATAAGGTGGTGGGAGTTTTACTTTTTCTTGAAACGAAGGGATTTTGCTACTGCCGTCGAAACACAATATTTAAGAAGAATTAACAAAACTCAATGAAAAGATAAAAAAGAATTTTTGAACACAAGTTAAACTTTTTTTCGGAGAGAGGAGGAGCCCGGGATTATATATTTTTCAAATTAACAATGGGAGAATTTGTGAGAGAAAAAATTGTGGGGAAAAGGGTATGCGCTTTATTCTCTTTCTTTTTTTCCTTCCCTTCAACAACATTCTAGATAGTCTGTTTGTCTGTCCTGTTCCTTATTCGTGTATATTGGAATTGCGAGGATGCGATATATGGATTTGATCGGAATGGCTGTGAAGGTTAAGAAAGCGGGGGAATAAAGTAGTTTTAGCTAGCTGGCAGACCTTACTCCTTTTGTTAGAGGAATTCAATAAATAACATTAACCTCTTGTGATCTTTTTTCGTCACTGTGTTTACCTTTTGTGAAGTTTCGGATGAAGGGCCTTTTTTAAAAAAACTCGCGATTGAGGTTCTGTGAGGTTGTAGACTAGTTAACTTGGGGTGCATTTTGATTCCGGTAAACGTCCGTAGATACACTAATTGATTAATCCACCGTGTTTACGAGGCTAGCTTTTCTAGATATATATATGTTGAATTCGGCGGGGATGTAGTTATAATAAGCCGGTTGTTCGTTGTAACATATAAGGTAGCCATCGTATAACTATTGAGTTTCTCGACTAGATGTCATATATAGATTCTCTAGTGAAATGGCCGCGCATTCATATGATTATCATGGTGATATACTGGCTTGATAGTTCAGCAAATTGGAATATGCGAAAGGTAGATGGGTTTCTGGCGACTTTGAATTAGGAAATGCTAATAAATTTGGAAAATCCGGGAACATCGCCATCTCATTGTGTATTCTAAGACAGTTTATTGCCGGGCGGCCTGTATTGATATCTATTGCTAGATCGAGAAGGGTTGTTTATTATGTGAAATATTGCGTATATTCGTCCAACTCTGATCGTAACTCTATATCTATGTCACGAGCAAGGCTGGCTCGAAGGACTATAGTTATATTTAGATGGAACATACGTCCTCCACTCATGATGAGCTTCAAATTCCGGGTCCGGCTTACGAGAGAATTATGGGCAGGCGGTTCGAACTGTATACTATTCGCAATTGTACCGGTATCATTTTGGTGTCTATCAGTGTCTACGTATTTTCAGACCAGCCGCATTTACATTATAATGTTATGAAATAATGTATCGTGTCGTCGATTCTAAGATTGCTAATGCTGAATGAGAAGTTGTCTCAACGTTATCGCTACCTCGTTAGAAGGAATTTTAGTGGCTTTTCTAAGCACTACCTGGCGGATGTATACCTCTAGAGAACTATGAGGATAGTAATATGGATTCGAGAATCGATTCGGGTCAGTCGGTTTGAGGCCTCCTTCGGGCAACAGCAGTGGAAGATGCGTTGTTTTTGTTGTAAAATGAACACCATATCGAAGGAACCGAACAACCTTCCGCAGTCGAACAAAGACATCATGAAAAAGAAAATTATATGTATCTCTAACCATCACTTTGCTTCCCTTCTTCTGCTTCATTGAGCACCTTATATAACTATACAGTTCTTCTCAAAGATATCAAGCGTTAGCCTAGATCTTTTATATCCGAAAGAGTCGACTAGTCTCGGGCCTGTGTTGCGTTGTTTACCAAATCCGAGTCCTCTGATTGGCCCAAAAGCCCAGTCTCCGAGCGAAAAGAAACCGCAGAACCGCAAAAACGTCAATTCTTCCGACGACCCGCCAAACACACACTCTCTACATACATCTTCCGACTACCCGATCAACGAACGACCGGCATCATCGAGCCTCCCTCCCCTCCGACACCTTCTTACTCTCTCCAACTTATACACATCCTCTCTTCTTCACAATGGGTGGCGGCGGAAAAGCAGGGCCAAACAAGTAACCTCCCAATTCTCCCCCCATGACATCAACGAGGAACCTCCCTCCTCATCCTCCTCAAAGTAACACACCGGCTAACATCTAATCTCTTTACAGCTGGCTTGGAAACTGGGGCACCTTCGGTAATCTCCCTCCTTTCAATCCCCCCTCCCCTTTCTACATATCCTCCCACAGCCGGGAACTAACCGTTGCTTTGTATATATACAGGCCTCGCCCGTCAACGCGGTATCATCCAATACACCCTCGCAGCAAACCGCCAAAAGGCTACAGCTGGAGCTCTACACGGTGCTATCTTCAATGGATGGAGGAGATTTAGAGGACAGGTACTCTACATTGTACCGCCGTTTGTAGGAATTTACTATTTGATGGAGTGGGCGAATCACCGGTATGTTCCTCTTTTTACTCTTCCTCTGTCTTTGTTTGGAGGAGTCGGGGATTGACGGTATTGGGGCTAATTTTGTTTATTCCGGGGGGTGTAGAAATGAATTCTTGAATAGTAAGGCCGGACAAGCGCTTTACGGAGATTCGGAGGAGTAGATTTTGAGCGAACTTGGCACATAGCAGTTGGAACCCTTTGAAGTGGTATGGTATGGTATATTATTCTTGCGTGATAGAAGATATTGTCGCCTACAGATACTTATTTCTCCCTCCCGGCACTATTTCTTCTCGCGAGCCGAAGTACCAAACTTCGCGCCTTTTGTATATACGATTTTTGCTCCAGTCTAAAAATATGATCATTAGTGATCCCCCCTGGTACGATTCTTAACTATCCGCCAAGACACGAAACGGTGATGTGCGAGAGCATTTCGTTTTCTTCAAGGCTGGGCTTTGTATGCGTATATTAGGTTGCCATTGACGTAGTTTTTCATTTATTTGCAGAGCTATTATACCTCCTTAGCTATCCGCTGAATTGTCAGCCTACAGTTTACCGATCTCTTTATCCTAATAGTTTATTTGCCTACTCCTCCCTCCCTGCTTCGGGGTGACCTGCGACTTCACAAAGACGAGGGAAAGTAGCGACTTCCTTCGGAATACTGCGCCAGCATTGCCTTCCGCCTTTCACTGAAAGAGGTCTATTCTGTTATTAATTCGCGCTACCGTGCGGACGGATATACTAGCCATGGCTGTAATTATAAGCCTCGTCATATATTAATATATTATACACTGGAACCGGATCCCCAGGGCCCCCAATATATGAGCTGTCCCCTCCAGGTAAATCCGGGTTGAAATTTATACCATTACAAGGATTACATGCTGTGTAGTCGATACATATCGACGTCATACTGTAAAGCTCATCCGATATCGACGTTCAGCTTGTCATCGTCTCTGTTGCTTGGGGGTTATTTTGATGGTATGTTTTAGTTATCATGCGAGCCCAATCACAACTAGAGCTCATCGATATACACTGGCTATGGTCCTATGGCTGGACGCCAGGCGTGATATATATCGTGGGGCAACACTTTTTGGTCCAATTTTACAACAATTCTCTATCTTGACAATCCCAGTCTCGTTGGACAACCCTGGGGCGATGATTAATATTAATTTCGTATGTATCGGTAATTGTTCTGGGTTCCTTATAATGTTTATCAAAAACGGACACTCCATATTGTTTAGAACAAATGGCGGTTGGGATTGGATTTTTAGAGAATAAACCGGTAAAAAATAATTCGGTTTCAAGAAGTTGAGACGCGGACATACTAGTATTAATGAGCGGAATTAATGGGCTTTATTGATTGCACCTAACATAGCCAACATAAACATAGAACTTCAAAGCGCATTCTAGGACAGGATCGTTTGTTTATTTGAACAAAAAAATATATTCAAACATCAAAAAACAATTCTTCCTGTTGTATATAGACTAAGAATTGCAGAGAAATAAGGAAGAAAGTTGGCTAAGCCTCGGGCCACAAATCGCACCTTCGCCTTCGTAACCTCCATAATCCGAGCCCACCAAATAGTTTCCAATTGCGGTTCAGCCTGCAACTTGGGTGGTTCTGTGTGAAGCTAGTCCCAGTATTCTGGCAACTTCTTCAACTCTGGGAACAATTTCGCGGCTCGAGCTGGGAGGCAGCGGACGTAGTCAATCCATTCCTGTTTGCACTTAGCACACAAAGCAACCCCCCCGAATTGGTAAATATCCTGAGCACCATAGTCATCACGACGAACACAATCCGGGCACTCATCAGCCTCAGAGCGGTCGAGGCACTCAGCGAGACCTTCAAACATAAACCTCTCCTTCAGGGCAACCCATCCAGGGTACCTATCCACTTTGATCACCTTGGTGTTGGGCTCGACACGGTACCACAGATTAACATTATTGCGGGTTCCTTCTACCACCTGGACGGTTTCGGGTCTTCCAATTGTAAGCCCATCTTCGATGAAGCGGTACCTTCTCATCGTCATATGGATGGTGCCACCCACGTGACGCATGAAGTTGGTGACATAGGTGCTCTCTGGTTTGGTTGCCCAGGCTGCCTCGAGAGCCCACAGAAGCTCACGGTACAGATGGGTCATCTCGAGACGCATATCCCCCTCGACATAGGCGAAGAAGTTGCTAATCTCTCCTTCCGCCCTATGCTTGAAATATGCGACGGAATCATACAATCCGAGACAAATCTCGGCCAAAAGTTGGATTTGTTCCTCGTTAAACCAGTGCTTAGACATATCTATGTCATTACAAGCCAATGCTGCAGCCATAGTGAAGCGAATAGTACCATCGCAGTCTCTAAGTCGGTAGTAGTCCTTGGCGGAATGTCCAAGCGCATTCGTGTGACGTCGGAATAGGTCAGAGCCGTCTTTGGCACTGCTGACTTTCTCAGAGACCGATACAAAGAAGGAACGAATTTCACGCCCCATTTCTTTGTGAAGTGGTGTACCACCAAACAAGATATCGACTTGCTCCTGCAGGTTATATCCCACCATTTCATCGGTCTCTTCGGGGCGGAATAGGTCACCGCAGAATTCGCAGGTGAATTCTGCGGTCAAGATTCGTGCGAAAGCGAGGTAGCGCGCCCAGTTTGACCAAATGGGGATCACAGCGCGGGTGTATTCCCAGCCGGTGTTTAACACCTCAATTCTAATTTCCTCGGAAAGGCCAGTATTCAACATGTCGTTTTGCATCTCTTTGGGGATGAACCATCGAGATTTGGGAACATTGACCACGGCCTTTGTTGCAGGAGGACCTTGAGACAGATCAGTTCCACGTGCAGAAGGTTCAGAGATATTGACAGTCATTTTTGGGTTGGTTTTGGGTCTACTGGTTGATAAGTAGTTATAATAGATGGGGAAAAATCTTTGTAGATTGATTGATTGTATTTTGTCTCGATGCCGTTGGATTGTCCTTCGACTGAAAGATGATGGATTATGAAAGGGCTGGATGGTCTGCATTTTATATTCAAATTTCAGACTACCTTGAGGTGGCTCGAGATAAGATCTATTTGCCCTCCCTTCAGTAGTACCAAAGACCTCGTCTTGAAGCCTGCGTCATTCTCTGTAGAATCCCGTCTCCCTTGATTGGTTGTGGCATTATAACTTCTTCCCAGCTCCACTTCTTCACACCGACCATACAGGGACGGCAACTCCATTGGCGGAACTTGCCGCACTGAAAATAGTGCGGGTTATAACAATGCTTTCTTAAAGATAGATTTTAATTCCCCATTGCGAGGAAAGATCTATCTTTTTGGAAGAGTACCCACATTTGTTGGGTCCATACATAAATCTGCATGAAATCGCGATATATCTTTTTTCGTGAAATAAGCCTCATTTTCCGTCTTGGATCTCTCCGGACTGTCGTCGGACGTCTCCAGGCTACAACTTGAATACCCCTTGCTTGGCTCCCGTGCGGGGTTGAGAATATTCGATGCGGGGTCAGCACATCGCTTTGGTGCACTTCCCCTTCTCTCGATCTCCTCTGCAATATTATCGAAGGGACAGATATTCTTATGATATTTTGCTATCGATATAAGATGTTATTCAGTTAAAGAAACCTTTTTTCCCCATCCCCCCCCCCCCCTTTTTTTTTTTATGAAAGAAGACCCTTTTCGTCTTCAATAGATTACAAGGGAAAAACGTTTGATTTTGCACCTCTGGATTAAGTTTTTACAAGTTCTTACATCATGATTCAAAATTCTGTTTTTTGATAAAGAAAAACATCCGCGAACCGGTAGACTCTTAAGTTTATCATATTTTAACAAGCATACATATTCAAGGTGTGTCTTAGTTTCGATTCGGCAGCCATCCGGTGCCCTTGGGTTTGCAAAGCTCACGAACGGAAAAGAATTCCAGAAAGCTCCTAAATTTATTTGGAGAAAAAGATTTTCAGGACGGGGAACTTTTCCTTCGTTTTTCTGTAAGTTTCATCCACTATACTACCTGTGAGCTCTGTTCATGTAAGGTTCTTTTGAAGCTTGGTGATAGTTGGTTCAGTTGACGGAGAACCGTGTTGGATTTGTTGGATTTATGAACTTCGGATGAAGGGGCACATGGCGGTGGGTGTGGATGAAATTCTTCGCTTGCTTGGAATGTCAGGTATGCTAGCTGCTTAGTCTTGCTTCCCGTCGACACCCAAAAGAAGGTAAGATAGTACATGTACAAGTATCAAGCAAAGGTCTGGTCTGGGAGATCCCTGCTTGTGCTGGAGGCCCTTTTTTGTGTATCTTTGGATCGATTAGGTTCTTGGTTTGGTATAGCGATCCGGGTTTGTGGTGCGATCGATACCATGCTTCGGATCACGGTGCTTGGTATGCTCAGATCCCTGTCTGAAAGCTATCAGTACGAAAGCTACTACATGTATTTGGGTCGGTACCGAAGGGTTATCCTCTATCTCGGTGGGGGTATAAACATTTACTTTGACGATATAGCCTCGAGATCACTATGTGTGATGTAAATTGTATTTATTTCTTAGTATCGCCACTTGAGCCTTTCAGCCTATCTAGGTTATCGATATATCTCAGCCATACCAATTCCTTTATGGAATCAATTCTAAGATATGTATTCTCGCAAGCCACGCACCCCATGCAATTAGATATGGATTGAGGCTCCTCCTTCCCGTATGATTTCCTTAGGAATTGATACTAGGATATCTCTTATTCATTCTTAAGGTCTTTATGTCCCAGTGCCCTTAGCTAGCTGTTAGTTAAATCTGACCAATATAATAATATAACACGATTTAGGTTACTTAAATAGTTATACAACAGGTGGCTTAGGTTGTATGATACCATAGACTGGTAGTACGTGGGATATATGCCAGTAGGCGTCTAAATTAAGTACGAAACTAAGGGGGGTGGTTCTAAAGGAAGGTTTTAGAGTAGAGTATGAATATCATATGATTGATATATATTAAGATATATATTATCTTTGTTAAGTAAGCAGATAGACGAAAGCAATAATCCCGGTGGCAATAGAATGCCCTAGTCTCAAGGATATATCGCCAGATCGTACAAAGCGTGTCTAGTGTAGTGTGTGTGTGTAACCGCTTGAATAATTGAAATCCGCCGTATCGATCGTAAAATATCATCACATATAAGCAGCAAGATGTAACTTTTACAAGCGACTCGAAAATTTCCGAGGTGTGGACGGCCGGTCCCATACATGCATACCATACTACGACCCTGTATCAAATTATGTACTTCTCCATCCCCCCTGGTGGCATTAATGATGCATTTATGTATGTAGGTACATACCGAGGGGCATTATTTGGGAATGTATTATTCTAGCGAAGAATTACACCCGAAATGGAGGGGTGGGTTTTATTTTATAGCTCACAAGTTGGGAGGACAAAAATAAAGTCATATAGGGAAAGGTATAAGACATGAGATTTCTTAAGTTATACGCATAAGTCTGTTCCACCCTCCGCTTCACTATGTATATGCCATGCCACTTGTGTTTCCTTCGAGGCAAGTACAAAAAAAAACATAGAAGAAGGGAAGGGAGAAGGCCAACCAGTCGTCGTTAATATACATGCAAGGAGTTCAAAAAGGGAAAGCAAAAAAAGGGGATGCGTACAGAGAAAAGGAAGTAGTAAGAGGGATGAGTTAAAAAATATGATAATGGAGAGCATACATGCATGGCAAAAGAACACCGCCCAGGTTATGTTTAATGTTAATAGTTAGAATACATTTTTTTCATCCGTTCAAAAACAAGAACACCAGTTTGTTTGAATAAAACCCCCGTTGAAAGGCAAATGATGCTGTGCTGGAAAACGTGGAGAAAAAAGCGAGATGTGTTTGTTTTGGGGTTTTTTTGCTTCTTGGAAGGGGGATGAATGCGAGGGGGGAAGGGAGAGGGGGGGCTGAGTGGGGGCTGAAGGGACAGAAGTTGGACGGTTGGACGGTTGGCTTGTGTATAAAAATTTTATAGTGGTGTTTAGGAGGTGTATAAGTTAGAGGTGTCGTTGTCTTTGATTTCGTATCGTTTCCGCTGCATAACCAGTCGCTCATTGAAAAGGGAAATGGCAAAAAGAAAACAGAAAGAGACAAATCCATTGAGAGAGGGGACACAAAAGGCAAGCAAATCCATCGAGTAAAACAGTAGAAAGGGATAAAATTGAAAGGCGAAAAAGTCCAAGAAAATTTCTTCAACGCCACAATCCATCCCTTAAGCTCATGAGATTCTCAATGACCTCGAGTTCATTGGGTTGTGGAACTCGTCCGTCAAGATCCCCAAGAATATCCCTTGGGCCTTTGGGCCTCCAGATAGGTTGTTGAGCCTGCTTGCTCTTCCTGACCTTGAACCCTGGTTCCCAGTTTTCCTTGTCTGAGTCTCCTTCATCGCTGGACTGGTAGATGGTGAAACCGGCCTTATTAGCGTTCTTGCCGTTGAGAGTGTCGGCGAGGGTGCGATAGGGGGAACGGTTCTTGTTGATAGCAGACATTTGAGGAGACGGAGTGGCCTTCTTTGGACCCTTTTGTGACGCGGTGAGGACCTTTCGTGGGTTATTGTTGGTCTTGGAGGTGGCTGGGCTGAAATGTTGGATTTTAAGAGGTTTTGGAGAATCAATTGAGGTGGTTGTGTTGACCAAAGGAATGATGGGATTGGCCGATTTTGGACCCAGAGCATTCTTGGTCTTCTTCTTCTTCGCGGCCTCCGAAGTCATGAGAGCGGTCGTAGTCGGCTTTTGCTTGCGTGCATCGGCTGCAGCCGCGGCTTTGGCTTTGGCAGCAGCGACAACACCACGAGCACGGATAGTCTTGAGGGCTTTGCGAGGAGAATCTTCTTTGACTGGTTCGACGCTGAGGGAGGTGTCGCAACATGACTCCCAGATTTTCGCGTTCTCGGTGCGACGCTTTGGAGGGGTGTGTTCGTGGAAGGAGGTTTGAGAGCTTTGACTACCACGTGGAAGGGCATCCTCGTCGTCCTCGAGGATGATGGTAGCTTTGCCGTCAAAAGACATGGAGAGACGGACGGCAGAGGAAGAACGTTTGAGGAGAGATGGAGCCGGTTGGGAACCAAAACCGGAACGACGAGGGTTGACGAATGTTTTGACAGGCTCTTCGATATCCATTGGCTTAGTCATGTTGAAGTGAGACATCTCCAGATCGTCTGGAATGGTGGACTGAGTAGACTCGAAGGAGGTATCTGGCGTTTCAGAAGCCGGATTGAGAAGGAAATGAATAGGCGAAGTCTTGCGAAGGATCTCTGGCTCCATGAAAGAATCGATGGAGGAGACCGAGGTATCAGCAGTCATCATGGAGATATCTGGTTCCGTGGCGTCAGATGTATGATGGCTCTGGAGGTCTCCGTCAGGGCAGGGAGACGAAGGACGACTGGAGTGAGAGGGGAGTTCAATGGTGTCGTCGTCTTGAGGGATCTTTAAGGCAGAGTTAAAGGGAGATATAATTGGATCGGAAGAGAGGGGGACGTTTCGAGGGATGATCTCGTGAGGTTGAAGAGGTTTGCTCTTTCGTCGGTGGGTTTGACGACGATTTTGGAACCAGATCTGTGTAGCAAAAACGGTTAGAAGATGTTGATGTGGATGCCGACGTTGAAGACGACAGCAATGATGGTAATCGTTGTGTGAGTATCGTGACATACCTGAACTTGCTTGTCCTCCAAGCCAACTCGCGCTGCAATCTCCTTTCGTTTGTGCTTGTCTGGTCGGTCACATTTGGCAAATTCTTCCTCCAGGATGATCTGGTCCTTGTGACTATGAAATTGTATTAATTTTTTTAGCATATGATTATCGAAAACAATAAATTGGGTTTTTTTATTATTATTTAAGAGATGTGTATTTACCTGGTACGTCTACGTCTCCTTCGGGCTAGACTGGCATCGTCGACGTCTGGAGGAAGGTTGTTGGGAAGGGTGGCTGGGGAGTGTGTGATAAAGGCGAAGGTCTGAGCCGGAGCAGCAACAGGGCTGACTTTGGACGCCATATTTGTTTTGATCTCACTCGTTTCGTCGTGATATTGATATCGATGTTAATGTTAATGTTGATGATACTGATATTGATAATTGATCGTAGATGGTTGGTTGTAGACGGTTGATGGTTGATGGTTTAGTGGTTTGATGGTTTTGGTAAGAGGTTGTTGATAGGGCTATTACTCCCACTATTGCATTCGATGGACGGGACAACCAAAAGTGCCACGAGAAGGTATGCAACGTGGGAGACACTATACTCCGAGATTTAAATGAGCGTGAAGGTCAAATATCGACCAAACGTATCAAAGGGAATGGTACCAGAATATCTAGAATCCCCGGGACCGGGAGGTTGATTAGTTATTAAGTATCAATTTGATGTTGAAAAGGGTTAACAAAGTTGTTTTGGATAATTACCTAAACGGTTATATTCCGACCTCTTTTTCTTCCTCTTTGTCTCTCTCTCCCTCTCTCAAAATACGTGTTTTTCCTTTCGGATGTCTGATTAAGATCGGTTCTCGGAGTGAAGTGGAGTCTTAGTCTTTTTTTCGAGTGCAGTCCGGGGTGGCTGGCTTGGACGCGATATGCCCTGTCTTGTATTATTTTGGGGGGTGAAGCCGAGGAGAAGAAGAGAAGGAAAACGAAATGATGATATGAAAGGAAAGAAACAGGTTGATTGGCCAGTCCACCAGTGACTGGCCCTTTTGAGGAAAGTAAATTGGCTTGAAGGAACAAGGGTCACCGCGTATGGTGTGCTGTATGTATGGCTTGATGTTGATGTTCTGTCGCGATGGGCTGGGTGATGATGTTCCGAAGAAGGTGAGGTTAATTTGACCCTGGGCAATTGTCTGGTTTAGTCTCGAAGTCGTTAGTCTAGAAGCAATCCGGTAGTTTGTGGACGTGCCGCTGTTGTTTGGTAACCACCCGTTGAGAATAAACATCCACGAGACTATCCCGAAAGTGGCAGTGTTGATAATAACCGTCCACGAGACTATTCCCAGAATAGTAATTCGGTGTTCTGGCAATTTATTTTTCCAATTTACTCCACATTCGGCAGTCAAAGTGCTCTTTCTCTTCTTTTTCTTCTTGGCATATTAATACAATCAGGAACATACTTAGACGACTTCACATTTATACCTTTTATAAGGTCCTTTTTTTATTTTACATCTATTTTATTTATAAATATTCATTATGCCACAGTCGAAGAGACCCCCGGATTCGCTATCCAAGACCAAACAATCATCGAAACCCGACAAGATCAAGATCAAAAGAAATACTTCGACGACACAAAATAATAATAATAATAAGAATACTAATAATACTAATAGTACGAATAATAATACCAATACTGCCAGGAATTCGAAAAACTATACTACTACAAACCCGCTGGTTCTGTCACAATTCAAAACCATCCTGAACACCTTCCAGCACACCTTTTCACATCTCTTCACTCCAGAACTACCTCAAATCATTCAATCTGTCAAACAGAGCTTATACCTTAGAGACTATGTTGCGGCTTTCGACTCCCCAGAAAAGCTACAGGCTTATGTCGTCAGATGGAGTGTGGCTCGAGCTCTGGCTTACTTTGAAATGATCTCTGGACATTGGTGGTCTGAAGATGTTACACAAATATTCTCTACCAGCAGACGTCTCCGTGTAACCTGTGTGGGCGGTGGAGCCGGAGCTGAGATAGTTGGAATCACAGCTGCATATTCTTTTCTTAGGTCTTCTTCTCCTTCTCCTCCTCCTCCTTCTTCTCCTTCAATTGGAGTCGGGGGGGAAGATGTCGATACAGGATTGGATCTGACATTTCTGGACTTTGCTACATGGGCTCCAATCACCGACTCCTTCTACACTACTATCACAGATCCGACAAAGGAATCAAACTTTTTCCTTGATAAATCTAAAATTTCCGCCAGGTGTTATCAACAAGATGTTCTCACCCCGCTTTCGGATACTACTGTCTCGTCGATGGCGTCGGCTGACATTGTCACGATCTTATTCACCGCCGGAGAACTTTATTCTCAATCCCCGACCGCCACGACAAAGTTCTTTATGTCTCTTCATACCATTACCAAACCCGGTGCCCTACTCGTGGTCGTTGACTCCGCTGGTGGGTTCGAAGATCTTGATGTTTTGAAGAAGAATCAACAAGGAAATTCGTCCGGTGGGGGTGAGAGTGGGAAAGTCCAGCCAGATGGAAATATCGGCGGATACAAACTGGGGTTCTTACTCGATAAGACTCTAACGAACCGAGAACAATGGCAAACGGTCGTTAGTCAGGACGCGAAGTGGTGGCGGGTACCACAGGAATTAAAGGATACCGGCGGATACCCGCTGGAGTTGGAGAATATGCGATGTCTGATACGAGTGTATCGCAGGAACGACGACCCTTGATTCTCTCCCTCTCCCTCTCCTCTCCTCTCTCTCTCTTTTTCTTTTTTTTCCCCTTCTTTCCTTCTTTCCTTCTTTTTTTTATTTTGATATCCTTCTTACCTGGTGCTATATTTGTTCCTGCAGGCTGTCCGTGGCAAAAACGTTAGGATCAGCCGCTGCAGCTAGCTTAATTGACATGCGGTATAGTCGTTAGCTGCTGGATAAACTTGACATCCCATCCGATATCCCATGCATTGCATTGCACCCTTAAGCTTAACTCGACGTGACCTGCAGTGGACCTTATTTTCGCCCGGCCGAACAGCGAAAACACCAAAATAACTCATCTAATAAAATCCGGCGCTAGTTGGACACGACGACCTGGACCAGCTGCACAGCTCGCCGACAGCTACTTCGTTTGAGCAACTTCTTAGCTCTGAAGCTAGCCAGTTAGCTACACCCATTTAGCCCCTTCCCGAATCCTGCGCTGCCACCCTTCTCTCCTCTTCTTCCTCTTAACTTTTGCCTCTACTTCTCTAACCAACTAAACCAACTTCGATTTTCCCTCCTCTTATTTTCTCCTCTGCGAAATTCTAATTATCGTGCAATACCATCCTAATCCTTATCGCGAGATAAGAAACAAACAGATGACAGTTCCCACTAGCAAACCGTTACCAAAATCCATCTTGTCAAAGTCTGGATTTCTTTAATTATCGTCCTTACCTCTTCTCCTCTTCTTTTCTTAAACCAGTCAATTCATTCAAAAACAAGAACTAAAGTCAAAAAAAATAAAATAAGATTCAGCATGACTAACACCGATATCATCTCGGAGAATGACGGCGAACTATCTAAAAAACCCAAAGTTCTGATCATTGGAGCTGGAACCTGTGGGCTAAGAGCTGCAGAAGTCTTGATCCAAGCGGGATACGAAGTCAAGGTTCTTGAAGCTCGAGATCGAGTCGGTGGACGAATCGCCACGACTACAAAGCTTGGCCTTCCTTTGGATCTGTAAGCACCCTCTTATACAAATATAGCAGATGTTTACTCTCCTAACCGTCTATTTACACTATAGAGGTGCAAATTGGATCCATGGAAACGTCGGAAACCCCATCATTGCAATTGCTGAAAAGGCTAATTCAAGCTACAGCGTCGACGAGCTCGACGATACCGTCGTATTCGCCCCGGATGGATCTCTACTTCCCAAAAGGCTGGGGGATGATGTAGTCACTAAAATGTGGGACTACTTTGACGAAGGGATTACATACTCCGCCCAAAACATGGCGACCATCCAGCCGAATATCAGCTTCATGGAATACTACAAGTCCAAAATCGCATCGGAAGAAGGATGGGACGAAGAACGGCAGGCATATCAATTGCAAGTCGCGGATTTGTTAGGAAGTATTGTTGCTACGGAGATCAATAAGCAGGATTTTAGGAATTTACATATGGAGGAACCTATTCCCGGAGAAAATCTGTTTTTGTCCTCGACTTATGGGCCTGTGATGGATTTGATGGCGCAGACGGTTTTGAAGGAAGACGGGTGTTTGGAGTTGAATAAACCGGTTGAGAGGGTTGAGACCGTCCTGACGGTGGATAGTGGACCGGTTCATAGTGTTTACACTAAGGACGGTGAGGTCTATACTGCTGATGCGGTGCTTTGTTCGATCCCGCTGGGATCGTTGAAGCAAGATAGAATTAAATTTGATCCGCCAATGCCGGAGAAGATTCGACAGTCGATTAAGCATCTTGGCTATGGATCTTTGGAGAAGGTACCTCCCAACTTTTACATCTATACAATCAGATGATATTATAGCAGCAACTAACAATATCTAGACGTACATAACCTTCCCGGGAGCCTTTTGGATGGACGGGCCAAGCTACTTCATCTTCCTCGCTGACTCCACCACCTCAGACCATAAAACCATGGCCGCAATCTCCCTAGCCCACATCACCCCTCCACACAACCAACCAACTCTCCTATTCTACACCCACGGATCCGCCTCAAAATACATAACTTCGATCCTTCAATTCTCCTCATCCCCGCAAGAATCCCGTGCCAAAATCCTACAATTCTTCCAACCATACATCTCAAAACTTCCAAATTATTCGCCAACAAACCCTGATTGTATACCACGTGACTATGTCGCTACGAATTGGTTGAACGATGAATATGCTGGGAACGGGAGTTACACAAATTTCCCCGTAGGACTTGTGGACGGCGTTGAGGATGTCAGGGTTATCGAGGAAGGGATCGAAGAGAGGAGATTGTGGTTTTGTGGAGAACATACGGCACCGTTGTTGGGGCTTGCTAGTGTTAGTGGGGCTTATTGGGCTGGGGAGGTTGCTGCTAAGAGGTGTTTGAGGGCTTTTGGGGTGGAAAGGGAAGATGTTACTACTGTTGTTTAAGGGGGGTTTGTGGACATGGATACTTGATGCTGGTAGCGGTCTTACTTTACTTTCTAGGCGCGATATGCAATTCCAATCGATTAGGAACGTTCATGGTTCCTCTTTACGATCAATGTCGTAGAAATCCTTTTTGGAATAAGTAATACGTGTGTCTATGTACAAATAATACTGGCTTCTAAAAAAGCCCCGCTTCTCAATTCAAAGCCATAGCTCCAATCTCAGCCTCCATTAAACAAGTTTAAGTGCGGAGATACATAAAATCCACCCAGCGTCATTAACCCCTCCAAACCTTCCCCCCATCATCAGTTCTTTTTCCTCCTCCTCGTTCTCATTATATTACACGTCACTATCCAGCTCCTAGTGATATCGGATTAAGCCGTTCACCGTAATCCGAGCAAGTAGTTTCCACCTTTTCCATTGTCGCCGCCGGGGAGATAAGTGACGTTGGGGTTGCTGGCAAGCATTTGTGCGATGTCTTTGGCAGCATCGATCTTTCGGATTTGAATGACTCCGTCGCCACTCTTTTCGATCGCTCTGGAGATTGTCTCGGCAGATTCTGCTTCTCCCTCGGCACGGATGACGGATGCTATATTTCAACCACCAAATCTTAGTCTCTCACTCAAACAACAACAGTATCCAAAGAGAAGAGGAGAAATAGAGAAGAAAGGAAGAAGAAAGAAAACATACCCTGCCTCTCCTGTTCAGCCTTCTCGACAATAAACCTAGCCCTCTCAGCATCCTGCTGGGCGATCTGTTTCTGTTCTACAGCCTTTGTGAATTCCTTCCCGAAGGTCATGTGTGTGATACTGACGTCCTCCAAGGCGATATTAAACTCATTCGCACGTTTGAGCAATTCGGCACGGATGAGGTTGGAAACTTGTTCTCGTTGGGTGATCAGCTCTGCGGCGTCGAAGCGGGCTACGATCGCTTTTAGGACTTCGTTTCCAATGGACGGGAGGACTCTTTCGTCGTAGTCCAGACCCAATGACTATTATAACCATCGCCATTATCATCATCATTAGTATTATTATTATCATTATTATTATTATTACCACAAAGAAATGATATAGAAAGTACATATGGGATGCACACGGGGATGGGACAGTAGATAATACTAACCTGGTAAATCTTCGGCAACCTAGCAACCTCCGGTCTATGCAAAACCCTCAACGTCAAACTAACCATCTGTAAATCTTTACTTCCAGTCGTAGTACTGATATTCCGAGGCTTCGTTCTAACATCGTAGATAATCGCCTTTTGTAACCAGGGGATTAAAAGGTGCGTCCCCTCGTTTACAACGGTTTCTTTCACACCACTCATTCGGTCGAAAATTACGGCGCGAGATCCACCTTTAACGTCGTATAGAGAGGCTTGTAAGAGTCCGACACCTACGGCCGCGGGGACGGCAAGGCGGTAGACGGCGTTTAGAGCTGTTGCCATTGTTGTTATGATGGGCCTTTTTCTTTGGTGGTGATCGTGGTGGGGGTAAGGTGAGGTTGGCGGAGGGTTTTGGCGGATATGATGTTAAGCTAAAAATTTGTGATGGGTTAGGCGGGGATTGTGGGGAGAGGCGGAGATAAGCGGAACATACGCAAAATATGTAGTTAATGCGGACCGCGCAAAATACCACAACACCGCAATGATATGTGCTATGCATTGTGCTATGCAGCTTAACTGGCGGCTTTATTGTTTTCGTTACCTCCAATATCGAAGAATTGATATCATGGCCCTAGGATAGTTGAATATTTTAACTAGGTAGCTCACGCGTATTATGAATGATGGAATTTAGGAATGTGGTATTCAAAAGTTCTTTGATGATACTATGACTATGACTAGTATGTATACGTAAGTAAGCTATGGACGCTGTAGACGCGAATTCGTATTCCGGCCATCCCCATCCCATTCTCGAATCTTCCCGCTGATATTCACAGCAAAGCAAAACAAAAAAGAAAGAGACAAAAAAAGGCTGTAAAAGTAAAAAAATTGCATACAGTAACGACAGTCCGGGGCTAGTGCAATGCATGTATCGAATAGGTTGAAGAGGAAGAAGCGAGAGGGAAAACAATGTCTTTTAATTATAATGCAACCGTTAAAAAAGTATCAACAGCGGGATTTTCAAGTAAAAAGAAAAACCGAAGACGACGCTAGTACTGCTAGGTTTAAAATATGCAGATAGACGTTGCTGTAAGAAAAGTGTAAAAAGAAAAAAAAGGAATTAAAAGGAATTGGTGCATGCGCATATGCGTGTACGTGCGTGTGTCATGAAAGGGCATCTCTAAAGCAAACGCTTTGGCTTTAGCGCTTTGCAATAGTAATGATAATAATGAAAATATCAATGAGGATAGAAAAGGGAATTGAAATGAAACCAGCAGACAACCCCCTCGATTTTGTGGCTATGATTCGGATGCCGAAGAACAGAAAGGGGGAGGAACAGATAAAGCCCAGAACACCATGCTAGATAAAGATCCCTATGATTGGAGAGAAGAGAGAAGAGAGGAACAGCGGAATTAAAAGGCTTTTTTGGAAGGAGGAAATGGTGGGTGGGCCCGCGATTTTTGGATCACACGGTGGACGGGGCTTTTAGGTCGCTTTGCGTTTTCTACGCATATACTATATACAGATAATGACTAGCCTGCTGGACTATTGGTGGTTTGAGGCATCAAAGAGTGGTTCGGGTGTATTTGACGGGGGGTCGGTTGATTATAGTATCAATTGGTGAAGATTCTTTTGAAGGATGACTATATGCAGTGTTAGTTGATACAAGACTCGGGTGTCTAGATGTATATGGCGGGAACTCACTGTCTTGAACGCTGGACATGGTAATCTTGAGAAGATCGGTATCGGTGGCGTTGGTGTAGTGAACGTAGATATCCTTAGAGGGATTTCTATTGAGTCTCTTAAAATTGTCGTGGAAGAACTCGGAAGCTTGTTTGTACGACTCTGGGTCCCCGGTATAGTCCGGGAAGTACTTCTTCACCGGCGATGCGCTGATTTTCTCGCGGAAGAGATCGATCTTGTTCATGAAAAGGATGATGGAGGTTCGTATGAACCAATGGGAGTTGCAGATTGATTCAAATAGCATCAGAGCTTCTTGCATTTGGTTCTATGTTTTGGATTAGCGGTTGCTCCCAGACCAGGTTTGTGGCTGGCTATACGTACGGCATCCTTGTCCTCGACAAGACATTGGTCGTATCCGCTAATAGCGACCAGGAATAGTAGAGCGGTGACACCCTCGAAGCAGTGGATCCATTTCTTTCGCTCAGATCTCTGGCCACCGACGTCAAACATGCGGTATCTTAGCTGGCCGAGGTCGAATTCTGTCTCATTAATTCCAGTGGTCTTCAGTCTCGATCTCAAAATATCTTGGTCGTTCGGGATATAGTCGACAGCAAAAATTCGATCCAACTCCTCGTAATAACTAGGTATTCGTCAGATTTATATTGAGTCGCAGTGTAAATGGTGTGAGGACTCACTATGACAGGTTATCGTGGAGGGCAAATTCATTTCCTCGAGCTACAGTTTGCTGTACACCGGCATCATTCCAGAGGGATTTCAAAGGTGCTAGATGGTCCCTTGGCATCTTTTCTCCGCTGCTGAGTTCCTTTTGGTTCAAGATCAAAGAGACATGTTGCTAGAAGTTCGTGAAAACAGATCAGCTATTGCAATCTATCTGTGCTGATGCGAATGACCCATACCTCGTTCTCTGCCTTCTCAAATGCTAAACCGAAATGTTCCATCTGTTCCAGGACAAGCTTCATAGATTCAGTAATGTTCGTGAATATTATTCCCCGATACCGCTCTCTGTCGGCCTTTTGGAATCCGGCGGCGTATATCAGCTGCATCTGCTTGAGAATTGTGGATTTTCCACTTTCACCAGCACCTAAAAGCAGCAGCTTGACCTCCCTTGCCATTCGTTTTTCGTCCTGCCTGAGCGTGCGCTCTATTTCTTTCGACCGCAGCCTTTCGGCTGAGTCTTCGTGTGCATCTCCACCCATGCACATTTCGAGGAATGACCCGAAGAGCGGAATCTTGGATAGCTTAATTTTGACAGTGCCCTAAACGCGGCAAGCGTATTGGTCTGCGATTTCTCGCAAATTTATATATAGAAAGAAAAAGGAGGAAGAGGGGAGGAAGGATACGGATTCTCTTCGTCCCGATAATTCAGTATAGTCGTTATGATGTAGTTGATTGATGGTAGTATATGCTGGTTGGATAGAAGAAGAAGGATAGAACAACGTCGAAAACCACAGAAGAATTCGTTCAGGCGGTTAGTCGAAATCCAAGAGGATTAGCAGTTCTTTGAATGTATTTGGCACACCTCGAAACAATACGATCGAGAGAACAGGCAAGGATGTTGTATAGCAACGGCGATGGCCAGTAGTATTGATTGATTGATGGGACAATGAGGGATAAGCTGATGATGCCAGGGCTTCGATGCTATCGATATCGGAATACAATACAGTTCTAGAAATTCGGCCAGGTACGGGTGAAGAACGGACGGCTCCGGTAAAGACGGACGAAAGGGAGAGGCTCCTGAATTTGAATTTCGGACAGTGAAATGAAATAAAGCGCAGATGATGAAGGGTTGGAGATACTGCTTTAGTAAGGTGGGAAGGGAGGCACTTGTGTGTTGCGGGTTGCTGGTTACAGGTAATTGCGGTCTGCGTTTCAACACCAAGCCGGAAACTAAGGCGAAAGGAGCGACTGCTCGTTCAGGAAGCCGGGAAGATATTTGGAAGGCGAATCGGAGAGCTTGGCTTGGTGTTTTCCAGTTGGATTGAATTCTGCAGTTCGATTCTGCAGCTAGCCGGACGAGGGGCTTCCTGGAAAGTGGTTAGAAAGGAGGAGGTCGAGATGTTATCGATTTGAAATCCTGGGGTACTCCGGATGGACTGTAAGTACTAATATACTATTGACGACTGCGCTGATGATCAAAAGGTTAATACTTTTCTCTGTCAAAAAAAATAAAAAAATAAAATAAAATAAATAAAAGCAAGATCCGGGGAATAATAATATATAAAAAAAAAGTCTCGAGAGTGGCCAGGCGAAGGGTATAAGTAAGTACTTAAGAAGCATAGAAGGTAATTTTATTTTTTCTTTTCACAGGAAAAAGAAATGAAGAAGGAAGGAAGGAAGGAAGGAAGGAAGGAAGGCAGGCAGGCAGGCAGAACAGAATCCTCATGAATCGAATCGAATCCGAATCGAACAACCGTGGTACAGTAAAACCCACTAACCAGGCCAAAAAAGAGACAGGAAGGTCTTGGAAATACCCGCGACAACATGATGAGTGAAAACGGCCACGGCACGCTCGCCTACTCCAGATTCATCATGGCGTTTCCGCAAAACGGGGAAATCGGGCTTGCAGCAAACCCAAAGTCTGGATACTTACATCACACACGACAATACGAGATGCCTCCCACAATTGTAAGTAGTAAACTATTTTTTTTCTCTCTTTCTTATCAGGCTGAAGTCAAAGATCTTGGGGTTCGGAATTCGGGGCCAACCGGATTTTATGTACTAATTGCTCTCCGCTCTAGTACTACTATATCCAGCTTCTGCTGCGCGCAATAATAATGCAATGCAGGGAAGGAGGAGGGATGGGAGGGGAAAGTTCGGGTGGAGAATGAACATACGAAACCCGATTGCAAAACCCACCAAGAATTCCTCGCTGCTAGCTGTATTTTCTAGCGTCGTGTGCCTGTGAATGCGGGCACGGACCACGGATTGGAGCAACCAAGCCCGGGGAATTGGCCTAAAGTGTGACAGCGAACCACAAGAGCCGCCGGAAGGTCATCAACAGAGGGATAGCCTTCGGAGAATGGCTGAAGGAAATTGGCGGTGCAAGGTCGGGGAAACGATGGTTATAGATCTGCCTGCTTTAGGTGGCATCCATGGGAAAATAGAGATATGGGACTAATATCAGACGGGTGGAGCAGCCCAAGATATGATATAGTATGGAATAAGAATGGAGGTATGTATGTATGATGGTATTAATGCAATGCAGACGAGACAGGCGGGTGTCAACTTAACTTGACGGGGGCCAAGTTGTCAATAGCCTCAAAGCAAGCACGCCAAAGGACACTAGCTTCGAAGCCATCTGCTATAGGTTCCTGTATTAAGATCCCGACTTAGGTAATGGTACCTTGCGGTTGGAATAACACGACAGCAAACGGTGGAACCCCAATATTAATGACTCTCGCCCTGCAGCCGGACAATAAACAACTGTTGTTATCCGAAACATTGCATTTGCGGAGATGATTCAGAAAAAAAAAAAAGATTCCCGAAGTAGGCTGTATATAACCTTGATCCATCGTCTGTGGATCAGGCCGCACTTGGAACCCGTATGTTCGCAGCGTGATGCAGAACTTATCTTTCGAGGAATCCGCACCATGTCGGAGCGATTAAACTCAAGATAGGAACCGGAATATGTAGCGTAATGGTGGTATCGATCGAAGCAAGTATCGGTACACCTCGTCGGAATAGTGCCAGAATCATAACAAAACGCTAGGGAAGCCCTTAAGTATTTACTTACCAAATTATAGTATTATTAAGTTACACAGTATCCTCGAAACTGTCGTCAGTGGCAGTGGAAGCGAGTTTTGAACGCGGGTCGAGTATTAATCGTCTGTCAAGATGATGAGGACCATATATAGACTGTATTCCCCCTCTTTGGCGAAGCTGGCGAACCAGTGTGCTCATATATGTTTGCCGTTGTTGAATTCCGAACCCGCCGACCCGACACGGGAATTGCCTTCCTAGCAAACCGTTACAAGTTGTATCCCGAAAATAGGAAGCCGTTGGAAAGGGAAGAAAGGGCGATCTTGTCAGTTTTACCTTCGTCGTAGCTAACTAAATTTAAAGAACTCTAGATACGAGGGTGATCCTGTCTCTAAAGGTTCTGTGATGTGTAACTTGGAACATTCAAGAACTTCGTTCGATCTGTGCCGAATGAAAGGTCTAAACAGATGTCATCCAAGAGAAAAACTCTACTAAATGTTAGCTCGTCGAGCTAGGGAGGGATCAAGGTTGATAGCTGAAACGGGATCAATGGCCCGCTTCGAGAACAGATACAAATCGTGGCGCGGAGATGACAGGCAGCCTAGTATCGCAACTTTCTAGCTCCGTCAAAAACTCCAAACCCAACAGTTGGTAGGGTAGAAACAACAACAACAACAACAACAACAACAAAAACAACAACATTCGCAAAGAAAAGTTAACGGGTGAAGAGGGAGAAAAGAAAGGCTGAGGCAGCTACTATGCACACATGGCCGAGGTTGAGTCCTAGCTGAGAGGGGACGGGCGGGGAAGATATGTTTACGAAAAGGAATGTGCAAATTGCGGATGAGATGGGGCAAGTCGATCCTGTGATGTTTTTTTTTTCTGTTCGCCAGACGCAGACCCTGAACAAAAATCACGGTCTAAAATGTTAATCGAAATTAAGGAGATGTCAGAAAATCAACAGGCTCCGAGATTTCGACACGGCGACAGTTTTGAACTCTAAGCCTTCGATTCAAGATTCACGAGCAAATATAAATGGAACTGTGCAGGAAATACCTCCGAAGTCCCCACATCCCGGGATCGAATGTATGTACAGTTCGAGTGTTGATGCCGGGCCTCAAAGTTGATCTGGGGACAAGTAGGATTCCGGAAAAACTTAAAGATGCTGCAGGGATATAAAGAGTTCTTGTTCACTTACATCCAGATGTAACAGTATACCCGAAAAGACGTTCTTTTGAATTTTTGCGACCGGCTGGCAATATGTAGCCTTGCTCTATATCCGACGCTTGATTCGAGATTCATTCGAAAACGCCTAAAATTTAAAAGCCAATGCGAAAGAGAAAAGACATTCTTGACACCTCAAACCTCTGGATATTTAGGCTACTTAAGTACTTACTTATATTAAGTATGTCTCGTGGAAATATCTATAATATAGAGTAAATAATAAATAGAATACAGCCTTCAACTAGGCGAATACCGCCGCAGCTACCCCATACGAAAATTAAAACTCCACTTGTGAATAACTTTTTATTTTCGGACCCAGTGCAATCACGGTGGGATGGCCGACAGCGAGTCTGTGCTTTGCGTGTATGGCATACCGCTAGGGTCTCCAAGTCACTGTCGTTCTCCACACTTCCTATGTCGATCAAGGGTTTAGGAGAAAATCAATAACTGTGGACAAAGTTCCGGAGAACAATCAGGAAGTCTATACATCAAAGATATCTAGGAGTCTTTTTCTCTCTCTTAAGAAACTACCCGGGAGCCGAAAACTAGAGAGTCCATATGCAGGCGTCCTCATTATACGCATGTATACTGTCTGGCAGGCACTAACTAAATACCTAAGTACTACTATATATACCTACCTAGGTAGTATATAGTAGATCCAAAAACAAGAAATAAACACTGAACTACCTGAAGTACAGGTACCTCCAGAATTCGAAATGTATGTATGGCCGAGTTCATCCTCGGGCTCGCACCAATGAAGATCGTTTTCACGAGCGAGCTGTCAAAAAGGTTCTCTCGCATTCGAAACCCTTGAATCAATCCGATTAGATAATATGATGATTCGTCTAATAGACTCTGAAATCTTGCAATTGGGTCGCTTCGGAGTGTCCCAAGCCTTCGCTGTCGCTGATTATGCAATGGGAGTTTTCCCTCGTGATAATGTATTTTCAGGCAAAACGAAGCTAGCTCTCCACCTTCCCCCAAGAAATACCAAGCATTTTTTCCCATCTCCCTTCCATGCATCTACTAAACTATATTGTGGGGAACCGAGCCAAAGCAAAAAACACACTAAACCGCACGCACACACAACTGCCACAGGAGGGGATCATAGCGCAATATACCATATATCAATTCCCCATACATCTAACATATTCGCCATTTCCCCCGCTTGGCGGATAACTTACTTTGGTTCGGCAGACTGGCAGATCTAGCTAGCTCGAGCCTAATGCCATTATCATGGTCTGAGGGAAGCCCAGATGCCCCCTTTTTGTAAATTCCCGTCGGCATTCTTTGCTGTCAACAGTTCAAGCTGCGTGGGGAGGGCAATGAACAGGAGATTCAGCCTCCACATGTCTCACTGATGTAGTTCATGCGTGGTTGTCTTGAATTCGGAAATAACCTCTGCACAAGAGGCAGGCTCTCCAACCTGCCTGGTCTTCCCACACAATGATGGCTTCCACGCCGAAGCAACTTGCAGCGAACATTTAGCCCTTTCTGTTTTAAATCTACAGGGATATACGCAAGAGTAGCCCTCAGACCAACATGATCAACCAACATTGTAAACGTTAATGGGCGGTTCGTTCTCTTTAAATTTTCGTGCTCTTCACATGGCTAGAGCCTAGACTTAGTGCCGTTCCTGACAAGCCGATACCAACCATCCGCCAAAAAAAGATCCAAGGTGTGCCGTGTGCATCTGTGCCCCAAATACGCTCTTTGTTGAGAGGCAAGCATAAATTCTGGAGAGTGATATCAGCGCTATGGGATCAAAGCCTGAGATCAGTGCGTCTTTTTATGGTTGTCGAAGCAGGTTTCTAGCTTTCGCCCCTTTCTTGCTTAGAGCCTATCTCCATTATATCATCCGGCTAGCTGGAATCAACTTCCACCACTTAGAATCAACGCAATGTGGTGATATACGTACTTAATAAGTATATGCACGTTAGCGAGGGTTCGAAGGTAGCGTTTTCACACTTCGGTAGGGTGACATTACTCGTATTAACCTTTTTTTTTTTTTTTTTTTTTTTTTCCTTCTTTCTTTCACAAGCCCCGTTGTTTTTCGACGTTCAAAATGCATCCCCGTTTAACTTCATCAGAAATGTACAATCGATGACACATTTTATAACATCCCTAGCACAAAAAAGCAAAACGATCGAGGGCCGTGGATAATTATTTTATTTTATATTTTTCCTCCTATCTTTGAATCAATCGGTTGCCATTTGTACAAAACACTGCCATTGAGCAATTACATCAATCGTTAGTGGGGTGAAGCTCCGCGAGCTCCGTGATACCAGAAATCGAAGATCGATCAATGCGATGGCTCCCTTTCTAACCTGTGGAAACATTTTACAAACGTCACGATATTCAAATGCCAGTCGGAATATTTGCGTACAAGACACTCTTTCCCTTTTCGGATGGCCATATGGGCTTACAGAGGGACGGAAAAAACCCTGCGGACGTTGGTCCGTCTCAAAATCCGCTGGTCCCTTCGTTCAAGTTGCCCCTGGGTATTGATCTGAGCATCTTGTTTTTTTGAGGTCACATAGTGGATAATTTTTTCTTTCTGGGATCCACTTTCAAAGTTAAGAGGGCGCTCTTTTTACCTACTGACTTGCACGGATACATCATATCAGTTGGCCTTCGACGCTAGTCCGTGGATATTTGAAATGTGGAACGCTTGATTGATCTAAAGTCTCGCTTGGCAAGAGCGCCACAATCTGCCGCCTCTGTCTTGAACTCTCCCGACACTTTGACCCTAGAAATACTCGAAAGAGAGATAAAAAAACGCCTTGAGATGTCGTGGAGATGTTCGCTTTTCGGCTCACGGAACCATCTAAGTAGCTAGCTGTTTCATGTAGCAATATGAGCTTGAAATGCTATGATCTGAAACTATCGAGCTGTGTGCAATACCTGTTGATAGAAGCCGAAACACTATCTGACAACAAAAAACATTCCTTAACCGGCCCTGATCTCGAGAAACTTTTGATCCGCGAGAAACGTCAATCCATACTTCGGAATCTACCGGTGCATGAGCATAGGACTGGGTAAGCAATCAATCCCCTCTTAGCCTATTGTGTTTATGTGGCCCAATAAGTAAATGGTTGGCTGCACCCAAACATTCATACATAAGTGCACCATATATATGCATTCTGCGAACAAGTGAACGGAACCACCAGCTCGAATCATTCATGTTTATGCAAGGGACCGGCTAAAGACCCCCTTCAGCCTTCTAGCGATCCATATTCGTTAATTATTCCGCGTTGTATTCCGCTAAATTTTTGGCATGGTTTCTTTTGGTTGTTATAGAACCACGTTCCTGGTGGTCGAAAACCCACGGGTGAGGGTTACGACGGGAAAGAAAGTGCGGAGGAGATGGACGGGGGTTATGGTTGTTTAGCCGGTTTGAATATTTGGTTGATAGATGCATCTCGGCTTAAAACTCTTTCACAAATTTAAACCCATCTTCGAGGTCTATTAGATCCTCCTATCATGTTCTTCAGCCCATTGTCTTTTTTATGTCTTGATAGGTAGATTTTAGGATAAAGGAGAAACATCCTAGTTAGATCACCTTACAGCCGATATATATAAAAGGACGGGTTTTATAAAACATTTTATAACGACCGTGAGAAAATGTCGCCACATGTTTCAGGATCCGTGTAATATTATTCTTATCAATACTTATAAGGTGATTTGAATGCTAACCCGAGATTCTAGACATTCCGTGTGCACACGTGTACCCCACAATCACACGATGGTGACAGCACCAGCGACGGCATCATATTGGCATTACTCCCTAACATTGGGTTTATGTTGTTCTCACACGCACAGATATATGGCCATAATCTAGATATACACACCTAGAGAAAGCAAATTTGGTGATAAGATACAAGATTGATCTCTCGGGGCGCTTGTGTCCTAGCTATAATAATAACTGGGGGTTGGGAAAGTATTTCGACTCTTGTACATATTCATAAGATTCTTTGACTCGATCGACGGGTACCAGGGTCCTGAAGCTTCCCGAGACAACATAGCATCGGCCAGTTACAAGTTTAAGCCCCTCGTGTGTACCCATAGTATTGTTGTTTCTCTAGCTCTTGAGTAGACCAATACATTGTGTCCTTGGATATATATAAACATTTGTCGGTGCGGGTTATAGTGCATCAATCGGTGGAAGGTAGTAGACTATCGTCTTCTTGGTTGCTTAGTCCTAGAGAGCTGCGGCTGGGACTAGTCCTCTTTACTTCACGAGAAAAATGCTGGCTGGGTTTTTTACACTATATCGAATTCTAGTCTGTGGGTGGCCCTGTGGCTAACGTTCCTTGTATGATGTCTATTTGCTCGTATCCGTATATATCTTGTTAATTAGCTCGCATGATACCGCTACCGTTGCTTTCATTGTCCGCCAACCTTTGTGTATTCATAAAGATGAAATGTTCTGAAGCTTATCTCGTAAACCAGAATTAATTGCCACTGCGTCTGAAGCTTAAGTAGGATGAGTCCACTATAAACTATTGATTTTAAATTCCGACGGCCTACACTCAATTGTCTACAGACGTTAGGATGGGATGGAGAGTGAGCTTCGAGCTCTTCTTAATCACGAGCAAAGCTTTGGAGCTCACATACATTGACGTATAGTGTCCGCATATAAGAACCGTAGTACTTAATTATAATACATGCATATGACAACCTGTCGTTGACTTCTCGCTCAATTGTTCAACAAAACGCACGGGCAAATCAAATACCGCTGACGTCTATCTAAGGATATGGAGGTTTCTTATTATCGAATTTTAGAGGAATAAGACTATTCATAGTCAATGTCGGAGGGGCCATGCGCCAAAGAGGGGCGTTTATTCTTCCTGTCATGTCACAAAAACAGCACCTTGAGGTTCTTTGCAGGCTGTACTTAGTGGCACGATAGATATAGCATGAAGATGTTTATGTGCGCATCACAAAGTATTTACCGAGTCACATGTGCACATGCATAAACACATAATTTAGTGACATAAGTACTACTAGTACAAGCTTTCTGCTTCGGTGCTTTTAGAACGTTGCTATCCTGGCGATTTGCTAGTCATGGAATCGATGCCTTTTTCCATATGGCCATTCGGCGCCGTTGTATACATGTGGGCATCATAGATCATTTGACTATTTATTAGTTCAGTTTCCTTGCTAAGCTTGGTTTGAGGAGGGGTCCCTCACAAGTCTAATTGTTTCCATTACTACTGTCGCCATAAGGACGTCGTCGTCGTGGAGTCGGATCAAATGTCCTTGGACGGCCATTGGGACCTAGGAGGATCTCTGGAATGCGCTCCAGTGCCTGGGGAAGAGGAGGGCTAGTCAACATTCTATCCATTTCCGAAGGCTCCCAAGTCAAAGTGTCCCAAGCACGGAGTCCAAGGCCATTCATGCGCCAGAAATAACCTTGATTATCATTTCGAACAGTTTGTGGGATGCGGTTCAAGGCTGCCTGATACTCTTCGATTGATGCCTGGTTTTCCCCGACAACAGCTTGGACGAGCACGGCCGTGCACCAACAACCTATAGAAAGTCAGTCTCAGAGCCAGGAACCATAATTCAAAGGCTTGAAGCCCTTACCGAGTACTACTGAACACCTGTCCGCTTGCCACTGGCGACCGCATGGGTGAATACGACCATGATCGCGTGGGATTATTGCACCATTTTCATCACAGGTACAACTCCCGCGACACACACTTTGGCGCACCTCGATATCAACCCGAGCTCTTGATATATCAACATACTCTTTCCTCCAACGGGGCCAATGTTCATAAGGGAAATTGACAGGATTTTCGTGCGGTTCTATATCAAGTACTTTTGATGAGGGAGCACACATAATTCTCATCTTGTTGTTTTTGTAGAAAAAACTTGGATGAACCTCCTTTTTCGTGGAGTTCAGGTTACGAGTATCTGCTTGGGCATCGGCTTGAATTGGCGACTCCGAGTTATTCGAGTCAATACTATTGATTTCACAATTGGCGCAAGACTTCTTTCCACCAACAGAAAGCATTAAATTTGAGCTAGTGTTGTTGATTGAGTGGGTGTATACCGGAGCAGTAGTGTTGATTGGGCGTGTGTATGTCGGGGCAGTAGTATTGATTGAGTGTGTGTCAATTGGAACTGTAGTATTAAGAATGGTTGGGAAGACAGGTATTCCCGAGTGGTTAGTGAACGGGTGACCTGTTACGTTTGCCATGGTGACATTCTGATAGGTGTCTGATATGAGGGGGGCGGCATATATCTTTTCAATGTTGAAAGCTAACATGAGAATTTTGGCGCAGACATGTGCTCTGGTATAGATGCTCATTCTTGGGGGTGCTTTCCCGAAGAACATTTCGTACTTGCTCTTGAGAAACGGCGTCCTTAAGGACTGGATCAAATTCTGTCACTGAGTGAAAGCTTCGAGATATATGAGCAAGCAGGGAAAATTAAGTGTAATCCAAAAGGGTATGTGAGCTTGGAATTTATGCTCAAGATGTAACGAAACTTAGGTATTAGGGGATGGCTGTACAGCTGTGTGGTATACGAAGTTCGTATGCTCTGTAAAAACCGGGGGCAGAAGGGTATGTTTATATAGACGTCCCTGACGATATATGTCCCAAAATTGTCTACCTTAGCTTAGGCACGGCAGTGAGAAAAGTCGAACCAGGCTCTCTTGATGCAACAGTTCGACATGATATTAGTCTAGTGCATAGATAGATCCCTGGGTTAGTGGCGTAGCCCCAATTGTTATAGGGGTTGATGGATGTCTCGTTCCCAGACGTCGCAATGAGAAGCGGCATTATAGTTGACCAGTGTCTATTATATAATGTAGTCTACAGCCGTTAGAAAGATCTAAGCGACTTAGCCGGCCTGGCTAGCAACTTTCCATTCAAAATCGATCGCTGGCATTCGGTACACGTCTAAACCGCAGTGAACAGTAGGATTCTAAAATTTAGATACGAGGCGGTCAAAATTGGCCCAATGCCTAAATCCAGAATATTGCTAACAGCGCTAACATTCTATCGAAACAACAGCATGTCTTAGCCTTGAGGTGCTTGATTTATATATAACTAAATTTATAATTATAGTTAGCTTATTAGGTATAAGTTTGCGCAAAACCAATACCTTGGTCAATGAATTCCGCGCAAGATATCATACATACAATTTGCAGGAATACAATTAGACTAAAAATTGTGTCGCCACATGAAAGGAGTTAAGAATCCATTCCCTATAGGATCTTCGATGCGCAGAATTGCAACTTAAGTACAGGTCCTAGGCCTGTTCTGTTATATTATTCATTGCAAGGCGGAGCTGAGCGACCCATACTATACTGGCAATGTGTTGGTATCGCGCACAGCATGCTTTTCGATGTGTTATAATTAAAAAAACTTGAGTAGGTATCGATATCGATCCGCGCTGAGGAGTCTGGCGACGAGGCAAGGTAGATCTAGGTTCGGCTTTGGTTAATACTAGTTAGTTTTGAGAGTAGCAGGTTTCACAGTTCCAAACGCTAAGTTAACTATGATATCGATACATCTCTGTTGCATGCTGACGGCTCAATTGATCAGCAGGATTCCTAATGCGACAATAACAAACACCCACTCTTTGTATATGTAGACGAGAATCGACGGCGCTGGTTGCCTTAAACCTCAGAGTTGAAGAAGTCACATCGACTTGGAAGGACTAATACTGTAGTCTATATTCTATATAAGGGCTCTATGTAAAAATATAACTTACAGGGGCTCCTCTAGCTGTGCATGTGCTAGCTGCACCACCAATACAACGTCTGCGAACTTGAACAGTGCGATTCATGTGGTTATTTGAGTGCGATGTAAGTACATGGACCTAAAGTATCAAACGCTGTTGGATATTCATGTAATACACTCCGCTGCAGCCTTGAGCTAATGCTACTCCTGCCCGTTGGCGCCGCCCGAAATTCGAAAGATTGTCAGATACTCTTAAGCCCGCTACTGAAAGCGTAAGACGGCATCAACGAATCCGTGACTTTTGACAAACAGAAAAGTTTCATTTTATATAGCTCCATCATACAAAGCTCTAATGCTATTTTCATGTGCTAGCATTGAAGGGTTGAATTCACACCGAGGTACCTTCGTCAGCCTATAGTTTTGAATATAGCGTTGCCTCCGGGAATTTTAGAAAATCGGGACGCAAGGCTGAGCAAAGGTCCCCGAGCTCAAATCTTGCTCGCTTATGTATAATTGTATGAAGCAAGGAGTCGAAGTGATATATATGGAGGCTTCGATAACCGAATTTGAGAAAGATATTCTAAGATGGGATTCGACTGGACAGCTAAATACATAACAATTCAAAACAAATCTATCTAAATTCTAGAATCCCCCCGATTTTTAAAGGCTTCAGTTCGAGATAAAAAGAGCAGGTCGCTAGAATAAGCTGGTCTCGCAAACCAGTAAGTCTTACATTGAAATCCCATTGCATATAGCATTCCTCGAGCTGAGTCCCGTCTAGCGCTGAAGTGCTGCGGCTATATCGGCTTGTTGCTCAGCATAAACGCTATCCTTCCACCAAGGTATCATTTCCCTAAACTCCCGCTACTGAGGATAGCCTTCAGTAGTACTAAGTAGACGTGCTTTGGCAAACTCTGGGGCTCGGGGCCGTTGCAACATTCCTTTGTGTTATGTTAGGCTGCACTAAATTCCCGCGGAAGTGTTGGACGCTTTGCGTATAGATATCATGTCGAAACACAGACGTAGATGAATGCGGGATTGGTTATTTTGGGGGGCTATATCCATCGTTTGGATTCCTTCCAGTCTATTGAGGGCAGAGTGGTGTATCCGTATGCCAACATGTTGGGGTCGAGTACGCACGCATTAGTAGCATGAGTTGCGAGTTTGAGAGCTTTAAACCCAACGTTTGTGACCACCTAAATATCCAGCACGTAATGATGCCTCCTCCTCCTCCTTCTTCTCTTTTATTTTGCAAAGTTAGGCTCTGTAATGATATATGTATAGGGTCATACATGATAACTAAGTAAATGCTTGTCAACGTCGCAACTCTAAGAGTAGAGGTATTAAATGCAGATCAGAAGAACTTACTGATACGCCACACGGTCATCGGGTCCCACAAAGGGAATCACGACCCAAAGAAAGCTCGAGCACTGTGAATTATTTTTTGGGCGGTATCATATAGCACCAAGGCTGCTGAGCGGCCTGCAGACAGGAGTTTGATGAGTAGTCGGGGTCTTGGAGGCCCGGATAAGACTCGCTCCGAGAATGTTCCTGTATTTATTGAATATCGGATCTTATTAGTAAAAACCACTTTATTAAAAGGCCAGACTGGTTTATACATACGCGATGGGAGCCCGACTTGATCTCCTTGATGAAGAGTTGAATTTCCCTCGCGTTGAAGTCTTCGATTCTGATGAAACTCTGAAATCGTCAGGGCGATGTCGAGAGATACATCGATCAACTCCAGGACAGCAAGCGCTATAATCAGAACTTCGGACATCGCGATTGGGGTTTCACTTGTAAAAAGCCGGGTTTCTAATTTTTGAAGGGAAAGATTTTGAGCTATGGCCATAAGCTATAAGAGGGGGAAACCAGCCTTCTGAAAGCCAGGGTTGATCGAAAATTTTGAAAAAAGGTTGAGGCTACTTTGAATGTGGTTCCGTAGGCCTAGGTTTAGGGGCAGGGTTTATAGGTAGAAAGGTGGAAGAGGGAACTTGTAAGCTTGGTTGAGGGAAACAGCCCAATATAAATAGATAATTGTCGTTTTGCTCCAACATACTCGTAATGAAAATTTCAGAACTAGAAAGAGCCCCCTATGATGATATTAGTCTTTGCTGCTTGCCATGCTATGCCACGGACGACCACGCAGCCGAAATATTTTGTACCCGACACTACGTAGTACAGGTTGACCTAAAATGGGTATTGAATAAAATCTTGTTCGTTCGAATAACATCAATTTGCACAACTCTGATTGGCCATATTGGTTGCTTGTTCTGAGGGAGAACAACCCGGCCGGAGTCCACCATAAGGGCTGGAACCGGTGGCAAAATTCCTGAAAAAAGTCCGACTCTTTATAGATTCATCGATGCAATTATTTGAGAGTTTCAAGGTAACCTGCATATCCGAGCCCTAGGGCACTGGCGTGTTGGCGGTTGGTCCCGTTATATCGATGCCAGTATTTCCATTTCTGATAGTCCCCTAGTTAAGGCCTCAGCCTCGCTGGCCCGCCAGGTAGACTAGCCCTCTTCTGAATTCCGGCCTCTAGCATGCATTGTCTTGAATCCCACAGTTGGAGATGAACTAAGCTGGTAAACTTACGGGTGGCTTTCTCAGGTTTCTACTCTGAAGATTTGTTCCTTACCGAAATTTTCTTCTTGATCGTGGCCATATACCCATATGGCCGTTTTTGAGCTTCGTTATGTGGTTGTATTAGGGTCTGACGCCCATGGCAGATGTTTGCTTCGATAGTCCCCAAAAAGAAAACAGAAAACCAGAACGCCTCTTCGAACTAGATCCTTAAGCAACAAGCCGAGTCTAACCCCCTGTGCTGAAGACGGTTTTATGTAGCTTGCCTTTGCTCTCCGAGATCACGGGAGGGAGAAACTACATATTTGGGTGTCGGCATACGTCCGTCATCTGCCAGGCCGCCCCTCGGCTTGCCGTTTTGTTTCAGGTCATGGATAAGCAAGCACGCAGACAATTCCAACCCCGCGCATGAGAGTCGGGATCAACTTATTCCCGACTGTTTAGTAGTGATTTTTATCGACAGTTGTACAAGAAATATTCAGTACTATACTGAAACAGTGAAAGACTTGATTTTGGCTTGATCAAACCAACACTCGTAGGGAAGCTCTAACGCCGGTTGTTTACCCGATCCCTTAACCTTGACTGTGGCACTTTATCATTTGTAATTAGCGTGGTCTCGACTTTTGAACACTTTCCTTGCTTTCTATTGCGTCACATTGCTTCTCTGCCCGTGTTTGAGATTTCCGTAATATCATGCACTCTTCTGCTGATGCCTCGGGAAAAGTCGGCGCCTGTTTTGCGTAATGCTTAGCGTTTGTAGTTAGCGGATACACGGGGCGCCTATGAAGCGGATAGCCAACGGACGGGATGGTTCAGAGCAATTGTTTGAAAGATTAGGGCTGCCGGTTGCATATATAGGAATTATTTTAGTATTTTAATAAGCGGGGTTTAATTTATAACAAAAGCGCTGGTGTCACTAGGTGGTAAAAACCATTCAAGATAGATGTACCTTCGAGTACGTTCTATGAGATCCTAAATGTACCTGAGATCTCTAGGGAAGATCCAGGATAAAAATGAGTTAAACAGGCCAAGCTCGATGGCTAGATTAGTGTTGCATACAATGAGGGATAAGGCTGAGAGATAGAGCTGGGTCCAAGAGTCAATCCAAGCCAAATCGCACATGAAGAGCCCACCTGGTACACATGACAAGATTTTATGGGTATTGTACTCTGGCCTTGCAGTTTCGTTCAATTTTCTCAGCCCCAGCATACCGATAGTTTGCATCTATATCTACAACTAGAACGTTGGACAAGTAACCCGACCTCGTGCGCGCAGTCCGGCCTTTGCACAAACACCATGTATGAATTAACCCCGAGTTTTCATTAGGCAAATTTCACAGGGCGGACTAGTCGACTGTTTTCTAAATGGGAGAACCGGCCAAAAAGCCAGCGCGTAAACCCTACAAGCTACTGGTATAAAGTCGACTCGGAACCTGGTAGAGCCGAGAAAGTTCGCTCGTGAAGTATAACGTTGAATCGATAAACGGACCAGACTTTTATCAGTTTATCTTGGGTAATACAGCTTGTGGTATTTTCAATGTTGGTTAGTCCGTATTATTGCGGCAGTATAATATGAGACCTACTCAACGCGTGGATGGGAAACAACGTAACGTAATCTTTCGTTTTTGATACAAAATCAAATGTAAACATAAAAAGCGTTTCTGCTTTGATGCCGCCATTGACCGAAATTCAGAGGATAAACAAAAAAAAAACAGTTTTAGGTATGCATATGCTAGTGTACATAATGACGCTCCATTGAGAAAGTTGCTTGAAGGAGGAAACTCTGAAAATGCTTTGGGTTACACAGACCTGAACCACCATTTCAAATCTTAGATTGGATAACAAATGACGGAAAATCAGAAATAGAATGGCGAGTACTAGTTCATCAACGATATTTATGCCGTCAAGCGTATCTAATCTTGTTGAAGATAGCTGTTCTGTCTTCGTCGATACCCGTTTTTAGTAAAACGAAAATCAGGGCAAGAAGGAGCCCTGCAACGAAAACGGCTACCTCGCTCCACCAGAATATGGTCGTTGCATAGCCCACAGTAGTAATAATAGCGGGGGAGTTGAGAAGGTCCTCTAGCGATGAACTCCCAGGCAGTTCGGTTGCCCCTGGATTTGGTGCCTCGCCTGGTCCGCTGGCCGCAGGGTTGAAGAAAGAGTAGATGAAGTGTATTGTAATGAATAAGAAGGGCAGGAGTAATAGCTCTCCAATACCTACTAAACCGAGCATTAAGGTAGGGTAGGGCAGATCGCTGAGTGATAAACTAATCTTTTGTCGAGTATCTCTGGCGATTTGGTAGTCTCTAGCCTCTCGAGCAATTCTGGTGCGCCTCTCATCTTCCAGCAATTGAGAAATCCTAGCCCTTTCAGAATCTACAGCCTTTTGAGCATTCCTGGCCCTTTGAAGTAATTGCTCCTCGTCGTTCCATACTTTTAGGTTCCGCTTCCAAACCCCGACATCGAATTCGAGTTTCAAAATCTCTCGAACATGGTTGCGATCGATTTGACTTTGAGCGCCCTGGCTGAAAAATCGACGATTAACCTGACTTCTTTGTCGGGCAGCTTCTTCCCCTTTCTCGATCTTTTCCGAAATCCGCATCTTCCAAATCATCAACTCGGGGCCTCCCAAGGCGCCTCTGGGCCGGGCTTCTAGGTTGATACCATCATATTCGCCGTGAAGCTGCTTATAGGACTCATAAAGTCCTTGATACTCTTTACGATGATCGGTGCAATATTTTTGATCAATCCGGGATATCGCTACTGGGCAGGTGGAGCCATTCTCCTTTAGGGCAGTGCATAACAGGTTTATAGATGATATATTTGCAGGATGTGATGAAGTAGATATCTGGATTGAATTAGAAATACTGGCCCGACGTCGCGGCATTTTTCCGCTTATTGTTCGAATATGCTCAAGTTAACTTTGCTGTCCTAAGTTCGCGTTCGTTGGGTAGAAGGCTGATGTGCTGGATCAGATGAATTGTACCCCACCCTATATTTATATAGTCGATCGGCATCAGGGTGTTAGGCAAATTGTTACATTCCTGCTCTACCAATCACTTGCTGCCTTGTATCATGCATGAAATAGGTATTCAGCCTCGTCCCCAAGCTTCCCCTGCACGCGTGTGGCACAGAAAGTACGGAGTCCCGTGGTCAACCAGAAAAAGACCCTTTGTGTATTCAAGGATCTGGAGACAACGAATTGATATCTGACAGCTCATTTATCTTGGCTCGGATTCTTGTTTTTTCCCCTTTCTATAGTAATAGGAAAACTCCTGATCCTAACGTCGACTTGAACTAAGACTTGAGGTCGGTTAGCAGTAAATGTGTTGTTTTTGTTAGAAATTCGATGTTAGGTACTTACGAGACCAGCCCCAGACTAGACCAGTGTCCACCCACTCGAAGTGTACTTCGTGTTGTCTGGTACCAACGAGACCAGTGTCTACCAATCTCGACACTAAACTGGCTTAGCTCAGAGTGTCTATGTGGAGGCATAAGCAGAGTTCATTAATACAATCGTAAAGCAAATTCATAATCTCAAAGCAAAGTTAAGGTTGTCCGAGCTAGGATTGCTACATTCATGCCATTCTCACCAACCGATTAGGTGCCACTTCAAGTTTAGTCAAAGCTGTCTGTTCACATTCAGTTAACTATGTTCATGCACCTCTATTAATTTAAAATGGTCTCGTACACAGTTTCAAGCTCAATGAAATAGCACAGCTCATTATAGTTTTAGGACATTTTGTCGGGATATAAGTCTATGTTCCATTGAATTCAATTTGTATCGCACGCGTATAAACCTATCTTCGAGCCCTGTTCTCATGCCCCGAAAGCCTAGGAGATATAGCTACAACCAAGACCCGTCGTGGCAGAGACTAACATAGAGGGCAGGTCGGATCTTCACTCATAAGCCTATTCTTATGTTCAAAATCCCCAACTTGAACCCCTTCGAACCTATGACAAACTTTACACACGAACCCAAAGCATCTTTTCCCTCCCCCGTACCACAACTTCAAACCGGGTGGATATAGGTTCCTCTGTACCCCACAAGGAATACAGAATCTTCTATGGCTATCTATATCTGACCCGTTCGCAAATTTTCCTCTATTACCTTTCATCATCCTGTCCGAAAAGTTGTCGGAACTTTTGATCTTGAGGCACAAAGAGCAGGCGAAGTAGTCGTCTTTATTGGGTTGTTGGGACCCTAATTGTCGGTCTTTGGCGGGGTGGTATTCTGTCCAGGTTTCAATCTCGAGGAGGTCGTGGATTGTGCAGTTGCGCCGAGGGAGGGGAAGAAGGAAACGAAATGAGCGGCTTGTCATACTCAGTGAGCGGAAGGAGGCGTAGCTTAAACGATTCGTGATGTTTAGGAGGATTTCATTTGGGAGGCTCATGATGGTAGCCATGACTAAGACTTTAGCCTCAGAAGAGATGTTAGTATACCGATAGGTACACACTAGCTAAGCTTTACTAGACGTCACGGATTAATTTTGTTTGGTAAAAAGATACCTTAGGAGATATATAAACTAAGTTTCACTATCGAAACTATACAAGCTTGTAGCTTATACTCTGGTGGGCCTAGTACCGAAGCTACTTACTGGCACACTGGATAGATCGATAACCCGAAACTTAGGCGTGGATTATCATAAAAGGCTTTCAAAAAGACCGCAGGCGAAGCCTATAGAATAAAACTTAGGGACTTTAACTGACGAAATCAATGGAAAAAAAATGATATAAGTTTGTAAGACGTTCTTGGTTATGGTCGTAAACTCGTGAGTATTTTGAGAGGCATGAATAGAAGATTTATATAGCCGTGAGAAATCGATTCTCAATCTTTTCTTACACAAGCTCGAAGCTTCGAATTTTCTATCCCTCTCTTTCTGTTCTCTCTAATTTTTTCCCCCTTCCCTGTTTTCGCCTTTATCGACCTGAATTTTGGTCACACCGCAAATAGAATACAGTGCCTGGATTCGTGCATATGCACACACATTCCACCCTAGGCCTAGTTGGTGCTTTGCCGAATTATTCGTTGTATACGAGGCTCCTAAATTTTCAGGTACGCAATTGGAGCTGGCACAACACTAAATCCTCCACGACACTTTGTTGTAAAGTGTTCCTTCCCTGTCTCTTAAGCTCTTTCGGTTTGCTTTGCCGCCCTGTCAAGTGGGACCCTGGGGTCTCTTTGTTGTTTTGATTACGAGTCCTCAAGGATCTGTCAATTGAGTATATGATCTATTATTTCTATAGTATTCATGCTATGAGGGAAATGGGAATCTAACGATTGTAAGTCTCGGGTGTACCGAGAGGAAGTGATTATGCAATGTTCATAGTAGAGGTACACGTGTAGATGTTTAATGATGGGATGATTTCCACCGCTCTCGCTGGCCATGAACTCCAAACAATCTGACGCCTTGGACAAAGGAGGGGAATAAAAGATGGGCATGTGTAATCTATAAAACCCAAAAAAGGAAAAATCAAACTCGCCGGCCATAATGCATGTCGGATGTGGGGATTAAGGTGTATGTGAATAATAGTAACAGTTAATAGTAGTAACAACGGGTATCGTGGCCAATAAAACTCCGCCTCGCGAGGCATGTTCGCCCTTTCTTTCGTTTGTCTCATCTCATCTCGTCTCTCTTCGCTTTCAAACCTCGAATTGTCGATCTAGCCAGTGTTTCACCACCATCTTTCCTTCACTAAACCCTTCATTCTTTGGATTCCTGACTATGATCGCAGCGTGGCTATGCTTCACCTTCTGAATATGGACCGGGAACTTTTTGAACCCCAACGCATCGAGCGAATCGATCATTTCGAATTGATGCTGTGCTAGTGCTAGCGTGGGGAATTCGGGCATGCTGAGAGTAGGTTCTAGACGGAGTTTTCCCTCGGTGATATTTTCATTGTCTTCGCTGGTTGACGCGTCACTTCTAAGTGTGGAAGGTGGCGATGCTTTGGAGATTGAAGGCTGTTGACGAGGGCTAAGTGATTCTTCATCGTCGAGGCGGGGTGGTAGATGGTCAGCTTTCTGGGCGTGGTTTAGACCTTCGACCATTACATCCATAGCTTCTTGGACTTCTTCGGCTACGGCTAGCGGGATGTTGTATTTGAGGCTCTGGGAGTGTAGCCGGATCCGTTTGCTTGAAGTGTATGTTTGGATACCGGCATTCATTAGGAATAGGCAGAACCCCACGGGGACTAGCACAGTATATAACGCTACGAATGGCAGATCTCGTATGAAATCTCGAATTGAGCCGACTATGCTGGTTCCCCAACTTCTTTTCTTCTGAATCATGCTTGCACTGGCAGCAGGCTCCACATGATCCTCGTCGTCCGACCCAGCAGCCTGTTTAAAATTTACGCCGGCTTCGTCATCTATTAAGACATTGCCGTATCCTGGGAGATACTTGTATTCTACCATATCCAAGTCGGCATAAGGGTCGAATTTGGAAATACCGGATGTAAAGAAGGTGACAGATCGGTCATTTATAATATTGGCGTAGAGAGCTTTGTTCTTGAACGAAGCCAGGCCCTTCCAAAATGCCAAATCCTTATCGGCGAGGATTGAGAGCAACGGGCGGGTAGTGTTACGGAAACTATCAATTGTGAAAAGCTGTCGTCCCGAGGCGGAGAGTGTACGTGCGCCTACGACGTTCCAGATGTGATGGTGCCAACCGAGCTTCGGAGTTCGAACACCCAAGTGCGGAGAAGCAAATGTCGTGAAGTTCACAGGTGTAATCTTGTTGAAAATTCCCTTGGCGTACAGGACACCCACAACGTATCGGGATACAAGGCCGCCAAGGGAGTACCCCACGATGCTGAATTTTCGGATGATAACCCCTTTTTCCGCAAAATCCTCCAATAACTCCTCGATTTCTGCTGCTAGTCGTTCGCCACCAAGTTCTATGCCATCGTAGGTATAATTACCGCTGTTCCTAGCCGCGACGTGAACGATAAGTTGTGAGTCGTCGTAGCGGGACTTTAGGGATTCGGCGAGGTATTCCATATGGGTTGGATTTCCCCAGAGACTGCAACGGAGTTAGCAAAGGAGGTCCAGCTCAACCCGAGGGAAGGAGATTTATTACGTACCCATGAACAAGGACCACGAGGTGGTCTCCTGTGGGTGGATCCATTCCCATAGACATGGCTCTAGCACTTGTAGCCGATGAATGTCGGTATGCTGTTATTCGAATGAGTTCCTGAGTTAGGCCAGTGACGCTGGATAAGGTGGAATACGAGTGATGCCGACTGCACGTATGTAAACGGAACGGCTGCTTTTTGTCGACGGAGACAATAGCAAGCGGACTACTGCTACGCCTACTGACGAAGGGTTTGGAGGACGACCTTTTCGTCAAGTTCCGACAGGCGGATCCGGATCGTCGAGGGTTTGTTGATAGTGTTGTTACTGGAGTGGTAGCGCTATTACCACGTCTTCGCTTCAAAGTTGCAGCAGCTGAGCGTAACGACCGTATTGAAGCTAGAGGCGCATAGGGCTGAAGAGGACTTGGAGGGGGGGAGGAGGAAAAAGAAGAGGAAGCAGACTTCGAGGGTGAGTTATGGGGGTAGAAGGAAGGAGCTATCAGGAGAAGGTATGACGAAAGCAAATGAAAGTGGTGGGGGACAGACGGGCTGATCACTCTCATTTTGATACATCCTTTTTGCTATCTATCGGCTGTCGGAGTTGACGAAAAGAGACAGCGATATCGACTTTGGAGCTTCACCTTCACAAGCTAGCGGGCAGCATAGCCATTTGGAGTGCCTGGATAAGATGGGTCCGCGGGTTGGGGGTGCAAAAGAGTAACTTTGGTATCCGCTTTGGGAGAAATTAGGTCTGGAGGATGACCTTTAGGGGGCCGGTGTAGGCAGCTGGCTGGAAGCTGCTGATACCGAGTTAGTTTATCTGGCCAATGCAAAAGAAATTCCGCGATACGTGATCTCCCGATGGCCAGTCGTATTTTTGCAGACTGAAATGTCGAACTGATATAAATTCTAGGTCGAATTCTAGTAACGGATGCAATGCAATGCAGCTGCGATATACTTAAATGTCGCCAGTCCGGTTCGGTTCAGGGCAGCTACGTAACCGTCAACCCCGTTCCAGGGATCTGATAATTGTTGGGCGCAAATTAATTCAATCCAGCTCGCAAGGGATCGATCGGGTCTCCAGATATCGGACTGAGAATCGAATCAAATGGGAAAAAAAGTTGGGAAGCTACTAATATTGCACATGCTGCAGAAGTTACGTCTCCTGAGAATCCTCATCAACCGGTGCTGTTGGTACCCGATATAAGTAAATGCTGACAGAGTACACCAGGAAGAGCATCGAATCTCTTCGCGCAGGTGCTCCGATAGTTTGTTGGGGAAAGGCCGAAGCTTAACTTGGTCAGGCCTGGCCACCTGAAACAATCAGCTGATAGCATCAACAAGGCGACGTGAACCAAACTCTGTCTTCCATTGGTTCCGACGCCGATTTTATAGACAGAAGCGGTTTAGTCGTGCTCTCCTCGTCCATCACTGCGTCATGGAAATCGAAGAGGGAGGCGCCCAGCAGTGGCCACATCAGTGAGTTCCAGCCGACTGTAGTTTATCCAACCGGCCGGAAATATACCCATGCGCAACGAAGGAGGTTAGACTGTTGTATTTTGGAAAGCCACAGCCAACTGGCTATCTTACGAGTTACTAAGTTGGTGGTTGTGCTCTCTTGTTTCTCAAAGTTATTAAGATTTGGGCGCTGTCTATGAGTCTACTACCTAGCTGCGTTGATTCTGAAGCTGAAATATAATTTGGGAAACCAACTTCTCCTCTTCGAATGGGTTCATGCTCGAAAAGATGAGAACTCAAAGGCCTTATGGGCCCTTTTATTGTCGGCTAAGACCAATTCAGCTTCTGTACCTACGCTTCGAATGTCGCTCTTCGAATGCTCAGAAGGCAGAACTAGCGTCTGGATTTAAATTCAATTGTGGAACAAACCCGGCTGGTTCTAACAAATACCCTGCCTTTTCATTAAGAATCTTGAATATTCATTCAGAATGATACCTTATCGTAGGTACCATCTAGACCCTGGGAAGTTGGGCGTTCTTCTTGAATTGTCTTGCGGGGATCAATGCTACCATTCTTAACATTCCCCATCATGCATGGAGAGTGTATAGGGTATAGTCAATTAATTCTATGGTTTTTTACTAGCTGGGGCTTATTATCCGCTCTGCATACGAATATTGGCAGGTACCAACCGTCCGAAGTCATTGGATCTAGGAACAATGCGAGCAAAGGGCCCTGTACCTGTAGTCAAACCTGTGGATCTAGATTCCCCAGTCAACCTTGGAAACCGGATAGTTACATGTGCTGGCTGATACACTGTACATGTGTTCTAATCTCGAAACACAGTAGTCCCATTTTTTAATTAAAATTCCTACTACCCTGGGCTTGCAATCTGGCCTCAAAGCCTAGCTGCGGGACTGGATTCGGGTAGTTCTTTCGTTTCCACTATATTCTAGGACGTTTGTAGGTATGGAACAGGACTTTGCGATTCCCATATCAAAAGATGATATTACTTTAAGTACCCTAGAAAAATTCCAAAAACTAGAAATACAAAGATGTGAAATTGATAGATAAATAAGTCTACGACTGCTTCCTGTATTATGAAAGCTGTTAAATATACCAGAGAACAGTAATAATGTAGATCAAGGAGATAGAAGAGAGGGGGAAAAAAAAGACTGCTTCAATCGTTCGTCGATTCCATTTCGCAGGAAATAGCTGCGCGGTGCGGGGGAAGAGATGGTGGCGGTGATAGGTATAGAGTTTCATACAAACCTTTTATCATGGAGATGAGTGGAAAGGGGGGTAAGAAGGATATCAGAGGAAACAAGGAACGCCATGAATTAACGGAACAAGGAGTAAGACAAGGTGAGATATACATGAAAAGAAGATATATAAAAAAGGCCAACTACTGCTTCTCGAGTCTTCGTCTCAGGGTTCTTGTCCTCTTCATAAGTTTCTTATACTTGTGCTTCTTCATCTTTAGCTTGCGCTGTCTCTTTACACTGAGAGCTTGCATGGTAGGAACCTCGCTGCGCATTGTTTTTCTTATTCTACCAACCCTATTGGTTTGGTTTTCGGGACCCTGGAAGAATGCTAAGATGTAAGGTTGGCCGTCTGCGGAGCCTTCGGTAGATGTGATGATTTGCATGCCCTTGAGCTTCTCGAAAGAGGCCTTTTCAGTCTTGATGGTTTCTTCAGAGATCGGCTCTGGAGGTGGTGGTGGGTTGAAAGGGAGGTATTGTTCAAATAACAAGGAGCTAGAGATCTTGATTTGTGGCTCCGAGGACGAAGATTTTTGCTCTGTTTGGGCGCCATTCCTGGCGTAGGCTCGGACTTCATCTGGGCTTAGGATGGAGTCTTGATCGCTTGTAGAGTCATTCTCGTTGATAGTAGGCTGGCGAGCTTGGACCTCCTGCTGAATCTTGTGGAGCTCCATGTTGGACAACGGAGTCGAAGCGTCGAAGAGTTTCTGGAAGGAGTTGGAATTATAGATACCCGGAACCGGGAAGCGTACCGACACGGGTCGATGAAGGGCAAAGAAGGCAGATGCATGGATATCTGTTATTGACCCAAGTTAACAAGCCTCGCTCGAGAACAGATAAACGAAGGAACGAATGTTATGGCATTCTCTAACCTTTAGCCCGGAGGTGATCCGTACGAGCCACGAACGGCAGCGGGCTTTGCTCGACCTTTCGAGGTTCTTTTGATGTCTGCTCCGACTTGATCTCTACCTTCGCCGGCATCGGCGGCGCAATAGTTTGCGCTGTTTGTTGTTGCTGTTGCTGTCCATTCTCACACTGTCGTTCTCGTTTCCTGAACGCACCGGTCTTGGATGCGAGGCCACGGTTATTTGGACCAAATGGCTTGGAGTTCGATGAAGATGAAGATGAGGAGGAGTATCGCCGGCTGGGTCGCTGTTGTATAGAAGTCGCCGTGGCCGTCGAGATTAGACGGCGGCTGGTAGGGGGAGCATAGGAACTGCAGCTGAGGAGAGCCCGTCGGGTCGGACAGGCGAACATTTGGCCGGGGGGAAGGGGTAAGCTATTATTGGTGAGGATGGTGGTCAGGGAGGGGGGTTAGGAAGAGGATGATGGTGGAGATGATGCCTGGCTTGCTTGTGGCGGAAAAGTTGAAGGGCGTCGACGGCTGGGAAGATTATGACGATGGAGTCGGATGGCGGTTGGTCCCAAACTCAGCAAAATCTTGGCACGAATTTTAACCTCAGACAACACACATTGATAGACCCTAGTCCCACTTCCAATCTCCTACGAAATCAGTATGGTGAGCTGGTTCGCATGGTAATAGGTACCCAGGTACGAGTAGGTAGTTACTCTAATTTTGCCTCTTGATCCGTTGTCTGCTTGGGTATACAGGGTAGCTTGTAGTTAAGGTGGTCTCCCACGATTGACCACCCTCGACAGCGAAACATTGACTCTATCACCATGAAGCTTCGACATGATATCTCAGGTAATTCTAGTGGTATTACTCCAAAACGTATGCTAAAGTCGATACATAAAACCCGCTAATCCAAGCCTTTGAAAACAAAGCAATCTACTATCATACACCTATTAACCAACCGGAGCTCTCCAATCACAAATCCGTTTCCTTCCTTGCATATCGCCAGACGTAGTACCGGACCAAACTCTCATATCCCATCGTATCTCCATCATTGAGCAAGGCCGCTGCATCTACGTTCAGTGGACTGTTTGGCTCGGGACTTGTGAGCAGGGTTTGTATCGCGGTCATGGTTGACGAAATCGTATACGCGGCAGACCATTCGGACTTCAGGAGATCAAGACAGATTTCGCCGGTCTATAATGTGCCTTGGATTAGAAACTGATACGGTTGAATAGCACCGTGGCTCAAAGCAATTCTGTAATAGGTATACAGCCTTATCGTACCTTAATGTTGATATTCGGATGGCATATCTTGGTAATGAATTTGATAGTCGGCGGCGCGAGAGGGTAGTTATCCGGGATGATAATATCGATATCCCATACACCGCCTTCGTAAGGAGAATCGGGCGTACCCCGAAGCCCGGCACGCCAGTGGTGTAGGTCGCTGTCGTCGGGAGGAGCGAGGTACGTTAGTGCCGGGTTGTCCTCTTGTCGGGTTTTGTGGAGTTCTTGGATTAGGCGTTTGTTGAGCGCAGCGGGTCTGCCAGCCATCTTGGGTATGTTATTTTATGACGTAGACGAGCTAAGATACGGAGACAAGGTAAAGCACTTTCGTGGTGGTGGTGACGATGGTGGTTTTGGTTTTGGAGAACTCGTGATGGCGCTGGACACGGAGCTACCGCGAATGCGAATGGCGGGAAGCTTGGCGCCAACGCAGCCTAAATCAGAATGTAACACCGAAATTCAGCCGCAGTATCCAGGTCCACTTGAGCTCATGGCTTGCTTTTGAATTCACGATTTTAGTCCTTGGTAGGGCCTCGGACAACGACTAGGCCCTTAAGCCGTAAAAGGTTTATTCGGCTAATTTAAATCACTTCTAATGTTGAGAACTAACAGTTATATTTGTATGGATATAAGCGGCATGATTTAGTAAACGCCAACAAAAATTTTAAACTCCAACGGAAATATATTAATAAGAGCGACAAAAGGATCGTCGAAATCTGTATGTTGCCCCAGGGGATACTGCGGCGACTCGGAGGAGGAAAAGCGTATTAAATGAAATGATTTCCTCGCTCAAAACAATTAGGTCTTAGCCGGACCGCGTTTTAATTCAAGAGGCAAGAATAACAAGAAGCATTATGTAGTCATTATCTTATAATTAGTGTACGAGGATGAGAGTTTCCGGAGCTCAACCACTAGTTACTGAGGTAGCCGTTCCAAGCCAATCTGTTTACTGTGCCTGTCCCAGCTTTCGAAATATACCCCTTGCGGGAGAGAGTCACGATCCGATTACGGATAGTGAGTGGGCTCTGGTAGGAAGCTTTGCTGCTCAAAAGGTAGGCGGCTATACCTGCGACATGAGGTGCAGCCATAGAAGTTCCATCTCGGTACTTCAATGCTGTATTGGATGTATACCAAGCACTCAGGACGTTTTGACCGGGCGCAAAAATATCAACAGAAGTGCCATAGTTGGAGAATTTAGCTCTCTCGTCCCCGCTGGTACTGGCTGCAACAGTAATAGCATTAGGGGCTGAAGCGGGAGAGTATAGTGAAGCAAAATTCTAACACATTTGAAGTCGTTAGTGATTGGAATGGTAGATAGGGAGGGGGTCGCTAAAGTTATCACACATTTTTGTTGCCAGCTGACACGACGACGACGATCCCTTTTTTATAGAGGGCTTCAACGGCGTCATTGACAGCCTTCGATTTCTCGCCACCGAGTGATAGATTGACAACGCTCTTTCCGGCTTTGGCATTTCTCCCAACTGTCATTATTTCGTTAGCCCTATCACATTGCATTGCATGTCTTCTAGACTCGTGGAAATCACTTGATCACTTACTCCAATTCAAACAAGCGATTGTGTACGAGTGGAAGCCGTCTCCTTTATCATCAAGTGCCTTGACAGCTACAATCTTTGCCTTTTTTGCGACTCCGTATGTTTTTCCGGCAATGGTTCCTGCGACATGAGTACCGTGACCAAACTTATCGGTGTTGCTGCTACGCGGAACGGCATTGTAACCCCATCTTGCTCGGCCTTCGAATTGCTGTTGTACGCACAACCGTTAAGTAAATCGTAGGAAACAAGGGAGTGGATTAGCAGTGCCTTACTTGATGAGTGATTCGAACACCACTGTCGACGACGTAGGCGGTGATTCCTATACCATTCCAAGCGCTTGCATAGCGGTATGAGTAGGTCGTTGGGAGGCGCCTCCATGAAATACGGGCTAGACCCCATGTGGAGCCTGATTGTATCAAATCGGATTTAGTTTTGGTATCTGCCTCAACATATTGGACCTGTTCCGTTGCATTTGCGTTAGACAAACATATACATGGGTAGAAGGAACATAAGCACGGAGTTATGGAAAACCGTTCTAGAATTCTAGAATTCTTACCTCTGGCGACCTAAGAATTTCTCTTAGTGTTCGGCCATCACAGTGAACATTATAGCCTTTGAAGCCTGGGCCGGTGCCGTCAATATTGAATGACCCACCAATACCGGTGGTTCCGGCGCGCTCATCGAGGCTTCGTGCTCTGTGGTAAGTAGTGATTCGGTGGGTGTGTTCTTCAGCTTGAGTCCGGTTTGTGGAGGGTTTGAGGACAACGATATAACTATTTGGGCTTCTTTGCTTGCTATTGGCATTGAGAAGCTGTAGATCTGCTGACGCCTGGAGGAAGAAACCCACAAGGGGCAGTAAAGTAGCAAGAGATAACAGATGCATTGCTCAACAGTAGGATATGATGCTGGGGTGGAAAGGAGCCGGTAGAGGAGGGGACACTTGTAGATAGTATATAAGAATCAATTTCGAATCGTCCGTCGAACTTCGGGCCCTCTTTATACCTTGCGCGCTTGAACCGCAACCTCGCGGCTCTGCAGTGGAACTAAGTAGGGCCCATCGTGGGCCCGAGGGTTGCAAGGTTTAGATTCAGCTAAGCTAGCCTTGGTTCAGGCGCACAACTTGTCCCTGAAGATCTTGTTCAAGCTGCATGTTGGTCTTAGTCGTGGTCGAGGCCACCGGAATCAATAACGAGAAGCGAGGCTTTCAGTTGGGACCCTTGATCTTCAGAGTCATATGGTGTGATTGCATATGTTCCACGCCCTCAAAATTTGACATGGTAGTGGCCTCGAGACCAACATGGTAGCGCCCGTGGAATGGAAATGGCGTTTAGGCAAAAATATAAAATGTACGGATTATAGGGCTCAAAAAATCCAAAATTCAAAGGTGATATGAATTGAATGGTTGCCACTCGCAAACAACTGAAGTCCCAAGAGCCAGGGCTATGCTCTTGGCCTGCGGGCGCCATGGACTTTATACATGCCGTTTGTCCTGCCAAGCGTTTGATATCACAAGCTTCCAGCTTCGAATGGGTATTTAGCATGTTGGGCTTTTGAGGCGTTCGCTCTAGGCTGAGCTCCTTTGCAAGCCATGATGTTGATGTGGTACGGCTGAAGAGGACGAGCTAAAGACAGGATGCCCGCTTTAAGTGCTGAAAACACCAGGTTCTTGGTGTACATCTATTTCTCTGCAGGGGTAAAGTGGCCTATCATGGCATGGTCACACAAAACCGACCGTCGTGGTTAGAACACGGTTGAATGTTGGTTCGTGATTCGTTTGGCTGCATGCGCCATTCCCAAAGCCTTCAGTTTATAAGAGTTTTAGAGCCTCAATTCCCTAGAACTTAACGTTGGGTTGGCCCGAAACTAAGACGTCTTCCAAGCATATGCACGACTATAAAAAATTTGCACAATTTTTGCCAGCAAATCAGGCCGAGAACGTACATATGTATATCTCTGGGTCTTATTCATCATGGTTGTGATTTGGATATTTGGAATATCCTTTGGGCTAACCGGGGTGGCTGCTACATATGATCTGGTGGTTCGCATAATCAGCTTAAACTTGGCGCATTGGCGCGTATAATCCGTATGTTTCTTCGTAATAACGAAGGATTATATGAGGTAATAAAGAGGTTAAGCTCCTGGGCGAAGGATTCCAGAAGGCCGAGCTTTTTTCATTCTGAGCTTAATTGCCGGTTTAGACTTCTTCCGGATTAGTTGTGAACATGTGCCTCGAAAGTGTTAATTTTAGTAGGGCATATCGCGGCCCCACTTTCTTTCGGATGTTCGCTTTCAGGTTGGTTCTCTTTTTTTTCCACTTGGCGGAGATAGTCATAAGATAGTGGTGGTTTTGAGAATGAAATAGCATCCGCACGGGCCTCACAGCGAGCTGGTAGTTAGGGCTGCAAATTCACATGTGCGCCTTATATATTTAGTTATTTGTTGAGCGCAAAAAACATAGGAGGCGCCGAAATCTGCCAGAGCCTGGTTACAGCTTCTTAAGATCTTTGAAGCTCCTCTACACGCATGGAGGCGGCTGAGTGAATCGTTTTGACCCGTTCAGCCAAAGATATATAAGTAGTCGTCCTTAGAACAGGTTGTGTTAAAATGTAACCAGCTTCGGATATTCAAATCAGTCCTCTGTATTGCCCCCTAGAACTCTTGTTTGGTATTTCCATAGTAAGAGCGTGTTAGCAAAGCAAAGGGCTTAGGTGTAGCACTTGTCATTCATTTTATTTCCCGAACGGAACGCTCCGTCTCAAAGCCGAGACAGAGCGCTTCTATATATACACGGGACCCTCGAACTTAACCGCTACACTAGCCAAAGCAATCGAGTCGCAAGACAAATGTCATGTCGGTGTAAATGTCGGTACAGTCGCGTTAAAAGATTGGTTAAAAGATCGAGTTGATTGCCTTGACAAAACTGCAAGGCCAATGGTTGGAGTGGACGAAATTTGGATGAAATAGAGGGCCGTGATATTCCTGTGATATCTGCGGGTGTCAAAATTTCAAAAGAACCCCTTGATTGGTTTGGTTCTTCTTTGTGATTGGCGTCCTTACATATTTTCGTCCGCGCACCTCCAATGTATTACGTTAAAAGGCTTGCTCTTGATAAAATATGCATTCCGAGTTCTCAATTTTCTCGCAGTCAAATACTAGCAAAAGTATGTACATCAGTTGATTGAACCATAAATGTTACATAGTCTTCATGTCAGCCCCCAAATTGGATATTCTGGGGGGGACGCGTCAACGTAAATACGAGCTGAGCCGAGGCCAGTTTGTTAGCTTATATCTGATCCATGGAACCGCTTAATCAATCCCCACTAGTACCCTGTTGTCTCGCGAGCTACATGCATATGTGCGGGAGTACCATAGGCCACACTAACCCGGTAGAAATATTATGGCGAAAGGAGAAGCTTGTAGGGGCTACTTCGGAGACTCCTTTCTTCGTATATGATTGGCCTCCTCGACTACTCCTACCTAGTCGAACCATGACGCGTCGCAACCGAGGGTATCAGTGATCTCCAAAAACTTAAGCCTTAGAATGCGAAATATGTCTCTGGACAATCGACTGTAAATATTCAATTCAAATCTTAACAGGTTTATACGTTACATGAACTATGATGTGATATGGGGGTTTAAGGCTAAGATTTAAGAAATGCAAAAGATTTAGAAGTACTCTAAACGCCATTGGCCTGGTCTCGTTCGCAGGCGTCATAAATGTTACACATTGGTATTAGGTTTGCAATACTAGAAAGAAAGAAAAATGCAATAGATATTGAGCCGCATGCGCGCAATGCAAAGCTGAAAAGAACCTCCGACGATGGCCGACGGTACGCCAACTTTCAGCGTCTTCCACTCAGATTCAAGTTACGAAGAAAGCCCCCCCGTTTTAGAATACGGTAAAAGGATTAATCTTGTCGTTCTATTTTATCAAGCCTCTACGCCGAGGCCTAATTGATCCAAAGGGTCAAAAACTTGCCGACATCGATTGAAGCTCCAGATCTGCGGCACTGCTCACAACCCATAAAGGAGCCCTGATACCCGCAGTCCCATAAATGGTAATTCTTAGCTTAGATTCTTGGGGTGGCGATGGGTAATGAATTGGGAGTGATAGGTGTACGTTTAATAGCCGCATACCCCTCCCGCCAATCATGATGGTTGGGCTGTTTGAGCCGGAAGATTCCAACAATTATCCCGACTGTCCCTGCGAGAAGGACTAGGAATACAGCAATGGATATAATAAGTTGTCTCTAACGAGTAAAGAATGTAGTTCGTTGGATCTTAGAGTCAAGTATGATAGATTTCGACCGATACCTGGCAGAAACTTCGGCTAATGCCTCTCGATTGGGAGGTGTAGATGGGATCCGGGTGTGGGATATTGTGGCCATTGTGTTGTAAGTAGTTGGGGTATATGCGAGAGATATTCATATTCTCAAAACCGCCGACTTCAATGTCTTTCGTGGACAGTCTACGACTTATATATTGGTAGCGAAATCCCAAGATGTTTTGATACAATATGGGGACCGTAAATTGGTTCTTTCGCTGATAAATATACTATTTTAATATTTATTAACGGGACGTTGCAGATGCGAATCGTTATTATTGGCGTTTTGGGAAGCAACAAGGTTGTCCCTGCATTTATATACCTGGGGAATTCTAGGCTTCCGAACCTAGGAGACAGAAAGCTTGATGGTTTCCACGATAGTTGACTAATCGGGCGGTGCAACTTGGTTAAACCGTTATAGGTCGACAAATACTTTAGCACTTGGCTTGGCATATACTTTTATTGATGCAGCGGGTAAGATGAGGCTACGGCGGGATGATCAAGTATAGGTCGATTCGTCAGTATAGTGTTTTGCGGTGAGGATGGCTAATTCCTAGCTAGGGGGAAATCGTAACATACCCCCAAAAACTTGCTCTATAATATCAAATATGTTCACCAACAAGCTTAAAAGTTTCTTCGGATTATACACCAGTCTCGTAACCAAACTGTGAGATACACATGTATACATTCACGCTAAAAATACAACAAAGTCAACGCGCGTGCGAGGACAGCGCGCATAAATAAAGTACAAATAGCTTCTGAAACAAGGGCATATACAATGAACACGCTCTTAGAAAATCAAGAAAATCACGCCTAGTATATTAGTAGTGTTTCGCCTAGTACCCTGTCCTCAGTTTCATCAAGGTGCGGCGCCCTTTCTCAGCCTCCTCGTCGTATGTGACGCATTCATGTAGGCCTTTTCCCGGTGGGACCATTGGGAAAAGCCCTACTTTACTATCTGTAATAACGTCTAATAATATTGGTCCGTCATATTCCAGCATAGTTTTTAGTCCGTTCTCGAGTTCGTGTGGCGCCGATACACGAATCGCTTTGATGCCCATTCCTTCTGCCACTTTCACAAAATCGGGATTCCCATGGTGGGCAAGCCTTGGGATTAGGAAATCAGCCATAGATTGCGGCCGCTAAAATCGGGTAACTCACATGAATCTGTCCTTGAAGAACATCGATTGCCACTGTGTCACCATCCCCTGTTCGTCGTTATTGATAATAATAATTTTGACACCTATATTATATAATGCTGCTGTCTTGAGCTCCATCAGAGTCATTTGGAAACTGGCATCGCCGTCAATATCGATCACAATTTTGTTTGGTTGGGCTAACTTTGCCCCAATAGCGCTGGGTAAGCCGAAGCCCATAGTTCCCAATCCGCCAGATGTAACCATAGTTCGAGGATATCTCCATCTGTAGTGTTGCGCTGCCCACATTTGGTGTTGTCCAACTCCAGTCGTAATGACCACTTTATCTTTATACGGATCTGTGAGCCTGGAAAGCTCTTCGACAACAAGCTGAGGACTTATAAGTCCACTTGCGGGTGCACGATTGAAATGGCTGATTGGGAATTTTTCCTTCAGTTCCTTGATCCGCCCTAGCCAAGCGCGGCGGGATCCTACATCCTGAACTAATGGTAGTATCAATCTGAGGTTCGTTGAGACATCTCCTTCAACGGCCTCTGTCGCTTGAACAATCTTATTTATATTTTTTGGTTGTATCTCGAAATGAATGATACCGCCTCTCCCTTGAGCAGCGGCTTTCTTGGCAGCTGGAGCGAACTCTGGTAAGGTGGCGTTAGTACTTTCATCCAAAACATTTTTTTGTGACAAGATGTTGGCTTTATAAATGGCCAAGCGCAAGTCCGTCTCAACATTCACGGGTTTGGTTTCTTTATTGCTAATATAGGAAAGGGTCCCAACTCGGCCTGTCGATCCTTCCAATTCAAGAAGTGTTGTATTCTGATTGGGTGAGGGTTTATGTGTTGGCACCTTTGCTTGACTGTCTAGAGTTGAGACTGTGTTGGAACTAGCCTCAACTGCACTAGACGCCAGGCAAAGTGTTGGCAGTTGCGCAGTCCTTAGATTTTACGAACTGTCTGTGTGAGGGTTGTATTGCACGATCCACATACTTGCGACATTTCCAGTGACTCTATCATCAAACCTTGCCCCTAAAGCGATAATACAATCTGCTTCCTGGATCGCTAAATTCGCGTACGCGGCTCCGTGCATTCCGAGCATACGAAGGCTCTTTTCGTCATGCTCATCGAAACATCCGAGACCATGTAAACTCGTTGTCACAGGTATTTGGGCTTTCTCAGCTAGTTTTCTTAATAAGGTCGACCCTTCCGGCTTAGATAGAACCCCATTTCCGGCGTAGATTATGGGTCTCTTCGCAATATTGATGAGGTCGGCACTTCGTTGGATTGCTGCCTTCAATTGTTGGCTATGGGACGTCGCGTTGCGGGGGGGTGAGATATTCGCTGGGCGGCTCGTCTGGGCTGCGCTTTGCAAAGCCATTTTTTTCAGATTAGGGATCATAGTATTGGTATTAACTGGCTGTCGGAGAACAGAGGCTGCTATATCTTTCGGGATATCGATAAGAACTGGCCCTGGCCTGCCTGACACTGCAATTTCGAAGGCTTCGTTGATACGACGGGGAATCTCTGCAACATTTTTCACCATGTAGTTCCATTTAGTACAGGGTTTACTAATCCCTACCACGTCTGCCTCTTGGAAGGAATCCGTGCCAACGGCTGTGGTGGGGGCTTGGCCAGAGATCACAACGAGAGGGATTCCATCGCTAAGGGCGTCTTGCAAAGGTGTGATCATATTTGTGGCCCCGGGACCAGATGTAACGACGACTACACCGGGCTTTCCAGAGACGCGAGAGTAACCTTCTGCAATGTGGCCTGCACACTGCTCGTGTCTCGGTAGAATGACATCTATTTCTGTGCGGTCATAAAGTGCGTCGATAACTGGTAGAGCCGCACCACCAGGAAAGCTAACTGAGCGAGTATTAGTTACCATGGACTGTTAGACTTCGAAGGATAACTTGGTCTTGTACTCAGACACACAAAGGTATTGGGGATAGCTCAAGATTCAAAGGAGGTTTTATGGTTGTACTTACAAACGTGTTTGACATTCTGCCGGAGAAACATCTCTACGATTATTTCTCCTCCTGTCATTCCAATTAAGCTGACAGCGGACTCAAGTCAATCAAAGTAATCCCAATCTCATGATTTACAGAGTTTCTTGGACCGCTCAACTGGGGAGAAAGGGACTTACGAATAGTCAAGACCATTTCTTACATCTGGAGCATGAAGACTGGAAGATAAGTTATGTAGCGAAATTGGCAAGCTAGGTTCTTGATTTGGCATAGGTGGTAGTGGGAATCCGTAGGGCGTCATTGGGGTATGAGTATTGGGGAACGGTACGAGGTCCGGAGAAGTAGTTATAGCCCTATATACCCTTTCAAAAATCGATGTTAGCCATGTATTGGGGAAAGGGCGTTTAAACCCCGTTAAGAGGACTATTTGGCGAGACAATCGAATAATAGAACGTACGCAGCTGTTGATTGATTCCGTTTTTGTTCATGATTTATGGAAAGGCTTGAATAGGACCTCGAAATGGAAGTAGTCGCGGATTGTCTGAGGAATGAAGATCTTGTTACCTTCGAAATACTCTGTCGCCAAATTAAGCTTAAAGTTGACATGTTGTCGGTCCTATGAATATATTATAAGGTATAATCTATTGGCTTGGACGGTACGTTTTAGGAATGAGAAAATGATTCTTGCAATCCTCGCTGTCCTCGTACTAGCGGGGGGATATAACAGATATTGATATTATATCTATATGACATACGGAAAATAGAGAGTTTGAGTGGTAAGAGTTGAATATCTCGGAGAGAGTGAAGAGTATTAATAGGATAGGCATATTGCCTCAAACCAGACTTCGCAAAAAAAAAAAAAAAATAGGCATAGATAGCTATAGGCGAAGGTGGGTTCCCGGGTCTGGTTTACGAGACAAAGCTATAGGTTAGGATCGGTTCCATCTGGTCTGTGCTCGAACCCCACGAGAATACGACTAACTACTAGATGCGAAAATGCTTCTAGATACCCGAAGAAGGGTCTAGAGTAAGATTACGGAAGTTTACCTCCTCCCTCTTCCTGGTCTAGGTAGGACACGCTCCCTCTTTGGTCCCCAGTGAGGACTGATCATCGAAAAAGTTGCTGATACTAACCCTTGATAGCTTAGGCAGTACATTAGTATAGGTATCTGTGGGCCCGGCTGGGTTGACTAGAGTTCTCAGCTCTGCTTTACAGTTCCTTACTATGGGGACAAACTGAGATTAGTACTCTAGGCCCAAGTATATCAATTTCAGTATCGAACATGATTAAAGTGAATTTACAAAGGCCCTAGAGGGCTGTTGAGGGACTATTAGCGTCTCCGCTAGCCCACGGATCGCGATATCGCATTTGCACTATAGAACTATAGCAGCATGAATCAACTTTTGTTAGACGTTACGTTTTAATAATAATCAATTGAATACATGCGAACTTCGACATCCAGGGTATATCTTCAAGTTGTTTCGTACTCAGAGTGTATCTAGGAAGGCCTGAAATTGAAAATTTCCCAAAGGTTGAGCTCCGAAGACTGATTCCGGGTTGGTTTTACCCCGCAAATTTTTTTTGTATGGGCCAATCAATTCAATTTCCGATTTTTTTTAATAAACTTATATAATAGTTAAACACTTAAGTGTACAGACAGATAAGGTCAGGTTACAGCGCTTGCGTCATGGAGAATGCAAATGCAAGATGGGTCAAGGAAGTGTTGCGTACCTCGGCTAATCCCTGTTGTGGCTTATATATTGAATGTATCCGTATACTCGCGAATTCGGAATTCCAGCAAAATTAGGCAGATAGTGCCGTGAGTAAGCCGAAATCGGCAATAGTTCTTGTGAATGTGCGGATTCTATGAGATAACGATGATACAATTGTACAATAAATCAAACTGAAAGGCCTCCAAGTTTCTGGCCAATTTAAGTTTTGAGCAACAAACCGACACAATTGCGAGCGAGATCGTGGTTTTGTGCGTCGCAAGCGTTCGGTATCCTCGGATCGAGTCCATGGATCCACTATATATGCTCGAATCAGTATACTTAAGCGTATATGCATGAGGCATGTGCAGATTTGGCTGCGGATACAATTGGTGAACGGCATAGCAAATCTTTTTGCTAGATGCCTTGGCATATGAATTCAGAGGAGCTGCTATATGTCAAGATTGAGACCCGTTACCAGCCGCGACCATACCTGGAAATATGTATATTTCCTATAGTTAGATAAGCAACCATACTTTTTCACAGCTTTATAATTGTCCTAGAGAATGTAGGCGTTTCTCGAAACGAGCTAGTAATAGTCCCATTGAGCTGGCGTAGGGGACTTCTAGCGAATTGTCTACGACGGCTAACGAAGAAACGTCGCGTCGGTGACCTCATTAGGATATCCATATTATACCTCGTGCAGATTTGCCACTGATTAGCTCGCCGGCTGAGAGGGCTAATAGAAATTTGCGCTAAATAATCGTGGCGGCATTTCGAAATAGGTATCGCGAGTATTTCAACCAAGGCTTTGGCTCGAGGATGGAATTGTGTGCATTTCTATTTCTCGACAGCCACCTCAATTTATCTCAGTGTATGTAGCTATATGCAATTTTTAGAAGTGAAGTAATCTATAGTGAAAGTGAAAATCTACAGGAACAAGGTTATGTTGGCCGTTTGATATTGTTGATCGATCATATGAGCTGCTTGTAAAGTTAGAGCTTCCGACAGCGAAATTAAACATTAAGATGGACAATCACAGAAACTTCAGCCGAGTGGCACCGCAAGCTAGCGGATGTTTCGCGAAGTGGGGTCCGGCTGGTATCATCGGCTTAGGTATAGGCTCGAGGATTTTACTGTTACTGTATATGCATGCTGTGTGTGTCGAATGTGAAAGATGGAATCAATATCAATATAATAAGTTACATCTACCCTATGCTTATTAATGATCAAGCCTACCTATAGAACCAGAACTTCAAGATCCCGAAAATTAGACATGCGCACTGCTAGAACCTGACATCAGGGCCGTTCAGACTTCGTAATTAATTAGTATTTGGGCCGTGCGTCAGAGTTTTTTTTAGGCTAGGCGATGCCCAATGCAAGGACGGTGTTTTGCTAAAAGAAATGTCGAAGTTTAAGGGCATATGCAATGCAATGCCGTGTGCCATGCCATGGATGTGGAGATAAACATGCATTAGTTACATTCTTCCCAAAATCGATTACATCACACAAATTTGCCATGAAGCGGACCTTCAATACCACAGATCGATATTTTAGAGCAGAATCGAGAGGGTGTAAATATTATTTTTAAAGTTTTAATCGAGTGTACATAGTATCTGATGTCTTGCAGTAACCGTGCTTGAAGCCATATTCTTGCACATACAACCATCAGGCTGTGTGTTGTCTGGTTGACGAGACCAGGCTGCTGTATAGTTAGTCTGCACCTACATAAGTTTCTAGCGGCATCAAACTCTCACCTAAAGAGAGATAAAAACATATGTTTCTTCTCTGTCTTAACCCCCCCATTGCGAGTCCTAGTTGTATGTTTTTTATATACTTAACTTGAGTATCTAAAATGCCAGTAGCTCGCTGGGTCCTCCGGCGTTATCGAAAATTTTCGTGCTCATAAGGTTCGAGCGAGCAAACCCACTGCCCATCCCGGCCTTGTGTTAAACGAGCAGTTCCATCTTCCATGTTCACCTGCATGGAATACATGACGGCGGGACGAAAACCCTACACCAGGGCTATTTTGAGGTAAAGGTAAAGGCAAAGGAAAATGGGGGTGGTTGATTCAAGATTTCCCGTTTTTCGATGCCTGGGTCTGTAGTATAAGTCAAAATTAACGACGTCTACATTTATGTTATACTATTTTTGAAAGCGATGCATGGTGGTGTTCAACGATTGTACGAAGGAAGGGTGAACTTGCACTGGGTCGGTGTGCACAAACAAGCGCTTGCCAATGCCTCTGTTGGTCTTGTCGCTGTCGGCAGCACGGTCGTATCCGGAGAAATCTTCGCGGTCCTCTCAATCAAATCCCTGACCTTCTTCTCCACATCCTTATCGGCCGCATTAACAATGCGTAAAGCAATACAAAACGCCGGTATGTTGTCAAACTCGTAGGCTAGATTTCTATTTCTCAAGTAATCCCCGCGTGTAACGAAAAAAAGATTCGTGTTAAGCGAAATTGAGTATGCGCGGAGAATCCGTTGATAGAATTCATCCCAAAAAGCAGCTTCCATGGGTTGACCGGAATCGTAAAAGTAGCACACAGCCAACTTTCCCCCCTGTTTATTGGAGAAACCAAATAAAGTTTCACCAAATTCGAGTTCATAAACTTCGGGCTCGGATTCGAATCGGCGAAATAAGCGGGCCATTGTTTGGGAGCGCCTTTCTGGAATCGACAATCGGTAGAACGGAAGATTCCAAGATCCAGTAACTCTAGATATAAGCATTTGATGTAGAAGTTAAAACAGCTCAGTAGGACTATGCTATGAGTTTTTCTAACTTATTCATTGCGAACCACCTATTAAGGAAGCGATAGCCCAGCCTTTGGATCTTCAGCCGCACTGCCATGCATCAAGGCGCTGGACAGCGACCAGACGATCGAACTTTCGCTAACTTGGCTGTTTCATGTCAAGCGCTTCAGCTTGCTGGTTTGCGATCCTCCATACACACCAAAGTAACACCTTCAAGACTAATGAACCTGAGTTCGAGTTTTTTTGGGGGCTGTGGTTAGAAAAAGATGTTACTGAGGTGTATAGGGCCTAGGCGTGTCTAGTTCATCAATTAGTACTTCACGCAATTTCAAATTGATGAAATAGAAAGCAAAAGTCCGAAAGTTTCATAGTTGAGGAGTCTGGCGACGAGACAAGAAATGGTTGTGCCCGCTTTGGAAACAAACTTGTCTCTAAAGAAAATAGACTCTCTGATGCCGTAGGACTAACTAAATGGTTGCTCCAGTGTCAGCAAGCTCTAAGCTAAGTCCACAGCCTAACAGCTGCAGCCTGGGTTTTCCTCCACTGCTTCAGGGTTGAAAAATACAACAACAACACATGACCGCTCTTAGGGCCCATAAGACCGAGTTGACTCGGATATAGTCTATCTCCGAGACTGCTGGTCTAGATTGGTCTAGATAAATCATTTGTTTTGTGTAACTTCAGCCGCAGATGCAATTGATTGCTTGATTATATTTCATGCTATTCGGGGCGGGTGCTATGATCAATCGATTGGATTCGGTTCAACTAGGCCTTCTAATTACTAGTTACAAATCAAAAAATCGAGCTCCTGGACCAGATCAGATCACGGCTTTGCGCTGTCGGCATGCTAGGGCTGCACTAGAGAACACTGGAGGATCACACAGCCCAAAGGTTGCGCGCAATAATGCCGAGGAACCCAGGCAGTGGTTTGACATCGCGATTTAGTTTTGTAATATTCTTCAGATTTTTCTTTGTATTACCAAAGGCTGTCGCACAAGCTGGTATGTAAAAGTTTCCTATGAGGGCGGAATTCGAGGCAGTTATGCGTATCTAAGCTTTCTAATGTTTTAGATTGTGGTGATCTTCTCGATGCCACCGCTGAGTCCGTTCTTGACCGTTGTACGGTGGCCGCTGACATTACTCTATCGGACAATTCATCCGTTACGACGGTAAATTTGAGAAGCATTCGAACAGTGGGCGGCGACCTGGACCTGAGAGGGCCTGCCCTTGAGACCCTCGAGGGACCCTCTCTTACGAGTATCACAGGTAAGCAAGCTGCTCTCTTTAGTAGTTAGTGTATGTGGTTGACCAGGAAGTTTAGGGGATTTCACGATCCGGTCTTCCGGGCTATCACAACTGGAGATACCTAAACTATCTAGTATCGGCGCGGACTTGTTCTTCGAACTCTCAGATTCTCCTCTTGACAACATCCACCTTAATTTATCCAGAATTCCTGATGATAACGATATCGTCTTCATTCGGAGCCCCAACATTCGGAGGATATCTGTAAATGTATCCCCTAGCGCTGCGGCAGGGAATCGATCCCTCACTATCGAGAGCCTGTATTCACTCAATGCATTAGAGCTTGGGGGAGTCAAATTTACCACGGTCAATATTACAGCGACTTCCATATCCTCGATTCCAAACATTTGGCCCTCTGCAGCAAATAAAATCCAATTATATTCAATGGAGCTCTTAGGGAACTTTTCTGTTCCTAGTACTTCCGTCCAATCTTCCGTCATACTTGCAGGAATAGGATCACCTAGTGCCGCCTTTCCGGATCTTACTACAATTGGCGGAGATTTCAGCCTCATTCAAACAGATACGGTGGAGTTATCACTTCCTCGACTACGTTCTGTACTCGGCGGCTTTACCATTAGTATCAACGGTAAGCTGCAAAGTCTTTCTGTTGGAGCGGTGGAAAGTATATCGAACCTGGCCTTTGCGAACAACTCAGTCCTTTCTGAGGTATCTTTCCCTGAACTGAGCACTCTGGACGTCCTTTCCCTCCAATACAACGACTACATGACTTCGCTCGACCTTCAGACTTGGTTCCCGAAACTTTCCCAAGTATCGCAATACATCACCTTACAAGGCCAATTTGATAAGTATGCTACATTATTCAGGATAGCTTTCATATAGATACGCTAAAATTAACCCTTTCTGCACTTACAGTCTGACTTTTCCAACTTTACAAAATGGGGTTGGCATAAAAGCTCCACTCATAACCGTCGTTTCGTCAGTAGAGCTCGACTGTACTGCTGTAAGAAACGAAGCTATTGAAAAGCAAGCCATCGTCGATATTTCGAACCTAGAATGCACGTCCGGCCCGAAAGGGAGCAAGCCATCGGTAACTGGGTCTCCGTCTAGACCTGTGACTCCATTGTCAACTGAGTCTAATAGCTCAAACAGAGGCGACAGATCTATTGGGGGGAAGTCGTCTACAAGTGTTGGTGCGATAGTAGGCGGAACTATTGGTGGTGTCGTCCTTTTAGCCGCAGCTTTGGTTGCTGCCTGGACCTTTGTCCGACGCCGAAAGCGATTAGTGGGAGGTTTGAAGAGTGCTTCGAATACGGTAGGTGGGGTCGAAGAGAATGTGGGGGGTATTGATGATTTTAGTCGTGAGGCTGGAGGTATAAGCTCGAAGTGATTTATTTGAGTTACCATGCTAACATGTTCCCGCATGCATGCATCCATTTGTATAGTCTCGAATCCAGGTGGCATTTGTACACAAAATTTGAACATTTTAATAACTTGGTTATACTGTTATAAGTTCATAATTAATTTGACATGTTCAGACTTCTTACTTAAGGTCTTGCGATTTTCCGAGGTGTAGATATCTGTCAAACCCGAAGAGGTACCGTGACGGAGGCATGGGACTAATCTGAAATTATCTCAAGCATTTTTATATAATCATGAAGTTGGCATATATATATGCATATGGTGCGCTAGGAAAGCCGGAGCACAAGATGTACCGGTATTACAGCTATGAATGCGTAAAAGAATTTATCAAGCCTTTTCTCTTAGAGTGCCTATCGGTCCTATCGGCGGATGAATGGTGTTATTCACCTTCTGAAAATCCCCTCCTATGTGCACTCTTGCCGAATCTAAGCTGGATTGCAAAACTTCACACAATTTCGTCAATGGAGAATCTTCTTCAAAAATTTTGTAGAATTATAGAATTGCCCCCAATTCAATCCGCGAGTGTTACCTTTTGTATTGCTGGTTCAACGTTGTGGTGTTAAATTATGTTCAACATTCATTAGAGATAGCCGAACTTGATGTCACAAATTTTAGAATCGAGAATTGAATCTCCGTTGGGGTAGGTTTGTCTCGTACCTAGGGTGCTCAATGCGTCATGGTGCAAGTAGTTTTCATTTAAGGGTATTTAGTATTTGTATCAGCACGGTCTAGTCGCCAGAAATTTAGTCCGTATACAGAGTAAAATATGTTCTCCAGCCTCAATTTCGAAAAGGTCTGTTTGAAATAGCTCACCAGTCTTAATATTCTGGTGTATTCATTCTGTCTCGTACCCAGCGCATCCCCAAAAATACAAATTCTAGGGTGGGTGTCCATTCCGTGTTGTAATTATTTCAGCGGCGCATTGCGTTGCGATCTCCTTTCCCATAATATTAATATATATAATTGCCTGCTTCGAGCTGGCTTCAAGACGTCGAGACTATAGCTATACTTTACGTAGCTGTCGAGATTTAATGCTGAGTATGCTTTAAGTATTTGGCCCGCCTGGCATCTCGGAACCAAATTGTGTATCTGGCTGGCCTCATACCAGACGTATTTGTTGGAAGATCCTGGACGCTGCGGATATCGGATGGAATTTTTGAGCATGTGCATAACTGGTGTGTATTACAGTTAGTTAGCGCCCGTCGGCTCCTTTATGAATAGACGGCCCGAGCCAGTAAGAAAAGTTAAACCCCGTATCAGTAAGGTAAGTAGGTACATACATTATTTATGGCTTAGGTAAGTTTTGAATAGTAGCTTCGAAAATACAACATAGGAAGGTGTTGTCTGGTGGTGATATCATGGCAGACTAAGTTTTAAGGTACCGAGCTAAGGAGCTCACAACTGTTCTACCAGTACCTCTAGGCTAGGTTTCTCGTTCCCGGCAATCCAAGTTCTAGACCTTTTTTTGCCGGCCATACTTAAAATTCGTACTGACCTGAGGCTGCCTGAGGCTGCCTGAGGTTGCCTGAGGTTGAGTCCGTGTCTCAAGTGTCGTTATTGAGCTAATTGCTATCCTAACCTCCGAGGTTTGACACGTCGACGCGTCGGAGGCTGGGCGGCCTCAGCCTCAATTTCTTGTTACAAATCTCAACGACCATGTACTCCAATAGATTTTTGCGTACAGGTCGGCTCAAATGGCATGTGGGTTCATATCCTGCTCAGCTCCGGCGACCACCTGCCCGCAGTTCAAGGCTGCATACGCGGGCTGCATCGGCAGAGGCTAAAGTTTCTCCACACGAGACTGAACAACGGCTGAATCGTATCCTGTTGGAGGGGAAGGGATTCCTAGCAGAGATAAAGTCCCCATTGGAACACATGCAAAGAAGTGGGCTGCTCGATGTTCAGGGTGAAAACATTTTGAAGCGAGTACAGGCTGCTGAACGGGCCGACTTTTCGGCAACCGCAGTGCTGGCTTTTGTAGGCGATAGTGGTGTGGGTATGTTAACGAAGTGATGTCTTTGAAATCTTTTTGACGTTTTCTGAGACCTTACAGGGAAATCAAAACTGCTGACTGCTGTCTTGGGTGAGCCCAATATTCTCCCAACTGTAAGGCCGCCGCTCTTTTCACGCAGAGAAGTAAACAAGCTAACAGGTCAGTCTGGCCTTCATGCTTGTACCTCATTTCCAATTGAAATCCGCCAAATAGAAGGGGGTAAGAAAGGCTACCGTGTTGAAACAGAGTTTCTACAGCAGAGTGAATTGGAATCCGAGATGCGTGCTGTTATTCATGATGTGGACGGAGCAGACTCAAATGTGTCTCCTAATAAACCTTCCACCACGGACGCCCAAAAGATTGCGTTCGCCAAACTCAAGGCTCTCTTCCCTGGTATATCTAATTTTGCAGATATCCCGCAAAGAGTTGACGAGCTATATAAATCACACCAAAATCTGGAGTTCGGGACCTATAATCTTGAGACGAATTCTCGGGTTGAAGTAGTTGAATACATGCGGTCTTTGGTGCCAGTTACAACTAGGGAGGAGGAGGAGACGACTTTATGGCCACTTGTTAAAGTCGTCAAGTAAGCCGCTTAAAGCTACACCTCGTTTCGCTGTTAACATGTTGAGGGCTAATTTAAAGGCTCTATCTTGATTCCGAGGCCCTTAAAACCGGTGCGATACTTGTAGACCTACCCGGGCTTCGGGATTCCAATGCCGCGCGGACAGCAGTTACCCGGCAGTACATGACCCAAGCAAATGAGATAGTTGTTGTTACTAGGCTCACGAGAGCTGTGACCGACGAAACGACTGGGGAGTTATCTAGAGAGGGTTACATAAAACGGTTAAAGCATGATGGAAGAAGGCATTTAACCATTGTCTGCACCTGCAGTGATGTAAGACCCTCCATGAATGTATCTTCGATAAAACCGCTGCGAACTGACTAGGTCAGCATTTTGAACCTAGTGATGCAGCTGAGGACTTCAAAGACGACAAGGAGTTTTGTAAAAAATACCATTCGTTGAATAACGAAATCGAGGCTCGGTATTTGAGCCTAGACTCAGAGAGGTTAGGGGCTCTAAGGCTTATATTTACTTGAAAGGTTTAGCTAAAAAAGAAAGGGATCATAGGCAGAAGCGTCAAAACGTCGTCAAAGAGGAGATATTAGCCCTTGAAACAAGGTAAGCTCCCCAAAGTTGTTTTAGAGCCTCACTAACTTGCCAAAGTCTCCAAAATTTATGCATTGAGGCGCGAGACAAATATGCCGTTGAGTCGATATCTAAAACTTACTCCAAACTTCTGAGCGAGGATACTTCAATAAGGTGTTTTGTGACATCTTCCAAGCACTACCTTGGGCATTTCTCGCCGCGCAAGAGGCTTGGGATCATGAACATCGACCAAACGCAGATACCAATGCTGCGGGACTACTGTGCTTCAGCGCCGTTAGAACAAAAGTCGGCTTTGGCAGCGCAATTTGTACAAAGTATCTGGGATATACAGGCTCTGGCGAGGCTATTTGCAAGCAATGATGGTACAGGTATGAGCGAAACGGGAAGGCGGAAAGCAAAGACCGAAATGAATAAAGCTTTTATGGCGTTATCGGATGTTCGTACTTAAGACTGTTTACCCATAACATTTATCGGAGTTTTTACTAACCTCGTATGAATACGTCATGATATCAGAGCCTTAATAATGAATCGCTTGTCTTTGCAACGAATATCCGGAATCAGGTGCAACTTTTCCTGGACAGTCTTTGTGGGTATCATAGGAGTATACTATTGTATTTCCAGTCCTAACATCTTCTAGCCCCTGTCATAGTAAAAGGAGAGAAACATTCTTTACAGTTGCATGAAACTTTGGTCAAGGTATATACGAGCACCTGAGACCCCAAAATATTGTTCACAAGCACTAACCCTTCAATAGCAAAACAGATTTCGTGAGTTTCGAAACATGGATTCTGGTCGCGCATCCTAATTCTAACTGAAAATAGAAGCTGTTAAATCCGCGTATCTACACCATGGAGAGTCATCTACTGGAAAGCTGAAGAATCTCAATGAACAATTCATTTCCCCGTTGGGCGCCGAGGTTGACATTCTATGGGAAGCATTTATAACGAAGACCGAAGACCACCTGAAAGCTTGGAATTTGCAGGTTCTGCAGCTCCTAGAAGAGTTTGAAGTGGTGTGGCAGAGTAAGTATCCGCAGCGAAAACATTAAATGGACGATTCTGACCTACAGGCTGCATCGACGTAAACTTTGAGAGTAGTCCGAAGGGTCGGGCGGCATCGATTAAATTGCTTGAAGAGTTCTTGACACCACGAATTGAACGTGCTCAGGCTGTAGCGATGAAGTTTTGCAGCCAGCTGATTGATGACCAAAGGTACCGATTCTAGTGCCCGGTCTAATGTTACTCGACTGATGCTTTAGACCTGTGCGCCGACTTTTTTTACTCCCGGATCACTTGACGGATCTCCTGCGTCCTGGATACGAAAAAGCCATTGCAGAGGGGAAAGGTCTGGCGCAACTTAACCTTACACCTCGATTCAGTGCTAAATAAAACGCTGGTCCCTAGGTTCTGGCGCTTTGGAGAGAATGACAAAGGTTTTTGACGACTACATTCGAACAGCACGTGTTTTCGACATTCTTGCCAACGACATAAAAAAGGAGGTTGAAGCTATTCAAGGCCGGTTTGAAAAAATGTGTAAGAATTGGGTTCGGACAAGCGTAGAAGATACTCAGATCGGTATAGACGGTTGGCTGAAGGAGAACGAGGATATTGGCCGAGAGGAGGCAGAGCATAAAGCGGATATTATTCGAACAGTCGACAAGTTCAAAAAACCTCTGATGATGCTCGTGGAGGAAAACCATTCTTTCCAAAGAAAGAAGGCGAGCATTTAAATGTGAAATTGGGTCCAGGTGCAGTTTTTACGAGGCTAGATTGTGCGTAGTAGCGGCTGAGTTTTGTCGACGTGTTAGCCCGAATCTGACCTGAATACACTGTGTTGTGTTCTTTTCCTTTGTAACTACGTCAGGTGTGTTGTGATTGAAAGTTAAAATTGATGGTTGGTCTTCACTATGGCATCCCAAATGTGTCAGATGTTTTTATATATATGTTGAATGAAAAAGTGGGCCCCCTAACCATGTTTAAAACCCACTTTACCTGCTTTCGGTTATACCAGGCGTCTATACGCTCTATTGGCTGGTCTACTGGCTGGATTGTGGGCTGGTTCGCAGGCGGGTAAACTGTCTACCAGTTTATCTATCGGTCTATTTACCAGTTTATCTACCAGTCTGTCTATTAGCCCGTTTATCAGTCTGTCTACTAGTCCGTTTATTAGCCCGTTTACCAGTTCGTTTATTAGTCTGTTTACTAGTTTAAAGATGTGCTGGTTGGCTTGTGAACCAGTTTATGAACCTCCAGTTTGTGAACTAGCAGTCTGTGAACTAGCAGTTTGTGAACCAGCAGACTGTGAACTAGTAGATTATGAATTAGTAGACTGTAAACCAGCAGACTGTGAACCAGCAGACTATAAACTAGTCTGTGAATTAGCTTGAAGATGTGCAAGCTGGCTTGGGAATACTAACCTACGGGCTAGTCCCTGAAATGCGTGGGTAACTGGTTTGGTCCAAAATAGGTTGAGTGGTTACCAAATGTGGTTAAGGGTCTACTTTTTCTGCCCGATATATATATAAAAACATCAGACACATTTAGAACGCCATATTCACCAACATTTTTTTTGTATACGGAACTTGCACCGTTTAATTTACTAAGAGTTCCAAATTTACAGCTACTTGGAATAGGGCTGGGGGGAGTAGCTGCAAGGTTCCTGCACTCTAGGTTAAGAAGAATAGAAAGCTTAAAAGAATAGTTAAAAGAATCACCGTCTCGTAAATCTGTAACCACTCCGACCTGTTTACTAGTTGCTATTGCACAAGCAAACAATTAAGCTACGGGGCGCATCATGAAGACCGCCTACACTAAAATATGAAATCCAACATCAATATTTTTTACCCAATTGCTTGGGCAGAAGAAAATGGGAGTTGATAATGAGAGATAACGCAGCGCGCGATGTGTAAAGCTGTAATATATTAGTATTTCTATCGGGAAATAGCTAAACCGCTAACTAGTTTACTTAGAGGCCTCAATAATTATTTCCAAATGGAGTAGATATCTTGTTATGAAATTTCGTAGAGTACTTATTCGAGTTCGTATAATAGGTTCTATAATAGAATTATATGAGATGTAATATTATATCCGGTTTTTGCATCTGAACTCGAAATAGGATATAATAGAGATTGATGGTTGAATTACCCTATAAAATTCGTTCAATCAATCCAATTGATACAAATCATACCAATACGTAAGATCTGCCAGATGTTCCTCCTCAAGATTAAGATTTGCGAAATCTTCCCGCTTAGGAGTGCGACATTGTTGGTGCACAGCACAAGCTCGTTTCAAGCCGAAAAACCCAGCCATTTCCCAGTCGATGATACCGACAATCCTATCATGATTCACAATGATATTTGAAGTTCCAAGATCGTTGTGCATAAGGCAAAAATCTTCGCTCCGCTCTTCCTCTCGGATAGCTTTCCCGTCAAAAGCATGATCTCTGTATTTACCGAAAAGGATACTTTTTTCTTCCTCTGTGATGTTGCGGTGCTTAACAGGGTCGTTATCTGGCACCAAGTATGACGGTAAACTAGAACTGGAGTTCGAGTAAATATTTCGGAATTGCCCCAAGACCTTACGTGCCTGGGACTTAAATGATGCTTTTTGGGTAGCATTTAGATAAGGCCATGCGACATTAAGAGTCACTCCGGAGATGCGGGTTTGTATCAAGGTATCGCGCCCGTTCACCTACCCTCAGACTCTTTTTAAGTTAACCATTCATTTTGTAGCTGTGGAAAAAAAAGTACTGGAGCCGTACTAACCTTCCCAGCGAATATAATCTCTGGGACTTCAATTCCCATTCTATTCAAGGCGCCTCGAACAACCTTCGTTGCAGCGAGTTCGTTTTCATCGGACAGAGAGTACTGACGCATGGGCAGTGTTGACTTCAAGTGGCTCGACTTGACAATGATGCTGCCGAACGCAAAGACATCCCTTGCGTCGTCATCTGGGTCCTCATATAGCAAAGTCGACGAGTCTAAGTGTTTTAAGACAGACTCCCAGTATCTTAGTGATTCTGGTGTTGATGATCGTATATGATCGGTCTTCGGACGGAAATCGTTTTGCCGGGGGAGGTAGCGACCATAAAGAGGTACATCAGCATAAGGATCATCAGCAGGAACGTTTGCTGGGTCTGCTTCGTAAGGATTCATAGTGGCTCGTGTAGACTGGGGATAATAGTAGTCGGGTTTGGTTTCTTAGTGCTGACAAGAAGTGACTATTTGCTATTGAGAAATTCGGGAGAAGATATGATTTGAGATTAGATCTCCATGGCCAAAAGCATGGACTTGTTTGCAGACTGTTTGGCTCTGAGAGCTGCTGTGAGATTAACCCACCAAACAACATACAACACAATCAGTCAGACACCCCCAAGAGCATATCGATGTATCTCGAGCCCAATGCAACGGCTCTATCCTCGGTTCAATTCTTGTCCATCGTTCCATACCACAATAGAGTTGGTGTAACAATTTATATGTTTTCATTCAAGAAACTTTCCAAGTTGATCAAGGGTTTGATGTTGTCTCAAACTAGACTTCGAAAAAAAAAGTTTGATGTAAGTACAATTGATTCAGCGGAGCAAACTTAGATGATCGGAGTGCGCGTACGAGTGTTACATACGATCAGCGCGGTGCTGTACGGTAACTTAGCATCGAGACAGAGGAGCCTAGGGATAACGCCCAACACAAGAAGGGTCACCGAGACTAGGATAACGCAAGGGCACATAATCTAAAGATATTACTGTGCAATAAGAGCTGGCAACAAGGGTTACGAATTCGGAGATAATGTCTTTACTCAGAACGGACGGTTAAAATGCGAATGCATTTGCACCAAAGGCAGACTCGCACCTGCTAGATCATGTGGAGCTTGTCGGCTAGAATAATCAAGAAAGGTGTGAGTAGGCCCCCATGTGTTGTTTAGTTTAAGAGACCAAAGTGAAGTATATTTCACACAGTTTGATTACGAGACTGGTAAATTTCAAGAAAAAAGTCAGTCTCGAAATTAGAACAGCCGAAAAAAAGTTAAAATTAGAGCTAAAATTGAAATACAACACGAACGTATTTCCCGGTCATAACTACAGGCTGAAAAATGACGGAGTTGGGGGCATCTCGATTCCTGTTCCCAATTCTGTTGGGTAGAAGGAATGAAAAAGTATTATAAACCAAGTCAAATCATTAAGAGAAAACTGCAAATCTATCATATTAAGGCTGAGAAACTCCCTTCATTCAACTCACCGTTTTTCCAATTCGCTGAGCTTGGCCGTTGCAAAAAAAAACTTGACCTCCCAGTGATATACCGAGGCAAACTGTGCAATTTTATAGCTTAACCTTCTTCCTACTTCCCTTTCTCCCGATATCACCTTCAATGGTAGACCGGTGTTCAGTTTGTGGACAATGGATCAGAACCTCCGGTGGTACTCACGTTTGTCCGGGCAAGCCAAAACCAAAAAAAGTCATGGTATTGGAATCGGTAATTTTCCCAACCCTTTTGCCTTCTCTACCATTGCGATCGAGTTATTATAACGTTAACCTTGATTCTCAAAACTAGCCGCCCCAGTACCTAACGATCGCTTCCAAATTGCAACTGATTCGAGGTCTCAATAATAAATGATCTCACGAAAGCACTGGCGCATCTAAATATCTATGCCGCGAGAATAAATGCCCGCAGATTATAGAAGAGGTTTAGCTGCGCAAATAGCTCGACACACCGATACAAAACTAAATCCATTCGATCGAGAAGGTCCTAGTCCGGACCCGAGACTAGTGGCAGGTATGCGGTGTCTTCGGATTTCATTGCCTCAAAAGCCAAGATTTTTTCTGGATAGTCACGGCCATCCATGACCCAAAATGTATTCTATTCTCTTCAGATAATTCCCTCTATAGCTTATCTTATTTCATCACGTTTATTATTGAAGAATTGTTATTCGACTGCTTCAGAGACCAGAAATAACTAGTAGTGGCATAAGGAAGATATATCTGTCACGTTGTACTGGCCAGTTCAAGTAACCGCTATCCCGGGCGCGGTTGGGGGACTGTACATTATGTCGATTAGAGGGACTATACTTGAGAGGAGAGGAGAGGAAAGCCAAGTGTAAAAATGAAGAAATCGATATTGCTCTTGTTGAATCTACTTCGCAGTATGCGTATGGTTTACATGATGATATATGGTAAAAGGGAGGTCAAAGGTAACTGGTGTCACCTTTTCAGCTATATGTGCAGGACTATTGGGCTTCTGGCAGAACGTTCGAAGTACAATTAGCATAATATTTTATAAGGTAATAATATAGCTGGCCGGATATTGATATATCACTAGTGCCCTTATGAGAACTAATGTCTGTAGCTAGCCATCACGGCAGTATGCTCAGTACTTGGGTACATAATATGTAATTAGATCCCAATTTCGTACCACAAAAATCATTCGACGAAGGCATCTTATATATTTGCCCAGTCCAGAGACACCGTTAGACAGTGAAATCTAGATGACGAGCATAATGTGGTCCTCTCTTTCTCAGATCGCTAGAAGGCATATATCTAGATAGAAGGCTATTGAATACAGATGGTTCACAATGCACGATTACGATATATTTATATCAGCGCAATTTAAAACGAACGTTGCGAAAACTCACTGACAACTAATAATTAGCAGCTATGAAGTATACGTACTATAAACAGGTCATGTATTTTGCGAACTCCTAAGCTGAAGCTGAATCGCAGCGTTCTATCAACTTATCGCGGAGCTCTACCCAAGGCTTCTCCGTATCCAAAAAACCTCCCTGGATAATAGATTTGGCTTGGATGATGGAAACATTCTTGATTCGCATAATAACGTATACAGCAGAAAATGGTAAGCCTGCTTTACCAAGAGCTGCATGTGGAATCCAATTACTTCCCGCGGAATAAAATCGTTGATCAAGATCATCATTCGATATGATAATTGATCGATAGACTTAAGATCGGATATGTTATTTTCCGTCAACTTGAAATCATGCATAAGAGGCATTATATTCCAACCGCAACTTTGAGATGTCAGTTTGTTTCTCTAGTAAATTACCTAAAAATGATTTTTTTTTTTAAAAAAAAGAAAAAATAAAGACGCGGTCTCAAAGACCAGATACTGATCAAGGTGATGAGTTACTGGAGTTTTAGAGATTTCCGGGACTAGAGAAGTTTAAGGAATCAATATGTACCTTGCTGCGAAGTTGTCGAGCCTTTGGTTTAGATAAGCTTCCAAGCTCTCGAACTCCACGATGAGATTCTCAGTCTCGGTGATTGCTTTCGCTCATTCTTCATACGCCTGTACATATATATTCTGCGCGTCATCTGTATCCAATAACTCGACGAAGAGCTTTGATTTGACCTGGTTAGGAATGTTGGTACTTCCTCATAAGGATGACTGTATCGTGGATTTTCGGATCCAGGCTAGGAGCCTAATAGAGCATTTGAGTTAATCAGTCGCGATTCCACGGGATGCTTTCTAACACTGACCTGTTCGTCTACAAATATATCACCGTCTAGGATGTCTAAATTTTCATGATGTTTATACTTTAGTGAATGATCCGTACAATGCTGCTAAAGCAGCCAAACTGGACGAAAGAAGACTTCCTGGTGAGGCCGGGTATTATTTACCATCTCCGAGAAATGAGAGTGAAATTAACAGAGAGGACTCATTTTAACTAATCTTTTGGGGCACAACCAGAGACAGGAAGCCGCCAAGTTGGTCTATAACATAGGAAGGATGACCAAATCCTCCGCGATCAAGCCAATCTTGATTCATTTTTCCAACGACTCCGAATTCCTCGTAGGCACAGGAATGTACGCGGACATCCAAGTTAGACCAGTAGCCTTCCGGAAACTCTTCTGGAATTGGTTGGGAATGCCTAGGAGGCATTAAGGCAGGTATCAAACTCACAATTAAAGCAAGAGAACTTCCAACAATAATAAGCGAAAACGATAAGAGACTTTTGACAACCAAACGAGGGCTAGAGGCTGTGATCACTCATGAAATAACCGGAAGAACCTTCAAGACTATGTGAGCTTTATAATTCTAAGGTTACAGCAGCATGCATTAAAAGCTGCAAATTCTACCAAAAATAGTACGTAATTTAAGTCCGAATATTGATCAATGTCGCATCACCCTATCGGTGTCGCCCAATCGTCCAAAAAGCTAGTGTTGGTTAGGTGATGCAAACCGGATGAACATCAGGTTTGTTGCATGGATTACAACGCCTCGTATCTGTAAATTACCTAGTATACAGGTACCTAGTCATGATTAGCGCCAAAACCAAGCAAAATTGTTGTATGATGTGATAATATAAGTGGATGGGTAAAGAAAAAAAGGCATCATGCATATGCACACCGAAGCGTTGTCAAGTTTTGCTGCAGCATGCACTAAAATCGGGTATGCCTACATTCGACGCATTCTAAGCTAGGCTTAAGGACTTTGCCCCCAATATTATCATCGCAAAATCTCAGGCATTATTTGAAAAGTCAGCTAAAGGAGGAGACAAAACCACAGTTGAGGAGTCTGGCAACGAGCTAAAGGCGAACATAATCAAATAAATCAGCTTCGCTCCATAACTACAAACTTCATTACCTAGAATCAAGTTCGATACAACAAAACTAATAATATTTTTATACTAGAATTCCGTGTTGTATTTGTTCCAAAAACACCACATGATTGTGTTTCGCAGTCTGACAGCTCAGCTGGTGTGTTTCGGGTTGAACGTCCTTTTGCCGGCGACTTTTTATACATTCGAGGTTGGTTCAACAATAAAACTTGATGAAAAGTTAGCTTGAAGTTGATGCGCGGTATTCTAAACGACAGAAAAGAACTCAGAACCCATAACTTAATGACGAAGTATGTTTGCAAGCTCATTCACTAGGCGGCCGATGTAACATAATTCAATAAGTTTCGAAATAGTTGAATACTGATTTACCGACCCCGCAATATGATTCGCGGTCGGAAATATCGTTCGGAGGTGTAAGCGAGGTGAGCGACTTAAGCAGTACAAAAAGGTTTGTTATGCCTAAATCTGTATACTGGTTAATGCGAAAGGAAGAGCTTCAACCCGCGCGCTATACCTACGTCGAGTACACTTATTTTCTTATGTTAAAATATTTAAAATCCCAGTCAAAAATGTTAATAGCGTTTACTGATTACAAATTCGAGAGTCTGAAAAGAGGTAAGAATTTCCGTTTTGGTCGGCACTTGCGATTTTAGGTGATTATAGACGACACTGGTGGGCGCCGGTGACGTTAAGCGTCGCCAGCGGGTTGCATTCAACAATTGATGAACTCAAGCTCATCACTGATGACCCAAAAATTATAAAAAGAGGCTCTCCGCGCCGACTTCATCCTTCGCTATCAATTAGAGTACAGTCTAGTCCATCGACAACAATCTAGTCTCCGATTCATTGATCAGGAAATATACCAGTTTGGTTTATCAAAACATATATAATCTCCAAAATGACGAAGCCAGCACCCGGAAATTACGTTATTGTGAGCCGTGTACTGTCTTGCGACGGCCAGAAACTTGCTCTCACCTTTTGCAAAAAGGGCGGCGCCGTTACTCTCACCCCTTTGACACACCGACAGGAACAAATCGTAAGTATTACCTTTTTAGATCAATATTTCGCGATTCCGGTGAAGGCGCTAAAATTACTCTTAGTGGACAATAAGCGACTATTCTGATGGTCAAACTCAATATATTATCCCGAAGAAAGATGATGATCTCCAAATCGCGATCGGCGGCAAAGTTGCAGTAACGCTTCCCGCTGGTGAATACGTTTGGACCATTCGAAGGGGTAAAGATGGCGTCTGGTACGTTTTTTCTGCTGTTATATTCGACCATTTCTGTAGTAATTTAATACTGATCCGTTCGATCGATTTTATAGTATTGCAACTGGTGACAAGATGTTAAATTTGGGGATTGAAAGGGGCGTCGTCGATGAAAAAATTTGTGTGACCAAGGATAAGGGTGGTCCTGGATTTAGGTGGTGTCTCGAAAAAGTCAGAAGTTCCGGCTCTTATTGATGAAGTTAGACTCTATCACAAACCTCTGTATAAATGTTTTTTTTTCATGATTGAGTACGATATCATATCATGGTGAAACTGGTTTTAGGTGTTCGGTTTTGGTTGTTTATAAGTTTTCAATGGCTTGATATTACATAGAGCTAAGTACATTGCAAATCGATTGACAAGCTTCAAAAAGTAAAAAGGTGTGGTTTTCCCCGCAAATTTTACGAAAGAACGCATAGACCGTAGGACTCTTACCATGAGACACGATTTTACAGTATTTAATTGACATAAAAGCTTAATAAAGCTATGGGAGTTTAGATTAAAGGTATTGGCCTAGCATGAGCAAAATAATTTGGGTTTGGGTTTGGCATGCATCGTTTGTAAGATTAAATTAGACTATATTTAAGCTTATATTTTAAAAGAAAGATTCTAAAGGAGGTTTAATTGAGAAGCAGAGGTTTTTATAGAAAATCTAGTTTTAGTCGGGTTTAAGTGTGACTGCAGGGAGTCCTCAAGTGTTGAAAGTAGAATAATAATTTGGTAATTGGTACTTATAATTTAGAATGTGTTGTTGTGTTGAATAAAACTTTAGTTTGCCACTCCCATACTACTGGCCAGATCACTTATATTTTGTAGGTTTGATTGGTTTACCTGTCATTTTTGGCTTTTCGGGCGAAGTATTCCGTTCAAAGCCACTAATTCTGACGAAGTTAGCTACCAATTTGTCAAATTTTTACAGATAGAGGTAAAGCAGGCTAACTCCGAGATCCGACGATCAATTTTCGGGTTTTCAGGCATATAAAGGCACATATCGCCTATAGCACTCGGGTTAAGATCTGTTTGATGTTTGATGCCGGGTAATAACTACCAACCAGTCACAGGCCGCACCTTCGTCGACCTAGCCCCAACACTAACCAGGAAAGGATGACCTTATCACAGTATCAAACAATCTTACCGTCCCTAGAAATGGTGCTACTATCCTGATAACTAGGTACAAGCGATGAGCGTCCTCCATATGCGGCTTGTCATCATGTTATCACTTGGCATGCTAGCTAGCCTCCAGAGTATCGAGAAAAATCGGATCTTCGGCATTGCATCGATTATCGAGATATAAAAGAGACCTTTAGAAGCAGTCGAAGAAGGATTTTTCTTATTATCAGCCCACTGTCTGAATCGATTCAAAGCCTATCAAATAGGTGCCGCTCATTTTGTTACTTCATTCTCCAGGCTGTTCTCACTCGTTCACTCCTTTTCATCCATCTGCTAGGGCTAAATTGTCCATAACACTCTTTGAATTCATCAAGATGCAATTTTCAACTCTCTTTACCCCAGTGGCCTTCGCTATCCTGAGCATCTCTGAACTAGCATCCGCCCACACCGTTTTCGTCGATGCCTGGGGAAATCAAAATCCTAATCTACGCGGACACGGTCTAGGATACGATAGAAACACACCAAGAGTGGGACCTCATCATCTATTCGCTCTTCAGCACGATGTCGTAGTCTTTAATGAACAAGTCACACACAATTGGAAGGATATGAGGGGTAAGTGGCTTGGAGGATGCGGTGTTACAGCACTCTCAAATGCGCACTGGTTCAAATCAGCCGACCCGAAAGAATGGAATGCCATTGCAGCAAGGGGAGGAGAGTGGCACTTTATGAGGAAAGTAGCGCCACCGAAAGCCCGCGTCGATGTTGCGTGGTCGATCGATCAGATGAGTAAATATGAAGCTCGTGGGGAAATAAGGCACGACAAAGCTCTCAACAAGGGCCTCAGAACTGGTATTCCTAGGGTTACGGCAGGTGGATTCTTGAATATCGTGTCTTTTCAGGTCAACGCGGATGGAGCCGGTCCTTTTATATGTGCGATTGACTATTCCGGCCGCGGGTCTTGGACGAACATAGCTGTCACTCAAACTTGTTCTCAAAAACACGGCTCGGTAGATCCTTGGACCGTTAGGAAGCCGTGCACTATCACTATCAAGTTACCTAATAACTTGAACTGTCATGCAAAATACGGCAAACTTACAGACATCTGTGTGGTGAGATGCCAAAACAATGCAAAGTATGTATAACACTGTCCTTAAATTTATAAACCGAACAGTACAATATGTTAATGTAGCATACCAGAAACGGCCCCTTTGGAGGTTGCGTTCCTATGCAACAAGTAAAGCCGAAACCTAAGGTGGTGGCGAAACCAGTTCCGGTCGTCCGTCCTGTTACCAAAGTTCAACCTGTCAAGCCCGTGCTTAAACCGACGAAGGTTACTCTCCCACCGGGTAGGGCGACCATCACTGTCGTCAAGCCGAATGGCAATACCGCAGTTTCAGTCGTAACTCAAACTGCTACCGTGGTCACCGTCATCACCCAAGTTTCCCAGCCGCCCCCTAAAGTATCGATATCAGTCGTGACTGAGATTCAGACATCATTAGTCACCGTTGAGCAACCAGTTGCAACCTCGGAGGCACAGTCAGCCGAAACCACTTACTCGATTGCCCCCCCCAATCCAGGAGATAAGGGACTTAGTCCCAAAGAAATTGAGGATCTTATTGCTGGAGAAGATTACGATGCTGAACAGATTGAAGAAATCAAGAATGGCGGCTACTATAAAAAACTTCGATTCCGCCGGGAGTAAGAAGACGCCTATTCTTCGCCCCCATGGGAATCATCGTGCCATGTATGAGAAAAGATTGATCGAGAAGCCATGACGTAAATGCTTTATGTCCTATCCGCTAGCTTACTACTGTATATAGCTATTTAGATAGTATAACGATTTGTACCTAACATGAACTAAAATCATACCTAGTTAAACTGCTAGCAGCCATTGGTTCTGACGTACTTAGAAGAAATTCCAGCCACAAAATACAATAATAATATAGTAACAGAAAACAATGAAATAACATATAATCTGTAACAAAGCAATCTCAGCGTAATGAACTCCAAACAAAAATCCAGACAGCTAGAGGAGCCCTCAGAATGATTATAGGAAATATCCAGGCGATATTGTGGTTGGAGGAAAAATTACATAACATAATATAAACCTAGCCTTTATTCTAGGTGGGAAAATAGTGTTATACTAGCTATTCGAGGAAAAAAATAGGGGTGAAAGGTGATAAATATTTTAAGAATTTGAAAAGTATTTAGTAAAGTGTAAATAAAGATTTGTATAAGAAATATAGTGATATATTAGTAAATAATTGGTTGAAATTGAAAAGGTATATTTTTTGTAAAAGTGAAATATTTTAAGAAAAATTTTTTTAGAAGTTATATTGTGTATAATATAAAAAATATTGATTTAATGTTTGGAATCCTTTTTATATTTAAAATAGATAATAATTAAAAGAGGAAATTTAAAAGATTAAAAGATTTAAAAAAAAATAATGGATTGATGGTTTAATAAATTGTTACACCTGTTCCAGGATTCCTTGGCAAGATTTCTTAAAATAGCTTAGCACTCTGCTGTGTTTCTCAACTTTATATGTTCAGATTTTTTAGAGGGTAATATAGTATTCAAAGTGAAAATATAAAATTATATGAATAGAAAATATAATATAATAATTAGTAATAAAATTAAATATTATTTAAATAAATTATAAATTAAATTAATAAATTGATCAATAAAGTTTTAAGATAAATTGAGAATTATTATTATTTAAAAGTTTTTAAATATATAATAAAGTTTTTTATAAGCAATTATAAATATAATATTTGTTAATAGTTGTTAATAATTATCAGTCTGATAATTATTGATAATGTTTAACGTATTCCACCTAGTTTGCGCGCATACCTAGTTTTGCCGCAGTTTTCAGAGTTAAACACCCCATCAAAAAATCATTATTAACTCTTACCCTTTTCTACATCTCGATACGATATTATAAGTCTTTATAATTAATTAATTTATATACAAAACTTTACTTATAATATAATCTAATTATTTATAATATAATTTTTTATAAAAATAGTTTTTTATTATTTATAAACTATTTTTAAATAAATTATAATATTAAATAAATTTATAATAATATAATTTAAATAATATTTCATATATATAAAAAAGATTAATTTAAATTAATTTATATTTCTATAATTATTTACAAAATTTCGGAAAATATTTTGAGAAAGTATATTAATAATATTATTATTAATAAACAAATCACATATTAAGTTTAAATAATAATTGGGTTAAAAAAAAAAATAATTAATATAATGGATATTACATCTTTATAATTAGAAATTTCCACTATAACTTAATATAATATGATATATAATAAGCAAGCTTACAAATCGTAATATAAAAAAAAATTGGATTAAAAGATTTATAAAATAATATATAGATCTGTCACGGCCCAACCATATTGACTAACCGGATTAGGAAATAGGGCTTGGCGCGACAAACATGCTTCTGTTTTTTGCTTCTGTTTTACCTATAGAATTATTTTTTATATAATTTTTCGAATCTTTTTGTTTAAAAAAATATGCTTCTTATTTTGTACTTATGTATTTTATATTATCCAAAACAACACATGTTCATTTCCTCGGAATAGTCGGAAATATTAACAACTGGACCATTTGGTTATATATGCATGGTTTAATGCCAAGGCTTGGACATTAGTGGCCGGGATGGTCGCAAACGCTCACGACCTCGACACCACTCACGACTAATTGCTTGTCGTATCTTGAAGTTCTATAGAGAACTTCCTCATATATATATAGACCTTTAAACGATAACAATTTCTGAGTTTACTCTTAAACTTCATTAGTCAACTTATTAACTTAGTTTACAACCTACTTAAACAGTATTTAGTTTTATAGCTAATTACTATATTATACTTTCTATTTCATATAACTTTATATTTTCACCCCGAATATTATACTACCCTCTAAAAAATCTAAATATATAAAATTAAAAAACACAGCAAAATATTAAGCTATTTTAAGAAACCTTATTAAAAAATTTTAAAACAAATATAACACTTTAATTAATTTAACTTTTAAAAGAAAGTAGTATATATCAAAAAATTACAATCTATCAAATATAGATATAAGTAATAAAAATTAAGAAAACTTCTACAATCCCCTTGAAATTTTAGCACAACTTGTAAATCAAAAAATAATTAGATACACTACAATATAAACCAAATTATTAACAAATTAAGTAAATTTTAATTTTGAATTATAAAGTAGAATTAATATTAAAAAAAACAAAAAATTTATTAGAGTTTATAAACCACTAAAATCCCAAAACAAAATTATAACAATTAAATTAAATATTCAAATACAATTTATAAAAAGACCACAAAAAGACACACACAACAAATATATAAAAAAACTCAATACAAATATTAACAATTTATTAGCAATATTAAACATATCTACAAAATAAATGAATATTGATTTTAATAATAGTGAAAAAGGAAATTTTATTAACCAACCAAAAAACCCCCCCTCCTCTTAAAACCCTTAAAAAATTGCAAATATAATTAGAATTTTTATAAAAAAAATACGACTAAAATATTAAAAAAGTTATTATCAAAATCTCTATTATGGATTCAAAAGAAGTGAAAATAAAAAAAAACATAATGAGCTTTAAAAACAATTTAATAGTATAAAATTACTATAAATTAGTAATTTAACTAAATTTAATAAAATGTTTGAAAAACTTGATCACTTTTTTCAACAATTCGACATTTATTTCTAACTCCAAACCAGATAATTTTTTAATAATAAAACCAAAATTTTTTTCACAAGAATATATTTTAAAAATATTATCTTATAAATTTACATTATTTACCAATAACATTATTCCAAACCCATTAAAAAACAAAAAAAGCATATTATTAAAATTATAACCAACTACAATACTTTCACCAAATTCCTTAAACAATAATATAAAGAAAACAACAAAATCTCTCATACACAACAAAATATTATCTTTTTTAAATAAATTAATTTTACTTAAAACTATTTTTAAGAATTTAACAAATTTACAATCTTAATTAAATAAAATAACAATAATTTTTATTATCAAATAAAAGAAAAATTTAAGACTAAACTTTAATAATATATTTATATTTAAGAAAAAAAATAGAAAAATAAAAATTTTTTTAATATAACTTATATAAAAATATAATAATATATTATTGAAATTAATAATATCAATTTTAAAACTTATACCAACTAATCCTTTTATAATAATAAAAAGAAAAATAATAATAATTTTAACAATTTTAAAAACAAAAAAAACAAAAAAAATAACAACAGACAATAAAAATGTAATAAAAACAAAAAAATACACCCCAATCAGATTTTTAAACCTGCATTTATAAACCTCAACAACATACGATAATAGTATCCACACAACAAATCCAAAAAAAGTTTAAAATCCAACACACTACTATATTAGAATTATAATAAAATTAAATACTTTAGAAATAATTACCCGAAAAACCAACAAAATATCACACACCAATACAAACAATTTTATAACACCAATTAAAATCTTAAAATTTTAATAAAAAATTAAAAGAAATCTATCAAATTCAAAATAACACTTTAAAAGAAAAACTTTATTAAAGATATTTAACAATAAATTTTTGAAATTGTTTACAAAAATTTTTTATAAGCCTCTACCTCCAATACTTAAATAAATACCTCTGAATCAATGATTCAAAACAATAATAACAAAAAAATTGTCACCCAATTTTTAGATATTAATTATTTTTTTACTAAAAAACAATATTATTAATTATAATAAAACCCTTCATTAAAAAAACATTTTTAATACTAATAAAAATTTAATAAAAAACTTTATCAATACTACTTACAAAACAAAAAACACAAGTATTAATTTATTAAAAATGATTTTAAACCTTAAAATCTAATAATTCATTTAAAAATTATATAATAATAATTTTTTATCAAACAACTTTTATCAACCATTAATTTTTTTAAAGTATATAAATAATACTTTATACTATCTTTATTTTCTAATTAAGATAATAATATATATTTTTTTTTATTATTTTTATTAAAAAACTTTTTTTCCTCTACCTCAGATAACAAAAAAAAATTTTTTATTAATAAAAATATTTATAGCCCCAATTATAATAACAAGATTTATACTTAGATAAATTGAATAACTAAAAAAAATTAAGAATACATTAGATATCTTAATTACTATGTAAAATATAATAAATATAATTACACACAAAAACATAAATAAACAAACAAAATAAAATTTAAAAAAACTTTATATTAAGTAAACTTTGATTTATTCAAAAAATTCTATACCAACCACTTCAAAATATATTATCTTACAATTAATGTTAAATATTTAGTTAAAACTTATAATTTATTTTTTAATTATCCAATAATAAGAAAATCCAAATTTTATAAAAAAGTTAAATATTACCTATACATTAGAAAAATTATTAAATATATTCTATATAACAACATCTTTTATTTTTACCCCAAATACTACAATAATTGGTATTACTACATAAAACATATAACCATATTTAATATAATCTTCGAAAATAATTTAAAATAATATATTTATTTTATTTATTTAGAAAAATTATAATTTTAAATCTATATTTAATTCCTAATCCATATAGACGAATATATTTAGAAATT